GAGCCTTTATCGGCATGAATTCAAATTGACAGAAAGGTAAAAGGTCAGGCAATTAATCCAATTCATGAATACCAAAGGATGCTACATCCCGGGTTTAGAGTGTTTTGCATTTCGTTCAGTTTATTGCGCCTCTACCGGCAAAAGTTAAAATAGCACTGGTTTCGAGACTATTTAAGTACGGGTCAAGGGATGCAGGAGAAATGAGTCGGAGGATGATATATCCCCTGGGTTTTATACAGCATTTTATTGTTTTAAGTTTAAATCTGGGATGTAGCCGGCATTTGACCGGGGGGGGGGGGGTCGATTTTAAAAAAATCCAAGGGATTCACTTTTGAAATGGCCCAAAAATGACCAAAACCATTTGAAAAAGTGCTCAGAATGGTGAAAACTGCATGGTTTTGAAAGCATTTTTGGCTATGGTAGAGGGTCCTGGCTACGGGCCTGTTACATAAGTTTGTTAATGATAGATTCAAACTGATAGCATGGTCATACGGGGGTCCTATCCATAAATACTCTGATAGGACGCTGTCCCGGGGTTTTCGTGTCGTTTCGTTCAGTAAATAGCACTGGTTGCGAGACTATTTTAGTACGTGTTTCTAGCACGTGTTATAGAAACCCGGGTCCTGTCAGTGTTTGCCATCGACCCTTTCTCATCATTTCTGGGGCTAGTAACATTTCTACGCTCTCCGTGGAATTTCTGCGCTCTCATACTTTTGCAGTCACATTTCCCACGGCAGCTGCACGGTGAATTTTAAATTTCTGCTAATAAATAATACTTTTTTCATTTTATTTAAATCAGGACAATTTATAAATGTTATTCATAGTGCTAGGATGTAATATCAAATGAAAGGTGATCGTGAAACATTGACAAATAATGATTCAATCTTGTTGAACCAGTTGATTTCTACAGGGACCTCAGAAATGAACAAACATTATAACTCCGAGTTATAATTTCTACGGCGACCCTGCGGCCTGTGAAAACTGGATACGCCGTACGGAGGCCGCAAGGCGAGCGTAGTTTTTCTACGCCCGCCGCAGAAATACACTGATTTAATTGATCTGCGGTCGACGCACGCCCTCCGTACGACAAATGTGACTGGGGTGTTACCCTAAATCACAACGAACTAGTTCTCAAAATGTCGATTGTTTCCTAGTAACATTTTTTACTCCAGTGTTTACCAATTTCGATGCCTTATAATGCAAGCGTTGTACACTAGCCTACGTAGTTCAGAAACCATGAATTAAAGACGCATTTACCCCACATGATTCTGAGCATTGAACTTCTCAATTTGATTAGGTCTATAGGCCTACCAGGTTGTAATGGCATCTTATTCAATCTCTTTATTATTAATCTTTCACTGGAATTCTTCTCAAAGTAGTAAACGATGTAGCAGGACATAATGCGCATTGTTAGTGTAAATATGCGAATCGTGTTTTCAGTAATGGTGGTACTGAGGACGTAACTGATTATTAGCTTTGGGGTTCTTTTGATTTCAGATTCCAGAACCCGATAGAATACATTGATAAAAGGACACAAATATGCCCACTCGGATATGTGGCAAAAATGTGTATTTTTCATCTTGAATGCCTGAATGCCCATTAGCTAAAAAAAGATCAATCCATCGGAGAGTTAGTTGAAAAAGCGAATACAAGACTAAGCATGCAGGCACACTTAAATTAAGAAAAATATCCAAAATGGCCGGCTGAAAATCTGCTCTCTTTGGTTGTGAATCCTACTAGGCTAGTTTCGGTTAGAATTCTCCTTACATACCAAAAATCTCATAAATTTTTCCATTACCTTCTAGTATAGGAGACCGAATTCCAACAGATTCAAGCTTCACATTTTTGTCTCCAAACATTGAGGAGACGAGTTTTTTGTTTTTTCTCAGTGAATATGCAATCAAATTGATTTTCTAAAATTGCTTTGCAACATGGTACCAAAATAACAAAATCCCGTGGATTTAACTTAGTTTTATGCGAAGACGAAATTTTCAAATCGCCAAAATAAAACGGGGACTAAATTAACTAAAGGTTACGAAGTGTTATGACGGGACATGATTTTTTTCGGAATTAAGAATTTTAGTTTTAATTAAAAAAATTTCCTCGAATAGTTTTATTTTAATTTTTTGATTAAAAATTGTACATGAATTTTCACTTGACTTGTTGAGTTTTCTGGAAATCCCCATTCTTTTCAAATCTCTCTTAAGCTGTCTTTCACCGATGTTTATGTCATGACGAAAGCCAAGAGGATGAGTAATCTCCCTGTACGTAAACCCGTCATTAAAATAGGACAACACGAATTTGTCTTGGTGTTCGGACTAGTATGTATCCAACAGACTAAATAGGATATAGTCTAGTGTTCGGACATTGTTTTGTCATGGCCGTCTGTTTCGTCTGGAAATTAGGTCATGACACGCCTAATTTCCACCGCGGTAGAAAATAATTTTCACCGAGGTAGAAACTCATTTCCACCGAGGTGAAAATAGAATTAAAAATCTAATTCAAAAATCAGAAAATTAATTTAAAAAAACGAAAATTCTTAATTCCCCAAAAAAATTCATGTCCTTTATAAAGCTTCGTAAAGGGTTGTAATAGTGGTTCTAACATACACGATATTGAGTCATTGATTACTATTTATGTGTCCTTGCGAGTGTTTTGTTTGTAATTGAATCAATATATTTGCAAAATGTCGTTGACACATATCTATAAAGAAAACAAGTAATGTAACAATGACTTGTTCTTTCTTATGTTTTGGACAGTTGGAATTGATTTATTGATGCACAATGACGTTATGCTACGTACGTGCACAGCACATACGTCAATTTCTTCAATTATTGTGATTGTAGACCAAAGTGATGAACTTGGAATAGAAATTGATCTATTGATAATCGAAGATTTAGCACCGTATCGGCTATAGATGTTTTATTGTTTTTAAGCAATCGACCTGAAATGTCAAAACTGAGTCAAGGACAAGATTCGTTGTTATTGTAGTTTCTATTCAACATGCAACATGTATTGTAAAATTTTATTTTATTGATTGACATCCTGTATTTCAAGATGCTCATAGTGGGAATAAGCATCTTGGATTACCGGTGTATGAAGTTGGCATGGTTGAAAACCAAACTAGTAAGCGAGTATGATACATAAGCCTAGGGTAAAGTGGACATATGGGTAGTGAGGACAAATCTAGGGACAAATCAAGTAACTTCACATTGTCAAGCTCAATTAGTTTAAAACAATGGGCATCAAAAGAGTCGACCAAACAGAATTAGGACTTTTTGAGCTTGTACCTTGAATGTGCGTCTTTCAAGCGTCTATTTCCTACTAAATATTTCTTTGGGTTAATTTCATTGGCTTAAACTTTCAGACACCATGTCTTTTTATTTTTATTGCTAATGTTACTAAGAACATGATCTGATTTTGAAAGAAACCGTAGTGACTGCATGCAATAGCATTCAAGATGTGCAAAATACAAAATACTAGTAATCATTTGGCTTTATGTTTACGTACAGAGGTGCCCCATTCATATATCTAGGTACTAGTAACTCCATTGTTCTCTTGTTGCTAAGATGAACACATTTGTTATAAACCTTGAAACTTTTCTTTAATTCTTGATCTCTGACATGCTAGAAACAATTTACGAGGTACAATGTAGGCTAGGGGTAATTTGGTGATTGACATTCATTTCGCGATTTCGGACTCATTTTGAAGAATGTGTACGTGAAACGTGTAAATAACGGTCCCCTGTCATGTCTGTTTAAACCAATTGAGAGATTCCTGAGTGTCATAATATTGATTCTTTACGTTCAAGTTCTCCCAAATGCGTATAACTACATCATTTTTAGTAAAAAAATCTGAGCGTATAGTCATAGAGTTTGAAAAAAGGTCGGATAAACGAAATGGAAACTTTAAGACACTCCAAAAACATTTGATGATACTAGTTCTATTATTAGTAAATTAAAACCTGATCTAGTATGTTCTTACTCTTCGACAGGACCTCTTTATTTTTATAGGCCTTCAACATAGAAGCTAAGTTTGCCACTTCTTTTAAGAAACTTTATTTCGAGGCTTAAAGAACATGTTTATATCGGCAAAGAACTACACAACAGAACGTTTACAATATTACAATTCATTACATACAGTATTCGAAAACACACAAATAACCTACAAATCATGCAAATAAACATGTTTGGCATTGGGCATGCATCCACCAGGGTATTAGCTACAGACGAACCCGTTTGCGAAGTGAAGACAATACACTTTCTCCTCGTGAAAAGGTTAAAGTATACTTTATATAAGTTATTGTAACGAATATAATATAATGAATCATATAAAAGGTTAACCGCGTATACTCCAGAACTTATATACTAAAGAGAACACATGATATGTACAATAAGGATACCAAGGAGTAAGTAAAATACAATAAACGTCACCTCTCAAACATCATGAAATTATGTTAAAATCTTTGGGGTAAGCCTAAAAATAAAATACCTTATAGGTGTTTGTATTCCCAAGTGTAAATTGCTATACATATATTTTAGAGAAGAAAATGGCATCGACACCAAATCCTAAATACATGGCCATGGTAGGTTTTGTGAATGCTGAGGAAGAGTACGTTTTAGTACGAGGTGAACATGGGCCTCTGGGGATAGAAATCCATGATATGAATAACACCCCGGAATAGCCTGACAACGGTAAAGTCAGATTCCGTTGTCACAAATGGCGGACATATGGCTTCAATTAGATTAAATTCTAAATTCCTTTCGAACAACAATCAATCAAAGTGTCTACTCATTGTATTAGTTAATAATGTTCTACCATCGAAACAACGTCTTTAATTCAACCGATCAAAATGAGATACGGGACAACGGAAACTGTAATTACCATATGCCATTGTCTTTCTAAATTACTCAAATTCAGATTCCGTTGTCATTGACGATATCGACGACGCTACATTGTGGCGATTCGCGACCCAATTTGATCGAAATGGGATTTCATATACAAGAGCTAAATGCATGCACAGAATTAGCGACGATAAAATCCAATGAAATGAGCGGACAAGGTGATTAAACAGTTGAAGCGACGGTTAATCCGCCATTAGTGACAACGGTATCTGACTTTACCGTAGTCAGGCTATTCCGGTGTGAATAAGGAACGTATCAGAGGTGATCACTATTGTACCATGGGTCTTATGTCTTCCAGAATATTAAAAGAGAGATTTCGCAAATCACTTAGTGTCTAAAACCCAGCTAAAACATACCGCTTACAAGCATTCATTATAATGAGTATACTATAGTGCCACCTATTGCTATTTCAGTGTCATGTTTGTGCATTAGGATTTTGTTGGCCTGGGCTTTTCTAGTTTGATAGTTTAACGTGTCCTTGTATTAAGCAGAACATACTTATATTTTTCAGACACGTCCCTTAAATTATGATGATCGAAGAGGATGTCGACTGCTCGCGATCATAAACTTTACGGCATATCCATTTTTATTCAAGATGCACTTTGGGTTATATTGTGACTTTGTAGATGTTTGTACAGATCTAGTAAGGTGAACGTGGCACAGGAGCAAATCTGACATTTGGAAAAATCCCCCGAGAAGGCAAACGATCTGACATCACTGGAGCATGTAGGGTGATAACTAGCATAGTGCTCATTCAAACGGAAGAAAGGAAGCACGGTTCCGCAGATACGACAATAATGAGGTGCATCTTCGAACGAGGCAGGTCGTGTCGATATAGTCAATGTCCCTACTCGATGCCTGTGAAGATGGCAAGCTAAACTACCACATGGTTTGCTTTGACAGACCGTGCATAATTGAGATTTAACAGATCGACTAACCGGTACCATACCAGTCGGTTCATGATCTTTCGTTCTATGAGTATCAAAATATTCACTGTGTACGATTTCAGCGCAGATGCTGCAATATACAAGTTCAGAAGATCCATCAACGTATTTATCATAGTGAGCTTTAAAATGTTGAAAATGACTCTTTTTCGACGTCATCTGATGACCGCATGGACATTTCTTCGAAAACGCTGAACGAAAGCGAAAATAAGAATATGAACGAATGAAGGAAATGTCAGATGCTGTTTCCTTAGGATGACATCCTTTGATATGTTTCTCCATCGCAATAGATTCTAAATCGACAATAAGAGCAACATTTTGTCCTTCGATTGGCAAATACTTAAAGCATGTTTGGCAATACATGCCATGTGGTCTTGGATCGTTTGACTTATACCTAAAACCCAAAGAATTCTCTGTTTGCAGAATCGGCGCCATCGGCGGTGGATCTCTTGTTAATGTTATCAGGTTTTCGTTGACTGAACTTAAAGAAGATTCACTTTGCATATCTTCTTGTGTGCCAACTGCAAAAAATGTTGACTTCTCATCGTATATAGTTGTATAGTCGTTGTTATCGAACTTGTACTCAACTTCATGATCAGTTTCACCTTTAATATCATTTTCAACACGAAAAGGAGACAAGAACTTTTGGGATGTATGGAACTTATTGTCTGGTTCAACCGCAAACTCAATCGTATCAGACTGCTCCCAAAGATCACAAAATGGTTCTTTCTTTGGCTCAATTAGACCATTTAACGGGTTCTCCTCCTCTACCATATAACAATTGCCCATCTCTTCAGACTCGGAGTCTTTGCATTTTGGATAAACGAGTGGAAGTCGTAATGTGATAAAGTCGGTGTTTTTTTCCAATTGAACCCTTGGTTTTCGGTGAGGACTGATCTCGTTGAGGGACTGGAACATGTTGTTGCAGCGTCTCTGTAGTTTGTTAGCAGCATGTTGCTGAAACACACGCTTTGGATAAATACACTTTGTACTCTTCAGATTCGTCTGTTTTTGACAAGCTTCAGATGATATCTTCTGTGGTCTATCAAACGTATCTTGACTGAGGGACACAACTCGTAATATTTTTGGTTTAAATTCCATTCTCAACTTTTACGTTTCTTCGAATAGACCAATATGACAGGTCACTCTAGTTCTTTGAAGTTCAGGTAACGTTTAGCCCGTATGTAACACCTGAAAAAGAAAAAATGCGATCAATGTAATGTACATTAACTATACTGTTGTTTCCTCTTGTCATTTAACTTTTAAAGGACATTTCTTCATATTTTATATTAAGACAATACAAATAACAAAAAACGCTAGTTTTTGTGGCCAAGTCGATTTGCTTTGCATAATAACATGAAACTCAATGGTGAGCAGTGGTTTTATTCGTTTGCTGATTTACATCAGTTAAATACAGGGTGTCTCAACAAATTACAAGCATTAACATGAAGGAATGTCACCATCTACACGCTCGCGATCGTACAAAATGGATGGAGGAGGAGTAGGCGATTTCTGCAAGGAAACTCAACAAAGGAGCACGTAGGTTATCGCAAACAATTTCAAACGATTCTAACTTGAATTATGAATATTTACTGATCATGAACATGGGTGTATCTTTTAGATCCATTCATTATCTTCAAGAAAAGTATATATAATGATAATTTAGTTAATCAGACCTAAGTGATATTGAAGGGGCAATGGACCAATCAACATACTTTTTCAAAAAAGTTGACCTAATTTTCACCAAAAATGCAACCTATTATTATATTGTTGAATGCATAATTAGAATGTGCTTTGAGACATGTTCGATTTCCTAAAAGGAAAATTTGATTGCTCCAGGGACTTTAAAGATATTCAATTTGGTTGACCAAAATGAACTGAAACCAATGGATAGCATGAGAATTTTCAATGGAGAAATAACATGGGGAACATTTATCTCAAAACAATTAAGTTTTTCTTTCAAGAACTATTTGATACATCAAAATAAAGAATAGTAATGCATTAAACATTGTAAAAAACGATTGCATTTTTGGTGAAAATGGGGTTAACATCTTTGAAAAAGTGTGTTGATGGGTTAATTGCTAGTTTAATATCTCCGAGTTTGTTTGAATTTATTATTACTGTGCATAATTTTCTTTGAGATAATGAATTGATCTAAAAGATAAACTTGTCTTCATTGTCAGAAAATAGTCATAATGATTAATCCAAGATATAACCTTCTGAAATTGTTTGCGATAATCCTCGGGCTCCTTTGGAAGATTTATTTCTTCAAGAGAAAATTCACAACTGAATTGCTAAATGAATAGGCGCAGTGCATGGCAAAATATGTTAGGTCTTCTCACATGTCTCACAAATCGGGAGTCAGCCCCTATTGGTAGTAGGCTCAAAGGATATAGGCCTTTATTGAGCCTAGACACAGAAGAGGTAATCTGGCAGAGGTCCATGGGTCTTCTAGTATTTTTTTGAACTGATACGCTTCTAAGATATGATATCTATTAAAAAAGGCGCATCATCACCAACGTGCAAAAGTCAATATTTTTGCTATAAATCAGGCAACAATGGTCTACACGACCTATAATAAATAGGTAACTTATAAGGGACGTTATTATCACAACTTGAACACTAATGACATTACTCACTTTTTAAAGTTAGTTTCCATGCGTTATATACAAAAAATAATCGAAATAAATTAATATTGGATGGAAGGGGGGGGGTGGATGGAGGGGGTGGATGGAGTGGGGGGACTGTAACGTGTATATAAGACATGATAAGACATGCTACTTGAATTTATTCTTATAACTCCAAATTTTCCCATTTTTCATTCTCCAGAGATATAATATCCAGTTTCTTACTGGGGTACTGAGTTTAGTTTAGTCAAATACACGAGTTCTTTTGAATTTGTTCCATCGTCAAGACATATAACTCCCCCCCCCCCTCCATCCATGATGATTGAAACGAATTTCATTTAACCCGGCCCAGGTCAGCAGGCGTTCACAATAAGATAAAAGTAAGTTCTAATTTAATACTAACCGGCGTTGTCCCGTAGCCTACGTCAACTTAGCTTACTTCTGTCGGCCAGACTGCTGACGAGTACGACTACCAATGAATCAGCGTTGCATATGATCATATGATTTTAAGCGTCTGTTTTTACCTTTAAAGTCATAGAATAAATGACGTCTCCCCAGTCACAATGATATGACGAAATCAACATGTAAGCGAATTTTGAATTTCGCGGGTAAATAAGTTGCTGTGGCGTAATTGCGCAGACCGGAAGTGAACAGAAATTTTGCAAAAATCAATTTTTATTATCTGTTGCTGTTTGGAGCATTTTTAGAACTAGATGGGTGGGGAGTTGATCGTATGGCCACAGGTAATCCTGTTTGGTGACTCAATTACTCAGGTAAGATAGCTCAAGGACGTCCTTGTTTATCCCGTGCCAGGACTGCCATAGACAGAATCTGACATTTTTTGCTGGCTAGATTTTTTTGTAGGCCCATTAACTGTTTTATTGCGTCAGTAGAGCCACAAAAATAAGAAATCAGTAGACCTTACTTCGGTCCAAAGCCTTCTCTATATTCCGGCTTTGAGGAGGAAGATTGAGCTGCCTTAGTATTATAAATATTGTAAATCATTGTGTCACACGCACAGTAAATATGGCATAATAATATGAAATATACCTTTATGTATAGATTTGAAGAACATCAGCTCACATCCCCGTCTGAATCTATTGTTATATTTGATTTCTTTAAGCGAGAATAATTTCAAATGTTATTCACGTCCAGAACCGGAAGCCATTTTTAGCTACAGCGAGAAAATTTCACCATGTGTCAAACTCCGAAATGAAATTTTGAAATATCTAAATCCAGACAAGCAACGCTTCATCCTAAATATGATTAATATTCTTAAAAATATTTATAAAATTTATTAAAAATGAGTTCTAGGTGCGTGTAGGTGCGTATAGCACAGTACATACGAAATCAATGAAGTTTCGTCTAGCTGTAAGCTAGAGACTCGAGTAAAGTAGACCATACCTCAGATTATTTGGTTTTTGTGCAATAATAAGCCCTCCTGTATATTTAAAGATTTTCAGCCATGTTAGGCCAGGGTGCATGTTAAACTACCTTCTATTCATGCTTAGTTCAAAAATAGAACAACCAGATAAGGTTTTAAACCATGAATGGGACTAAAGCCAAAAGAAATCTTTTTGGAACCATTTTATCGGCTGTGAAGTACAGTGTGCCTTTAAAACTGATTCTGGATGACTGTTTTTATTAAGATTTGTTTGGGTTACCACATACTCATGTAAAAAGAGTAGATTGCATGTCAATTTGGAAAAGCTTTAATACAGCTTTTGTTCTATATTTTTAGTTCAACTATGGCAATGATGGATGTTGGGGTGCTTTGCTAGCAGATCAGTTAGTCAGGTAAACAAAGATGGACTATATTGCTCAAAGATTCAATTAAAGACACGTACATATCAACATGGTATAAAGAAAAACAGAAAAGTACACAAAGTACTAACATTTTTGTATTGTTCTCATTTCAGAAAATGTGATGTGGTCAATAGGGGATTCTCTGGCTATAACACAAGGTGGAACAAAGTTATTCTTCCGAGAATAATACAGAAAGAAAATGCTTCAAACATTGCAGTATTTGTGCTATTCCTCGGGGCTAATGACTCCAACAAAGCTGAGCTTAATCCTATGCAGCATGTGCCTTTAACAGAATTCAAAGAAAACATAATCAAAATGTTAGAATACCTTGGGGTGAGTGATTCAATTTATGACTCCACAGGGAGAGTTTCACTATAAATATGTACAGAAATTATTGTATTATTGAATAAATGTATTGATTCATTTTAAAGAACAGCAAAACCTTGCAGCATGTTTTGTTTGTGTAATATTTAGGGGGCTTCTAAGGCATCAAATTTAGACCAATTTTAGATGATATTCTTGTATAATGGGAGGTATTATTTTAGTGCACAATCACCTTAAAATTACCTTAAAAGAATATTTTAGGATTTTATTGCATGGTCCATGTACATATTATTAATTTGGAATATTTGGAATACTGCAACTTATTATGTTTTTCAGAGTGTAGGGGTTGGAAAGGAGAAAATTATTATAGTCAGTCCACCAGCTTCTGATGAGAGTGCATGGGAGGTTGAGTGCATTAAAAAAGGTAAACTTATGGCCTAGTCACATAGCCCGGCCGATGAGGTTACGATGAGCCAGCGATGCAATTTTCACCGAACTCGGCCGAACACCGGCCGGACATCCGTGGCGTTTGTTGCTTAAAACCGCATCGGTGGTAGCTCGGTGAAATTTTAACTTCGGAGTTAAATTTCACCGGGCTCTCACCGAGCTCCCTCATCATGTCATCGCAGCCCCATCGTAACCACATCGGAAAACACGTCGGCCGGTGCACGGGCCGAGTATCGGCCGGTGTCCCGTGCATCTGAGACAACCAGAGGACGAGGTTTTTTAACGGACAGCGGCCGAGCTCCGGCCGATGTGGGACAGAGCATCGGCCGGTCACTGTTCAAAGCCCGTTAACAACCCGGCCGGCGATCGCACGGTGTCCTGTTACCTGCTCGGGTACCGGCCGTATTCCTTCCGATGTCCGGCCGACCTCCGGCCGGTAGTTGCTGCCACATCGGCAGAAAAAAACTACCATTTTGAGACTAACTCCGTACGGTCACCGGCCGGTGTTCGGTCGGTCGCCTGAAGATGTCCGGACGGAGTCCGTTCACGTCACCGAGCTCTGCTTCCGATTAGGAGAGCTCGGTGGCACCAAAAAAATCCACCGAGCTCTACCGATGCCGGACATCGGCCGGGCTATGTGACTAGGCCATAAAAAAGATCATGGACATAAACTTCTCATTCTTAAGAATTGGTCAATCAATTGTTGAAGCCAATAACCCAGATGCGAGTAGAAATAATCTTGATTTACGTCATTAAAAATTCAGTCAAAGTAATATCATATTTGAAATCTACATGTAAAATTATATCTAAAAATGTGGTTTTAAAAAGTGTTTATCAACTTTGAAAAATTAATTTTCTTTGAAAATGTGATTTCTAGCTCGGGGAGATTCTCCATAGACCCCATGCTATAAAACCACAAAAAATGAAATATCTTTTCTTTTAGTGGACAGATAATATTTTGCTTTACTGGACGTATTTTCATTAGTATAAGTATCCGACACATAAGGGTTATATGAAAATTGAGCCACTTAAATTGATAATATTCAAGTTTAAGGGAACTTTCTTATATACCTGCCATGTTAATTGACCCGAATCAGCCACCTGGTGGTGAAATTGGTAACTACTTACTCGCATTTGGGTAATTATATAATGACATCATAGTGCGAGCACAATGGATATTTTTAATGACCCCAAGAGGATTAATCAAAATGCTACAGGCGCATGCATGGTTTGAACATTTTGTATTTTACTGAGATTATCACTTATAAACAATTTTGGGGAATTTGGATGTTTATTACAAAAAAGTTTACATACTTTGCATACTATGTTACTAATTTACGACTACTTGGCCAAAACAAATTTTGGAAAATCTTAAATGTGAAGGCAAATAGGCTTTTTAATACAGTAAACCTGTGTACAGTGAATAAAAATGTGTTCACTACAGAGAGAATGATTTATACAGAACTCAGTGGAGTATGTGCTGAAAAGAGATGTTCACTAGGTAAAGGTGTTCACTAGAGAGAGGTATTCACTAAGACAGGTTTTACTGTCGTAAACTAATTGTTAAAAGAAATGTATTGGCATTATTTCAGGGGAAATTATGGATTTTTCATTGTGCAACGTTCATTCAATGTTAATGTGCTTTAATCATGTTCCCCTTGTTTTGTATCCATCCTTTGGTTGAAACATCTGAACAACATCTGAAAGGCTAAAATTGATTAAAAGCAAAAGGAAGTCAATTCAGTGTATTGGAACCCCATGTTTATTCAACCCTTTAAAAATATACAAGAGTACATGTAGTTACATAGATTTGAATTCATAAAATATCTCTGATTTTCAGACAGACCTCAGACAAAGTGCAATTTAATGGCAGGAGAATATGCAGAAGGTTGTGAAGAGGTGGCTGCTAAATGTGGGGTGACATGTGTACAACTTTACAAAGCTATGATGAAGAGGCCGGTAAATACATTTACATATGTACATATTTGTACTTGAAATCACAAAAATCAGGGTAGTTTGAAGAAAACCATTGAAAATCTGGGTTCTTTTTCATGTAAATTGGGAGAAATTGGGGTTTCTAAAATAGGATTTCTTCAAATATCGGGAGAAAAAGGGGTAACAAAAACCAAATAGACTATTCAAAAACTTGGTTTATATAACTCTGATAACCGAAGATAATAATATTACTTTATGCCGAGTTTTACTCTATCGTCTATGGAAGAGCTAGTGTAATCTAAAAACCCTGCAGGGAATAAGTATTGAAATACTATGGGGAAAAAATCTGTGAATGAAGAAGTAAAGATCAGTAAAGGAGGATATTTTTTATTTCAGGATTGGCGAAATATGCTCAATGATGGACTGCACCTCTCCAGAGAGGGCTCTATTTTCCTTCATTCCATGCTTGAGCCCCTCATAGAGGAGTGCACATCCAAGCTACCTTACATTCTACCAGGATGGGCCAGTGTTGACAACACCAACCCCCAAGCATCACTGCTAGGCTCACCTTATCACGAACAGATATAATACCTCTCAGGGATAATACAATTGTTCACAATATTACAATGTATTTAAAGGGACAAAGTGCGTAAATGAAGTCTCACTTTTGATCTTCATAGTATTTCCAATGAATTAATAAGTATCTGATCTTTCATTTGACACCAAAAACAGCTCAAACAGACCACATCAGAGTTGACACTAGATCATGAAAAAATATTATTGATCTATCAATTTATAGATGTCAACTTTTTGACAATGCCATAGAAAGATGGCATTGTTGTTTGCATTATTGTCCATTCAATTTGATAGGGTTTTCAACTATACGCTATCTTTTAGTCCAAGAGTTATTTAAAAACATACACTTTGTGAAAAGTGGTAATTCACTTCTTTTGATCTCTGAACTTGAAATGCTGTTTTCTATGCGAGTGTTTTTTTTTCATTTCAGTATTGACCCAAATTAAAGTTTTTATCATATTTGATTGACTGTGTGAGTGACATGTCTCAAATAATATTTTGTAATTTTTTTTTCAAAAATAAGCGCATTGCCTATTTAATATACATCTTGTTAGGGTGAAACCCAACTTCCTCAGGTAAACTTTTGAAAAGATGCATCTTGGCAGAAAAGTGGAAATGACAAGACAATGAGAGAAAATTTGTAGACAATTTAATTAGTAAATGTTTTCATGCTACAATACAGTACAGCGGGAGGTCCTTTATGAGAGAAACAGCCGTGGAAAGACCTGAGCCAAGCTAACTTTTTGAAAACTGTCACAATTTACATATATTCCTCATCATTTTTATTTGCTATGTAAGTCAAGAATTTTGGATTGCTTGCACCATTCACTCTCTTTAAACCTTTGTTGTCATTATAAAACTCTTTTAGTGATTAGTGGATAGGACTTTCACTGTAGATTAACTTTTTGTGATGAAAGTTAGAGATCAACTTGATATTCTACAAGATGCAGACTTCAGTAACAATGTGTTGCAACTTGCAATGCAAAATTAGAATGACTAGAATAGTACTTGAAATGTATACTTGTATGTCAATAATGAAGAGGAGTTTGTCATTGTGATTCCACCAGAATTAGTATAGAGCACCTTTTCGAAAGTTACAGATTAAAATTAAAATACTGGCCACACTGTTAATTGTTTGTCCATACCCATGTACCCTGTCAAAAATGGTTAAATATTCAGATAATATTAAGATAGAATCCAGAATCCGAGTGCACTGGCGATTGACCTGTACTCCGAACTGTATAACTAGAAGAGTATGAGTGAGAGATGGCAGAATACTTTAAACAGTACTTGAAGTTTACAATTGGATCAATTTTGAGGTGTTCTATCTGGACTTTTGAGGAGTTTTTAATGGATGGATTGTTGGATGGATTCAATTATATCCCATCCCACATCTGTTCCTCTTGGATAATTACTCATTAAAGGCACAATGAAGTGAAATGTATGTTAAATATGTACAGGTATCAGGATATACATGTACAGAGAAAATATTCTTGTTTCTTGTCACCATACTTTAAAGGCCCACCCAACAAGTCATCCTAAAATTATCCTCTCTGAAATAAAAAATCTGTGGAAAATCTTTTTGGATGAAAATTATTGCATATCCCATGCTAAATGATGGATTACTATTGTATACATGGAGATGGAAATGGTACATTTTTAATTGGCCAGAAATAATAAACCAATGTGGTAGACTTAGCCAAATCAAATCTTCTTGAGATTTCTGCTTCCTGCCTGGTACTAGATATAGATCATATAGTAACAAGAGACAACTATGTTTTCCATTAAGCCTAGAAACACAACAGAATTGCACAAAAATCTAGTATTTTGTTAAAGATAGTATATATTATTACACAATAAAATTGCACAAAAATCAAATATTTTACTGTTTTTTGTATGGATATGAGATTGTTTATTTTTCAATGTGAATAACAGATTTGATTAAATTTGTACAACAATAACAACATCCCATGAGAATATAGTATAACTTAATGCACCAATGCAAGCGAAAAATAAAAAAAACATCAAATTTTCATAACCATATAGCACACTGAACCCTACAATTAAAGCAGATTAGCTCAATTGTCTCACTTTATTTTAACTGGTAAAATTAATGCATATAAGTGAGGTACAATAAAACAAATGAAGCAAAGTATTTAGAACAAAATCAACATTTTACAGCTCTTTAATTACTGAAATAAAAGCTGAATTTCTTTTTTCAATTACAAATTGAAATCAAATAAAATTACATTTAGACTCTGACTTTTTGCAGTATCTACTATCCATGCTTCAAAAACTACATTTAACTTAATATTCAGGTAGGGTAACTGTATCAAATAAACAAATAATTACACAGTAAAGATCAGGTACATGAATGTTTGTCAAATTTAAAAAAAAAATAATGACAAGTAGAGGACAAAACGGCAATGTATTGTTCATATCCAGTATATTATTTTCATTAATAAGCCACATTCATGAAACTTTCATCTCTCTTCTAACTTAACCCTCCACCTGTTCACTACATTTATAAATGGAAGCACTTATACAAAATATAGAAAACTAGTCAATGACTAAAATTCAGAATTACAGGTCTATTTTGATGTACTAAAGTTATGTTTGGATACAATATGTTAGTGCTGAACATACAAAAATGAATATTTAATTATTACCAGTTTATAACACTTATTCACTGAATTTAGAATCTGAAACATCTAGGAAATTAAAAATAACTTCCCAAGCTATTCTCATTTAATCGTCCATTATGAAAGAAGTCTAAACTAAAACTGCAGAGTCATCCAATAATAACAACATCCAAACTCCCAGAGCAACACTAGGCTTTCAGTCTCTACATTATTGTATGTATTATGTATATTTCCACATAATTTTCCTTCATTCTCATCCTTTTCTTGATATATTTGAAGTTTTTTGGGTTTGGGCTATAAATTCAGCAAATATAGGGATCATACATGTCATACATACTTCTAGAGATCAAAATTCGATTATCCTATTCTGAGACACTGCATCCTCTAATACAATGATGTATATTACATTAGTAATCCTCTAAACCTCAAATCCCTCCCTTCATAATACATTTGTATGTACAATGTACTCCCTATGTAGCCTACAATGTTGCACAATCCCTTGCACAGCTAAAATACATAGGTGCCAAAATGACAGATCAAGCCGTATCTGCTTTGAAGAAAGACATAAACCATGTGATTCAAAATATAGAATACACCCCCAGATTTGAAATTGGAAGCTATGCAAGGTAATGTCACAAAAGCTGAAAATACTCTCAATGTAAAAATTATGACACGATGAGTATTACTGTAGATTGGGTTAATTTGGCGCTACTTAATTTGGCGATTTTGCCATTTTTGGCATATTGGCGGCTATTTAATTTGGCGGATATGCAAAAAAAAATTTCAAACTTACGCGCTGTTTGCTAATTACCACGTAGCATCTTTGGCTATGTTCATTTTTTCTTATGAGGACCATTGGCGATATTCACCACGTTTGTACATCTTTGTGAGATCATCCTTTACATTTTGCACCTCGATCGATGCTGCTACTATACCAAGCTTTTCCTTTCCTAGTTTTTCCCTGAGTATTAATGAGTGACTGACCAGTTCTGAGCCAATTTATGAGAGACATTTTTTCATATTTTTGGAAAAAAATAAACCGGAAGTGACCTAAATATACTGGACGAAATACCCTAGATAATTCCCGGGGATTCATTCTAAATTTTGGCGAAGATTTATATTGGCGAATTTTTCAATTTCGCCAAATTAAAGCAGGCGCCAAATTAACCCAATCTACAGTATACAATTTCATTTAAATTGATATACAGTTTTGACACTGTCGTCATGGAGTTGATGCAACCAATGCATTGCAATGTGAACAAAATTATGGTAACATGTGACCTGAAATTGCAATAAATAAATTTAATGATAAACCAGATGCAACACTGACAATCACAATGTAACAGGTTTTAGAAGCTTCCTCAATTGATACTGGGATTTCTACATTTTGATGAGATAATACTTGTCATATTATTATTTACACAGAATTATGCTCTACAGTACTGTGCTTCACCATCCATTAGCTGCTTAAATATTTACACTACATGTAATTAGGTATTACTGTACTCTCACTAATATTTGACGCTATTATATTTTGCGTTTTTGGCATTTTGGTATTTCACAGCTTTTATATTTCGCCTATAGAACTGTAGGAATTTCAAAGCTATTATATTTCGCAAATTTTCCAAAACTCGTGAAAAGCGCGAAATATAGTAGCGTGCAAAAATTACTGGGAGTACAGTATCTCATATGTTTCAAATCCAATTTAGTTCTACATGTAATTTCACTCAGTGGGTGGGTATTAAAAGGCTGCTTTGTTAAAAAATGCCAAAATCAGATTGCTATGAGAGTCCAACCTGTACAATTACAACCAGTACAAATGGAGATAAAGGTTGGATTTAATAAACCATTTTTTTAAAATTCACACTTCCAAAAATCTGATTCCATAACATGAGTGGATGGTACACGTGGAACAGAATGGATAGGATTTTAGTAAAGAATATGTAACGTTTGAGATGACCCCTATTTAATTTAATACTTAGGCATTATTGTTGCTATATAAAAAAGGTCTGAATAAACCTCATTTCAAAATGATAATCCTTGCACACCAACTTGGCATACTTGAGTATGTAAACATATTCAATCACTCAAACTATTAAACATTGATACAAATTGCAGAACATGTACATGTATAAACTGTGTATATACACAACCTCCACAACTCCATACCCCTAATAAACAATCTTAGGTTACTTGAGTACATTATCAACAACTCTCCCATTTTGTCAATTATAATTGATGTATGTCTATGAATATTAACATGTCATGCCTGAAAAATTGTTCACTGTCACAATTCGTGCAATTTTAAAATTGCGCTTAGCCTATATTTCGTTTTATTTGCTCATTGAGTTGACTTATCGACATCAAATTAATGCATGAAATTGACATTTTATTTAGCCCTATCTTGCACTGTATAACCTAGTACACCCTTTAATCGTTTACATATCATTTTATACAATAATTACATCATTGTATTATGTACACTAATTACACATGAGATGTTTGTAGCTGTTTTAGTGAATGATACAAAATGCCAGTTTTTGAAGAAATTGGAGTAAGTTGGTGTGTCTGTGTCTAAACAGACACTTGGCAATAATTAAATAATAAATATAAATACAATACAAAGCATCCTTATATCATCCACTTCAACATGTACAAAGTACTTAATAAGTTGATTTCATTTCGACCATCATACACTTACATGTGAAACTAAAATAATCTAATAATAGACAGATGAATGTAAGTCAATACAGTCAATGTTTTCATTAAATCTGACATTATTTGTGATTTTTCTAGAGTAATTCTAGAAGATCTAATGGCTTAGGTTTTGTGTATCGAATTATATCATCCATTCCAGGTTCACTGCAATTTCCAGTCTCGTGTACTATATTCCTAAAACTATGGTTAGTAAAGGCAACTATTTCATCTCTATCCAAGTGACCTAACTAAAGGCCCCTCTCCATATATATCACACCCCTCTCCAGAGATGAACTTTGAAGAAGCATTGTCTTAGAATGTAGTAGTTGAGCGTTTCACTGTACTGTATATGGTCTGACTGTAGGTTTTAAAGGAATGCACTTGGGTTAGCTTTGGGATCCTTCTGGTTTCTGTACCTCAGAGCTAGCCAAACGCCAATTATCTGAAACAGCAGGAACAATAATGATTGTAAATATGAAGTTTTAAGTCAATGTACTATTATCGGGTTGGGAATACCTCCTGATCCTACAATACACAAGCGTATAATATGCTCTTTCACATGAAAAAAATATTTATAATTAATATGACTATGAGTACACTTATCTATGCATACAAACTACAGTTTGATCCGTGTACTTCAAAATGTATGATGGGGCACAGAAAATTCAAAATCCTTCAAAAAACAAAAATTAGGTTAGTTAGAGGAATCTTAAAATATTTATTTTAAAATAGCTCTATTCACCTCATGTTTCTGACTTAATTCTACAGTTGCTTTCAATAGATGGGCAGTGTGGGGGTAAAAGGCTCATTTACTCTTTTAGTGAGAAGAATCTTGATTATATGATTTGTTTTATGAAAAAATATTCCTAAAGGATGGATGGTTTTAAACTATGTCATCTCCATTGTCCTCCATATGAAGGAGATGCAACATATTGTAATGTTGCCTAACAGACATTTCAATAAAAGACCAGCAATGGTACGGCAAATTATTTTAGACAGTCATTTGACCTAAACTTTCTGACCATAAATTTATCAATTTCTATCAACATAATATGTTTTGTTTTCCTTTTCTCATTTGAACCATGTGACAAGTTTCTTATGCCCTGTCGGTAAGTTCTGAAAGGAGGAAGGGCAGTGAAATGCAATGAGGTTGAAAACGACAAGTCACCGCTTATTTTTCCATATGGAAAACTCATGAGGTCCATTATTTTCAGCCTAATTTTGCTCACCAAAATTTGATATCTTCCAAACTAGACTTTCTATGTCATTTTACCTTTAAAGAAATGAGAAAAACAAGATATTTAGAAAATATGTTGATGTTAGGATCCTAATCCATGGTTTTTCAAAGAGTCGGATTGATCATTTTATTATCCTGGGAACCCTAACTGGTGGCATCAAAGATATGACTGTCTAAAATAATTCGCCATACCATACCTGGTCCTTTGAGTGTAAGATCCCAGAAGCCATTTCTTGAAGGGGCCCGGTGTTCTTTATTTAGAACAGGTATAAACATAATATGCATAGTCAAACAAGCACAAAGCACTGCCTTAATACATGAGTCAAAGTAACTGATAGAGAATTATAATAGAATGAATTTTTTGATACAAACCTTACACAATACCTATGTGTGTCCCTGTTTCAAAAATTATTTTTGAAACAAGTATAAACTGACAGGTTCTGCATAATTAACAGGTTAACATATACATTGTACATGTATACCTTTCATTGAATTACATGTGTATTTAACAACAATCAAATCATTCAATATTAGACAAAATCAAAATATTCCCATCACCTCATGTTGTGCTAAAAACTTTTGTTACTGGTCAGTAAAGGTGGTAAAAGGTAGTTTATGGGTAAAAGTCAGACATATAGTTAACAGGTAAGAGAAAGTCATCTTACAAAATGGCGGAAGTCAAACTATGATTTTTGGGTTTCATTGAATTCAACCTATTTCTTTTGTCCTGGTCAATGTAGATACTGCTTAGGTTTTCAAAGTGTATAAATAAACCATTTACCCAGTCATATGATTTTGAATTGTTTTTTATCTATTGTAGGACATTTGAAAAGGTGCAATGAAGGACAGAGATAATTTGAGTGTTACATTTAAAAAATATTTGAAAATATTTACTGCTCACCATATTCATTGTCATCATATCTTATTTTATTAAAATGACAACTTTATTTCATGCTGGTGCTTTCAGTTTATTTGGGGAATCATTTTGATAATCCATCTTCAAGATTCCTTCTCAAGCAGAGGCTCTCTTTAAAGAGGCCTCTGAAATTTGGACAAAATCTGATAAGTCATATTTAAGTTAAAAATTACATTTTTTCATACAGTTCATTTTGAATTCAGTTAAAATGATCAAAATTTATTCTGAAACAGATGTGTTATGTTCCTAAAACAACAGCGCATAAAATGGCTACTATTTTCAATTAAGCAGCCATATTGGGAATTCTTTTTCAAGCAGAGGTCCAATGCCAATACAGCATCAGACTATAAAAGTTGAACCCAATATGTTGATCAGTATGTGAGTTATTCTAAACAGACAGATGAAAAAAAGACGGAAAAATCTACAGAATCTTCAGAATTCCTTCAGTGGAATAATAAAAGATTTGTCATCTTTACAAGCATATAGAAATATGTAATGCTACAATTATAAATTCTATAACTTTTTGAAATAAGAATGGTTATCACACAAACAAAGCCACCACCACCAAAGCAACCATCACCATATATATGAAGCTAGAAGGGTTAATCCTAAAGCCTGTTACCTATATGTATGTACCTGTACTTGACTTATAGTTATAAGAAAGCACTGGGATTGGCCCGTGGATCTTTCTGATTACGGAACCGAACTGTTAACCAAACACCTAGTATCTGAAATAGGAATCACCACCCTTATGACATTCCAAAAATCTCTTCATATACCATCTATTTACTGTATATTTTCACATTTCTTCCATAAACTTGTTGAGCTTTCTCTGACAAGTCTGGATTTGGCTTATACAGAACGAAGCTTATCATATATCTGTATAGTGATCTCCCTAGCATTAGAGTTATCAGGTACTGCACCATCTTGAAAATTCGAAAAATTCAATGAAACCATGTAGAAAATCTGTATGAAAGAATATTGAGATATTTGGTAAAATAATGGGGAAATCACTGTACTGTACATCTCACCAGAGAAAATTGCAATATTTTTCCAAAAATGACATCAGAGGTGCAATGAAGCTGCAATGCAAAAAACAGATTGGAGGCTCGTCATTCACATTGACCAAAAAAGTTTATTTAGACAATTTAATGTAAATAATAATTTATCTTTCAATGTCGTTAATTGTAACAATAATGTCATTAAATGATCTAATCTTGGCAAGAATTTTGTAAAAGATGCACCTATTGCTATTAATAAGGATGGTGAATGATTCAAACAAACAGCCATGCAACTTTCTCTGGAATCAGATATACCTGATAGTTTTCTTTCTTCCCACATGTTTATTCTAAAGTTCAAGCCTTTATCAACCATTAAGAAATAAGTATTCCCCAACTGTAGATTATACATTATAAGTGTCTTGCAACCTTGAATAAAAATCCCTTTGACCACCAATTTATTCAAAACAAAAAAAAACATCCGTTTATGGAAAAGCTGTCTATGTAGACTGCTCTATGAACATGCTAGCAGTCCAGTATACAGTAAGATGGTACAAACAGGCATGTTACTTTGTTAGTTCAGCAAATTGATGAGTAATAATAGAAATTGCATTGTGAAAAAGACAATGAAGGAAGAATATGTTTACTTCCTTCTGCATGACTTGTATTATATTCTACTTATTAAAATAACTGAAATATGCTGTTAAAAAGTGAAGCATAAAACAAAACTTTGATTAGTACATGTGAAGTTTATGTTGTATCTGAATAGACTTACCTCTGTGAAACTAAAGAATAGTCCTATACCCCCAGTTATTTTTAATGCTGAATCCATGTGTTTTTCTAGTTTATTCCAACACTGGCTACAAGGACAATTTAAATCTGTTGTGGTTTCATTTTTACCAGAGCAACATTTGGCGTCACTGCTTTTGCAACAATCTGCCTGGAATAAAGGATGCAATAAAAATGTTAATTTCTAATTCAGATACAAGAAACAGTTTGAACAAATCTATATGACTTATTTGGATAATTGCAACTCCCAGAAAATATGAGGAATTATCTGCACAATAATTAGAACTAAAATCTAAAGTCTACTTCCTAAAATAATTATAGTTCTGATATACACTAGACAAAAAGCCACCCTCTAATTATGTCACATTTCATTTAATCAGACAGATTCTTTAATTTAATGACTGTTGAAGGTTTAATGGTTTATTCACAACATGTAAGTCACCCCTTCCTCTTATATTATCTCTATTACAATCAATTATTTATTTATTATAGAGAATGTAAGAGATTGGGACAAGGGCGTTACAATACCCGGGAATTTATCGGTTCGTGCAGTACTTGTTTGTGATAGCGCCCTCTGTAGGTCACTGTGCTTATAGCCTACAGTAATACGGGGTAGGATATCGGGAATTCGGTCAGTTTCTATCCGTCGATTTCGCTATGAATTGAAGCAAGTGTGACCACTTTATCCACTTAAACAATTTGATAATTGATTAAATATTTAAACAAAATCGATAAACACGTTATACACTTCCTATCTCCTTAGAAATTAGCATGTATTTATGGATTGTGTTTTCGAACAAGGCTCGACCCAAACCAATAGGGAAATCCTTATGCTAATTAGTATGACGTCATATTTTCCTGGGGAATCCTAGATTTCAAAGCCTCAGTCTGTTATTGTGTCAAATGTAAACGCTCTTTTGCAGACAGAAAATTGACAGATTAGCTTTTAACTTTCAGCTTTGATGTTTAAATAATCTGTATTTCTACCGGACTTCTTGCTGAATATCATATAATGTTATAACTTGATTTGGATCATTGCCTGATTGCTCATTCTGAAATTTTGATTGTGATTCATGATTGATTGGCAAGTAAAATAATTCCTATTGTTTTCCAGCGAAGTCAAAATGTTACAGCATGAGTTATAATGTCGAGTTTGCATCATGTTAAATTCTGCTAGTGATTAGAAGTCCATGCACAAGCATACACATAAGAGACAAACACACCCAGGCTCCAGGCCGTGGAGTGGAAATATAAAACTATTTAAGGCACAAACTGGTATTAATAGACCGATATGTAGTGTCTGCCATGTATTGAAGGTAAACCAATCTGCATTATTAATGTTTCTTCTATCAATACATGGATTGTGCAATGGAAAAGCAATGGCACAATCAAAAATGTGCATATCAATCGTGAATATCTCTCGGTTCAAAGCTTATTTCCAACAGAATCGTGTCAAAATATGTGTCTGAGTAACAGTTATACATTATAAGATCGCAAACTCTTACCAATTATCAGCCGAATGGCTCATTTTCAACGAAATGTCCTTAAGACAACAGCCCTGGGTCGCGCCTGAGACCAAAAACTATTTCAAATAGCCCTCCCCTAATTATATTGGATAATCACATTTATGCGTGCGCGCGCAGCTCATCCACTGAACGAAACGCCACTTCCCGCTGAAATCACCGGGTATTGATCTTTCCCTTGATTGGGATGACTTACTCCCATGATTCACAACTAGCTCACTCACCACATTGCCACATTTTGGATGCCCCATTGGTTCATCAATTAAATTTTGTTCTTTAAAACCGCAACAATCAAATGTTTTCTGTACTTCTGTTTTCATCGAAACTGAGGATTTCATCCAACCCTGGGTTGCAATATTTTCTTGCTGCACTGTGTTGACAGCCAGACAAGCACATGCTATTGCAAATTGTATGAGGAATAATAGGAATAGGATGATCATATACTAATAAAATGTTAAGGAATATAATAGCAACTTCTGCATTGTACATCCAAAAATTAATTGTAAATACCATTTTTATATACCTACATGTAACATAATATAAGTGCTTTCTTTCATTTGTAGTCTAGATGTCATTTTAAGTATTTCTGTTAAACCGCACCATATACCCACTAGGGTGTCCAGCGGATTGTTTTTAGAGTGTATATTATATAAGAATTATGAAATAAATAAATTGCATTGAAAAAAAATTGAAAAACTGCCAACTAGAACAGTGGCCTTATATTAACTGCCAACTAGAACAGTGGCCTTATATTAACTGCCAACTAGAACATTGGCCTTATATCAACTGCCAACTAGAACATTGGCCTTGTATCAACTGCCAACTAGAACATTGGCCTTGTATCAACTGCCAACTAGAACATTGGCCTTGTATCAACTGCCAACTAGAACATTGGCCTTATATCAACTGCCAGCTAGAACATTGGCCTTATATCAACTGCCAACTAGAACATTGGCCTTATATCAACTGCCAGCTAGAACATTGGCCTTGTATCAATTGCCAACTAGAACATTGGCCTTATATCAACTGCCAACTAGAACATTGGCCTTGTATCAACTGCCAACTAGAACATTGGCCTTATATCAACTGCCAGCTAGAACATTGGCCTTGTATCAATTGCCAACTAGAACATTGGCCTTATATCAACTGCCAACTAGAACATTGGCCTTATATCAACTGCCAACTAGAACATTGGCCTTATGTCAACTGCCAACTAGAACATTGGCCTTATATTAACTGCCAACTAGAACATTGGCCTTATATCAACTGCCAGCTAGAACATTGGCCTTGTATCAATTGCCAACTAGAAAATTGGCCTTATATCAACTGCCAACTAGAACATTGGCCTTATATTAACTGCCAACTAGAACATTGGCCTTATATCAACTGCCAGCTAGAACATTGGCCTTGTATCAATTGCCAACTAGAAAATTGGCCTTATATCAACATCTACATGTAAAATTGAACATTTGAACACTGAACTAACCAGATAACAAATGATTTTTTCTACATTTTGTATTTGGAAAGGATACAAAAAAGAGTAAGACTTGATGGTGTTTTACAGCTCCTACCAGCCCAATGATAGCTACCAATAGAAGGAATACTCCACAGGCTATGACACCACCTATCACTGTTATATCTGTAACTATAGCAACTGCACGTGCTGTGGCAGCAACACCTATCAGGATAAAGGAGACTAGCTGAAAATATAAAGAAAATCATTATTGTAAAGTAATATATATGCTCATTACTGTACTTCTACTTTTAATTTGGTGCAACTTATTTTGGCAGATTTGCTGTTCTGAACATTTGAAGGCTACTTAATTTGGGGAACTCACAATGTTGAAATGTCAGGCCCGTAGCCAGAGGAGGAGCTGGGGGAGCTGAAGCTCCCCCCTTGGCCAGAAATTCTTTCAAAATCATGCAGTTTTTTACCATTCTGAGAATTTTTCGCATGATTTTTAGCCAAAATTAGAAAGAAATAGACAGCCAAATTAAAATGGCCGCTAAATTAAGTAGAAATACAGAATAAACAAATTACAGTTCCAAATTATAACCATTTTTCATTGATGTCCATCCAATGCCAATGCTACTGCCGATGCTACCCAATGTCAGTCAAAAAATATTGGCTGTAACAATATGTCACATTTTCTTGGTTGAGGCATATACGCAATCAGTTGTGGATATCAAGAGTAATACAAAGAACATAGGACACCTTCAAAAGTACATGGAACATTTTTAGATTGTGGAACGATTATCTTGCTTAATGTGTCAACTTGAAAATGTTCAGACTCAAATTGATTCTTCTAGCCCCACCTTAACAGGTGCGCCATACTGCCATATTTGACTCATAAAATGAATATACTGTACAGGTATGCATGTTTCTGACTGCTGTTCACTTGAAAATGTGAGACCCAGTATCTACACTCTGCATCTTACATGTAGTATGAGCTGGATGCTAAGATCCTAAACCTGTATTCTACAGCTAGTAGCTAGATGCATAATCTAATATTGGATCTTGCTAATCTGGCCGTAGCCTGATTAAAGTGGTAATTACATAGTGACATTCGAATAAACTAAATCATGAACATTATATAGAATGGAGATGACATCTGTTTATTGATTTTTAGAATACAAATTGGATGTGGGCATAATTAGTATCTTGAAAGCCTCCAATATTATTATATAATTAGTATCACAAGTTTTGTTAAATTTGATATGCTATAATCGTCACAATGACCTTATTTTGGAAAACTCACTTTTCAATAATTTCCCTAAAATTGAATTCTACCAACTGAACTCACTCTATTGAGATTTTAAAAATAAATTTGCACTCACTTCAAAACCTAATTGCAACAACTTGAAAATGAGAAAAATCATTAAAATTACCATACTGTCACAAACTTAAGACCCACTTGGGGAAGAGACTACTACAGCTGTATTAGATACTACCTATCAGATATGAACTCAAGTGGCAAAATTAGACCTAAAAATACTTTGATTTGCCAGCATTAAGCAGTACCAGGTGAAACACTTAAAGTATTTTGCAATTTAAATTTTTGATTTACATCTGCACTTTAATCATGTTAATATGCATTTAGTATTGTCAATAAGTTTTCAGTGGGTATACTAATTTAGCCCTCAGTACTCACTTGTATGCAGATGGTATATATGTTGTATGCCAAATGAACAATCTCTGTAGCTTAAATTCGATCACTTCTTGTGTGTTTTTTGTTTAGAAATAAGACCAAAAATCCCAATTAAAATTCTGAAGTGAACAAAATGATGGGTGTTTGAATTAGAATTTTGTAATCATGACATGCCCAATGCTCATATTAGGTAGAATACTGAGATTACATTCTGCGAGCCTATCTTCCTTAAAATTCAGCTGTCATCTCAAAAATTTCTTCTCAAGCAGCACTCCTTTGTCCCTTGGTATCCATATAAAATTTGAACAGACCTGCTGTGTTCTTGGGCATCATCATGTAAAATTTGAACCAACTTTGTTCACTGGTATTTGAGCTATCAAAGATTAAGTTTTTTTACGAAAAATGGCAGCCATTATAAAATTCTTTAAAAACTCTTGTTGATCAAAGCTGCTTTGATGCTACTAGGTATCAGCAGATAAAAGAACAGGTCCATTTAACAGACTATTGGTCCACTTAGACTTTTTCTGAAAAACTCATTCTTCCATTTACTTTTAAAACCGATTGCAAGTTGTAGATAAACCTTTCTTCTTGAGATGTGCAATTTCAAAAAGTGGCATAAGTTCTCCTTTCTTAGAAAAATTGGCAGTAAGAACCCCTATCACAAGGCTGTCTGAATATGGGTACACTTTATGTTTACCATCAAAATAATATCAAAACTTATCATTATATAGAATTTAATATATGGAACATATGGCATACAAGTATTCGGAGAAGAAAATTGACAAAATCAAGCAATGTATGTAGTTTACCTATGGAAATCTAGAAAACATTGTCATTTTTCGTTCACTTTGTTATCAAGTTTTAGCATGGTGCTCATTCCCTTTCATTGAAAAATTAACCATCAGCCCACACTCCCACAAAAAATATATTGAAACTGTATAATGCAGAGACTGTAAAGTAACTTCTCTGCAAATATCATTTTTGTGGGAGTTTGGGGTCACCACTAAAACTTAACTTTTGTGATGAAAATAAGCCTGACTGGTTTATGTTTTCAATATGGCTGCTAACCTGGGCATACATGTACACTACATAACTGCATGTACAGATTAGGCCATCCAAAATTAATTATATGTTGGCATTCTGATGAAGAGCCTTATATTAAAAACTACAAAGCCTTCATTTATTTAAAGGGTTTTATATATTATTTAAGAGTGAAAATGCAATAACACATTGTGCCAAAGCAAGTAACACCTCTTGAGTTCAGATGACCTTGTTAATGAAGTTTATATACATGTAGTTTTTAATCAATCTTGGAATTCCTTTCGCTACAATATAATCCAAGATCACAATTCCCTTTGTCATTTATATACATTACAAGTAGAGAGTACATGGGGACATTTTGATTTTTCTGAAAACATAGAATTTAGTGTCATTATTATTAGAAAATATTTGAATGGCCTAAGTGTTTTTCTAAATAGGGAATAAGTAGAAATTATTTTAGGCAATCCTTTGAGTGTCATGCCATTCATACATGATGCTGCCTTATATTTTATGATATATATTGAGAGAGGATTTCTCTGAATTATTTGTGTTTCAAATATGGTAACTGCAAATTGGCAAATAACTTTAAAAGTAAGTGTACATTCAAACATTTTAATTTCAAATGCCAAATAAAATGCCAAATGCCAATGGGCATTTAGTAAAAGTGACCCTATAACTATTTAGAATATGGCAAACATGTTTAGAAAACTGGCGAGAAGCAATTGAAATAAGAAAATCCATTCTTTTTGAAGTGCCCTTGTGTGCATTTAATTTCAGTCATTTTATCCAAATTGCCCATGGGCATTTTAAATAATAATCACATCTCAACTCTTAAAACATGCTTAGGATACTGTTAGAGTCTCAAAAGGCAACAAGAGCAATCATTTTTGAAACAAGAAAATTTAGTCCCCCTAAAAATGCCCATATCGGTATTTATTCTCAAGATTTTCAGGTAATTGCTCGTGATAATTTATTTTAAAAAAATGTATTTCTATTCACATGTCTTTTTATCAGTCACAATCAAAATAAAGCCAATTGCTCTCATTTCTTGGATTAGAAACAGTAAAATTTTGACAAAAATAGCAACTTGACCTTTAAACCACCCTAGTGTCAAGGTCAAATGTCAAAACTCTCAGATATCACATTTTAAGTAATGAGTCATACTTCCTCTTCAATTCCATGTCAATATATACTTGTTTTGTAGGGGGGCTAAAAGAGGGGTTTACCGCCACCTGTCCTTTTAACCAAATCCATCAAATAGTATATTTGAGCTCAAAATTTACATTTTTATGAAAAATGGTGGCCATTTTGAATTGAGTGGCCATATTGAAAATTCCTTCTCGAGGAGAGGTCCTAAACACATAAGACATAAGATGGATGAACTGCTTCTCTATATCCCTTTGTTTGGTGGGAAAATAAGAACATTGCATGTTGAAACACATGTCAAAGAAACTTGATGTCAATAAATACAAACTACATGTATTTACCTAAATCGAGCCTCTAGGTAATTCTTGGCTAGAAGTAATTTCATTTGGAACACCGTGAACCATTTGAAAAAACCTGGCCAGTGTGTTATAAATTATTATCAAATATTTTTAAAATCGCCAGATAAATAAATCATGAACTAGATAACGGCAACTCCGCGGAGTAGCAAATCCCAACGAACAAAATATCAATTACCGAATTCCAATCAATTATACTCATTACTTTGGTTAAAATTGAAAAAATTAGATTTTAGAATTGTGAATTCCTGCAAAGCAGCCATTTTAAATTTTCTGAGGTACAAATCTGAAAAATAATACCATAATTGTGATCTACTCCAAAAATCCTTCAATTTGAGTATAATATAGCCATACTTTGAAGGGATCGAAAAATTATTGCGAAATTGTACATTAGACGGCCATTTTGAATTTTACGAGGCTCGAATCGGAAAAAAGATACAATATTTGCAATCTACTCTCCGTCTACCAGTATTCGAGTTATCTTCCGGACGGACAAACGGACGGACGGACTGACGGACGGACTGACTGACGGACGGAGGGCTTCACTATATCCCTACCGAACTTCGTTCGTTGGGATAATTATAATGGAACTGGCCGGGCTCCTTAATGAGATATTCTATGATTTCGTCAGGATTTTATCTAAAATTAAAATAAACCGCTCTAAGGAAAAAGGCGATATTCGAAATCTGGACAAAATGTTGTTATTGTCTGACATTAGTAACTGGCTGTAAATTCTAAGTTAGCGATCCAGAAGATGTGAACTAATACATTGATCACTTCATGTGTGTTTTAGAATTTTTGGTGAGGTAATAAGACCAAAACTCGCAATTCAAGTTGTAATGTGGAAAAATGGTGAACATTTGATTTCAAATTTTATGATTACGACATGACCCGTATACAGCACTAAAAAACATGCATGGATTTATCTTTGGACGAAGGCCACAATACAGTGTCCTTAGAAGAAGGTAAATCTAACCATGTTGATACTCAACCAATCAGAGCATACAGCATTATGATTACGCAGATGCATGACTCAAGAAAAACTTAGATTGATCGCTAGAATATTGTTGGCCATTCTCCTTGCAGTTCATTTGTGCGAATACAAATCACCTCTGAACAAATTCCTTGGAGACACAAAGGTGAATTTTATCTAAATAACCACTTATCCAGCTTACTTTCAACCACAAGATACACAAGCTACAAGTAATCAAGCTGCAAGTAGTTTAGGCCTGGGAGATCAAAATTCAACCCCATAGGCCTTACTCACGTCGAGAGCTACCATGTTAGATTTTGAAAGTATAGCTCTCCATCGTGAGGATCTCCCAGCTGAAGAATTGTAACATCTTAATTTGATCAGCGCCAGTCAACGGCTTGCTGTTTGTCTCAAACTGTAGCCTACATATGGGCTCATATGTGTCTACTTTCCCCGTGCATGTAGGATCGCGGATGTGCTTCTATGGCGATCAGGAGTTCTAATCGTTTTTTGTTCGATACCCATTTCCAATATGGCGGTTAAACGGAAATACTATCGACGCATGCGCAACTTGGGAAACGTCAAGCCGCCATATTGAATATACCTGGCCAAAACTTTTGACACGACCAATAAAATGAAGTCCTGATCGATACATAGGGCAGTGAGACGTTCTATAGTTGAGCTGAATGAAAGATGGCGATGTAGGATACATTTTCAGGTATATAATGTGCAACATGAGTCAGCTGAATTCCCTGAAATTTTCTTTGAAGTCAGGATTCTCAAGCTGTTGATCCTAGCGATAGAGAGCTATACTTTCAAAATCTAAGTAGCTCTCGACGGGAGTAACATAGGCCTATTCATGAGGGTACTTTTCGACAGCACATTTCAGCAGCAACATGGAAAGATTACATTCAATAAACATCATAAAAATATGCTTATGAGTTAAAACAAATGCGTAGAAACTTTTATATAAGCACTATGATTAGATAAGCCACGTCATTTGCACGAGATGAGCCGGCTGAAAAAAATCGAAAAATGATCATGATTGATTTTCTGAACAATAAGAAAATACTTACAATGTACACTACGTTTAACGCTACGAGCGCGTTCTTCGAACAAGTAAACCCACCACACATCGTGTTTTAGGGTTTAGTTGACCCTCGGTACACCTGTATTCTGCTGAACAGACGAAGATTGATCAAAATTGCAAAGTAAAAATTATGATGGCGATTTTAGCCTCGATTTGGAATGTGAGTCAGAGGGACCTGTCATCATGTGATAACTTTTCTCTTTCATTTTCTCTTTCATGTGATTGTATTGCCCTGATAATAGGGGAAACAGTACCAAAGGACCAGGACACAAGGCCCAGGTCTTACTAAGTTACTAATCCTACTTTGTCGTTTGTATCCGAGTGCTTTTAAAACCGTGTGTAGGGTAGTTAGCCTGTAGTTAGATCAGTCTGTTAGGTATCTACGTCAATGGTTAGATCTATGAATAATGTACTTACCATAAATAATAAATTTAACGCAATTAATGTATTTCTACTGCATTTCCAGCCCCATCGGACAAATAATGGAGCATTGTCAGGATCTGTGATACATCGAAATATTTTTGACATCTTGAAAAGTGTCTGATAAGATCTATGCGTCAATTACACAAGGTACAGTATGTCTTCTGAATATCATATCCAGTAAACATTCAGAGGCTATATCTTAACCTTTGTCTTTGATAAAGTGTTAAATGATTTGGTGTGATGACACCCAGTTAGTACTGGAGATAAATAATGACTTAATATTTAACCAGTGAACTCTTGGACCCCGGGGTCTTGGACTCTCGACTGACGGTACAATAATATTCATGACGAAGAGTGCATTGCAGGATATAAGTTATACTGAGCTTTGTAACAGATGAATAGTTGACTTTACATTTTTATCAACAATTTCTGTTATATATCTTTACAGTTTTCCAATAAAAAGCCAGATAAATAGGGTTTCCGTTTAAAACTGCATAATAGAAAATGATCGCTCCCTGAAATATAAAATACGAAAGAGCCAACTGGAGAAAAAGTAGCTCCGTGCGTTTTGACCTACATCTTAATTTTCTCATTGCTGAATTCGTAAACGAATATAGTTATTTCTCCTTGTCAAAATGCCGTTCGGAGTCAAGCCAATGTGTACAACATGCAAAACAGCCAATTCAACTATGTGGAGGAAAGGGGGAAGAGGAGAGGTGTTGTGTAACTCATGCGGATTGAAGCAATTATCACCAACCATCAAAGAATCTGATTCTCCAGAACCTCAAATTATTAATCCAACAGCGGCGGGAAAATCTAGTTCAAGTATTAATAATTCAAATAATGCAGAAAAATCAAAATCTCAGAACTCTGTGAATGAATCAACAGCAGCTACAAGGAAAAGCTCCAGAATTAAACCTCCTAGAATGAAGGGATCGTCAGGAAAGAATTTTGCTACGAAGGGTAAAAATAGGAGAGTTATCTTCAAGAAGAATGTAAGTTTTTACAGGTTTCTAGTTTTATTTATCATAACAACATTTAATGATAGAAGTTCAAAGTTTCAAAATTGATGAAAGTCTTCTGTAAACTTCCTTGACAACTTCAGCTCTGAAGAATAAGAAATTTATCTTATATTCACCACATCAACTTACCAGTATATTATCGTATCTTACCGACCACTTTATTATGTTGTTAGATCGCCAATTATATGGGTTTATCGGCAGAACGAAGAGATTTTAGTTTTTACATCGGAAATATGTCGGCAATTTTCAAAATGTCGGAAGGGGAATTCCCCAGGGATTTCCCTTATGACTGGTGCATGCCGGGAACTGAATGGAGGAATTTGACTGTTGAAATAAGTTAAATATTACACAGAATTCTAAAATACTCTGGAATGTATTGAGGTAGGTCATTTAATAGTGCAATGCGTAGTTCATTCTCCGACATTGTAGAAAGACAGGCTTACCAATGAATCGGGCATACGACCACAATCTAAAGGGGTCGTAGGATGCGATAAACCAGTATACAGTATGGGATAGGTTCTTTGATGCCCTAAGCTACAGTGTGAAACTTTGTCAACATAGCTGTTTAAGGACAATTTAAAGAAGACTATACCTTGCTTAGAAGCTAGGATTGGAAAAACCTGACTCGACTTTTGGCAGCCCATGATATAACGCTTTAGGCCATATGAATTATAACATACCTGTACATGTACATCTATAGTTAAATTCCAATAACTATAAAGCCTGTAAAAATATTTCAACATTATATATATTTTCAGCCTATTAAATCAGCAACATCTGTGGCAACAGTTGTAACAACAACCAATATATTTCACAATGTAAGTTTATATAAGATTTACTGTGTAGTATTATATAAATTAAAGAATCTCAATCTTAATTCCTTAACAATAATTATTTTGGCTTCTTTATTTATCATTGCATTCATGTAAAACAAATGGTTGGATCTTAAGAGTGAGGCTTGGGTCAGTAAAAATGAGATTATAACTGAAAGGGTGCAAAAATGATGAAATCCTCAATGATGGGATGGAAATTATGATCATGAATAGCGCAATTTTTATTGATTCCAAATTCATGCTTATTAGTTAATTCTCAAACTCAAAGTGTGGAAAGTATAGGCATATCTAAATATACTGTACGAAGATTTAATGCACATTACTATATTAAAGCTTATATCACTACTAGATCTATTGTAACTTTTTTAAGTGATTTAAGTAGACAAAAATAGGGGTATTACTTCAAGTTTTCCTTGTTTTCAGGGTATATACTATCAAGTAGGTGACATTGTATCTCTGGTAGATGATGAGGATGATGAAGGTGTGTATTACGCTCAAATACGAGGTTTCCTTCAGGATCAATACTGTGAGAAAAGTGCTGTCATTACTTGGTTGTTGCCAACATTAGAGAGTACTCCGGGACGTTTTGATCCTGCCACTTTTATCTTAGGTTTGTTGCTACGCATTAAAGTTTGTATTTATTTGCTGAAAATTAAATGGACATTTGAAAATAAAATTTCAAGTTAACATAAAATATAAGTTAATTGGTGACACTCATTCAGAATTTAATTACACTTATATGTAAGTGCTGAAGGGAAAATGAACAAAAGTCGTTACAGAACACAAGAAAAAGAAAACATCAAAGAGTACACCAGTAATAAGGAAAACTAATCCCAACTATCCCAAATCATAATACATGAATTATAGTAGTATTGTAGCAACTCCTGTTCTCTGTACTGTAGTAAAAGTGGTTTCATTGCAAAATGACATTGCTTGATTGTTGGACACACATTTAATCTGTTTAATCAGTTAATTGCACATTTAGAATTCAAAGAGGGAAAAATCAAAAATCAATTTCACATCAGTTTCACTCATTGCCTGAGGCACATGTAGTTTTGAGGCCTTGTAATAACTTTCTGTTGACAATTTCAGGGCCTGAAGAAGATATACCTAGAAAAATGGACTATTTGGACTTTGTCTGTCATGCTCCTTCAGACTACTACAAATCACGAGGTACCCCATTCTCTACTATACCTCTAAAACCAGAGCTAGCATTTATATGGACATCTATAGGACCCCAGATTAATACTCTACCAACCACTGATGAGATATTTGGAGTTAATATTAAGGAAACTCGTACACAACAGGCAGCCAAAAAAGAGCTTAAAATGGAAGGTTAAATTTACTAAAAGACTATTATAGTATGTATTGAATATGAATCCTGGGTCATTGTCATGCATCTACTTAAGACAATCTGACATAATATACTCCAATAAAAATCATAAAGCCTCCAATTTACATCATCAATAGACTTATTAGCTTCAGTCCTTATTCTATAAATACTGTATAGTTTATTTTAAAAAAATCCTTCAAGACATTTCATATACTTACATGCCTTTTTACATCATGTACATATGCATGAGCTTAGCAAGTCAACAATTGTTGATATAAAATTGAACAATAAGTGTAATACCCCATGTTTACATTTTCTCAATGTACTAGTACTGTATATTGAAGAAAAAGAACATACAGTCTGACAGTATAGTACTATATCTAGTACTAATACTAGTAATTGTAGATAATCAAATACAAAAAGAGTGATTACAATCGCCCAACAACACTGGACGAAACGTTTTACACCGAACGAAACATATCAAAAGTCCCGGTTCAAATCCCCGGGGATTTAAAAGACAAATTTCGCGACGATAAATGTTCGCGATTTTACTTCATTCGCGAACAAAGCGAAATTAAATCGCCCGCGAACAATACCCGGAGTACAGTATTTTATCATTTTTAAATTTATTCTCTTGCTACATGATTTATAACAAAAGGAAAATTTGTGCCAAACGTCTGTTGATGATGCAAGTTACAGGTTACAGGTGAGACACATTTCAATTTTGTTAAATATTGACTTGTTTCAACTTAAACAATAATGTTAAATGGAATTCTAGATCTGAATTTTTCCTGGATATTTTAAAAGAATTGGTATTTCGTGTATGAACAAAAACTGGAAAATGCTAGCTTCATATCAGCTAAAAGAGGCAAAATGTAATAATGGGGTACAACATTAAGTGTAGATTTTTGTAATCATATACTGCCCTCTTTATATGTGAACATGAAATAAGTCTCACTTCAAGCTCTTGTAACTTGTAACCCACCCATACACCCATACGCCTCACCTACAGTGTTGAAAGTGTAGAAGCATATCCCGAGAACTAATGCAAGACTAGAATTGAATTAAAAATTATATTTATGAAATAATGATTTTATTTGTAATATAACATACAAATGAAAAATGTTTACATAATATTCTGTATGTACACATAGGAATCAATTGAATGTTTTAGTTGATTCTATTATTATTGAAATATTCATAATTTATATCATCATGGCATATACACAATTTGATGAAATTAACATAAGAAAACGTATGTTTCAAATAGTTCTCATATTACATATTCAATGGTACAATGAATGATGAAACAGAAATATATTTGTATTACATAAAAGTATAAAATGTTTGATATTTACAATATATTACTACAGCATACTTTTGATGTTAGTTAATTCAACTGTACATTATAAGAATAACCATGTTTCAGAATCGAAAAATACCAAATATGTACAATACATTTTCTATCTTTTCACTTAAAGTCTTCAGGCTTGGAACATTCCTAATAAATGGCTAAACAGTTCAAAATGATGCCTATTTATAAACAATCTAATACTAATGGTGTCTGTACCATGTTATTGAATAAACTATAAAGGCAGCTGCTGAGTAGAGTAGTGCAGAAGAGAGATGTCTGTCCACCCCACATGTTGGGATGTCCCATGCGTTCTTGTCTGTCACTATTGTAGAATTCACCTCAATCCAGAATACTTCTTGTTGCCTTACAAATGTGCCTCTAAAATAAATATCAAAATTAATCAAAGATTTAATAAATTCTTTGAGATAAAAGTCCGATGGGCATACATTTGAAGTATATATTATCTATGATTATATACATTGAATTTAGCAAGTTTGAAATATACACTGTCCTTCTAACAGTGAACATTATTATAATGCTTTCATTCTGTTTTCATTCTCAAAAATCATAACATTTATTTAGGAAATGTTATTATACTGCCTATTACCATTTAGTGGAAATTTTTTACTTTTCCATCTTGTATAGTTCCTTCATCCAATGTAGACTCTAGATTCTTACAAAATTGATACAATAATCTGATTAACAATCAACTAAATGTTTGAAAATTCCATTTATTTTTTTCTCATCTTGTTTTTCAAATGTTGCTCTCACGCTTTATCATAACGAATTTGAACATATTTTATAACATATAACTGGTTGTAATACCTGAACAGCACAGGGCCAAGGTTGGCGTTTTTTGATGTCCATGAAATTGTTTCATTGATCTTCCAGTTTCGTGTTGTGTGGGTGGCAGCACTCTGCAAAATATGAGATGAAAGCTTAATAGATTTAATTGCGCACACACGTTCAATTTGGCTTGCTTGTTTCAAGTTTTGTGTCACTTATTTTTATGCTTGTATGTTTTCCATGTGGCTTGCATGCATATGGTGATGTCGAAGAGGCTCGTGGAATGTTCAATAAGGATCATAAGAAGTTGATAGTAATCAATCGCACCCCCCCCCCCTGACTGAAAGCTGCCTACGCCCCTGAATCTCTAATAAAAAGAACTACATTGAGTTCATCTAGACATTAATTATCACTTGTAAGTACATGATTTTGTTTAAGATCTTTATCAGATTAAATTGTGATGATGGTATTATAGCTCTTGTATTTGGGGTTGATTGGGAGATTGTCACAAATGTGGGAAATTGTTTTGTATCTTGAGGTTTTAAGATGATGTCATTGTACCTTTCCTGGCTATTGTATAGTGTTCAGGGTTTTTCGAACAATCTCATATGATATAGATTTTAGCGAACGTGGGGGTTATCAATGATTGCGCTGATTAGACTGTATCTTGTACTTATTGTGCTGAGGAGACCGCCATCTCCATTGGTTGTTCTACAGGAACTGATTGTACAAAAACACAACCATCCCTACATGCCCTAGTGATGATGCTACACCAGGTGCAGATATGATACAATAAAGCCCTCAGGTTCGCTACATATAATTTTAGGTCATGAGGGATATGGTAAAAATCATGGGGATATGATATATGTCATGTGAGGATATGTGATCTAGTCCCGGGGATCTAGTCGAGACTGTTTATGGGAGACGATACATGTAGTTTCGTTGCAAGCTTACCCGCTGTCTATTCCAACATGTTACCGCAGACATCCTATCATCATATGTTCGGAACTCTCCTACTGGGTCATCATGTACTCTGTAGGTGATTGGATGGGGGGCTGCCGTGGAGTACCCGGGAAATGGTGTTGTCACGGGGTCGGTTATTTCACGACATTTCACCTTCCTTGCTTGGATAAGAACTCCGGAATAGTAACCACCCCATAAAGCTCTAAGTTGAACTGAAACAGAACATTGGAAGAGTAAGAAATTGTCATAATATGAATTCATACCTTCGGAGAAATATTTTAGATAGTGAATGCCTGTTTCCTCGATTAATATGATGAGGCTAAAATCATAGGGCATCTAACAAATAAATAATGTGGAATACACTTACTATGAACTTCATCTCTGTCATGTACGTATTCATTCTTCAACGGTACTATTTCAAATGGCGGTTCTTTGGGCGAATTAGGGAGGGGTTGCCAATTCTGGGGATACTTTCCGTGCCTTGGCATCATTGTATCACATGCCTGTTGGGGTGCTCCATTTGGAAAACTCCATACTACTCCCAGAGTTCCCAGTGTAATCAACAGAGTGATATACATGTACATCTTTGTCAAAATGGTTCTGAATATAAACATATTGTATATAAGTCTTCAGGTTTTATTTGACGGATTATTCTATCTAGAAACATTACTATATCATACAATAAACATAATGCTGAATATGACCATGCTAGTATATGTCTTGTAGTTTGTTTGGTCAGTTTGGTATATTGACCAGGAAATGTAGATTGTAAAGCATAATGTTGAACTATATAATCATATTTGAATCTGATTAACAGAAATATGCTAAATAGTTTCAAAATTGGATCTTTTCAATAATGATTCGAGGAACAGTGTGTTAGTCGTAATATAAACCTTTATAAATAAGTGTTCTTTAAGTATTCAACTTATCTTTTTAGGCTTACGTACCTTTTAATAGAAAAGCAGTTGAAAGTGTGCCTTAATAATCATTCCTCCATTTTGTTTGTTAAACTACATAAATGATATCAGTTTGAACTTTGATATCATAGATCTGATTCTATAAACAATGATTCACGAATAAGGGTCAATCATTAACTAGCTTTTGCAAACCGTTGGGTATAGTTATTAGTACTGTCCTTCACACGTACAGGGTGATCAAACATAGTTGTATCCTTCATAAATATGTACTTTACAATTTTGTTTAGCAGCCTCAAAGATTTAATATATCATTGATAATGTGAGTCATTTTGCAACAGAATTTACATCTTAAATGATCAAATCGTGTTTATCTTAAATACTGTTTTATATTACGGTATTTACCATTTGGATAATTTAGCATCGTATTAATGAATTATCAATCAATCCAGACAAAATTGTTTATTTTTTATGGATGAATATATTTTGCACGCATGAATTGGTTTATCCACATAAGATTTATTCAAAATTTGGTCTAAAATTGTTGTAATATTCCCCCAATTCTGTCAGGTCCGATGAAAAGGCATCCATGAGATTCACGGTGGGATTTGTCACTCCACCCTCATTCATCTTGCGGTTGACGTACCAGGAATAGCGAAACACAAAGCTTGCTGCTTCTAATCGTGGAAGTAACTCAGCCATGTAGTTCAGTTGCCTCACTGTCGAATCTCCACCTATTGGTATAATCACCAAGATGACGATAGGTTAAAGGGAGACATTGCGTCATGACAAAGAAAAAAGGAAGAAGAATGTGGAAACAAGTCACTCACACTGTCAATTAAATGCATACAAAGCTTTTGTGCAAATATTAAGCCGTTACTAGTATACTATGTCATTTAGATAGTTGATTTCAGCGAAAACATCCATCAAACGCTAGAATGTACCTGGACACGCGAACTCAGTCAGCCATATTGGTTTCTCATATGCCAACCATAACGCCTCAAGGAAATCCATCATGCTATCAGGGTTGCACGTATAGAAATGTGTTGCGAGATAATCTACCTGACAACCCTGACATAGGTCGAAGAACTCGTTGAACCATTCGAAGGCATCTCCATGACAATTCAGCTCAGACCCACAGGGAACTGCGGCGGGAGACACCAGCTGTTTGCCGGTCCTTCGCGCCTCAGCTTCCATTTCTGGCCACACAAGAGCAGCCTCAGCTGGTGTCATATCAGCCTTTATGCAAAATATTGACGAGTTTATGTAACCAAAGGAGGACCTTACCCTACTATCACACCAAACTAGTTCTCACTACGTTCTCGAAAACGGGTTTCAACTGTGTACGAACGGACTGGACCTACTAAGAACCGTTTGAGATCTATTTACAAACGTCATCGAACGTACTCGAACGGGTAGGTCCTCTAGAACTTAGACAATGCTCAAAATGTTCTCGTGGTCGTCACGTTCTACAATTAGAACGAGTGAAAACGTACTAAAGACGAGCTGGACGCACTACGAACGGAACCGTCGTACTTCAATCCTACTAGGGACGTTTTAACAACGAGTTTAACTGTCTGAGGACGTGTTGAGAACGAGGTAGAGCTAATTGCAAACGGGTTTAAACTGATTAAGAACGTATTTAACACTGCTTATGAACGAGTTAGCAAAAATATAGCTATCACACCAAACAAGTTGCCACTGCGTTCTTCAAAACTGGTTTTAAACTGTGTGCGAACGGAATGAACGTAGCTGCAACTTTCTAAGGTCTATTTACGAACTTTATTAACGTTCTCAGACGGGAATGTGATTTTAGAATTTTGAATCGATTCAAAATTCGATGGCGACCATACCGTTCTGTAATCAGGTCATGTTGACCTTCTAGACTAAGGGACGCGTTCTACTACGTTGCACACCGACGTGGTGCGACCTGAACGAACTGCGAACGAGATGGACGTATTGAAGACTGTTTAAGAACGAAGAAGCTAATTATTCCAGACATATTTCCCGACCACAGCCAGATTGAGCCCGTTTTACGACGTTTTCGTAGGACTGGCAAGAACGGGTAAGAACTAGTTTGGTGTGATAGGGGGGTTAGTACAGGCCCGTATTCCCCGTAACCATGGTAGGTTTGGGGAATTTCTACTTGGCAGAAAATTCTTTCATTTATCCCCACCCCATGGATTTTAAAAAACCGACCCCCTCCCCTTGGCAAAAGCTGGCTAAAATGGTGATCAGGAAACATAAATAAGATAAATTGCATGAAACAATGTCATCACTTGGCCGTAATTTCAAAAGTATAACAACTTGTTACAGACGCCTATACCCGAACACTGGTCACGGTGTAATAGTCATTATGGGGCACAGATCATCCCTAGCAGGATAAAATGTGATAACAATACTCTTATATAACTCCAAGGATTAAATACTAAATAACTATGCATCACCTGTCCCCTGTGATTGGGCTCGTTGAACCCAAGAATGTAACTTCCCGTTGATGGAAATCGATCAGTGACATTTGTACGACTCCACCACTTCCATTGCATCGGGACGTACTCTATGTGATCCGGCGGTGTCCATTCAGGGTTGGCAGTGCAGTTGTTTCGTCTCTCATACATTGGCCAATGGCCCCAGTCATACCTACCTCATAGTATTTCTCAATAGATTAAAATGGCACAAATGATAAAACGTCAGGAATATGAATCAGAATATTCAACTGTCCAAGAACTGTACAAGATTGACTGGTTAGTGATCATGCAACCAAACTTGTATTCGCGAATGCAAATAGCGGCTAGCGCCTACCGGATTAAACTACTATTCATTGGCAACTCATTTAAATATGACAATCAAGTACCTGCCACTATTCCTTCATAGAATGAGTTGGTCAAAAAATAGTAGGTTAATCCGGTACCAGACAGCCGAAAGTTGCATTCACGAATACAAGCTTAGATGATATCCTCTGTAAAAGGGTAGGAGGTCCTATCAAAATATGGTCCTACTCTTCATTGATTTATATGGTGACCTCTTTCCCTTATTATCTTGTATACCCTTGGAAAACCCTTGGACAAGTCGACAAAATTCACTGATTAGCCACCATATAGATTAGGAATCTTACCACCATGTCACATCTTCGCCCCACGGACTATAGTCACTGCAGAAGTTAACGCTGGGTGTAAGTGCCGCACCTTTCTTAATTGAAGGTCTCGACTCTCCAGAAGTTAGACCTAAACAGACGAGTCCGATCATGAAAACCAAAAACATTTTTGCTTAACTGGCTATTCTTACTAAAAACAATTGTTGACTTTGGCCATGTAGTTGATAGTGTGTGAGTAATTACAGATGTTATGAACTTGAATTATATTTCTGTCACAATGAACAACTGAATATAGGTCTGCTATGTGTGAAATACTTAATAAATAGAAACATTTTGAGGAATTACTCTTTTTCTTATGCAAAATCTCTTTTTCTTATGTAAAATCACTTTTTCTTATGTAAAATCACTTTTTATGTAAAATCACTTTTTCTTATGTAAAATCACCATGGGTAGTCGTACCGAGTAATTGTGTTGATCAAAAGCATGACTGACCTCTGAATGAAATGTATCTTAGTTCCCCAAACGCCAATGCGCCGGACATCACCCACTTTACCCTTCCTTTAAAATGGATGATGATGACCGGAGCCCTGCGTCCGAAGGATGTACGCAATGCTCTTGAAATGTCGATAAATCTCCCCGTCAATTCATTTCGAGATGAAGGTTTCGACTAATCCATGCAGTAGACCTTTCCAATAAGCCCTTCCACCTTTTGGTATATCAAATAAGTTATGATATATTCACACCGGAATAGCCTGACAACGGTAAAGTCAGATATCGTTTTCACAAATGGCGGACATACTAGTAACCGTCGCTTTAACTCTCATCACTTTGTCCTCATTTCATGGGATTTTATCGTCGCTAATTCTGTGTATGTATTAAACTCTTGTTATGATGTTTCATATGAAATCCCAATTTCGTTCAAATTGGGTCGTGAATCGCCACAATATAGCGTCGATATCGTCAATGACAACGGAATCTGAATTTGGGTAATCTAGAAAGACAACGGCATATGGTAATTACAGTGTCCGTTGTCCCGTATCTCATTTTGATCGGTTAAATTAAAGACTTTATTTCATCATTAACTGTACAATGAGTATTAAGACACTTTGATTGAATGTTGTTCCAAAGGAATTTAGTCTAGGTGCTCTATTAAACATACAGTTCATGAAAATCTAATTGAAGCGACGGTTAAGTCCGCCATTTGTGACAACGGTATCTGACTCTACCGTTGTCAGGCTATTCCGGTATGATATTGGCTGCAAGACTGATGATGTCATAAGTTGTACTTTTCAAGTTAAACGGGCAATGAACATATTTTTGAAGGAAAAGGACAAAATATTATTTGAGACATGTTACTCACACACTCAATCAAATATGATAAAAACTTTAATTTGGGTCAATACTGAAGTGAAAAAAATTACTTGCATAGAAAACAGCATTTGAAGTTCAGATATCTAAAGAAGTGAATTACCACTTTTCACAAAGTGCATGTTTTAAATAACTCTTGAATTAAAAGATGGCGTATGTTTGAAAATCCTATCAAAAATGAATAAGGATAATTAATGCAAACAACAATGCCATCTTTCAATGGCATTGCTATAAACTTGAAATATATAAATTGATAGATCAAAAATATTTTTTCATGATCTAGTGTCAACTCTGATGGGATCTGTTTGAACTGTTTTGGTGTCAAATGAAAGATCGGGTACTTATTAATCCATTGGAAATACTATGACGATCAAATATGAGATTTCATTTACGCATTTTGTTCCTTTAATGCAGTAGACAGTAGGTATTCGTCTAAGATATAACTAGTGACACCATCTAGCTAATTCATCAGAACTTCTTTGATTTACCAAAATGTATTATACGTGTGACAAGCTCAAGGAGGGAAAATCGACATAAATGTATTACTAAGATTAAAGAGGATATAATGAATAGCAGAAATATCAATATTTTTGCTTGTTGCTTGCTGTGTGTCTATAATTGTATTAATGAAGGATATAAAAGATCATTGTATTTTTTAAACAATCTGTGCGCATTTATATCCGTTGTTGTAATCTAAGAAAATATCTCACACAGGACATAATTTCATTTCTCTTCAGGTAATTTTTCTGATAAACTGTAGCACAGGTATACAATTTATTCAATAATGACGCATTTCTACAATACAGCATCCGATAGGTTTGTAAGGTAGTCAGAATGGAAGTGTCAGCGAGAGAAAGTATAATACAATAGAATAAGGGCAGGTGATATGGATTAAAGAAGTTCGATAAATGTATGCTCTGCTCAGATGACAGTGTTTCTGTTTACAATGGTTTACATTGAACCTAATTACACATCAAGGAATTTATCGTCGAAAGTACCATTTGATTATAAACTGCAATTTATTGGATGGTATCGCTACATCTAAATTGAGATCAACAGCAATGAAGATTAATAAAACATTGAGGATTCCTACAGATCAACAGGGATTTGCCAGAAATGATTTTCAGGTGAGCTTAATTATGTATAAATTACTTTTCATACTATTACGTGCAAGTAAAAGCCATGATATAACTACTCAAATCAATTCTAATAAAGCTATAAAATATTGTTGTTTTCGATATCATTCTACCAGATGCGACACATTGATTTAATATTATATATTATGTTATAGAAGAAGGAAATCAGAGCAGTTCGTTACCAGGCAATAGGGAAATTTAATATACCACATCGAGAGACAATATTGAACTATATATCCAGATCAGGAGAAATGGACGCTTGACACTTTTATAGTAAGAAGTATACTAAATAAGAAGTAGAACAATGGGGATGGTTGCAAGAGGTGGTCTAAAGAACCACACACGAGATGACCCCACAATTCTTAACAGAAAGCTGAAAAGGAAAAAGAGGAGGACCAGCAAATATAGGTTTCACCTTCCATTTCTTTGGCGCGCCTGTGTTGCATGTATCTTGGGATTGCTGATCATCGGCGGAGGTGGAGCCATGTGTTCTTTTGGGTTCTTGGCAGATGAGTATTCGACATCTGAACATATAAATAAAACAACAAAGGCACGCTATGACATTGTCGATCATCAGTTGAGGAGTCATTTGAAAAACTCGGTTTATGGAGGTGCAGTGTTAATGGGCTTTGGTCTGTTCGTCATTGTGGTATCTTGCGTAATCGTATGCGATGAAAGAGACCGACAGATTAAAGAAATGGAAGAAGCTGATGTTGAACGAGAAAAGAACAAACCAAGTTTTTACGATGCTATTATCGGTCAGTTTAGAAATATAAAAGACGTTACTCAAACAAATTGTCAGGACAATTTAGGTTTTCAAGGTGACGTATCGAACAGATTAAGCGTGACACCTCGACCTGGTCCGAGTTGTACATCTGGTTCGTTGTCCCCAAGTAGCGCCAAATACATCCTCCCAAGACAGTCCTTAGATTATTTAAGTGAGAATGATACGGATTCGATGAACAGCGCTTACCCTCATATGGATATCGTTATTACTGATGCGGATAAAGAACCAAGGAGTAAATCTTTAGATTTTACCAAAATTCGAGAAAACTCTCCGGATATCTTAAATGAATCTATGAAATTCCCATCCATGTCGTGTCTACGGGAGGATATCGTACCGAACTTCTTGGAGCAAAAAAGACCCAAGACCACTGCTGGAAAACATTGCATAAGGGAAATATACTCTCCAGATTTGAGACGGCCAAAAACAGCTCAAATCGATGGCCATGACAACAAAATCGCTAGTGCAACGAACATTGATCGTTCAATTATAGCTAGAAAAGATCAACTGAGACCCAAATCTATGATGGGTATCAGACCAATGTATTCGCAAACAGGGGACGTATGTCTGTTTAACATAGACGAATTCGATACAGACTCTATTGATGATGATATGTCCATAAATGGTACCATAAATGGTAATACATCGCCCCAAGTATTACAGATTCATCCTGATGATGATTTTGAAATAATGGAGAACAGGTCTGACAAGTGCGAATCCTCTTCCGATGATACTTATGCGGTTGGTGAAAATAATATCCAAATAGAAAAAGAACAAGACGGATATACTTTGGAGGATGCTGTTTTCGTGAAACAAACAAAAGGAGTAACTTTGCGTTCTTCAACTAATGAAACTAGGACTGGGAGAAATAGACACAACAGGACAGAGAGTATTGCCTCATCTGATACTGATGGGGCCAAAACTAACCTTACTAATGTAACCATTTAAACATTATAACACAATCTCTTAATGGTGGGCTAAAATAGTATACCCAAATGGAAAAGTGAAATGAAAGTGTATTAATCTTAGATGATGCGTCAGTACATCATTGTATTTGTGAAGATAATTGAATTCCGAATTCTCCATAATTTGATGTGAATGAGATCTCATGAACGGGAACACAGATATGTCGCGCGGGGTATGGTCCGTTTTCTGACGAATGATATTAACTTCTTCAGAGACCCATTGTGTATGTTTTAGATTCTATACATCCTTACTTTAAATACGGCAGTATGGCGTCATCTTGCTTGAAATTTAATTTTCGTTAAAATGATGTCATACACTGGTGATCCGCTCGATTCGGTAGCAAAATGTCGGAACGTCGAACGTACGATGTTTCTTTTTTCCTCATTTCACGCGTTGTAGGTAGAATCCCAACGACATTTATTCTCACAAACATACAATCAGTATCATATGTTTTAGAAAATGCACATGTTTGCGAAAAATAGCTCAGAAGACAACAGAATCGTCGATTTAATTCCTCACTTAAGTTACATAAACGGTATGGGTTAAAAGGGCAGATCTTAACTGTTTTTCGAAAAACCGTTTATATGTAACTTAAGTGAGGAATTAAATCGACGATTATGTTGTCTTGTGAACTACGTGTTCGCAAATATGTACATTTTCTTAAACATATATGATACTGATATACGTTTGTGATAAGAATGTCGTGGGAATTCTGACAACGTGTGAAATAAGGAAAAAAGAAAAATCGTACCGTCGATGTTCCGACATTTTCGTTTCGGTAACCAGCGTATTTGAGTGTATCACCAGTGTCAAACGAAATATAAATTGAATAATGCACAAAAATAGATTAATTGTACACATAAAACCAAGGATTTAAATGGACTTAACAACGGATGAGGATTATACATCAATTTCAAATATAATGCAATGGAATATCAATTTTTACTGCAAATCATTCACATCATAAAACTGACCCCAACTCAAAATCAGTTACAATATTGGATCAAAATGAGATCGTATTAGTTACATATTATGTACAAAAATGCTGGGAAACGAATAATCGTTAATATGATACACGATCTTTATTGCATCTTGAATATCTGTTCTATCAGTTTTAATTTGATATTGTTTTGTATTGGCTTGCAATGTATATATTTTGGAAATTAGAATCCCTCTATATTTGGTCTTAATATGTAGTCGATATCTAGAAAAGTACTTAATGGGCTGTTTGATTTTATTGAGAATATGGGATTTAATCTTTGATGGCTTGCGGAAGAATATTTCTGATCGGATGTACTAGTATAGTACTCCACTGATAGTAATGTTAACACGTCGCATGCCATTCTTGTAACCAGGAAACTAAAACCCTGAAGCATAATCAATATAAAGGATTATGGTTATGAGTTATGACAACATGTGTACGTATACGTGTTCGGTGTTTAAATTTTATGTAAAATATATTTGTTTGATCCCTTAATTAATGTGGAAGCAAATAACAGTGAGTGCATTTCACTTACAATCCTAATTTTATCATAACCTGAAAAATTAATTGGTATGATCTGATCGAATATGGAAGATAATTTTTGTGAATATTTACATATAGGCATTGTTTCATCTCTGGAATATTCAGATCAATAACTGGGGTCGCCCCGACATGTGGTTTGTTGGCTCTCAAGTTATTGTGCTGTAGTATGTTGTAAGACATGCTCTATTTGTTACTTTTTACTTTCCCTTGTCATCATTGATATGTTCGATCACTTGTTCAGCGACTTAACGTGAGGCATATACATATAATGATTACTGAACAAATAAATTGCATTCATAATTTTGGACAGAGAACCTCTTTAAATCAATTAAATAAATTATGGTTCGCTGCTTGCTAAGCAAATAATTAGTCCGATCAATGAGATGCCCTGAACAGAAATTCCAATACTGAGAATGATCCTCAGGCACTTCATGGCTGAATACATAATGTCGATTAGTTTTAATGCGAGGCTAATGTAATCTGTTAATCCACTCTAGTATCACGTTTCCATAGCAACGTATTCAACAATAGACAAAGGCCTTTATTTCATATCTAATGACGTTCATCCTGATAATTATAAGCCACTGCAAGATTGATGGTGCCCGTATACGACGAGAGGGTGACAACCGTATCAAAATAATGATAGCTAACAATGCTAACACATGGAGAACCATCAGTCAGTCACTGATTGTGATCCTGTTTTTTATGTCTCTGGTGTATCCTAGGTGTAATGTGTATGCGATAGTATAAAAAATAAATGTAAATGAGATACGTGTTTTAAAAACAACTGAGTTAAGGCCCGGGCATATAGACTTATTATATGCTTGGTCTTTATTTTATAGCTTACATCATTGATAATGAAGTGATAATGATTTAAGTACGACAAATATCTCAAATAATTGGCCTGAAAATCATACTATGGAACCATTACATCTACCTAAGATGAAGCCATGACAGAGTGGAACCTACCTGTACTTTTAGCAATATTGTCAAAATTGTCTCTTGACCAGTTTGGTAATTCTTAACAAATTCCTGATTATATTAAAAACTTTCTGCCCAGCTGATTGAAGGAATTTGAAAGTGAAATTATGAATTACATGTAGGAACCATATCCGACGTATGCTACAAAAAACTTTATTCTGACGCAAGGAGAATTGGCAGCCATTATTCAAACTCGATACTCTATTGCCCAGCTTGGAACAATTTAGTAAAATATTTCTATAAAATCCTCTTTGGCCCAGGTATTTCGTTTAAAGATGAACATTACGAATACTATGGTTATATTCAAGTTTCATTGGCAGTTATAATCTTCAAAATATGAGTAATACTGTTACCAAATTGGTACACGCCGGGCAACGGAGTATCGAGTTTAAATAACGGCTTCCTTTCCAATCCTCCTTGATTCTGATGCTACAAAGCCTGGGGAAAATCGATCACTTGGAAACCTTTGTTTTAAATTGATACATCTTGAGATAAACATATAAGTGATTCTTCGATGCCGAACCATGTATTGAAGACCAACGATGGGTTCCAATATGGACCTGCCAACGGAATACATTTGGCATCTATAAATTCTTAGACACCAAAATGATAGAAATGTTGTCCTAAAGCATTGAAATACCTTCAAATTTTCTAATTTCAATACCATTTGCAATGAATAGTGTCATTTCGCATCTTAAAGACATCTTCATTTACATTTTCTATCTATATCTGTATACTGTCTCTGTATTCCTGGGTATGATTTAAGATTTCCATCTTTTACTCAGCTTTCCAATATAATTGAACGTTTCAGCAATGTCATCAGAAAGAGGATGATAAGCCTAACAGTAACTATAAAAGATGGCGTCATCACAATTTCTACAGTTCTGTAAAGGCAAACGCGATTAAATCAATATCAAGGTCAACTTATTATACCGTACATTTATTGAAGAGTTCTTACACAAGGTACATATCATGTATCTATCAACTTCACAGACACTTACTTGTTCGATCCTGTGACCGAACTGAGTATTTATCTAACGCTAGGTCTCTTTGCACTAACTGGTCACTGTATCAAGCGAAGGTTACGGCCGTCACATTCGCATTTTGTTTCGATTTCGATATTTTTAGTTTTCATCGAATTAAACTACTTTAAAGTTGACGTAATGCTTTCAAATTGATATTTAAACTAAATCCGACGTATTTGACATGGAAACTCTGGATTAGTTCAAATATGAAAGCATTGCGTCAACTATAAAGTAGTCACTCCCCGTCCGTCATCTTAAATACGAAGTTGACTGGCATTGGAAAGTGTCTAACGTCTAAGTATAATCATTCACTTCTACATGGTTCTGTTTCTGAAATTACTACATCTAAGAAAAATAGAGTATAAAAATAGTAAAATAGTGAATGTTGGAAAGTGCCTAAGATGAATAAAATTCTTTTCTTCAATGAAAAGATCAACGCATGAGCAGGCAAGACGGTGAAATGGGCCCTAGGAAAAAAATGTACATTTGAAATGTTCATATGAAAAACGTGTATGTGGTCCCTTGGGAGGGAAAGTCATAAAACATGTTTGGTTCCTTGGAAGCTATATAACGTTTCATCAACCACTGCATAATGTATTTGTTGCTCCTCGAAACGAGACAGCCATCCTGTAACAACTAGCTAATCTTCAATTTAAGAAGTGCTGTTTTAGCTGTAAATACACATTCATCTACTTTCAGAATAGCCTTGTTATATGGTAACATATCAGTCCTTCAGTGGACCACATAATCATTGCAAAAATCAATCATCTCAGCAACAAATCTTCCAAGGACAGTTCCTTATTGTCACATTGATTATATATACTGCCAAATATGGATCCTCGTACATCATGTAATTAAACAAAAATGATGTTCAAATATCGAATGAGGTGATGATCCTTTTTGAATACATCAACTTGTGTCATTACATTGTATTATTATTTGCCTTGCTTTTATTAATTGGTGTCATCAGGAGTACTTCGCTGCTGGAGTTAGCCTCTGATTCTGCAATTAGTTTCGCTCTTCTGTTTAAACTCTTTGCAGGAGTATCGAGACTGAAACACACGCCTCCATCACTGTCCAAATCAGACTTTGCAGGAGAGGGAGGAGCGGGGTTGCCAGACAGTGTTTTCTTCAAAGTTTTCCTTCGTATCAACTTCATACTTCTAGATTTTCTTGCTGAAAGGTTAGATTTAGTTCTTGCGTGGCGGTAAAACAATGCAAAGTTATTTGATATAACTGGAATAGTAAGGGCGACTAGGAGCAGGCCAGAAAGGGCACATAGTGCTCCGATCACATATCCGAAAGCGCTCCTGGGATGAACATCTCCATAGCCTACGGTTGTCATGGTGATTATTGCCCACCAGAACCCCAATGGAATAGTCTCAAAACTGCCGTTGGCCGTAGATTCACTGAGATGACCTTCGATGTAAAATATCAGCGTAGAGAACACCAACATAGCAATAAGCAGAAAGATTGCCAGCATGAGGAGTTCCTGGACACTAGCTTTGATAGCATGGACGAGGATGCTCAGAGCCTTGTAATGTTTGACTAAATGGAAAATACGAAAAATACGAATGATCCGAAGAATAAAAATCAGCTCGAGTACGGCTTTATGGTGGCTAATACAGTTGTCAGGTGCAGGGGCATAGGTGAGAATAACCTGCACATACAGCGGTAATAGGGCCACAATGTCTATGATGTTCATGAAACTCTTAAAGAACTCCAATTTCTTAGGAGCGAATACAATGCGAACAATGATTTCAATCGTGAAGAAGACGGTGCACATCATGTCCATGTTTTGTAAGGATGGAATAGCCTTTTCCAGCACAATTGTTTGGTTTTTGCCTTCGCAAACGCTTGTGATGTTGTCCTTAATCTGAAGTATCGGTAGTGTTTCAAGACAGTAGCCACTGATAGATGCCATGACGAACACAAATGATGTCACTGCATAGAACTGCAAGGAAAAAAACAAAATGAGTTGAGCTACTAATAATGATTACTTTATGAAAATGAGGGCATTCACTTAAAAGATCATTATTATGTAGAGCTGAGAATAGCCATTACCGATATTACAACCTTACATTATGATCCTCGTTGAACTAGTAATTTAGTTTAAGAATCAAGCTATCAGCTTCCACACCTGCTTTAACACATTTAAAGGTATTTAAGCATGACAAAATATCACCACCTTGCTTCAATTAAGGTGGTGATAGTGTAAATGATAGTGTAAGTGTTAGTGTAACAATTGTTACAAACGCCGAACGCACAACACTGACTCCGAACACCGGTTACAAAAAACGATAGGTATAACAATATATCACCAATTTATCGCATGATGATGAACATTTTATAATATATGCCTAAGAAATATATTACCTCTAATCTAAATCATACCAATGTACCCTTAGGTTACAAATAACTGATGAATCAAATGTTATGAATGCGTTACACCTACTCTACCCAGGGGTTCAAGTTTTACAACACCGTTTCCAGGCAGTGCTTCGCTGAGGGTTACCACTCGAAATATATCACGCAAAACTTTCATAAAACACTTTTGCTCAATTACACCGGTACTGCTTTATATTTTATGTTTTGTTATCAGTTTCCCCTGGGTCTCTTATGAATGCCACAACTGTCCACAAATTAACTTCAAGCTATTCATTGATTGCTAAAATAATACATTAAAACTATAATGATATTTCAGAACTTGCATTGAATCCCTCGATACCCTATTAATTGTTATAATGGAATAGTTTATAAAAACATACCGATGATGCCAGTGACATTACATACACTCTCCACCATACAAAAAATGTTGTAGGCTATTAATATATAATATAACATAATTTAGTCATCGTCATTCGCCAATTATCGAACAGCGTCATGTATGACTAAACCCTATCTATAATTCATAGTTTCCATATATATAGCTCTCTATTGTAAAAACATAATTTAATATAATACTTTTAACAATGGGAACACATCAATTCTCCAACTATAAAAAATGTCCTTGTGGAAGTCACAAGTTATTACATAAACCCAGCGCAAACGCATTTTCCTCTTCATTGGGTTGCGCAAAGGGCAATATTGACCCGTGTCGCACAAAGGGCAGTTGATCAGTGTTACACAAATGGCAATTGACCTGTGTCACACAGACGCCAATTAGTCTGTGTCGCAAAAAGGACAGTTTACCTGTGTCACACAAACGACAGTTAACCCGTGTCGCACAAACGGCAGTAGACCCGAACCACACAAACGACAGTAGACACATACTGTACAAACGGCAATTGACTCATGTCAAACAAATAGTTGCCTTGTATCGCACAACAGGTACTTGGCTTGTATCGCACAAATGGTATTTGACCTGTGTCGCACAAAGGGAACTTGGCCTGTGTCGCAGAAAGGTTACTTGGGCTGTGTCGAGTAAGGGGTATTTGGTATTTGGCCTGTGTCGCACAAAGGGCACTTGAATAACACAAACCGCTGTTGACCGTTGGCGCACAAAATGCAGTTGACTTGGCGACTGGCGTACAAAGGGCGGTTGCCACGTATCTCTAAGGACAGTTGGCGAAAAGGGCAATTTTCAACAGATGTCAGAATAGATGTTCAGAGTTACCTGGAAACTTGCCTGGTTTATTCGAGGAAGGTTTGAAAGGGCAATGAATATGAGATAAGTCTCAAATGATGTTATGAGAGCCCTCAGGAATCCAAAGGTCGAGATGATCAATGATAAATATAGAAAAAAAATCTTCAATTATGTGCGCTGTAACGCAATTAATGGGAAATGAGAATCTAAATAGACTGCTATGATGTTTTATTATGGCAAATTAGGTTAATATAATATGTGCAGAGCAGTTGCATTACGACAAGACTAAGTAGTATATATCAGAAGTAAAGACTACTGCAGCACGAAGATAGCACAAGAACTTAAAATTAGGGACTCGATGACAGCTAATATATACTTTCATTTGTTTCCCTGCTTCGGCATTGGAAGGTTTATTACCATGGCATGCGTAGAACCCTTTATAATTAGGTTGAGAGAGGCATCTCATGGTTACTCGCCAATAGCACTATTATTTTGTAGTTCGGACACGTTTTCCAAAAGGTCGTTAATTCAAGCATAATTAGCTAGAGTACATGCACAGAGAAAGCCAATGGATCTAGACAGTACTAGATAAGAAACATGAATTGAAGCAATTAAGTTAACTGATGGCCTATTTCACGGAACAAATGAGTGCCCGGCTTGATGTAATGAGTACTTCGGAAACACTAGAGTATACCTTGTTTTTTGTAACAAGCAGTTCTCTCTGGGAATGGAGAATCTGCTCCATTGGACAAATCGGTTGAACGTATGCGACAAGTTATCGTTTATATATGAGCTGCTATAACAGTTCTCTCAGAAACTAAACCGACGACACTGTGCACTGCTTAGGCCAACGCTTGGACCAATCTACCTCACTTTGTATTTTGTTTAATACCATTTGAGACATTGCAATGCAATGTTTGTGGTTAAATAGTTTTCTCTGACATTTTAACAAATGTATTGGACAAAATATGGAATCGCACTCACCAGGAAAGTCATTTGGTCCCCACGTGTTGTACCCCCAGGGTTGTACCTTAACCCGCGCGTTCAACTGTCTCGCGTAATTGGTACAGCCCCCATGTTTATTTCTGATACGCCGACAGCCCATACTCGACATCCTCGCGGTCACCGCGCGATAACAACTACGTGCGAACGTACACCGTATGTACATTTACGTACCATTGCATATCTAGATGAGCGTGGGTGGTCGAGGACTAGCCACACCTTCCACTGAAGTTCCGTCCACCTTGTTGTACTGTTTTCTCTCTGCAGTCGAATCGTTTCTTTCAGTGTATCGTCGTTCATCAGACTGTCATTAAATTCAGCAAGAATCATCTAGAAATAAGTAGTATTCAAATTATCCACATATGTTTGTGTTTTAAGATCTAAATTTATGATGAAGAAGACTTCTTTATCCTAGGCTCATCTGAGTATAACTCATTTTATGAATATAGAATAGAAATACCAGTAGTACCTGATTATCAATGTAAGAACTATATTTGGTCCAGCAACAGGGCAGTATGTTTGATTCATCAATCTGCCAAAAGTCAAGTTCCCTTTTTACCAAGGCTCCACAAACATCCATCGGAACGTGTAGTTCACCTAAACAAATTTACCATATTTCAAAATCTAGCTCTAATTTCAGTATATCAATTCAATATATCCAATCTTAGAAGTTCTCATCATGACTTTGGAAAAATGGCAAATGTATGCTCATGCCTTCACAAATGTGGACTCGAAATTGTCAAAATATTTTTCAATTGTGGTCTCAACTTGAACTAACCTAAATGTTAACATTCTCCATTTCTTAGGTAACATTCAAATTGACAAAAAATGGTCTGATCAAAACACTTTTATTTGGTCATCAAGATCCTCAATTTAAAAGAATATTTTGATTTTTACTGGTATCAAGTTTTTTTATCAGCCAATTCCACTTTTTAAAAATGCTTAAAGTCCCCGTCTAAAGTTTGAAAATATTTTTTTATTATTCATTTACTATTTGTCAGGACTTAAAAAGTGATTTTAGAGATTTTTGAACAAAAAAAGTTTTTGAACAAAAAGTTGTGAGCATTTCATTTCTCAAATATTCAAATTTCCCGCCATTTTTCCAAAAAAGTTGAAATTTCTTAATCATCAAATATTTCTTAATGCATTTCAAAAAAGATTATCTTTTTAACACCAATGCAAAGATTGAACAAAAGACACACTATTTCAATAATAAAATGTCATATTTAATGGGCCACTTCAATGTTCTAGCTTATCAAAAATATTTTGAAACATTAGTGATGTCACTAAGGTAACAAAAACTTTTTGAAAAAAAAATTGAATTTTTTTTCGATGTCAATCTTTTCTAAACATGCTAGACTTTCATAAAAAACCAATGTTGATTGTCTAACCAGGTTAAAAGGAAGAATAAATTATGTTTTAGATATCATTGTACCATTGGTTTCTATGAGAACTAAAATTTTGAAATGCATTTTTCTCAGAACCATTTTCATGCATCGATAAGTTCATTTCTCGCATGTTTATCAACCGATTTTCTTAATTTTTTCGGCAAAAAACATGGGAGGATGAATGCTATGCATTGGTATGAATTGTGGCTAATTAGAAGATATGAGTGACCTCTTAAAGTTGGTTTTAAATAAATTCACAAATTTTGGAACAAAAAGTCTATCAAAAACCACTTTTTGAAATTTAAAAAAAAAGTTTCACATATCACACTTTGATAACATTGGGTAAGACTACAATATAAGCCAAAGTGGTTTAAACTTTACATGGGGCCTTTAAGATTGCCTCCCCTCACTCCACCAAGAGGAGATAAAACCACATGATTCAATTGATGACATACGATTTCCTCCTAGTTGACCTAGTTTTAAACCAATCAACGATCAACTCGCTAAACCAATCAGCGACGATGTCATCTCAATACAGATTTACATGATAAGCGTATGTCATCTTTGAACCCTGGGGTTTCTCCCTCTCTTCACTCCACCAGATCCTTTTGATATACAGAGTGTCCTCATAATGCTAACTTCATAGCGATTTGTCACTCTCATATATATATATATCGTGACCATTGTATTAAATTATGAAATAACTGAAATACAACATAAAAAAATAAGTTTGGAAACCGGAAGTTCCATTTCGGATCACTTCGCAAAGCCTCTTTTCGGTGATTTCAAAAAGTCTTAAATTTGTAATTAAGAAATAGAAAGATTCAACCATTTACAGGCTTTGGTCTGCTATTAATGAAAACTTCCGTTTCCCAAATTTATGGAGGGGAGTGTACGTTCCTTTCATTATAAGTTTTAAGTAACAAACAGGTAATTGTTATAATAATTGTGTAACAATTTTTATTTTCTAAAATACAGGTGGCATAAACAAAACGGGAATATACACAATTTGTGTCACCCGTTTTATTGTTAAATATAGTTAAGATAAAATTATGAATAAATTGATGAATAAAAATAAAAAGCATGCAGTTCTGAAATTTTTAAATAACTTTCTCAACGAAGATGGATTTTTTTGTGTATTGAAAATGTGTGAAACAGTAGACTGTACAATGTAGCATCATACTCATCTACATAATATATGTTTCATTTTGGCATACTCATCGTATCGAATTATTTGATACAAAATCACACATTGAAATGAAACGCAAACGCAAATTAAACGTCTAAAATCCAAGAAAGTTATTTCGGTAATAAACGAAAATGACTGTTACATTTTTGTGTCAACTGAAGCGTATTTACTTGTTTCGGACAAACCTTGATTTCTTATTTTGTGCCACGTTTCTCTGCCTCGACGATATTTTACAAGATTTTTAAAATTATAACGACATATCTGTAAATTTTATTTGGAAAGAAAACAGTGTCAATCAGTGAGAGGCCGTCTGATTTAATCTACATTAATTTAACTTGACGCATTTAATCGATTTGCGATGTTAATTTGCACATCGTGTACATACGATTTCCAGATTTTTTGTTCAATTCACATTACCATACGTAATTGGATAGCGGAAAGTGATAACACAAATAAATCTCCAGTAGACAGATTTCATCCACCAAACGCAGGGCGCCATAAAACGTCCACTCTGTTCTCTCCTTTATACAGAGTGGATGGTGTCCGGAGTCACGTGTTCCGAAATAGACAGATTCAAATATTAAGACTGAAAATAGTATTAATTTATATTGGCATAGTCTTGGCTTTTCAATACCATAATTATATAACATTCATCACGCACCAAGATAGACCATCTAGGTGATCCCGATTCTAGGTGTTTTTGTTATATCTTTAATCTCAACTCAATAACTCCATAGGCGTAGCTACTAGCCAGGGGTTGCGATGGGTGCGATCGCAGAAGAAGAGAGCTTTAAAATGCTTTTACAGTAGCTCAATTTTGAAGGAAGTTGCATCAATCTTTGTAAAATTCAAGATAAATGGTTATGCCACAATCACCCCCCCCCCCTTACTGAAAACCGCGATCGCACCCCCCCCCCTCCCCTGACTGAAAGCTGGCTACGCCCCTGAACTCAATACTTCATCAAAGCGAGGGACATAAAAAGTGCGGAGATATATATCAATCGTGCCTTGTATTAATTCCGCACATAGCTAGGGAAGATATATCAAATTCTAGCCAGTGAGAACATAGTATTTCAAACAATCTATATTCTTGAAACAACAACCAAGCATCATAACCAGCAGAGTGTTTCATAATGACTACACCCCCATCAGCCACCAATCCTAGATAGCATACCCCCATTTGTTCACATTAAAGCTTCTTCAATGCTGTTATGGATAAACTAGGAGTACTGGGTTTTATGAGAAATAAAGCTATTAGTTCTCCTAAGACCCAGAACGAATGGGTCGCCTAACTTAAACCCCACACTGACTCTTAAGAAAGGTAAATGGCTCATGATCCAAGTTTAGGAAAATTGATTTCTTTTGTTCCTACAATGAGGTAAATGTGTTGAGAAGTGGGTGGGTATAATTGGTTCAGCTTTAATGCACTGCATGTAACATGTAACTTTTTCTAATTCTGTTAACTGTTTTTTTTTCAAGTTAGCATTCATTCAAAATGTCAACACTTGACTCAGAAGGCATTCTGTTTGCACATACCTCCTGGCCACAATCACGAGGCTTTGTCGTCAACTGTACTGTCCACATTAATGTAAAAATATTGATCTCTCCCTGATTTTTCCATCAACGTTTCCACCAAAATAAAGGATTTAATCAGTGCTTATGTCACAGCATCTACACCTTTTAAGCTAATAGCAGATCAACAATTCAATAGATGCAAATTAAATTAAATTGAAAAACTACCGGATAGATTAAGCCCAGAATGTTCTGAAGTCTCAACTTGTAAGCTTGTAATTTGTCCTAGGTTGTAATGGAATACTGATGAAGCATCTCCGTAAGAGTAATAAATGCAATCCCGATCTAGATCTGTGAGTTAATGAAATCGAATCCACAGACATTCATTGTATTATATTTTCCAGCTAGCCATGGAAACCTATAAACGATAGCGTGCGGACTGTTTGTGGAACAATCAATGGAGCAAGCCACAAGTCACTAAAACTGAAATTCCCTGATATTAACTACATATTTCTCGAAGCAGCAATAATTCATACTCAAATCCTCTAAAATAAAACCATCGAAAAATAAGAGATTTTATTATCTTTTGTTCACCTTTACTTTTTGAAATTCTGACATGGATTTATTATAATACATTGAGAATGCCTGTTAAAGTGATGATTTTTTTAAATGTTCATGCGCCACTTTGAGGAAGACGTCACATCTTGTTTGATTGATACTGTCTGCTTGTTTATTTGGGTATAGTATACGATGCAACAACTGCAACCGAGTCACCCAAGACAGTGTTCGATATTAGCAAGCTCGATTCTATTGATCGATGTCATTAATTGGGAAAGACATGTGCCAGCAAGGTCATTTTGTAGCTTTAGAGAGATCTATTTTCCATAAATCATGATCAGGGATTCACCCGATAGTTGTAACAAAGAGGGAGTGCAGCCCTTGTCTACTGAGGAACAATGCGCCCTATTTCTTTTCTTGATCCCAATGTTTCATCAGTTGCAACCAGTTCATATGATGTCACACATCTAAGATTTGAAAATCTGTTGTTGCTGTTGTTCAAGATCGCTTCGCTTGATTAATAAACATTTACAAATGGAATACCAACAGGATAACAAGGAAAATTATCTCTAGCAAATAGTTTTTTCAAACCTGTATAAGATAACCTAAAAACGAATAATGTTGATTTAGATAAAACAAATGAAGCACTGTGCAATACATTTCAATAAGAAAGTATTTTGAGCCTTAAGCACGTCAAAGTACGTATTTACCATACGTGCATTAAGGTAAATCACAGTAACACTATCGGCCCTCTTACTCATCAATCGGATAATCCTATAGTTGTCTAATAATGTGATGATGAAAAGAGCAAGCCACAATCTGAAATAACCTTTAAACATTTAGGTATACGCTCAGAGATGAGATACTATAATCTTTACTTAGACACGTCAGAACACCGTGACGTACATATCATTCTCCCGAAAAGGAGAAGTTCTCAGTCATGCGCATTAGTCTCTTAAATGACCTTAAAGGTTTGTGACAATAACCTACGCTCTGGCAGGGACATATAGACCTAAATTACAGTCAATAACTTCCTCGTGGGAGTTCTGACATCATTTTTCTTTTTCTGAATTGACATATTTCAGTTGCTGGTGCTATGGCTTGCTAAGCAGTCTTAACACGATTACATGGTACTCCAAGTAGGAAACCATATTCCCCGCATGTCGTGTAATATTCACTGAAATACATCATTTGGATATGAAGCAGGTTATAATTTCATAAAGCCTCATTAGATTGATTGTGTTAAAGATTTATGAACCGGGTCTGTGTCAACTTGATCTCCACGAATTTACAATTGTTTTCACTTGTGACTAAACACTTATTTTTTGTGAGACCTATAGCTAATTGATCCATCAATTCGATGTCCGCCATGCTTAAACGGAAATTCACCTGGGTTCCTAGGAGATATTTAACACTGGTGGATTAGCCCCCTCCCCCTAAGATGGGCCCAAAAATTTGGCCACAAAACATTTTGGGCCTATTTGGTCATTTCTGGGTAAAATGGCCTAAAATTTTCAAATGTTGGGTCCAATTTGTGGTTTTAGTGGCCCAAGCCTTTCTCAATGTTGTTTCCCATGAATACCATTCGGTTAGGTTCACCTTGACACAAATCCATTTGAAAACACCCGTCTATCAATTTCAACGGTTCGGCCATTATTAGAACCTGGGACAAAGGAATTCCCCTAATAAGAAGGAAACAGGTGAAGCGCAAAATTAATCAAAACACCCCTTGGGGACTCTTGGTATTAACAGATTAACAGATTAAAGGGCCTAAATGCCAACTGATTCTAAGATACGCAAGATTTAAAAAAGCCTGTACCATCAACAGTTTTTGTTACAAACCCTCTTTTTGTAAATAGTAGAACTTGACATAGTGCTCACGCAATTTTGAATTAAATGTCTTTCAGAATGATCAGAGGTACATACACCCCACATACTTTATTCTTACCTCCAATTTTAGAGCACAACCCCTTTTGAAAAGTACATGTTTGAAAATAATCTTAGCTGTTAGGCTTAATGCTTTTAATACATCCTATCGGACTTTTCGTTTAATATTAGGGAGATTAAGCTACGTTTTCAATGTTCAAGAGAACCTGAACGCGAACGTGTAATATTATGACCCCGGGGATTACTGAGCCCCTCTCATTTTTTTCTAGGGACCGAATTGCAACTATTTTCTAATTTTCTTTATACCTTTATACTCAAGAGGGTAAGTGAACAATACGTAGGGGGAAACGTATCTCCAGAGGACCATTATTCTACACGTTCACGTACAGGTTGTCTTGAAATCGTATAGCTTACCTCCCTATTATCATTTAAAACCGAGTCAGCATAAACGGCAGTAAAAACCCTTGTGCTAGACTACATAACATTCATATCATCTTATTAATACTATAGCATTTCATTGCCTACATAGTATGTCTTTCTAGCTGATTCGAAGTTAACATACCTGAGTGAAGGATCTGAGTTTTTAATAAGACTGTTTTAGATATATATAATATCGCCAATGTGATGGTTGCCATTGTGATATTGTTTCAAAATCATTCAGACATTTTACAATTATGAAATGGAACTGTCGTTTTTAGAATTGTTGAGTAATAGCATTGTGCATGAATTATTAATTCTCATATGTTTCCATTTGCAAGCTGTTAATCTCGTATACGTTGTGATATAGATCTTCGGAGAGTGTTTTATTGTATACATGTCACATTATTAAAAAGAATGAACAATCGGAAAAATCCATGATCCTATTTTATGCCTTTTAGATGATTAGTATCAAACAAGTTGTATGTAGTGCCAAAGTTCTCACAATAACCTAAATATCACCCATCCAATCCCTACCCGAAAGTAGCTTCTGTTTTGGCGTTAATTAGTACCGTGTAAAAGGGTAGGAGGTCCTATTAATTTATGGCCCTACTCTCCATTGATTGACCTCTTTCCCTTATTATCTTATACACAATCAGGGCCATTAAGGGCCTTTAAAAAGGGGGACCATTATCCCTGGGGGACCATAATTTCTTTCACACCGGATTTACAAGTCACAGGTTGAGTCCGCACCATCGAATGGTCGTGTGGACCAATGTTACCCTTAAATAGCAAAACTTCTAGATTAAATATCATCTCATAGATAATCTTACAGTATGGAATTCTAATGTTTCATTTTCCAATATCGAATCATAAAAATGCTGGCCGACACCTGTTGTGTTTGCACCTTTAGTAAACTAAAGTTAGGTTTCTTGTAATGAACGAGACCTCCAAAATAAGCAATACTAACACGTGTTCAATAGTGTAAATATATCTTTGAGACCAGACCTTCTTCATGATACTAAAATACATCCAAGTCGACAAAGACTAAATGTTCCCCTCAAAACTTAAAAAACGCCAAATCATTTATAATTATTCTTTGTAAACATTTATTCTTACCACTTCGGTAAAAGTCGATAATGCCACTGAACACACCAGGGTGGCGATCGTAGAAATATTCCTTCTTGTCCACCTCAAGATGGCGATCGGCCAAAGAACAGAGGCGGGTGTTGCGGTATCTCTGGAGCGTGGAAACGACGGTCTCGTGTCGCAATCCCCCAACATTGATGACGATTTTAACATCATCATCGGCGACGCCATGGTCTATGGTTTCGTTATCGCTTACAGGCTCTATAGCTATGCTGAGTTTAGAATGTAAACCTGTACTCATTTTAATTGGCTTTGGATGGTCACCTTTCATCAAGTCATCATGTTCCATAACTCCAACTTTATCACATTGTAACACGTCTATGATTTTGCTCATTTATATCAATCATCATGATAAGCTGCATACCCTATCATAGATATGAACGCATCCACTGTACGCCTTCAATCATCGCCATGCATGAGCGATCCATAAGCAACATCCAATTCGCTCAACGTGTACATATATCATTCTCTTTTGCTTCATACATAGAGCCTGTATCATTCCTGTTTTTGTAGGACACTCGTATCGTAAAATATTTAAATATTCATAGAATATGATTCCCGATGATGCCACACCTAAATCATCTTGTATCCGTATGCTGGTTCATCTATTAGTCTGATACTAAATCGCTCATAGTTGATAGAAGCTTAAAGCGGGTATATCGATGCAAACCTATTTAATTGAACCTGTGCCGCATACACGTTAGCTGCTACAAGCAGAATTCCTTTGCTGTTCAGTGTTTGCCTGTATGTAGAATAATCTAAATTTCGTGTCATCGTGTCTCCTGTTTTTCACCGAAAGCCAATTAATTTGGTATTAGCTAATGCATTTGCTTTCTCGCTTTACCTATTGCTTTAGCTTTATACCATGAATACTATGATATCATGCGTACGAAACCATAAGTCGGTCTAGCTAGCTGCACTATATTTACCCTTTGCATTCGTTTGACTTCACTTCTTAAAAGAGAGCTTCGTAGTTTAACTAGACTCTGCGCGCAGGGTACACTATATTCCCTTCATTCAGACAATATCATAGGGCAACCATTACGATGACTATCGTTTCCGTAACATTCAGAACATTTTCCAAGGTTACATTATTCTGTCTTTCGCTTTATCATCGAGGATGTGATGGGTATAATAGGCGTAGCCAGGGGGTGCGATGGGTGCGATCGCACCCCTCCTCCCCCAAAACAAAACCATGAGAAAGAAGAAGAAAAAAGCTTTAAGATGCTTTTTATTTGAAGCTTCTAGCTCAATTTTGAAGAAAGTTGCATCAATTTTTGTAAAATTCAAATTAAATCTTTTTTTGGCTTGATTATGCCACAATCGCACATCCGATTAAAAACCAATCTTTTGGCGATCACACACCCCTCTGACTGAAAGCTGGCTACGCGCCTGGGTATTGAACAATATCATACTCTCCGGATATCAATGGGATGGGTTCATTTTGTCGTAGTGCGTAACAATTTTAAAATCTGCAGATGAATATTTTCCAGCTAAAAATGAATGCCCACGCCATCAACTTTTTTTCACATTTTCCATGTATGCGGTATCCCAACACAGAAGCAAGGCAGTTAGCGCATCGCTGGAGTTCAGTGATGTTATATATACTGCCATGGACCTCCACCATTTTGATACTCATCACATTTTTCTGCCTTCAGTTAGAAATATGATTCTGATACTCATCATATCTTTCTGTCTTCAATTAGAAATATGCTTTTTCAAGAAAACTGAACGGAACCAGATCGAAAGTAAGCCGAAAGTAAACTTTCTCATGGCATACTAGAAAGAAGCTAATAAAAGGCCATGATTTCTCATGATGAAATTGATCCCTTTCGCCATCTTTTATAGTGGTACCGGTCTGTAATCATCGTATCTGTGAGCCCCATTGTGCATATGGAATACATTGACGGATCAAGAGGGGATCAAGATAAAGATCTATGAAGACTCCTTCCCGGGGACTCCTTCATAATTATCTGCCGCTTGGAAAGTTTAAGACAAAGGTTAGTTATAGCCTGGCTTTATGTTACATAAATCCCAGCACCAATCCAAGGGATCCGAGTTACATTAATTCACATAAGAAGTTTAAAACATATCTTGTGGAACATTCCCTTTGCTGGGATTTATTCCAATTCTGAATGGTAGAATGACAGTTAGTTTATATAAATACTCTTATGAATGAAAAATAGTACGACTGCTCTTATTTTTGATTGAGTCTATTTTCCACGAGTTAAAACGTTTTATAGATTTTTAACAATATGGCAATGGGGATATGGCCCTGCCATTCCGTTTTTATTAAAAAGCTTCTAGGAAAAAATTGAATGTCCTTCATGTTTTTGAATTTTTGATCTCTGGATTTATTACCTTATCCACGTTATTACATTGGCGGTTCGTCAAAGAAGTTGTGGTAGTGGAACATACTCTAGCATGCGCAACGTTTACGCGTTTTATCAGCTTAAAAACAACATACCTTTTGTAAATCTTCCAAAACTCTGATTTCATTTAGGAAAACACTCATTTCATTGCAAGGGAAATATGTACGATAAAGAAGTGTAAATCAATTAGCTATTTAAAAAGGCGCAGCGTGAATAAATGTAATAATTCTGCAATAGGGGACTTGCTTGTGAATGTGAAAAAACTGTAAATGGTATTCTATGCGTTTCGAAACTTTGACATTACAAAAAATGTTTTGGTTGAATTTTAATTCTTTTTTTATGATACTGTATGAAAGCCTTTGCCATGCATGAAACGAATTAATATTGACGCCCTTGGTTCAATGAATCGTGAGTGTTTCATACATTCGTTCGTTTTGGTCGTCTTTTACGTCCTCGAGTAGGTAGTCTTGTTATATGACCAGTTTAATTTTATCAGTTAAATCCTTTTATCAATTAATATAGTACAACATACACAGATATCGTCATGCCATTAGCATGCTTGCTACATATTCCCCAGGCATCCTACAAGGTACATTCACATCTTGTCATGCCATGCCGCTCTAAAGCAGAGACATATAAAACATTTTATATGTCTCTGTCTGAAGGGTACGAGAGGGGGACGATTTTGTGAACTTTGATAAGGCCATAAGAAGTAGATTCTTTGTTTTGCGTCCTGGCAAAATCCAAATCATGCAAGGGTACAAGGAAAACAAACACAAACTCAAGAGAAAACACAAACTTGTTTGCTGAGAATTGTTTTCATTTTATGGGGATAAAAGGGGATGACATACCAATTTGAAGTGATTACAATAGATACATTTTATACAATATAATTTAAACATAGCTATAATTCAAGGGTAATTAGAAAATACACAATGTATGCCAAAGTAATCAATAACACTGTCAATTTTGACACATCAAATTATCCGCCATTTCGTCTGATTCTGATTGAACGAAATGTGATGGTACTTTCAGACCCTTGTGATTGCAATTTGGATGTGTTTGTTTTTCTGATTTACTCAAAATCATGCAAGCAAGGGGACGCAAAACAAAGAATCTACTTCTTATGGCCTAATGCTTTTTCTCCTGTAAACGCGCTTGATAGCTTTATATTGAAGTTTTGAAGTTGTAAATTATATACTGAGACAAATGTTATTATATGACTCTGGCATAACCCAGCAGTGGTCTTTGTAGAGTAAGACCCCGGTGTAAAAGGGTAGGTGGTCCTATGAAATTTTGGTCCTACTCTCTATTCATTTATATGGTGACCTAATTACAATTATTTTCCTTATTATTTATACACAGTCAGGGCCAGTAAGGGCCGTAAGCTAAGGAAAGGGGACCATAATCCCCAGGGGACCATCATTTCTTTCACACCGGGAGACTAATTATATCCCTCGGATTTAGCTATTGTGAAATCCACAGATTGTACAACGGTGTACTTTGGTATACCATCTCGAGCATTAGATAAAGAGGGACTCTGATAAATCAGAAAAGTTCTATCTTTGTTTTAAACTTACAAGTCAGATATTTGAAACTTCTAAAGTTTTGAATTTCGCGCCATGGCATAATGTACCAAAAAGTGCTTTATCTCAGTAGAACAGCCTCGTTATGAAAATCAACAAAAATGAAAAAATATGAAAATGTAATAAACAATATTTCCACTGTATAACACAATAAGAAGACATGTTTACACCATGAAAGGTAATTCAATCATTAGTTAGTTTGCGTTTGTTGACGTTTATACAACAAACATTGTCACGTGAGCATCACAAGCATTCATAAACCATCGATCATGATATGATGTGACACAGGAGCGTGAAGCGCCATCTATACTGTTCTTGATGGAAGTAGTAGCATAAAGTTAGTAATATAGATTTCTACCCCTATCCAGAACACTTCAAATGGCGCTTTATGCATTGTGATGCCCGGGGGTTCACTGTATACAAAATCTGGTGGAGTGCGGATCATTTTACAAATTTTTGCAATGCTAACATTCGCAGTATTATCTTGCCAAAATAGCAAGATTGAGGTATGAAATATGTTTTTCTAGATCCTTTAGGGTGTTATCCCGAGCCTGAAATTATTTTCACCATGGTCTTGCCTCAAGACTATGGACTCACCTTATGGTCAGGGTGCATGATGGGAAATTTTCTGCATTCCTCAATTGAGTCACATGTTATTTTTCAAACAAGAATCACTCCTTCCCCACATTGTCTATATCTTCCAGTTTTGCACAAAGAGTGCACTTATGTGCCTAGAAAAGACTTGTGAGAAGGATGTTTTGATAAAGTGTATAAAAAATGAGAAAATTCAGTGAAAAAAATTTCTGAAAATTTTCTGATTTTTTTCACTGAATTTTCTCATTTTTTATACATTTTACAAAACAAACCTTCTCACAAGGCTTTTCTAGGCACATAAGTGCACTCTTTGTGCAAACTTGGAAGATGTAGACAATTTGGGGAAGGAGTTATTCTTGTTTGAAAAATAACATGTGACTCAATTGAGGAATGCAGAAAATTTCCCAACATGCACCCTGTCCTTAAGTATGAAGGCATTTGTGTATTGCCTTGCTTTTTTCAGGAAAGTATCATTACACTGTCTTCTTTTAGAATATCTAGAAACAGGTCAATGGTAGCTCCTGTGTTGTCTGGAAACTTTGAAAGAAAATTTGGAAAAATAGAAAGTGTGAAATATCAGAATTTCCTGTAGTTCCCATTAAACGCCTACCAGATATTCAAAAAGAAGACAATGTAATGATACTTTCCTGTAAAAAGCAAGGAAATTGACACATGCCTTCATACTTTATTTTGTACCAGAAAATAACATGTGCAGGTATAGCAATTTTTTACCAAAATGTTAACTTTCCAGCTGTACCTTAATATGCCCAAACTGCATCTACATTTTTGCGTTCAATCTTGGTCTAGCTCACGCTAGGCGATTGGTAAAACAGGTTGGAGGGGGGAGCAGGCAATAAATCTGGAAGATTTATTTTTTCCAGAGAAAGTCTTCTATTGAATTGCCTTATGGATAGGTGCATGGTATGTTCTGATCTTATAGGATCTTTTGCACTGATACGCTTCTGAGATATGAGATCTATGAAAAAAGATGCAAGGCCTGACCAACGTGCACACTGCACAAGACAATGCTTTTGCTGTAAATCGAGCAACAATGGTCTATAGATACAACCTGTAATAAATTCTTGTTTTGACGTTATTTATAACAAAATTAATGCCATTGGTGACCCAAAGAAGGGGTTTAATAGGTGGCAGGCAACAATTTTCACCTGTTACTAGTTTTTATATTGTTTTTAAATTTTTGCTGGTTGCCCTGTGTGTGAAAGCACGACCAGGAGATATGATCTAAATACAATAATCTTTGCTTTGAATAAGTGCTATATTGTTGTCGTATTTCGCTGATAGGAATGCATGAATGCTCGTCTGTCTGTCTGGGCTGGCAGGCACCACTGAATTTTGAATTTTTCAATAGAAAGTGCGATATTCATCACTGTGTGTGTCTTGTTATTGGATCTTATTATCTTTTAATAATGCTGTAGTAGACGTATTTGAGATATTTATAGACAGACAACACCCTCTTGAGTGTTTTTTACATGATAGATTAGAACTGAACTTTGGTAATATGGACTGAATTGCGCTATCAATGTCAGGAGTTAGTACATTGTTTTACATGGGTATTGCATGAATAATGTAACATCTTTGACTTATCACCTGAAATTACAAATGCAGTGATCTCCCTAACCTCTGGGCAACAGGCAGACAAACCCTGTTGAAAATTATATCACACCCTGAGCTGACAATCTGCTTGCAACATGTCAAAAGGATGAAAACCCATGAAGATACCTTATATATGGATATCGTACATAGAAATGGTTACAAAAATATCATGTTATCTAAACTAGGGTACTTGCAAGTGAAAACATGTGATTAATGTTTAAACCAGTTTTACTTGTTTACAAGTGTAAATTGTAATTGATACGTTTATCTGTTTAACCAACACTTGAATTTTTGATCTTTTGGCAGGTTGTACCATGTGATTATATGGTAGAATGTACCAGATAAAACGCCATTCACAACACAGCGCCACACTATATATGGGAATGTCCAAAGATGGAGCAGTTGAATATGATCTTTCCAAATGGACTAGAACTTAACTTGATCTAAAGGAATATTAAAGGACACCATTGTTATAATGGATATTGGTGGTGATGGTAATGCAGTTGGACAAGGGAGAAAGGATGAGTATATGTCAAATAAAGATAGCAATGGTCATGGTATAGGTGATGGAATTAAATATCCTGATGATCCTCAAATGCAGAGTTATACAAGTGATAATGTATTTTATGGTGAGACTGAGTCAGACTTGCTGAATGATGATAAAGATGTATCAGTTAAAGAGATATTAAATGATGATGTTAAAGCAAGGTGTCAGTCTGACCCTGGTATACAAGAAGAAACTACAGCTGATGTGCATGTAGGTCATAGTGCAATAAACCCAGCGATTTCCACTCAGTCTTTGCAATCTAACATGTCACATAATCCTACTCCTAAGTCTTCCAACTACACAGTTAACATTCCAAGAGACAATATAGAGTCTTCCATTAATAGTGGCAATGCAGACACCCCAGATTCCCATTTGTGCCTTACAGACCCTTCTGGTGTTAGAAATACTGTTCTCGATTTTAGGACTAAAAATTTACATTCTAATGATATAGAAGCCACTGATGGTGATTCTAAAAGTAAAGTTGTACGTCAAACTGGTGCAGTACGATTTAGAGATCAACAGCTCAATGATGATGAAGATGACTACCGTGTGTCATCATCTGAGCGTTCCCATTCATATCATGGTGATACCCAACATTTCAGGTCACATAGGTCTAGACCGAAAACAAAAACAAACAAAATTAAGCCGATTCAAGCCTTGGATTACCATGGCAGGGCCATCAAAATAAAGTTTCCCCCACCAAGAATTATCCGAAGATCCAAAAGTTTAGATGAAAGTAGGCTTGGCAAACGTTCTCGCTCAAGGCATAGATATGCTCGATTACACTCTGAAAATCGTGCTCAATCTGAATCTGAAGATGACCTTGAGGTTCCTGATGGACCTAGAGGTTATGTCATTCCTCCATATATATCTGAGGAAAGTAGCAGCGAGAGTGATGAAAGTGATGATTCATCAACATTTTCATTTTCAACATTATCTCGAAGACAAAAATTACTGCTTATTATGATGTTCCTTGCCAATGTTGTTGCTTTTATGTGCATGGGGCTCCCAGCTCCCTTCTTTCCTACTGAGGTAAGTAGAACCTGATTTTATAATTATTTTTGGGGGTTGGTACATATCTTTTTCAAATACATGTACTGCCAATTAATTTGATTTTTGTGTACTAGTACAGTCAGCTGTATTGCTTAAAAATGTAATCGGAATTTCTTGTAATCAGGTCAAGGGATCATCAATGAATATTAGGTCTAAATCTTCCTCATGATAAAAGCTTGTAGGCCTTCTTTTGAAAGCGCTTTTATTGAAAACTCCATGCCTTTACCTCATTGATCATGATGTTTTACTTTCAGGCATCAGACAAAGGACTTAGCAAAACAGTATCTGGATGGATTTTTGGAATATTTGCCTTGGCACAGTTTGTTGTTTCCCCAGTCTTTGGAAAATTGGTTTGTACATTGTTCATATAATTGAAACTTTGTTATTGTTTTGCTCATGCACTGATTTTTTTCTCATTTATCTGATTTATGATAAAATTGATTCTCTCCAGCTTGTCATTTACCATAGATTTTTGAAGTAGAATGTGAAGTTAAGAGGATTTTCATATCATGTATCATTAGGAACCTTTGTGCATGTATTACTTTAAGATGCTTGTGCATGTTTCAAATAGATTTTTTTGCTATTTTCAGCTTCCTGTGATAGGGACCCGGTTCTTGCTACTTTCTGGAGAGTTCTTAGGTGGAGGATGTACAATACTATTTGGGTAACTATTTTGAAAACTTTTAAGCAAAATATATTTGCATCCTAAATCAAGGGTTTCATTGATATGCAGTATGCAGTATAGGTGATTTTCTTTTATTGTTCTCACCAAAATCACCTTTCTTAATAGGAATTTTGCAACTACATATAATTTTCAATAGCCTATTTTACCTGAGGTTTTCATTTGTTTTGCCTTACCAGAAATTCAAATGTTAGATGTGCAGTACACACTCAGCACTTTGAAAAAGAATATACATGTATCATGTTTTCAGTGTGCTGCATTTTGTTCCTCAATACATGAGAATTGAGTACATCGTGCTCTGCTTCGTGTGTCGTGTTATCATGGCCATAGGCTGTGCAGCCTGCACCACAGCTACATATGCCATTACTGCTTTAGAATTCTCTGACAGTATCGCCACTGTGTTTGTAAGTATACTTTATAATCTCTCTTCATCGTCATTGCTTTCCCTTGGGAAATATTGATATCATCCTTGTGATATTTCCCAAAATCATATCAAATCCTTCCTGGTGAATAACTTCTTCTTAGTGAAAGGAGGAGGGGAAAATTCCTTTACAGTTATTGTGCATTGCATTTTTGTTGTTTTTACCTTGTTTTCACAATTTGCATCAATGACCATGTATAATGCATATATAAAGTATTGTTTTTGTTTTAGGGAATATTGGAGACTGGTGTAGGAGTAGGATTGATGATTGGTCCTGGAATTGGAGGACTCTTGTTTGATGTAAGTTAGAGGAATTCCAAGTGTTAGAAATGACCGAATATTGCAGTTTGATTACTTTCCTGGACAAGACCAGTTAAGTTGAGCTGAATAAGATTGTTTAACACTTTTAATCATGGCATTTAAAGTTCCAAAAGCCAACTTTGAACGGACATTCATGCATATATCGAAAATAGAATCATCAGAGAAGGTTTTAAACCATGCAATCATAGCTAAATTCAACTCACATTCCGTCAACAATATTATATAAAGATAGGCTACATTCCAGACATTCAAGATGAGCCAATGGTTTGCCATGTCTAACTACACTATTATATACAGTATTCCAATTGATTAATTTAATTCCATTCTTTGTTTCAATTTCATGATGTCATTTTGATATATTCCAGGCAGGGGGATTCTGGCTTCCATTTGCAGTAGTTGGCGGACTTATGATTCTATGTGTGCCATTTAGCTTCTATATTCTACCTTCACAAACAGGTACAGCCTTGCGTGATATAAGTCTCAAGTGCTCCTCTTTACTATTCCCTGTGTCTGTTGAAAGGGCTTTGCTGTGGAGCATTTTTAATTTCTAGTTAATACTGTACCTGCCACACAGACTTGTCTGTTGTAATTGAATATTTTATATTTTTTATTGAATAAAAAATTATTGTGGATAATATAACTTCTTACTGAAGTAACTACAGTTATTGAAAGATCCAGAAGAAACAAGATATTTTTGTTTCCCTTTTTACTGTGATGATACTTCTATTTCAGAACAAGATAATATGGATGAATCTGGGTCATTCCTTGCATTCATAAAGATTCCCTCATTGATGCTTGTATGGCTTAGTGTTGTGCTCTCATCCTTTGTCTGGTCAATCTTTGATCCTATCTTGGCACCACACTTAACACAGGTATGTAACTTTTATATGGCCAACAGGGCATTTATTTCAAAGGACAATACTACAAGTATATTTCACAAAGGATTGTGAGCAATTTTTATCCACAATATTTTTATCAATGCGGGGTGGTTGTAGGTAAAGCTCTTGTCCATAAAATGACTATGTAATGTATGAACACTATTTTTGTAACACAAAGCATATGCAGTCTGCAACCATAGTTTTTGGTGCCTAATAGTGGCCACATACATGTAGATGTATAATGACAATGATTGTCTATCATAAATAACAAAAGTTAAAATAAATCATTATTCAAACAATCAATGTGATAATTTTGTATTCTCCTGGAGTATTAATTACATGTAATATTAAAAATGGTAAAATATAAGAAATCATTTATTTTTATGTCTAACTTTTCAGTTTGACTTGAGTCCCTCCATGTTAGGATTGATTTTCCTGCTGCTGTCAGCCTTCTATGGGATTTTCTCACCCATATGGGGGTGGCTTACAGATAGAATAGTAAGTAACATCGAGATGTCCCCTCATACATTCTAGTTAACTTGTGTACATGTATGTACCTGTGAATCACATGAACATGTACCATCATCTATTACTTACTGAATATGTAAAAATTGCATATACATGTACAGTAGTTTGGAAAGAGTGGGGGAAGAGTCTGCCAAGACCCACAAAAAACAGATGTTTTCTCTTATCAGGACATTAAAGCATTTTAAGTTCATAATTTCTTTCTCACTTTCAATCGTATATGCAGTATATGATATTGATTTGAATTTTATTTCAGGACAAATACAATAATATCTTACCCCTTTTGAGTATTGGATTCCTAGTTGCTGCAGGTGCTCTTCTGTTAATTGGACCTACACCCATTATCCCATTTCTAAGTGGCTATAGGTAAGATACAACAGTAAATACATGTATAAATTACCCCTTTTTCTTGCCTTATGGCTTTATGAAAATACTTAAGAGAATGCTAAATGAAGTTTTGGATCATGTTCAAGATTTTCAAGCTTTTAATGAAAGGCTTTTAGAATGATATTTTAGGAATATATCCATTGCCAGGCCCGTAGCCAGGATTTGCCAAGTTTTCAAAAAAGTTCAGTTTTCAAAAATGTCCAGGGGGGTTCACATTGACAATTTTGGCCCAAATATGCCTAGAATCACTTGAGAAGTGCTCAAAATGGTGAAAAACTGCATGATTTTGAAAGAATTTTTGGCCAGGGGGGGGGGTTCCCGAACCCTGCGAACCCCTCCCCCCTGGCTACGGGCCTGATTGCTGTTCAGTTTTTTTCCATTTGACTCATATGGGGACCCAGGATGGGCACTGTTTAAATCATTGAATTAAAATGATATACATTATTTGCAGTGAATTGTGGTTAAATCTGGTTGCGCTGAGTGTGCTAGGTATTACAATCAGTCTCACAATGGTGCCTACCTTCCAATATATGCTAGAGGCTGCCACGTAAGTACCTCACAAATACACTCTGTTAGTGGAGATACATTTCTGTCCAAGATTAAATATTTGCAAGGAATTTCTTAATGCAATTGTAACTGTTAAACATTCATAGTTTTGAAGTTACCAGCCACTAAATGGCAAAAACGTAACACACAAGTACTAGAACCTTTATAAATATAAAACATAAATAGTATGACATTTTAACTTTACATGTATGTACATGTATATTTGAACTACAAAGTACCATATTTACCAAAATGTACAATATCATATTTCCGCAGTATATATCAAACATTACATTGTCTTATCTAGGGACAAGGGTATTCCAGAAAACATACAAATGTATGGTGTTTGTGGGGGCCTTTTGAACGCAGCAGAAGCCCTTGGGTAACCAATCATGGGTCAAAATACCATGAGATCTTGAGATTGAGACCTAGCCCTTTCATAAATACAATATTCTTGGCCAATAATAATATTGAACAAAAAAATGTTTATATTTTTGTTGAACATTATACAGGCCCGTAGCCAGGGGGGTTCTGGCCAAAATTTCTTTCAAAATCATGCAGTTTTTCACCATTCTGACCATTTTTTGTATGATTTTTGGCCAAATTTGCCAAAGTGAACCCCCCCCCTAGAATTTTTGGGAAAAGTGAACCCCCCCTTGGAAAATTCTGGCTACGGGCCTGTTATAATACCATATGGTTGCAGTATAGATATCCTTGACAAGGGTTTCATTCCTCCAGATCTATGGTCTTCACCCTTTCTTGTTTTAGATGTTTGGGGTGCTGTGTGCTTTGATGAATAGAACTGTTTAAGTGTTATAATTTTGAAGGTCAATCACAAACTTTAATGGTCCCTTTATCATAATTAAAAATGATGAATAAATTGATGATATAATTGATATCAAAAACTGCAGCATGTGCACATTGTTATGTCTAGGAAGCACAATCATGATTATTGCATCCTTAATATTCTTTGGAACATTTTGCTTAAATGAGACCATTTTTTGTGATTTTCTAACTCAGAATTGGATTATAAACATTTTAGCTTTACTAGTTTATAATTGTTTTATTGCTTTTATAATAATATTCTAATACTGTATTTAGAAATTGCTGCTTTTTGTGTATAGTGTGTACTTTACTAAAAATATATTTTATTTATTTGTTTACTAATCTGATATTTTTGTCTGATTTTTATCTGAAAATATATTTGCATTTGTTGAAATCCATCTTTGCTTCAATAGTTATCGCTATTCAGTGGTGGAGCTATTAGATTACGTAACATTTGCATTGACCTAAATGACAGCAAAATTTAGTTAACCACTTAGGAAACTTACTTTAAAGGTCCATGTGCAGTATGGCAAGTGATTTTAGACAGTCACATCTTTCACCATGAGTATTTTCTCGGTATAAATACAGTTGTTTTTATCAAAACAATATGTTTTCTTTAAAGTGAAGTCCCCATGATAGCAAAATACCATTCCCACTCTCTGAAACATTATGGATTAGGACCCCACCTTGTCACTTTTTCAAAAATGTAAGGCTTATTTTCTAAAAAGAGGATCTTGTTTTTCTCAATTTAGATGTATCAAAAGTTTCTTCTACACTATATTAATAACTTCTGAGAAGGGGATGGGTATTGAAATGCGGTAAAGTTTAAAACAAGATTTCCCATGTTATTTTCTCATAGGGAAAACTCATGCTATCCATTGTTTTCAGCATGATTTTGGGCATCGAAAATTTATACCTTCAAAACTAGACTTTCAATACCATTCTACTTTTGAAGATGTTTTAGACCCTTGTTGAATAATCTTTTCATGCAATAAAAATCAGAAAAAGAAGATTCTCTTTTGAGCAAATAAGTTCAACATTTTGAAAAAATTGTTGACGTGGGGTCCCTATTTATAATTTTTCGAATTGTTCGAATGATACTTTTATCATCATGAGGACTTTACTTGAAAGAAAACATATAGTTTTAATAACAATCACTGTATTTATGCCCAGAAAGCACTCATGGTGAAAGATATGATCGTCTAAAATCACTTGCCATACTGCACATGGACCTTTTTGGATAAAACTAGTCACTTTGAATGAGCATTTTGTTTAACTTTTAATATTTGAATACTAAGGTTGAACTACAGTATTTTAACATTAGATTAGGATTAAAACTAGACTTTATTACCCAATTGTCCTTATCGCTTCAACTAATAGTTAATAGAATATTGTAATTGTAAGGCTGAATAATACAGAGTGTCTCAAAAAAAATGTTACACTCACAAAAAGTTCAATATCTTTCATAATTTTGACTTTTCCCTAAAATATACTTTAGATACCAAAAGACAAATCTTTCTCGAATAATTTGACACCATCAAATTCAAAATCTGTCATCGATTGGCTCCACATGACAGCTTTTAGTGTCCCATGGTAAAATCTGACTTGCGCCAACTTCTAAGTGATTGGATTGACCAAATGACAAAAGAGGAACAGTTTCTTTAATATTTAACTTTCTTCTGAGTAGAAGCTTGACCTTAAACTGAGTCATTATGTAATTTTCCTTTTTGTCTTACATATGATCATTGGGTATAAGACATAAACATGTGGTCCCCTCAACATGTTCTCCAAATTAAACTTGAGGTACCCTTGCCCATGCGCACATGAATTGTAATATCACTCTGATTCTATCAATTAATTTTGCAGAAGTTCATTTAGGTCAGTTTGTAATGCTGTAAACTGCTTTCAGAGGCCCTTAAAAAACTCAAGGGTGTAAAGTGGGATGACCCTGGGGGCCAATCCATTGGGTAATTCAATGCTATCTTCTAATTTCCAAAGAGTTCTACCAAACGATCTGCCTCAGGCCTTTGCACCATCCTGTTGCCATCATAACAAAATTGAACACTCTGACAATGAAATCTTGTATTTCTATCCAGGAAAGAAACAACTGGATCATTGATCATATCAAGATATCACTGTCCACAGCATTCATACCAAAAAAGAATTGATCACCACATGTCCAGCCACTGAGAAGTTGGCGCAAATCACATTTCACATGCGTCTATAAAATCTGTCCTGTACAGCCAATCTTGGACGGATTTTGAATCTGATGGTGTGAATTTATTCGAGAAAGACTGGTCTTATGGTATCTAAGTATGTTTTAGGGGAAAAGTCAAAATCATGAAAGATATTGAACTTTTTGTAAGTGTAACATTTTTTTTGAGACACACTGTAGAGTATGTATCATTCAGTATGGTCAAACATGTATATTTTGATAATCTTAAAATGATGTACTTTATTTTGCAGTGATTTCAGTGGGCCTGTGTTGGGTGGTCTAATCACAGACAAAGTAGGATTTCCCCTATGCATGACATATACAGCCTACATGTGTGCAATTATGGTAAGTAATAAACATTTCTTTTGTTTGACATATTCAGTGTACATGCGCACAGTTATGACAAGAAGAACATCTTCTTTATATGGTAACTTCAAGATGTGTGCAAATGATTCACACTTATTGTATAGACATGAAGGTAGATTCTGAATCAAAATGTAACTGTATTCTACAATAGTTTTGCATTCAATTTTACATGTAATGATACTCTGATAACCATTCCAGGCATTTCAATATTACATGTATATGATACTCTGATAACCATTCCAGGCATTTGATGTATATGATACTCTGATAACCATTCCAGGCATTTGTGTTGATCTCGCTGTATATTACATGTATATGATACTCTGATAACCATTCCAGGCATTTGTGTTGATGTTGCTGTATATTACATGTATATGATACTCTGATAACCATTCCAGGCATTTGTGTTGATCTCGCTGTATATTACATATATATGATACTCTGATAACCATTCCAGGCATTTGTGTTGATCTCGCTGTATATTACATGTATATGATACTCTGATAACCATTCCAGGCATTTGTGTTGATCTCGCTGTATATTACATGTATATGATACTCTGATAACCATTCCAGGCATTTGTGTTGATCTCGCTGTATATTACATGTATATGATACTCTGATAACCATTCCAGGCATTTGTGTTGATCTCGCTGTATATTACATGTATATGATACTCTGATAACCAGTCCAGGCATTTGTGTTGATCTCGCTGTATATTACATGTATATGATACTCTGATAACCATTCCAGGCATTTGTGTTGATCTCGCTGTATATTACATGTATATGATACTCTGATAACCATTCCAGGCATTTGTGTTGATCTCGCTGTATATTACATGTATATGATACTCTGATAACCATTCCAGGCATTTGTGTTGATGTTGCTGTGGGGCTGGCAATCTAAGTGTGGCCCCTGTGTAAATAAACCATCATCAGCCAAAGAACATTCAAAGCTCAAAGTTGAGGTGAACAGTGACAATAGTTTATCAACTAGCCATGCAGACGAGAGGTCTAGTCTTTTGAGGGATGTAGCGGGAATAGAGCGGCAACAGTATTATGGAACTGCTTAATAGGCCTAACTACCTGACTCTCGTTGCAGTATTTAAAAATGTGGACCCACAAAAAGTGTGATCATTTAACATAGTATATTTCCTGTCTCTTTTAAGGCTAGATAATGAGAGTGACATATATATCAGGTGGATTAGGGAAGCAATATATCAGGAACTTGGAGTATAAACAGAGACTTAATAGGCCATTTCATAAAAGGTCATTTTCAAGCCCACATGTTTTAGGGACCTGACATAACCTTCTGTAACATGTTCAGAAATATCTAAAAATATGTAAAGTATAGCTTTATCATACTCAAAATGCTAAAGCAATAACTTTTTAGGCACTACAGCTGTCATGTTTTTACCAAGCACCTTTTTCCTTTTGGTAAATAGAACTTTTAACAATTTTGTCATTACAGCGACTAATAAACTAGATGCGAGTAGAAATAATTTTGATTTACGTCATTAAATATTCAAAATTCGTCGTGTCATATTTGAAATCTACATGTAAAAGCACATCTAGAAATATGGTTTTGAAAATTGTTCATCAACTTTGAAAATTTAATTTTTTGGAAAATGTGACTTCTAGTTCGGGTTGATTCCCCATATTACAAAATCACAATAATTGAAATATCTTTTCTTGTATTGCACAGATAACATTTTCTCTTAGTCTTACGGGACATATTTTAAATTGCATAACTATTAGATACATAGGGGTTATATGAAAATTGAACCACTAAATAAGATGTAATTTAAGTTAAAGGGAACTTTCTACTATTATTCACTTGCATCTGCGTTATTAGTATTCATTGTATTGGAAATTTAGAGATACAAACATGGTCGAACTAAGGTCTTGAAGTGAGACTGTGGTTAAATGTATGTTGTATGTGTTCAGATATCTGTACAAATGACTTGTCAATCCAGACTGGATGGTTTATGGGGAGTTAGTGCCTATTACACATCCACAGATGGAATCTTTTCGAATTGCAGTATTGAAAATAAGTTTTTTTGTACAATATGAAATGGATCTTTACTAATTCATTACACAGTCAAGCCATTTCGAAATGCGTTGTGTTTTCTAAAAAATGAGGGTTTGTGTAAAAAAACGGGTGACCGGGTAGCTGGAGAAAGAGTCGAAGGCATGCGAGGCGAATCCTGGAAACCCGGGTTTGGGAAAGCAGGGTTCACTGTGAGTTTCTGTTGACAAGTGTGCGAAACTACATTCATAATTCATACGACAGTGAACAGGAGGTCTACAGTCAGACCCGGGTGCGCCAATCCCTTGTTTAAATGTTTGTTTCGCGGACCAGGGTTTAAGGCCATTCCAAACGAAATAAGTATTTAATGAGGCCACGAAATATAAAAGTTAGTTTTATTAGAATTTTATATGTGTTATTTTGTATCTACCAAGACGTTAAACATATTGGCAATAGTTACGTATTATGACCGGTCTTAAATGTGCAAAGCTAGAAGACCCCTTATACTCTTTCGTTCTCTATTTTGACTAAGATATGATATCAGTAAGCCTACAACGGCTACTAAAACAAGGAAAAATTGGCCAGTAGAGATGGGGATCTTGAAACAAATTTATTTTTATTCATATATATGAATAATATTTGATTTAAATACAATTCCACACTATTACCATCCTCCAGTGATGCAATTTCTATTGTGTCTGTCTTGGATAAAATCTTACATATTACAATTGATAACGAGGAACCCTTCTAATAAAAACAATTAAATCCAGGTTTGAAAACTTGCGAAAATAACACGAACGAGTCTAATTATGAACTGTTCACATTTTTGCAAAGGCGGGTTTGGATGACGGCAAACCCGGGTTTTGAGGGCGCGACGTATGGCAACGAGTGCTTCTGGGTAGCTGGGTGACCGGGTACCCTACCTTCCTACCGGGGTTGGGAATTTGATTTTTCATTTTATGCCTCAAAACGCTCAACTGACATCCCAATCAATGTACCAGTGACACAACCAATCAAGCAAACAACCAAACAAGCAACAACATTTATTTACCAATAAATCAACCGGCAAAACGAAAAACAAAATTAATATACAGTGTAATATCAATCAGTGAGGCAATAAATCAAGCAACTAACATTGTATTGTACATCGTACACTAATTAACAGATAAAAACGGCAAATAAAGTTTCAATTTACGCGTACGTAAATCTTCCAGATTTGTTTAAAATCTAGTAGAAATCGGCATCATAGAAAACAATCATCGATATCCTGTCAATTACTCACTCGGACAATAAATCAAGCAACTAACGTCATCATACGTGTAAACTGTGTAAATAACTACCTAGGACTTCCGAAATTCAGTTTCTTACAGGTTCTTGGTAAAATGACAACGTAAAAATATTGAAGCTTAGTCTACAAATGTGCAACTTTGAAAGTCGGTAACCCTGCAAGGAACGTTAAGTACACAGTTACCCAGTCACCCAGCTACCCAGTCACCCTGTTTTTTACACAAACCCCCAAAATGACCTAGAAACCATTGTTCCTGAGAGAAATGGAAAACAATTCTTTCATTGATACTTTCAACAGTCAATCTGCATGCTATGAACAGCATACTGCACATATCAAGCATCTCAGTTTACGTATATCAGTACCCATGTGTATCAGCGCTTGTTTTAATGCATACACACTAAGGGAGCACGTCAAAAGATCAATGTCACCAAATAAGCTATATATTATCAGTTAGGGGGGGTGTCTGGAACCCAAAAATAAGCATCCCCAACATTGATTGCATAAGCCAACACAGCCAATATATAGAAACCCATCTAATGATTATGAAAGACTCATCAAGGTACACCATGATATATTTTTTTGTTAAGAATACCTTGTGTCAACATTTTCCATATATAGTTAACAGGGGGAGGGAGGGGGTCTGAGACTTAACTGATAATTTATAGCTTTTTGTGCTACATTGAACTTTTGACGTGCTCCCTAATAAATGAAAAAGATGAAGGGTGTTCACAGAAAGCATGTTCAAGTGTAAAATTGTTCACGTTGATGAGGCACAACTCATTTTAGAAATGTAGTGGACTAAATATTGATACTGGTAGGCAAAATGCCATACTATTAAATTGTGTTTAAACCTTTTTACGTTGAATTTGAAGAAACAAAAATCAAAAAGATTTCTACAGTACATTTCTATACTATACAATGTACAACTTCTCGTAAAAATTAAAGAATATGGTGAACCAGGTGTACAAGGTTCCAGGTTCAGCCTACATCATGATGAGCATGAGATATGAAACTATGTTATAATTTGTGTGTCAGTCAAAAACATAAATAAAGCTATCGCCAGCTTTATTTTGTTTAGAATCTTGAATAAGTCTAGTTTTTAGTCAACAGTATAGACTTAATTGATTTACATATTAATGTCTTTTGTGTTAAACCAATCATATTACATAATAATTATTAACATACAATTATGACACTTATAGGTCATAACATTTTGATGCTTTTGCTGAATAATTAATTTAATGGTCATAAAAATTTAGCTTCGGCCTATAATAAATTGTTGATTATTAATTCCTTGGATGATGTTTCGTAGGATCTGACTTTTTAAGTTTATTGTGATGACCCGCTCTTGGGATAAATATTCAAGTACGAGTTTCATTTAAGTTTGGACATATAGTCCTCTTATACATGAAGAATATTTTATAAAAATTAAGAACAGTAATTGAGATATTAATACATGTGATGTAGCAATTTGATGAATACTAATATTGAAGAAAAATAAAAGTTAAAAGATTGAAATGCATTATTGAATATTATTACCAGGGTTACAGAATTATCCCGAATATATATAGAATACATCTTGTAAACATTTGTGTTTAATGGAATATTGCAGTATGATAATATGCAATACCAAAATATTAGTCATCATGTCTGATGTTAATGGTGGAAATAAAGCAGTGTTTTGAAGAAAGTAGTATGTTTGTTAATAAGTGACTGGTGAGAGGATGTGACTCCAGTTGCCTTATAGAACCTAAAAGCCAAAATACAGTACTAAATTCTGGCATTAAATCCGATTCAAGTGTAGTCTTGCTTCAAGACCCTAAACCCCGTCCCTTGTCTAATTCAAAAACAGTTGTTGATGTCGGGGAAGGGGGTTTGGAAGCAAGACTAGTTCAAGTGTGATATTTTAATGAACCTAACAAATTGAATGGTACTAGTAGGATCAAGATCACACATGATTGAAACATCTACTTTTAGGCCAGGTGTAAAAGATTAAGTGGTCCTATCAAATTTTGGTCCTACTCTCTATTGATTTATATGGTGACCTAATTACAATTATTTTCCTTATTATTTATACATAGTCAGGGCCAGTAAGGGCCGTAAGGAGAGGGGACCATAATCCCCAGGGGACCATAATTTTTTCTTTAACACCGGCTTTTAGGCATCATATATATAAGGCTATAGTGAAGTGATAAGTTTAGAATATCTGACTGCCCCTTGTTTCAACTAGACATGTTATAACACAGGAGTTGGAGCAACTGAAACCTTGTGAATCAAGATGTAATAGACTGTTTTCTATATGCTAGATGGAAAAATAGATGGCAGCACGTCAATTTTTATAAATGTAAAACACCATTGAAATGTAACTGCATGATCTGTGTATTGTGTATAAACATTTAATTTGTGATCCTTATAAGAGTAAACGAACATTGTGTCAATGGGGATTTAGCCAGACCTTTTGAAAATTGAAGGAATATAAAACATTTAAATTCAAATATTGTCGTATGAGAGTAATAAGTACCATTTTTGAAAAATATTGAGATTTTCACAGATTTCCACCATATAAATCATCCTCTTTCTTCCTTTGATATTCCCTTACCTCCATCTCTTCTGAATAGCCTGTTTTTCAGTTTTTGAATTACACCATGTGACTAGGAATTAAATTACAATTTTAAACTGAGATTTGGATTTATTTTGAAAAATACATCTCATATACGGTCATATCAGGCTTTAACATTATGACAGGCCTTGCAACCATTGTCACGGCCATATCAGACTTTAACATTACCACGGTCATGTCAGGCTTTGCAATATAGTATAGCATTGTTACGGTCATATCAGGCTTTTACATTACCACGATCATGACAGGCAATGCAATATAATATAGCATTGTCACGGTTATACCAGGTTATCACGATAACACTACCATGGTCATGGCAGGATCCTTACGAAACTTAAAAACACTTAATAACATGGTGATAGTTGTGCCAGGCATGAGTCTTGCAACAGATAGGGTTATTTGTTTAATTCCACATTTTCAAGATACTTTATGCCACTTTTATTTTGTCTCTGGTGCTTTTTTCCACTTTGTGCAAACACTTGTGTGTTTTTGTTACTCTGATGATTTATAGAAGTCTCTTTTTTAGTTTTTCTGTTTTTCCTGTTGATTTCTTTGCAGTTTGGGATGTATTTTCCACAGTCAGCACTGTCAATGGTATATTCTAAAAATATAGGGAATAGTATATAGAGACTAAAAGTCCAAAAGGCTTTTGTGACAATATTTCCCGAAGTGTTATATTTCCATTTATCCTTCAAACTGTGACATTTATGCTAATAACTCGACATGTATATGATTCTTACATACCCAATACGATCAAAAACGTTACTAACATACCAAATGAAAGGTGATTTCCTGGTCAAACTTGCAAAAGTTTGTCCAATTCGCATTTGAACCGAATATTTACCGGAAGTGTTTATATTTCCATTTAGGTGTCACTACGGTAAATCATTGAAAAATATTGGAAAAATCACAAAATTCAAGTTTGGGATACATATCGCCATTTTCGAACGAATTAGCCCATACAATAACTATATTTCTGCGTTCCCCTATACATAACCTTCATCTTGACCATACATTTAACATAGGGTTTGCGTCTCGATTTTTAAATATCACTACGCCAACATAGGGACTCATTTTTAGGTAAAATCCCTACTTCACCGATGAAAATTAACGAATAAAGTAGTTCCAGTTTACGGCACTATATTTTTTGCGATTTCTTTCTAAAATGGCACATTTAGAAAGTAATTGGCCTCGGCTTTACATACATACCTCAAATGGCCACAATGCATATACTTAAGGTGCTATGGATGTTAAGGTATGAGTACCGTAATCCAACACCAAATTCGAAAATTCATAACAATACTTTGCACATATGGCGTTAGTGACCAACTATAAAACGCTTACCCCCCATAGTGTTATATATCAAAATGTACCTGTTCATATAGGGGTTCGATTGATATACCTTTGATATACCTTTGTCATACCTTTTGGCGGATGGATATGGAACCTCATACCTTAACAGGAAATGACAAAACAGGAAGTGACAATTTTTTTGTATTTTTAGACATTTTTTGAACAAAGATAACAGAGTTCTGTTTTGACCTCCAGTCAATTCAACTAGTTCCAAATACCATTTACAGGTCCAGGATCACAATGTTCATGGTCAGAATGACCCTAAACATGATGAAGTAACCTTTTCTGCCCTATGAAAATGTGACTGAAAAATAGCTAAAAGTAGGTGCTCAGGAAAGGTCAATGAACAGAATTTTGTGATTTTTTCAGTAAATGTGTCCAATGTATTGCTCTAAATGATACAATCTTTTAAAATTTGATATCATTCATAGAAAAAGAAAAAAAATGAAAAAACTGATTTGAAAAGCAATCTATTTTCCTTTTTATGACCGCCATTTTTGTTTAAGACAATTTTCTAAAATTTCAAAGATTGTATCAGTTAGAGCATTATATTGGGCACATTTTCTGAAAAATTCAAAAGATTCTGTTCAGTGACCTTCCCTAGCTCCTACTTTTAGCTTTTTTCCAGTCACACTTTCAAAGGGCTAAAAAGGTTATTTCATCATGTTAAGGGTCATTCTGACCATGCACATTGTGATCCTGGTCATGTAAATGATATGTGGAAATAGTTAAATTGACTGGAGGTCAAACCAGAACTCTGTTATCTTTGTTCAGTAAATGTCTAAAAATGCAAAAACAAATTTCACTTCCTGTTTTGTCATTTCCTGTTAACTTCCATGGCACCTTAAACCTACTATGCACACCATTGAAGTTGGCATGGCTTCGTTTTTAAGTATTAAAAAACACTGTCCTACCCGGAAGTGGTATTTACCGTAGTAACACCTTAATATCCAAAAATGGAAAAATTTTACTATGATAATTTATGCTCATTCAGCATTTTTTCAAAAAATTGAGTTATTTCATGCTCAAAACAGCTGGATTTTCAAAGTTTTAACACATTTTCTACAAAATCTAGTCATATTTGGGGAAATAGGTGAGGGCTGAGTCTCTAAAAACTGGCCAAAATGACCTAAAATTGGGTCATCAACTTCAGACATCTCATGCAAAAAATTTAGATGCAAAATCCCCGAGATTATTTCATTTTGTAAATCATTATAGAAATGCCTTTCAAGTATTACACAGAATGTACTGAAATGTATGTTGCTAAATGCAAATATTTTGAGTCAAATGTGGTCCCCATGTGCAAAATCTGCCCTTTTTCTCCCCCTTTACGCCAGTTAGGCCCCGGTGTATTGTGACATCATACTCATACCATTGCTACAATGTAGCATTTTACAAATTAATCATGATTACTCTTCCTGTGATACACCTGTGGTAGTTGAACACTGTTTTTGCATAGTGATATTCCCCAGTGTGTTGACTGATTACACGCCAGCTTACTTAGTTACTTACTAAGTACGCAATAACCACCATCAAAGACCTGCCGGCACCTATTTATTTTTGGGTTGGTAATGGAATTTTACAAGGGCAATACGAGAAGAATTCAATTTTTCAGAATTTCATGATAATTACGGTAGATTTTACGGTAGTTTGAACAAGAATACTTTAAATTCCAGCAGAAATATTGTAGATTTTCAAATATTTACGGTATATTTTACGGCTGTTCTTATAGAAAAAATCGAATTATAATAAAATATTTTACGGTAGATTTTGGTAAAACTACAGTAGATTTTTTACGGTCGTTTTTACAGGAAAAAACAGTAATTTTTACGGTATTTATATTTTTTTACCGAAAAACGAATATTTTATAGTAGATGCCGGTAAAAATACGGTAGGTTGGCAGGTATGAGTTACCATGGCAACCCTGGAATAGGTAAAAATGAGAGCAAAAAACACCCAGACCCGCCATAATGGCACTAATTTTCAAAATATTTCGAGACATACAAATTTTCTTAAACTTTGATATCATCTAGAACACTTCTAGACAACAAAAATATAAAAATTGGGGGAAGGTTTATCACTTCAATTTTTTTCAAGCCTTGGTCAAAGTAAAGCTACGAAAAAAGCACTCATTTTCACTTTAGAATCACCTATTATCGCCCAAATGGCTATATGTTGTCCAGGTCGCCATGTTAAAAGTAGAATTAGAATGCTCTTCAGACAATGTTTGATAGCTTTCCTTTATCACGGAACAAAGATCTTTGCACTGGTATGCCCATTTCCATGAGATAATGCACGTGACCCACCATGGTTTGGGACCATTATTTCTTAAACATTGGATTGAAAATGATGTAATTTATATAAATGATATTGTTAAAGATGGAATGTTATGTTCATATAATGTCATAGTTCAAAAAGTACAGCGCAATGGACAAACCATGCTGAAGTATAATATTTTAAAAGCATGTGTTAAACAAGAGTTAATTACAAAGTATGGAGATGAAGAGAATAATAACAACTTGAGATTTGTAAATAGAGAATTATGTAAATCAGATTCAAAGTATATATACGATCAGAGTTAGTCTTGGCAAGAAAATGTGATATTAAATATGATAATACATTGATAAGTAAGGATGTGTGGAACACACTTTTTAATTGTACAAAAGATAATAAACTCAAAATTATCCAATGGAAGATTATCCATAAAATTTATCCAAGTGGCAAATATCTAAAACAGTGTAAAATACAAGATTCAGATAAATGTAAATATTGTGATAATGTAATTGATGATGATATGCATTATTTTGTGAAGTGTAAAGAAGTTTTAAATATTTGGAACACCTGTGATTGTAATAGTCTCAGTGATAAACAAAAACTTGGTATTGAAAATTTCGCACAAGAAAAATATTTTAAAAGTGTGATTATAAAAAAAGCTATTCATATGTTTAAATGTGATCTGCTGAATGAGCAGGAAACTTTGAAAATGATATGTAATAGGGAAAAATCATTTTACAACATGTAACCTTTATATGTAAATGTATTAATTGTACTGTATATATGTTTTTGATTTGAAATATAGTTTTTTAATAAAAAAAAATGGTGGGTTTGGGTGCTTTTTTGCTCCCATTTTTTACCCCATTTCTACGGTTGCCATGGCAACTATTAGGCTTTGGTAACCATGCCAACTTGATTTTTGAAGGACATCCACCTGATAGTAGTTGGGCCAGGTTTGATGGAAAATGGGCCTGGTTTGATATGCTGGCAGTGAGGCTGATTGTGGCAAGTAGTGAAACGGCAAAACAATGGTGGAGTCTTGTACTATAATTTTAAAATAGAGCTCTCCAAGAGAAATATTATCATGTAATGCAACAGGTAACTTATGTAAACAAATTTTTAAATTGATGTCATCTTTTTTGAATTATCTGAAATAAAAAAAGAATTTTAAATATAAAAAAAGGAATGCAATACAAAGACAGAATTGTATAATAATCACAAACTTTTAATAAATACATGCTGGTATAAAGTAAAAAAAAAAAAAGGTGGAGTCATACCATACGATTTTACACAGGACGCAGTTGTGAAAACAAAATGGCAAAAAGCTTTTGAACTTTTAGGATTATATCTAAAGGTAGAGTATACTATTGATAGTGCTGACTTTGGTATTTTCACACTCAAGTAAAATGCAGTCTGCATCATGAAAGTTTGTCACATTTGAAGAGATAGTCTCTATTGTTTTATTTCTGGGTATCTTCAGGATATTCAACGAGCCCATGCGCCAGGCAGGTACTGACCAACAGTGACCATATGGCATAGGACCAACGGCGTGTACCTTTGAGAACTGCAACCTGTCAAGCACGTGCCCGTGTTTACTAATGAAAGGGAAATCCCCTCACGTGACAGCATTTCTTGAATGACGTATTTTCAAGGTCAGAAATATCCCCCACAATGCAACAGTTTTCCTACAAAATGTCTTCGCCATGTTAGATAGACTCTGAGGAAGGTCCTTAAATCGGAGTCATCAGAGGTATGTTTCAATAATTTGATCACAAATGTGTGATATTTGTAATCTTTGATAATCGAGCTAAATATTGACTGGTATATTTCTATTATTCGTGCATACAGTTTGCAGAAATATACAAAAAACTAAGGCTGGTCTTTCGAAAATTTTCTAAAAAAATTTGACCTCTGCAATTTTTCATTCTTTGTCTTTAAAATGCCTCGCATGGGTGTTTATACTTATCATTTTCTTGATTGCAGGCGTGTAACATGAAACCTAAAGTTTAATCATAACATGCAAGAAAAGGCCTGGGACGACAATATCGAGATGCAAGCGCAGGGACAGCAAGAAATGGCTGCAAGACAACCATCAACTCGATCCCAAGATGATGCTACGGTGGGATATTATTTTCAAAGACCTCACAATGACCAGGTTCCAAATTATCAAAATAAAAGATGGGCAGCTGGGGATGATAGTGCACTTCCTCAGGTGTGTATTTCTATCCCCCAGCAACTTCCAATAACCCAGATGCGAGTAGAAATAATCTTGATTTACGTCATTAAAAATTCAAAATTCAGTCAAAGTGATGTCATATTTGAAATCTGCATGTAAAAGTACATCTATAAATATGGTTTCGAAAATTGTTTATCAACTTTGAAAATTTAATTTTTTTTGAAAATGTGACTTCTTGTTCGGGTTGATTCCCCATAGACCCCATGATACAAAATCACAAAAAGTGAAATATCTTTTCTTGTATTGGATAAATAACATTTTCTTTTACTGGATATATTTCAGTTTGCATAACTATTAGATACATAAGGGTTATATGAAAATTGAATCATTAAAACAGATGTGATTTAAGTTTAAGGGAACTTTCTCCTATACCCGCCATGCTATCTGACCCGAACGAGCCACCTGGTAGTGAATCTGGTAACTACCTACTCGCATCTGCGTTATTGGTTTGAAATGCATGTGCTTTCACAATTTGCTAAACCAAAACACTGAGGGTCATTTAGTGCACTTTCATTTTGACTTGCATCTTGGAGTTGTGTGGTTCTTTACTTTGCTGCTTTCCTTCCAGAATGTTAGTTTTACCACGGAAATATATTTCCCTTCTCCCTCCGAGTACCCCTTGAAGACCTTATCCATCATTAGTCACATTTTGGTGATTCCATGCGAGGTTTACATAGTCCTGAGTTATCCCGTGCCAGGACTATAGTTCTGAGAACGTCTTAATCTTTTACCTGTACGATTACAACATGGGAGAATTTTCTACGCCTCTTACACTTAAGATACCTACTTCAATAGATTCCTGGGTATTTTAGCATTCTTTTCGTGTAGTTGAATCCACAATTATCTGGGTTTATCGGCAGAACGGGAACATTTTTCTTTTTCATTGAGGGAGATTCCATGACTTTTCAAGATTGCGCTTAAATTTGAAAGGGGATTCCCTGTTTGACTGGCCCGGGAGTGGCCTGGAAGTACCAATAAATGGAGGAATTTGATGGTTGAAATAAGTTGAATATTACACAAAAATATTGCGATCAAAAACGAAAATTTCTTTGTTCTGCCGATAAACCCAGTTTTGGATTCAACTACACAAGAATGCTAAAATACCACGGAATCTAGTAAGTATTGAATTTGCTCGAGGACTAGAACATCGGAGAACAATCCATGCCCCAACACTTAAGGTCTCATGATACTTAACAGGTATAAATAAGAGTCCATCATTTTCAAGTAACGAAATTGAAGAAAAAACTATTTTTCAATTTGATACTTCAATTATGCAGTAAGAAACCCCCAAATCAAAGATGCATGAAAACCCCATTTTTGTGCTTTAGTATTAGGGCTGATTATGACAAATGATGTCCTCATCAGGGTGTCTGAGTCGTATCAAATACTACCATTAGCAGTTATCTCCATAGGATTTTTCTCAAGTAGGCGCAAAATTCTCATTTTCACAATTCCGATACTTGATAAAACCATCCATTTTCATTTCATTAAAATACACAAAAGAGAAAAAATGTAGTTGGCCAATTCTTTAAATTCGGGCCATGCCAAGATTTTTTGTTATTAAGATACAATCACCTAAAAAGCTTCTTACCTTGTATGTGAATGCCACAAACATATGAATAGTTCGACCCTTTGGGTACTATGACATTGTACTATAACATGCTATTCATGTCATCATACCCTAAGTCATGGAAGCATCCATAAATAATGAACATATTTTTGGAGTATATTTATCAACTTGTATGTTTGATATGGCCAGTATTTCAGAACTGTATGACAGCGGTTAAACCAATAGTATGAAATCATCCCATCGAACAAAGTTCGGGGGGATATAGGGAATGCCTCAGTTTGTCCGCCCGTCCATCTGCCTGTCCATCCGTCCGTCTGGGCAATAACTCAAATACAGTTGGGCCGATTTCGTTCATATTTTATACACACATACTAGTGGTGTCAATTAACCGCTTGAGCATTAACCGGTTAACCGGGGGTTTTTACCGGTTAAAGTCGGTTAACCGGCGGGAAATTTGAACTGATAATTTCAAATGAAATCTTCATCTTCGATCTTGAAAGTTGAAAAAAATTGGGAAAATGATATATCGGCGTTTATTATTTACGTTCGTCAAGCGTTACTCTATTCTATGTAAGTAAGCGCGGGAAAGCAATGTGGTAGGGATTAAAGTTGCTGATTGGATGTTTGTAAGGAATTATCGGACCTATCACATGTATGAGTAGCTCACATGAAACTGACGCTTGAAAAACAAACAGATTAAAATGCAAAGTAAGCGCGGGAAAGCAATGTGGCAGGGATTAAAGTTGCTGATTGGATGTTTGTAAGGAGTTAAAGGACTTATGACATGTATGAGTAGCTTACGTGAAACTGACACCATAAAACCAAACGGATTAGCATGCAAAATAAGCGCGGGAAATAACAGAATTATACACGGTCAACTAACCGCCCATAAAAACACAGACCGGTCAAGGCATTATCGGCGGTTAACCGGTTAATACTTGGCACCTCTAACACATACCCTATGAGAGTAGAAGTTCTGCTCGAAAGCTGATTTTCAAAATTGCCGTTCATTTATAAATGGTGGCCATTTTAGTGCTGATTTTACAGTAATTTGGGTACAATATGTAAAACTGCTATTGCAATATGTTTTAAATGTAATAAAATTAATAAAGCTAGAAATGTAGATATTAAAGAAGGCTTCTTAGAAGCACATGGCAGCCATCTTGAAAAATGGCGGCCTTTACTCATTATTTTACGATTTTTGCTCTAACTCGAAAAGTAATGGAACTTATTTTGTTCATATTTGGTATGTGAATACTTTAATCATGGCACACTGTCTCATGACACTTTTGGTAGAATGTGGCCATTTTGAAAAATGGCTGACATTTTGCTATATAATTTGTCTGTAAAAATGCCAGCCATGGCTGTTCGATGGGATTTGCTACGCTTTGGCGTTGCTGATGTCTAGTTGAAAAAATTAGTTACCATTGATACCTATCCTCCATTTTGAAAAAGAAGACAACGTCTGTCACTAGCTATATCCCGATACTAACCATTAATACTTAAAATTCATTTTTGATTAAAACACCATTCAAAAGTTTGTTTTGAGACCCCCTCCTATGCAGGGAGGGTAATTTTATATGTACTATTACCTCCATAGGTAGGAATTTGATGAAGAATTTCATCCCAGGAGTGAGGAATTTGATTTGCATGTTCCCCGGAGCTGGGATTTTTGACTGGATTTATTTCGCCCAGAATACACTAGTGGTGTGACTCGCCACCAAAATCTCTTCTCAAGACTCGAGTAGAATGAAATTTGACGATCGATTAGACGATTTTGGCAATTTTTTTTTTAAAAATTGAGAAAATTAGAACCTGAAAAGCCGAGGCATTTGTCACTACTTACATCGACTTTTGGTTTAATGACCACTCAATGATGTAGTTTTGAACGGATTGAGTTCCGTTTTGGATGTTTTAGATGCATATTTACCGTATATTAGCAATGATTTAAGTATTTTATGGATTTTTTCGACTTTGAAATTCCCACTTCCGTCAAAATACATATGCGCATGTGATATACCGGATATAAACAAACATAAAAAGCAATGAATACGATTCTAATACTTTATTCTCATCAACTGACCATTAAATCGCCATCGAGCTTGTTCTTGCCTTCCCTCCCAAAAAGTTGCACTTGAGCATCCTACTTATATTCAAAGCCGTGTCATAATTTAATATAGATGAATAAAACAGGGAGATAACCCAATCGTAAAATATCGTCATTGCATGAATTATAATGTAGGGCACTTTTGAAAACTAGGAAGCTTACGATGTGGCTTTGTACCTGCCATGTGGGGTGGTTTCACAAAAACTTTTGAATGGTGCATTACTAATGAGATATTAATCAAACTTTTGTTCAAGTAAATATTGTATGTTGAATTGCTTATAGAACGGATCGTAGAATTTGATTTGTTATTTGCAGGCTGGTAGAGCAATGACAGTCACAGAGTTGGAAACAGGCCTCCATGCACTGAGTATTGACAGAGATGTAAGTACATACCTAGATTCTTCATATCTTCATCACAAAATTAGAAAAAAACAATGTAGAGTAGGGCTCTCCCAGGGAAATATAAAGGAGGAAATACCACATTGTAACATGCTCTCCCCTACCCATTAATTAAAATAAATAAGTACATCACCATTTTCTGTTTACTTCAGTATTCTGGCAACAACATGAATAACAAGAAGATTTGGGAAGATGAACAGAAAGCTGGGGGAGATGCTAAACCTTACTTCGGTACACCTTGGACACCCAGAGATGATACATGGGGGGTGCCCTCAGGTAAAATAACAACCATAATTCACAAAAGCTACAGAGACTACTTTATTTTCATCTAACATATGGAATCTGAAAACAACAGTGTATTTAGGTTATTTGGTTCGATCAGAAGAATGTTACAAAATCTGGTATGGTAACTAGGCTATCATTGGAAATGTATTGGACATTCTAAGATATGCACAAAGTTATATGAACAAGAAAAGACTGTAAATTGAGAAAGCAAATCTTATCAAAAGCTTTGAGCAGTGGTGTGTCCACTATATTATCAATAAAATAGCATCAAAACAAAAAAATGTGTTCCATTACCAATATTTGTGGGAAAATGTAGTTAATTTTGTTATGATGGTTTAACTCTCCCTCATGTAATGAATCTGGTACTTTTCAGTACTAAAAAACTTTATCCCCACCTCATGTAAAAAAAAATTTCTAAATCTGTTGAAAATTTGATGTTTATGTTTTCTGCATGAATATACTTTTGTGATTTGATTTTCTGTTACAGTATTCTTCCTTTTCAACTTTTTAGTTTTAGATTGAATCTTTTTGTTGTTGTACTTTTCTAATCTGTTAATCCAATAGTTTAGTTAACCATACCTCGGAAGACCCTTCAAATATTGATACGATCCTAGCACCATCCACTGTATGATATACAGTATGGTTCTTCTCACATGCTCTACTCTAACATTTCCAAATGTTTAATCTAGATGCTACTAGGTAATAACAACAGCCAAGCATATTGCTGACACATTTCAATAATAGAAATGTCAACGTAACCTCAACATCATATCAGTGCTGATCTTCTCTATATTTAGTTTTATTAACTCCTTTCTCTTGCAAAACTGTATACTAGTTAAGTAAAATCAGATCATGAGACAGTTTTGCAATAGAATGTTTTTTCTGTTTGTTTTCACCCCTACCCCTATTAACTTACAGAGCATGCTGTCTCTCACCCTATCAACATGCAGCGTAACCGTAGTTTCCCAGGAAACGACATGTCTAACGTTTTAAACCCACGTTCTTCAGAACCAGGACAGCTACATATGAACATGGTGGAGTATGTATTGGGAGGCTCTCCCACTGGCAAAGAACTAGACTCAAGGCTTGGGCGGCGTCAACAAGGATATGTAAGCATTGTCTCTTTGTTTGATACAATTTTGTAAGATACATGTCACATGAGGCCTTACAAATTATACTTCTGTGCCAATTCAGATGTTATCCCAAAACTATTTATTCCAATTTGTGGGGCATTGTTGCCACTTTAGAACCACATTAAAAAGAAAAACCCTGATTGGTTCTACCCTTGAACAGAAGAGTAATTTGTATGGACCTGATTTTGTATCCTGAGATTAGAGTCGCTTGTTGTGCTCATCATCATGGCCTTCGGGTGCTAAGATTTTCTCAGATATAAACATCAAGCTAAATCCCCAGCATGGTTTATGTGACCATTCTGACGCAGAGCTTGGGATACAATAATTTCTGGGTACAAATAAATATTTTGAGCAACATTTGTTCTTTAATATCATGTAAGGAAACTCAGTTTGGAATGTTTGAAAATAAGAATGGATCTCGAAAGATGTTAACACACTGAATTCACTTTTGACATTTATGATGAAATCTTTGCAGTAAAGAATCATTAGAAAGCAATAATATCTTTATGATTGGTGATTATAATGTGCTATTGATTAAGTATGTATGAATATTAATTGGCAGCTGTTACTATATCAGTTTGTTTTGACAGGTTTTGATTAAATTACAATGACGTTTCACTGGAAATTTTTCATGATAGTCATTTTTTATAATTTATTTTATATTTATTGATTGACATAATCTCTTACTTAAAATATGGTCATACTTACGATTAAAAGCAAGAGTTAACCAAGAATTTTATCAATCGGTATCCTTAGAATTCTATCATCTTTATATCCTGAGAAGAGTTCTGTTGATAGCAAAAATTGCACCCTCAAAATGAAATCATGCAATTGGATGCAGACAGTACAGACCAGTGTATAGTTTAGGAATCCTGTGTTTATAGTCCCTGCCTTTATATGAAGTTAAACTTGAATTGCAGCCTCCGCAACAAGGGGAGCAGAAAGGAGAGAAGAACAGTAAGACCCCTTCACCATTTGAAGGCCAGAAGGAGGGCTCTGACCCTGAAATGAGACAAGATCATAACCAGGCCAATGGTATAGTTCAGAATGGCATGGAAGATCAGGAGGGCCAGTTTAGGTACTTAAATGAACAGACTAATATCAAATTCATAATTATTGGGTTACAATTGTCAAAATTTATGTTCATCACCAAAATTGCTGTTTCTTTGCTCACATTGGTCCATGGCATTTCCTATTCATTTGCAATAATCAGGTTGATCTTCAACAGGCTGAAAATCCTATACACCCTGTGTTTGTGTTACTATCAACAATTCAACATACTTATAAAAGGATGCCTAAGCATGCTAATTCCAGAATTGATGGAGAGTTTTAGTTTGAAATTTGTTAACAAATCACGGCCATTGTCTTTTGATAATTCATGACTATGACACCTATAAATAGTCTATACCACCTTTAAATAGTCTATGCCCTGATGTTTGATTGTCAACTTGACTTTTAGAAACCCTGGAAGTAGGCAGACCTCCCCTACTGAGGACCAGCAGCCGATGGCCATCCAGTCTCAGTTGAATGCCAATGCACAGAAGTTCATTGCGCCCAAGAATGAGATGATTGAGGGAGGCAACAATCAGATGCCACCACAGATGATGCCACAGCAAGGCCTCCATTTAGATGCCCAGCAGTTTGAGCCGGTGGGGATAGACCCAATGAATTTTGATTACGCTAACCAGTTCCAGGCACCATCTATGGATAGCCCTGGTAACTTCAACCCCAACATGGATTACAATCAGCAGGTAATTAAAGTGAATTAATCTAGCTCTCCCATGGTGAATAGAAAGTGAACTCTTAAATGAGTCATCCCTTACTGCCTAACAACTGTGCCCATAGCAACCCAATAATTTTGTCAATTAACAGTCAATTAAGCTTTGCTCATTCATCACAAATATATTGAAAGAAGATAAACATTCTTAGTGTAGTCACATACACAGAATCTCAGTCTGGGATATATATTGAATTTAATATCAAAAGCCAAATTTGAGAGCAATCTTAAATTTTGAGTTTTTCTTCAGCTAATGAGGCAACAACAACAGCAGCAACAACAGCAGCAGCAACAACAGCAGCAGCAACAAATAGCTGTTCTGGCACCTCAATACGCTCTAGCACAACAACAGCAACTTGGTTAGTAATGTCAGATTTATGTAACTTTCTCAGAAATCAACTTCAGGCAAAATCCCCAGCATGGTTTATCTGTACCATTCTGACGCAGTGCTTGTGACACAATAAATACAAAACATTCTATATATTGAACCCTTCCTATATTCACATGTTTGAATGGGCCACCTTATGGTAAATATTGTAACATGAATGGTTATGTGTACTCTTTTAATTAAGTCGCTTAGCAGTAATTTAACACTCATGCATGCATATATGTGCTTTGGAGAAAGGACACTTGCAAATTCTTTGTATGTTCATATGTATAATATTCCCTAATCTGCTAAGCATTAAATTAATGTGTGGATATGGCATGATCTTCTTTTCTTTATCTTTGTAAGTAATATTAATAGAAAATATATTGTAAGGATTTTTTATTTATTTTATGATTTCTATTTTATTTTTAAAGCATACTTGCAAACCTGTAAATATGTTGTTTGTATGTCTTGATTGAATGTGTCTGGTGTAGTAGGAGTGAATGAAAATGAATGAATGTTCTTTCTGTTAAACCTGCACATCGCTCCAAAACGCAATATGTTGACATATATTGTTTTTACATTTTCAAGCTCTAATATAAAGTTTAAGTAAATAAAAAAAAATTTCTGCGTAATATCAAAGAACAATCATTTAGTTAAAAAAATAGAAAGGCGAACGCGGGATTCGAACCCGGGCCTCCCGCGTGCTCGGCGAGGATTCTACCGCTGCACCACCGTATTATTATGTATGATGGGAGTAATTAAACGCTACTTATTTTAAATGCTATGATTCGGAAGTGACGTCACGTTCTTCATTTAGAAACCTTTCCAAAATCATATCGCCGGCTCCGATCGAAGCAAATTCAATGAAAAATCTTTAAAATGACACATTTATCGTAAGTATTTCTACACAAGATTTGCCCCATTTGTTCATGATTCTATAATCTTTCATTAAGCTCAAAATGATAAAGTTCACCCCCGAAACAACCCAAGATTGCGTTTCGGAGCGTAGTCCAGCTTTAAGGTGACTCATGTGTCACATATCTTGTTATTGGAGAATGATTGGTGGTCATACTGGTCTTCACATGAATATAAAATGTACAAGGCTTATTGTTTCATATAGAGAAGCCATCCATGTGTCATTCAAATACCATTTGACAGATTGGGTTAAAATTTTACAGGCTGTCGCCTTATGAAGATAGGACCTCTGCACGAGAAGGAATTTTCAATATGACTGCTTGATTCAAAATGGCCACATTTTTCTTAAAAATACAATCTTTGAGAAATCAAATTCCAGTTTGACAGATTTAGTTTGCTGATTTCTTTGCTGATTTCTTTGCTGATACCTGAGGGGCAGAGGACTCGTAAAAATATTATCTTTGTAACTCGAATATGAGTTGTTAGATTTGGTTCAGATTTCATGTGCTTATGCCTAGAGGCATAGGACTCTTCTCAAGAAGGAATTAAAGATGGCTACTGAATTCAAAAAAGCTGCCTTTCAAGTAATACTATCTGGTTATTATTTTTATCATGTTATGTTCAAAACGACAAGAGATATGTTGTTTTCATCGTTTAAGAATGGAGTGTTCAGTGTGAAGAGAGCTTGTGTGTACATACATATGTTCACAAAATCATTAGATGGTAGTTGTGTGTGCGCATGGCTTAAGGTGCACGTGTTCCATTTCTAGGTGTCAGTCCAAGTGCTCCCAACAGTGCTCCCTATGTAGTGAACACTCAGGACCCTTATGCAGTGGGCATACCTCTCACAGGTCAGGCGCGCAACATGAAAGGCTCTTCATCCACATATTTCACAGCATTCAGCACTTAAAGAGCCTGTCTCTAGTTCTGCTCCTTAATAACCAAAAATGAACACAATTTTGAATTGCTAATACCAAAGTTTGATATTGGAATGGTCCTTGTCTAAGTAAAGATTTGGTCAACTATTGTACTTAACAGTCTTTTTTATGATATTTAAGAAATTCCTTATTTGGGATAATTTTAGAGACAAAAATGATTAATTTGACATTGATTGAAAGCTGCCCCATAAAATCTACTTCACACAATTTGGATGAAAAGTCTTTTTTGCTGTAACGTGTGAATCTATAGGTAGATTTCATTGTAGAGTTGCCTGTTCACAATGGGTTGCTGCTGAAGTTTCTGTAACATTCACAAAATTAACAACTTGTGGTTGGTGCCAGGTGTTTGGATTTCGGCATCTGTAACAAATGGCATGTTAATGCCTCGTTTATGAATGTTACAGAAGCTGTTGTAACAGTTCCCACTGTGCTGTTTCACATATGCATGTACCATATAATTCATTTGCTTTGGCTTGCTTTACTAACACCAATGTACTACTTACACAGAACTTTTTTTGTATTTTTTTTATTAATTTGAAAAGTAGCTCTCATATTTTCTCATATTGTAGGCCTGTATATTGATTGTAGTTCATGTATTACATGACATCTATAGATTCCCAAACACATTTTTATGAAGACAAAATATATGTTAGATTAAGAGCACTTATGTCCCATCTTTTAGTAGTATATGTTGCTTTGAATAGTGCACTGCTAACTAGCTTTCTTTGATAACTCGTGTTGCTTTTATTTAAATCGATTTGTTATATAATAAACTGTAAATGTTCCATCGATTATAGAACCTCTTCAGAATACTTTTTGGTATTCCTTAATGTGCACGAATCATTGATTATTGTTTCTCTGCATTTGAACTAGCATCCATGTCATTGTTGTCAAAATTAACACTCTTGAATACAAGAATCACAAGTTCGAGAAAATCCCCCATCTGAACCAAGGTTCTGTTCATTCTGATGCATGTTTTTGTTTGACAATGTGGTCTAAATCATGTTTGATTTATCAGCAGGTCCAACCGCAGTGGTGCCACCACAGTACTATGGTATCCAGACACCATGGGGAGTTTATCCAGCTAACATAGTACAGACACAACCTGGTAAGTAGAACATTTCAACTTTCATCTTATGTATAATTGTGCCTCAAGTTCTGTTTCTACAGTGCAGTTTCTATTATATAAGTGATAACATGTAAATGAATAAAGCTTCAATTTGATTGAGTTCTGTCGTGTTGAACTTATTTAGTGTTTTGCAATCAGTTCATTTTTTAAACTAATAATACTTTGTTTATGTCAGATTTTGTCTACAAAATAAACATTAAGATTAGACTCTCTAATTGTGCCAAGTGCAGTAGTCTTTGCGTGCTAAAACTTTCTAAGATATAAGCTAAATCCCAGCATGTTTGGTTTGTACCATTCTGATGCAGAGCTTCACACATTTTAAACTACAAAGAGGGTTTCAACAAGATATGTGTAATCATTAAATGGAAACAACAATAGGCTGACATAGGGACCTGTGCATATGAATAGGATTGATATGAAATTATGCAGTATGAGAAAATTAAGATTGTCATGTTATTTATTTGATTCTCAGGTCAGCAACAGCAGCAGCAGCAACAACCACAACAGCAACAGCAGCAAGCACAGCAGCAACAGCCAGCAATGGTGCGCAGTGGGCAAGATGGACGACCTCTAACCCCAAGTCAGCAGCAGCAACAAGATAACGTGCAGGCAAATATACAACTTCAGCCAGGTAAAAGCTTTAATACATTACAATGTCTTGTTAAGCGTAAAAGTAAACCTTAATGTTCTTGTGTACTTTATAATTTCAAAATGCTTACAGATTATACAGATTGACTATTAAATGAGACACTTGTGAACTTCTGTGAACCAATCATATTGCATATTTTTAAGTTGTATAAAATTACTATGTTTCATTTTCTGTTAATCTGTTTTTATTAGCAGGTGCCGGTTACCAGATCATTGCACCAGCGTACTATGACCGTAATGGGCAGCTAGTTATGGGCAATCCCCAGGGTGTTGGTACCCCAGTGAGACTTGTCTCTCCCGCCCCCATCATTGTTAATGCAGGTGGCCAAGGTAAGAACTGCTAAAGTACTTTTGAAATAAAGTCTAAAATATGCTTCGATCAAGTTCAGTTAACTACAGTACTGAAAGAGCCAAAATAGCTGTGAGATTAGAGTCGCTGTGGTCTTTGCATCCTAAAATTCTCAAAAATAAACAGGCCGAATTCCCAGCAAAGTTGGCCTGTACCATTCCCAAAGTGCTTGAAATGCAAATGACCAATGCTGTGTATTTTATCAAAACTTGTTACTTGAAACTCTGCATTATGAAATGTAATTTTAGGTAACAATGCTCTTAGGCTTCTGACCACTCAGCAACAACAGGTGCAGACCCCACCCATCAATCAGACAGCTAACTCTAACACCCAGAATACTGGCATAGGTATGTTTAACAACTGCCCATCTCTCTCTAGACTGTGCCATATGCACTCTGTTGACAAGATACTGTGAATTTAAAGTGGCATCATGAGATGAGTTGGCACAGTTGAGGGTAAATTATTGAAAATTTGTCAAATTCATGAATAACTCTCTTGAGTTTAAGATTTGCTTGATGTGCCTGGTTGTGTGATCTTTGAGTGATAAAACATTCTCAAACAAAATGACCAAACTAATTCCCCAGCACGGTTGATCTTTACCATTCTGATGCAGAATTCGAAGTCATCCACCTGTTCCTCTTTTTCACATTCTTTAATTCTGCAAAGATTTGTCAGAATCCGTTGCTGAATAACCATAACTATAACTATAGGTGGCTACAATCCCAGCTCCAGCTTTGGTGGGTTTACTCCCAGTACCAGTAGCCTGTTAACTCCCTCTAGTAGTCTAGGCCTCACCTCTCAACCTACAGGTTTCAGCAACACTGGACTAGGAGGTCTTGGTACATCAGCTGCTCCGGGATCTATTGGCAGTTTTGGAAGCTACGAGGATAATTCACCATTCAAAGGTAAGGGAATTTAATTAGAATATTAAGTAATGTTTTTTTGAAAGTTTTTTTTGCCAATAAAAGCTTCTTTCAAGATACACAATCAGTTACTAATATTTGCATGAATCTGAGATTAGAGTCGCTTGTTGTGCCTGATTATATGGCCTTTGAGTGCTAAAACTTTCTCAGAAATAAACGTCAAGCTAAATCCCCAGCATGGCTTATCTGTACCATTCTGACGCATAGCTTTGAACAAGTTCCTCAAAACTGGCTGCATCCTATACATACAGTAAACCACTTGTCTCATCTACAGATCAGCACTATCGCAGACTTTTTACATGAAGTCACTCTTGAAAGAAGCTTTTTGGCAGTGTTTTTTGATAAAAACTGTTTGACTAATTTTCACTAACATCATATATAAAAACGTGCTTTTCTCATACCTATTTCTAATATTTAAGTGACTGATTAGTTCAGTTTCTTGTTTTACTGCACATGTCTTTTTATTCATTCATTGGTTCATGTTCGTACATGAAACCTCACAGTTTATTGTTTTATAATGTAAACATAACATTATGTAATGGCTTTGTCTAACACATACTGTAGTTGCAATGTCAAATGCCATGTTTCAATACAGATGTTCTTAAAGCTGAGCAACGAATGTTGACTGTTGGACATGAGGTTAAGATTTATTAATATTTTATGTAAAAGGTTGAGTTGCAACACACAGACACATAGAATCTATTTAACCAAAAAACTGCTAATCTGTAAAATTGTATTGAACCATGGCAAGAAACATTGTAGCTGCACCATAATTGATTTGTGTTGTCTTGACGCTTATATATCTTCTTTTGTGAATTCTAGCCAGCCAAAGCACGAACCTATACAATGTTGATGATGGCTATAACTCCTGGCGTAAGTGCTTTGTATTTGTAGTCATAATATTGACATAAACAGTGCAGTTGTTAAACATTGCATTGTCGTATGAAAGGGATTGGGGACTTAGACTTTATCTAATAGTAAATACAGACAGGAATAATACGTTTAGAGTCTAAGATGGTAGTGTCGAAGCTAGTGTGTAGACTATAATGCAGTTGTAGCTTAGTTAAGAGGATTTTTATGGCCACTAACCAGATCGTTACATTCTATGAGCATTTTAGGCTCCATGTTGAGCTGATTTTAGTGTCAAATTGGTTAAAACATAAGCCTCATGCAGCCATGCTTTAGCTAATGCTGAGTAAACTCTTGATTAGGTCTGGTTAGTAACTTAGTACCAGAGTTTGTAAGGAAGGGGAACTTTCAATTTATCTGAGATTAGAGTCGCTTGTTATGCTTTGTGCAGTGGCTTATGAGTGCTAAAACTTTCTCAGACATAAACTTCTAGCTTATGCCCAGCATGACTTTTTCATAGACCTGCTGACACCAAGCCTGGTACAAACAATTGTGGGCATTTATACATTTGTTAAGCCATTTGAACAACTAGTCTTATACTATGTAACATATGAATGGAGTATTATATGGGAAGTATTTGTGGGGATTACAGCTGATTTGACCACTTCTGTTCTGGAAAGTAATTAACTTTGTATAGAAATATAACATTTTATTCTCTCATGTGTGCCTGTTATGTAAAATTGTATGGTCAGCAATTTATAATGTGTTATATACTTTTATTTTACACTGAACACTGTACTGATTAATTATATGTGTTTGCAGGTATGTCTTCTGGTAGACGTGACTCACTGACCAAGATGCCTCAGGTGGGACAGTACTACAACAGCCTAGGTGGAGCTGCTAGCCCTGCTGGGCCCATGGGACTTGTACAACCCCCAGGCCAGTCTATCACACCTCCCCCATCTCTAACTGGATCCAACCCAAATCTAACATTTGGAGGTAAGCTATGATTTGAGATGAAATTGGTTTTATGAGATTAGAGTCGCTTGTTGGGCCTACTCCTGTGTCCTATGAGTGCTAAAATTTTCTCAGACATAAACTTCTAGCTTAATGCCCAGCATGACTTCTCCATAGACCTGCTGACACCAAGCCTGTTACAACATACAAAGGTGACTAATGTATATAGATATTTATTTGTAGCCTACTGTTTCAGATGCCAAAAACTGTTTATATTTTTGTTTTAGGAGTTGGGAGGTTCTCAGCTGCCCCTGGTGCAGAGGTGCCCAAATATAGGAATGGTTCTTTGACATCCTCTAGCATGTTCAGCAACTCACTATTTACCACCCAGCCTCAGAGGATCAAGAGGTAAGTCTATCAAATAGATTTTACTCCCTATTTAAATGAAGTCTGTTTACTGTTTATGAATGCTTCAAGGTGTATATATGATAAGTTACTGGTGATGAATAATATATTTTGTAAATAATTTTAGTATATAGGTCAAGATCTGTTGTTGAGACACATGTGTTAAATCATTTAGGCAAAAACTTCATGGAGAAAAACTAAATATAATGATAAATGATTGATTCTCAATATTGTTCATATTTACACGATTTTGTCCCCGAGAAGTTAATTGTTATACTGACTTTGTGTGCCTTTCTGCCTAAAGCAGTTTGGATCGTGACCTCAGGGGTGGTAGGAGTCAGTTGTTGGAAGATTTTCGCAACAGTCGCATTCCAAATCTTCAACTGAAAGATCTAGTCAACCGCGTTGTTGAGTTCTCTCAGGATCAACATGGTTCAAGGTAGCTGCTTACTGGGCACAAACATGTGGGGAGATTGTTAAAGGGGACCCCATGCAGAAAATCTCAAGATACTACATGTATATTTGTAATTATTTGCATTAGAGATTAGGTGATGTTTAAGTATGCACCAATACATTTTTGGTTTTAATATGTAACCATCCTGAGATTAGCTGCAAAGGGTCTTCATATAGGATATTGTGTTGTAGGAACTTTTGTTAATGGAGTCTTGGATTGTATTGTGTTGTAGTCGTTGCCCTTCTGTATGTACAGCATGTACCGCTTTCACAATTTACACATGCAAATTACAGGTCACCTATACTGTAAGAATGCAACTGCTATGATTTTGTACTGGGCTAATGTATGATTTGGTATTTATGTAAAATCTTTATAGTTGATCACATTGGCTGCATTTCTCTTAAAATATCATGTTATCAGTGATATATTCGAGAATCATTCCATCCGCAATGCTTTTTATATAAACTTAGATGGAATTCCAATAATATATTATTTAGAATGCAGGCACGAGTTTGACTATAAGGATTTTACAGTATGTATGTTAGGTGTTGTGTTGGTGTAAACAGACAAGAAACCAAAACATGTTCTGTGGTGTTGTAAGCAGATCTGATTTGTAGAATATATATTTTGTTGGTGTAAGGCTACTGCATGCTTGTATGCATTGTTACAGTGGGGCAGGGCTAGCGAAGGAGGTGGCAGGAGGGCGCAGTCGCTTGCTAGAAGATTTCCGCAACAATCGCATCCCCAATCTGCAGTTGAAGGACTTGCTTAATCATGTGGTAGAGTTCTCTCAGGACCAGCATGGTTCAAGGTAGGATAGATGTTAACAATAGAACATCAGTTTAGCATCCATAGGAATAAGACCACATGCTTTTGTTCTTGACATGTCAACATGGATGCTTTTTTCTTGATAGAGTCTATAATGAAGTAGGGTCTAAAAAAATTTCTAGCAAATAAATATGAAAAAACTTCCAAACATGATAAGGCAGCACTATTATACATGTAAATGTTGAAAATTGAATAGCTTGAACTTGACATACCAAACATTGCATGATGAAAGAATAAATGCATTTTTATGTCCCTACCAAATGGTGTGTGGCCATATTGTCAGCTTAGGCATGCCTGTCTGTATATATCTGTCCATTGTATGTATGTCTGACTATTTTCTCCAAAAGCGAAAGCTTTACAGTTATCAGCTTCAAATTTTCAACTGATTACATTTGGGTGTTCCGTATGGAAAATTTATGAAGAGTAATCCAATGGTGGTGACATGTTGAACATGTATATGCACATGTTATTAATTGGGGAGACGGTGGCGTATTACACACATTGTATAAATGCTTGATCCAGTAAATGAACGATCAAAGTACATGTAGATAAGATGCAAGAGCATGGGTAAATGTTATGGCACAATTTCTTTTTTGTTTCATGTTGTATTGTAGCATAATGAGTAGCTTGGAACACCAATGCTTTATGTGTGGGTCTTATCTTAATTCATGTTTGTGTATAAACTTAGCTCCAAACTTATTTTAAAACACTTTGATATTTCTCAAAATAAAATTAAATTGTCAATGTTAACTTGCATGTTAATTTTCTAAAAATTACTAAGATACAAAAATGATAATTTTCTTTACTATTAACAATTTAACCTGTTTTTATCACATCATTCATCCCTATCCTTGTTAGAATGTTCAAGCAGACAAATATCCCATGTATCTTGTCTTTCAAACTCATTGGTAACCATTTCCACTGATCTCTTAACATTATTAACATTTCACGATTCTGAATCTACCTATACCCCATAACATCAACATGCTACCTGTTTTAATCGATTGCTCATCCACAATGAAGAAATGAATCTTATATGAACAACTTCTGTATTCTAGATTCATCCAGCAGAAACTAGAGCGTGCTACTCCCTCAGAGAAAACCATGGTGTTTGGAGAGATCCTGACAGCCGCCTATAGTCTCATGACTGACGTCTTTGGCAATTATGTCATCCAGAAGTTCTTTGAGTTTGGTACTCCTGAGCAGAAACAAACGCTTGCTCAGAGAGTACGAGGTCATGTGCTACCACTGGCTCTACAGATGTATGGTTGCAGAGTTATACAGAAGGCCCTGGAGTCTATCCCACCAGAGATGCAGGTACATATTCTCATTATATAAGTAGATTTCATGAATATTTCTGGGATTAGGGTCGCTTGTAGCACATCAGGCTGTGGGCTAATGTGTGCCTAAGATTTCTTCGACATGAATTTCTAGCTTAATGCCCAGCATGACCTCTACATACACATGCTGACACCAAACCTGATAAATGATATTCCAAATTGAAACTTACGATGTTAAATCAGTGGCTTTTTTCTTTTGCCCATTTTCATTGTAATCACAAAAATAGGAACAGATCCTAGATACTGGATCAAAGATTAGGCTTTATAAATCTGGTTGATATAAACATGAACTACATAGGTATTTATATTGAAACAATAAATATATTATTGCCATGCATTATGTTGTGTTGTAGGTTGAGATTGTGAAGGAGCTAGATGGACACGTATTGAAGTGTGTCAAAGATCAGAATGGTAACCATGTGGTACAGAAATGTATAGAGTGTGTAGAACCAGTGCACCTCCAGTTCCTAATAGACGCTTTCCAGGGACAGGTAGTAAGGCTATAATTTTTTTATTCCACTATCTTGTTAAATTACAAAGAATATTTAGGAGTACTTTAATATGTTGTATAATCATAATTTAATAAATAAATATAATGACTGAATGGATTCTAAAACTTAATGACCAATCCACCAATTATAACTGATTTTTTCTAATTGCAGGTTTTCACACTGTCTACTCACCCATACGGCTGCAGAGTAATCCAGCGCATATTGGAACACTGTTCCCCTGAACAGACTGAGCCAATACTTGCTGAAATGCATGACCAGACAGAGCGTCTAGTGCAGGACCAATATGGCAATTATGTCATCCAGCATGTACTTGAACATGGCAGACCAGAGGACAAGAGCAAAATTGTTGCAGAGCTGAGAGGAAAGATCCTTGTGCTGAGTCAGCATAAGTTTGCAAGGTATAAAAATTGAAATAATATCTGGCTGTCTTAAGTATTTCAATATTCCTATTTTCTTTGTTATAGAAAATTAAAACGTCATGTAACATAAAAATCTTTAGGTTTTGTCTTTAAAACAATTTTTCAATAATAATGTAACTAATAATTATTCTGAGATTAGAGTCGCTTGTTGCGCCTTGTACAGTGGCCCATGAGTGCTAAAACTTTCTCAGACATAAACTTCTAGCTTAATGCCCAGCATGACTTCTCCATACACATGCTGACACCAAGCCTGATACAAATCTATAAGATGAACTCGATAGAGGAATTATCTGACATTCTCTCAAATTTCTTCTTTCTCGTAAAGGTCATATTTCTAGCCATGTGCATTTCTGTGTTGTAAATAAATGTATGCCCTTGATAAGATTTTCTCAGAAAGATGTTTTAATATATATATATTTTTTTTAGTAATGTGGTTGAGAACTGTGTTGCCCACTCCTCCCCACCTGAGAGAGCCATGCTGATTGCAGAGGTCTGCAACATGAATGATGGGTAAGCACCTTTTCAATACTTTCTAACATTACTCTGTAAAGCCATTCAGATACATTTCAAATATGCGTGTAAAAGCAAACGATTATCGAACAATATTCAGACATGACAGTGCTCTAATTGAATTTCTCAACCAATCAAAATGCAGCATAGCTAAAAAAGGTTCTCTATTTCTCCATACATGCATGACTATGCTCTATTGAATCATCCAGGTATCTATTATTATATATTGTGACGTCCCACTACCTATGAGTGGCGAAAATAACAGCAAGTTTGATTATTTTATGGAGCCCAATTCTCTGAACAATGTTTTCATTTTCGTTATGTTTGAATCGGAATAAATAATGATAGGCCATTCGATATGGTGAAATTATACACTCGTTGGACAGAAAATCAGTACAAATGCACTCACCTTCGGTTGATTCTTTGTTCGACATTCTGTCCAACTCATGCTGAATTTCACCATATTGAATGGCCTATGCAAATATTTATTCCTTAAATAATAATTGTAGTATTTCAAAGAGGAATGGCTTTATTGGTGAATTAATTAACACTTCTCATGCTTGATTCTGTTCTATCCTGTTCTCACTTCACATTTACAAATAAACAGTTGTAACATTCATGAATAAGTATAAATATAAAATCATCTCAGTGTTTAGTGATTTTTTATTCAAATAAAAATTGTTTATACAAATTTGTAATTTTGATCACATTAATTTGTTGTTTGGCTTCAATAAGGTTATAAAGTAGAAGCAAATGCTTAAATTTCTCTGTTAACATTTCGAGTGAATCTATCCACCTAACATTACTGCATCTTCCTGCAGTGCATTGTGAATCAGTAATGTCTTGCACATTTTCAGTCCCCACAGTGCCCTCTACACAATGATGAAGGACCAGTTTGCCAACTACGTCGTGCAGAAGATGATTGATGTCGCAGAACCACCCCAGCGAAAGATCCTCATGCACAAGATCCGACCACATGTGGCTACATTGCGTAAATACACATACGGCAAGCACATCCTGGCAAAGTTGGAGAAATTCTTCATGAAAAACCAGACGGATCTTGGCCCCATTGGAATGCCACCGAATGGCATGCCTTAGTGAGGGCCCTTGATTGGAAATAACGAACATTTGGATTATAGACCCCCTGCTTTGAATTATGGACTGCATATTGCTTCAAAGATAATTGAATAATATACTTAATACTAATTAAATTACAATATTGAATATAACTTATTTAAGTCGTGGCCTTTAATATAATGGTTAATATTAGGGATGTTGATGTAAATTCACACAATGAAATTCTATTGAGTTCTATTTAAAAAAAATTGAGCATATGTTGTAACGCTGCATGCATTGTGACATTTTATATTATTAAGGTGTTGGGAAAATATTTTCACCTTATGGAATGTATCAACCATGACTTAACATCTGTGAGACATGGTCTATTGGAGCATGGTGTTCCACTCAAATACACACTTGGTAAATGTGCGCCAGCATAGCCACTAACCAGCGAGTTATTCAAGCTTATCAGTGGCACTTTGGTAAGCTGCAGTAACTGTCCAGTTAATCTGAATTACCATATCCTCATAAAAAATCACTTAAATGTCAACATTATTCGATGAAGTTTCAGGTATTGTGAAAGAATAATTGTATTTATAATGAAGTAAATAACAAAATGCTATTTCCATTACATATCAGAAGTGAATGGCATTGTTAAATGCTGAATATTGAATGTTAGGTCAACATCATGGAATACTGTATATTGTAAAGCATTAGTGTATAGATGGCCTTCATCTGATCTCTTCTTATATCTATCTGTGTGTAAAGTGTAAATAAAACCTTGTAAGTATGTGTAAGATACAGTGATCATTTGTATAGTGATTCAACAGATAAACATTTTGTATAAATCTTAACTCATTCATTGTGGATAAACTAACGACAATCTCACAACTTCAAAAACTTAACTCTGTAATCTCTAACAATCTGTATGTTTTGTTCGTAAATGCCTTTCTCATCCTCTTTAAACTCTCTTTGGGTCATTAATTGGCATCGCTATGTTATTTTGTACATGTATTAAGATATAGTAATGGGACATACTTTTGATACAAATTAGTGTAAATTTTGTACATTTAAAATTATTTTTGCTGGTGTATAGCTGGAAAGGTCCATACGTTATACTCTTCCAGTTTCCAGTTTGGAACTGGAGAGTTGTTCTGTGGAGTCGATACCATTTGTAAGTAAGATGAACATAAACGCAATATTTTCAGTCAAAAATTGTAAACTTTGTACAGTATGGACAGTCAGTGTGTAAGATATGTAAAAATTGGAAGAATTTCTTTACAGCCAGCATTCACATGCATAAAGAAAAGATATTCTCGCTTATTTGATGTACATTTAGTATATATGTTGGCCCTTCATCTGAGAGCATACTTGGCTCCCATAGACCCTTTCTGAATATGCCCATGACCCTGGTAAATCAAGGGAAAGCGTGTATCATGGTTGATAAAGGGAGGTTTTTATTAATAATACTTTTTGTATCTATCTCTTGTATAATCCTATATTCTGTATTTATGCTAGAGCAAAACTTGTAAATGTGTGGTGTGCTATATGCTGTAGATTATTCTATGTACAGATTGGTCGGTGCCAATAACAAAGCCAGGCACGTATATCCTATATACCCATATATAGATATAGGATGGATTTCTCATTGAATTCCTTGTGTATATGTAAAATTATTGATGCATAAAATTTGAAAATATTTGTGTACAAATTCGAGCCTTTGTTAAATAGCTGTAGAAATGTGGATATTTTGAACCTGCTTCAAATTATTGTATAGGCCTGTATTAAAGTCTCTAAACTATTACATAGATGTAAAGTGTATAAACCAACAAATGTAATCATAGTCATGTAAATTGTAAACATATCCTTATAATTATTCACTAATGTATAGAAATAATGTGACTCTTAATCAGAATGCAGCACATTTACTTTGTCGGGGAACTTGAATGTATGTTCGTATGAGGAGATGAATATAAGTTGAAATGTGTTGAATATTTACTGTACACAAGTGGTACAAAACTGTAAAATATGTGAATAATTTGAGTAGAATTGTAAAAAGACTGAGAATATAAAATAAGATGCTATAATATTATATTGCTGTAGATAAATCACCGTCTGTAAATGTGCTGGATTTTGATTAGCTGTCAGGTGATGGAATTGTTAGGTAGTAATGTTTAATTAATTATTAATTAATTGTATGGTACATAATGGTTGAGCTGTAGTTACACTGTATATGAAATGTTGTGCCCAATCATGCATTCATATTCCCTACTAACTTGATAGAAAGTGTATGTCGCTTTGGGGGCAGATTTTCAACATTATTATTTTTTGTTGTAGTTTATTTGAGGTGGGATTAATGGGCTACAGTTGACGATTAATAAAAAACCTTTGAAAGTCATGTAAATCCCAAACTTGCATCAATTCAACCATTTGAAACAAGAATGATGCTTTTTGTAACTCAGACTGCTTGGTTTTTGTTATACACTCCCAATTTTGGACAAATTGTCTCTACATTACATAGTGTTTGAATGTGCTGAGGACAGAATTGTAAAATCTATTGGGCATCTTGAACCTCTGATGTACCAGTGTTGACCGAGTTTATTCTTTGTCAGTCTGCAGTTTGACAAGGTTTCATTCTACTTGAGTTCTCCCACCTTTGTATATTTAAAAGTATGTTTCAAATTGCAAATAATTATGCGGTATATAAATTATCCAAATATTGTACATTCTGTATGAAATACAAAACTCTGTATATTCGAAGATTTGCTATAAAACAACCTGTACATTTGTCTAGACAGTTTTTACATCACACTGAACATAGCTTGAACATAGTCACAAACTGTAAAAATCTGAAACTGTACATTAAACACTTTGTATTAAATTTTAATTGTATAAATGACTTGTGAATAGCAGAGAAAGTTTATCATGGATATTTTTTCTTAAGTCACTGTATGATAAGATATACATCCGTAGCCACTATAGTATATTGTAGGAATCACCGAGACTAACTCTTTGACAATTTAAATACATTCCTCTTGACATCACATTTGGCATTAGGATTGCATTGAAATTGTTATAATTTTGGCATATTATGGTCAGCTCCTTAGAGCCGTGTGTTAGACAGGCAACAGAATAGCACAAAATTGTATATGTACATGTAGCACTAGACTTGGGCACTGTAGAGCTAACAAGCTAGCGATCAAAACGAGCTGACTGAGTCAGTAGCAAATTCTAATCCCTCATTTTGATTTGACAGCGAATCTAAGGCTGTAGGATATGAGTTCGTAGACAAATGTCGAAGAACGTTTTAGTAATGTTTATAAACATGGAATCTTATGAATTGAATTATTTTAATTTTCATTTTATTTTCAATGAAGGTGGTACTGTAACACTTCTATATGCTTATTGTTTGTAGTGCGTAAACATTTCTGGGCAAAATTGGAGCTATTGAAATGATACCCCAACATTATATTCAGTAGTGCTACTACAGAAGATATTGCAAGGTATGGTGAAGGTGGCTCCAGTATTGTCGAGATTTGGTCTAGAATTATGTAGAAATTCTTTGCCTTATTGTAGGTAATTGGTATATAATGGAATGTACATTGTTGTATATTGTATAGAAATTCCTCCAAAACTCGCTACATCTCACTTCACATTGACAGTATTAAATTATGATGATATAGTGAATTGTACAAATGAATAAAATTTCTATATAAATATGCGAATGAAGAGGAGTCGGCGGTGAATTGCTTCTGGGAAAGGGGAATGAGGTGTAATGAGTTTTGGATAATTTTGTGAAATAATGATCTATATAATCACTGGTGTAACCGAGAGTTGCTAGTAAATAAATTGTTCATTGAAGCATGAATAATGGTAATCCCAGACTTCTGTGCATATATTTCTTTATTGACATTTAATTTGTTTCTTAAAGGGTGATGCATATCGTTTAGCAAATCGAACGCTCGTTACTGGTGTTTCTCACCGTTTAGTATAAAAGACCCAATCCAGGAATAATACTCCAGGGTTCACAGGCTCAAGGTTGTTGTGTCAACACCTCTTGATGTTATATAGCATTAGTATATTATAGATCGTCACTCATTTATAAAAGGGAGATTTTATTTTGACAAATCAATTTCACATTCATGGGTGAAGTTTCGGGATCTTCCATTTGTGTATAATAAGGAAAAAATGACATCTAAATTTCCTCATAATATATTAGTACACAGCTTGGCATATGAAATATACTCCAAATGAAAAGAAGGAGTTCTAACACAAGGATTTATATTGGCTGTTGTACACATGCATTCTTTGAACAATCACTCTCAATAATGTTCTCAGAATCATAAATGGTTTACTTTATCTCCAAGACAATTTCAATAAACTTGATTTTACAAAACTCCCCTTATTTCTTAAAACTCGACTGATCCAGTTGACTTGCCTGGAGCCGCCATATTGTTTTTATACCGGAAGCTTATCACCCCTTAAAGGGACTCGCACCTTTCAGTGTTTTTAGCAAAGTAGATTTATTTTTCATAACCCTGGTACTTTCGGTAGATTGATAAGTACTTGATCTTGATGCCAAATACTGCTGGAATGGACCACATCAGAATTTACAATACAATCTTTAAAAATATTCTCCAATCTGTCAAATATTATTTAGGTGGTGAAGATATTCTTACCAGATTCATTTTTGCTCTGTGCTTCAAATGTTTACATCACCTATAAAATTTGGATCAAATCCGTCCATCGGTATTTGAGATAATGCCCGGACAGACGGATGAACGGAAGGACATGAATGGATGGACGGCTTTCCTATATCCCCCTCAAACTTCGTTTGGTGGGATAATAAATAGTAGTAGGTAGCAAGGAGGATTGGCTCCCAGAGTGCAACATCGATATTCTGTCCCATATATGGGCATGTCGTGCTACAAAATTTGAATTCCAACAGCCGCCATTTTGTTCACTTCAACATTTGAATCGTGAATTTTGGTCTTATTTCCTAACGAAAAATTCCAAAACTCACAGGAAATGATCGAGATATTGGTTCGAATCTTTTGAACTGTTTATTTTGAATTTATAATCGGTTATAATTTCAGAAAATAACGACATCTCGGCGTTTTCATTGTTGGAAAATATCGACTTTGATTCTGGGAGCCAATCCTCCTTGAGTAGGTAGTAAGATCACAGTTGGTAGTTAAAATTTTTACCACCAGGTGGCTGATTCAGGTTATAAAACATGGCACATATAGTAAAAAGATCCCTTTAACTTGAATAATTATCAGTTTTAATGGTTCAGTTTTCATATTATTACCCTTATTTTGCGCCTGATAATTATACAAATGAAAATATGTCCTTTAAAAGAAAATGTGTTCTGTCAAATACAAGAAAATATATTTCACTTTTTGTGATTTTATAACATGGGGTCCAATGACCTCGAACGTATATTTTCAAAGAAAACTAAATTTTTAAACTTGATTAACAATTTTTGAGACCACATTTCTGGATTAGATTTCAAATATGATATTACTTTGATTATTTGAATATTTTATAACATAAGTCAAGATTAGTTCTACTTGCATCTAGTTAATTAACCCATGACAGGGAACTCTACATGCCTAAGCCTGAGTACTGTTGATTAATTCAGATTGGGAGAACCTATACTGATGATTTATAAGAGTTTTATCATGCCTATATATTGTTAAGGCCATGCTCGAATTTCCTTGTCATTCCTATCGTGTCACCACCTCAAATTATTATATAGCCTCAACTTTCTTGTGTTAGGGGTTGGTGTTCAGCGTTTGGTGTTCTGCATTCAGTGTCTGTAACAAATGACAGGTGGTGACATTTTGCATGTTAATGCCTTGTTGCAAAGTGCTGTAATTGCTAGAACATACATGCATTTTGTAGATAAAATACAATGTTAAACTTGAATTGATAATGGCTATTATAAGAGGGCGCTTAAACTAAATCTAAATCATGTCAGTAAAATCTTAGACTTGGCATGTGCTTAGAATGTATGTTGATCCCGTCAAATCGAACACTTTTGTGAAAAATAAATCAACCAGAACAACGGCAACGCCAAAGCGTAGCGAATCCCATCGAACAGCCATGGATGGCGTTTTTACAAACAAAGTATATAGCAAAAAAAGCAGCCGTTTTTCAAAATGGCCGCCTTCTACCAAAAGTGTCATTAGATCATGTGCCATGCTTATAGTATTCACATACCAAATATGAACGAAATTGCTCCACTACTTTTCAAGTTATAGTGAAATACGTTAAATGTCGGCCATTTTTCAAAATGGCCGCCTTCTACCAAAAGTGTCATAGGACAGTGTGTCATGCTTATAATATTCACATACCAAAAATGAACAAAATCGCTCCACGACTTTTCGAGTTATAGTAAAATACATTAAAATGGTGGCCATTTTTCAAAATGGCGACCATTTTTCAAAATGGCCGCCTTCTACCAAAAGTGTCTTTAGACAGTGTGCAATGTTTATAGTATTCACATACCAAATATGAACAAAATCGCTTCACTGCTTTTCGATTTATAGTAAAATACGTTAAAATGGCGGCCATTTTTCAAAAAAATTTTCAAAATGGCCGCCTTCTACCAAAAGTGTCATAGGACAGTGTGTCATGCTAATAGTATTCACATACCAAATATGAACAGAATCGCTCCACTACTTTTCGAGTTATAGTGAAATATGTTAAAAATAGCGAGTAAAGGCCGCCATTTCTCAAGATGGCTGCCATGTGCTTCTTTAATATCTACATTTCTAGCTTTATTAATGTCCTATATAATTTTTTTACATCTAAAACATATTGCTTTTACAGTTTTACATATTGCACCTAAATTACTGTAAATTCGGCACTAAAATGGCCGCCATTTTGAAATGAGCGGCCATTTTGGAAATCGGCTTTCAAGCAGAACTTCTACCCCCATAGGGGATATGTGTACAAAATATGAACAAAATCGGACCAACGGTATTTGAGTTATTGCCCGAACAGACGGACGGACGGACGGACGGACGGACGGAGGCGTTCCCTATATCCCTCCGAACTTCGTTCGATGGGATAATGAAGCATGAAATACAGAAGATAATCTCTCAAAATCAAACAGTATAGCAGAGTGCCCTAATTGTGACATCACTACAATATAGAATCCATCCAGTGATGGCAAATCATCAATTGGAAGATCAGTAGAAAAATGTCTAGTTTCTCAAAGGTCCAATTTCTAAAAGATGATAGAAAACTCCATACATTTATCACTTTAAATCCCCACATTTTTTGGATGCAACAAAAGAACAGATAATTTATTTATAATTTATATTGGAATATCTCCAATGTTATTTATTGCGCCTACTGTACAATACAACTTTTACATGCAATATCACAACATTAAGTGACAGAAAAGGAATCCTTATGAGAAAATTGAGATGACAGGAATAATATTCTGGATAAAGTGATATTTAAAACCTCGGAGGGTCATACTGTTTTCTTACTATGAAGGTTGTAATGCCAATACTTCTTACACTTGCTAAACATGTGGTTATAAATTGGAGAAGTCCTGGACTAGCAGACATTTTGAACTTGTTTTACTCTATATGCTAATGGAATTATAATGAAGTCAGTCGATCCAAACTTGCAAAAATCATGACAGTTATTTTTCAAAAATGTATAGCTAGTTTTCACTCTGGCATTGATGGAATATGCTCTTATTTTTACGAAAAATTTCTCCAAATGTTTTTCTAACTTTAACATCGAAGAACATGAAGTCTTTTACAAGATGGATGCAAATGTCCTTTTAGTGATCATTAACGAACAAGGGGTGTCTGCTTCAGGTTCAGTAAAATGGAACGCATACGAGACACGTCCTTTGTCATTTTAGTAGTTTTTGGATTAAACTCGCACAATCGACATATCCTCTCCCATTGGCCATCGGAAGATGTTTCATCTCGCTCTTCCACAAATGCAGCCTCTGAAGCTCTGGAAGTAAAGCACACACAATAGTAAATACCAGGCATTGGCATTTTAAGGGATGAATAACAATACTACGAGTAAACTGCAGCTCTGAAGTAGCAAATCCAGATGAACATGATGTTTTCCAAAATCATGATGGATTTTGTCAAAAATATCCTTGTTTTGATTATGAAACTTACTGCTTAAAAGGTTATAGTATGGAAGCTGATATATTGAATGGAGATTATAGAATGATGATGATCAATGGTATAATCATTTGCTATATACAGGGTGTCCCAAAAGTATGCCCCCCCCCCTAGGCAGATATATTCCACTGTCCTCATAGTATGTGTCATATATCATTTTAAAGCTTATCCAAAGTTACATTGATTTGCCAAGTATCATGTTTTAACTCCCAAATGGGAAAAAGTTACAGGCATTTTAAAAGTTAGTGTTTTGTCGAAATAAAGTTCAATTTTACACCAAATTACTAGTCAATGAGTCCCCCCTTGGCCATGTTAACAGCAGCAATTATTTTCAGATATGACCTTAAAAGCACTTCAAATAGGGGTGTGGAATTTTATAACCCTCTTAAAACCTGTTAAGGCACTTTAGAAGAGTTTCCTTAGAGTTTCTACCATCACCATTCTCTTTTTCCAACTCAATATCCATCCGACCTGAAAAGAATTGCTGCTGTTAAGATGGCCGGGAAGGACACATTGACTAGTGATTTGGTGTAAAATTGAACTTAATTATGACCAAACACTAAGTTTTTAAATGCCTGTAATTTTTTCACATTTGAGAGTTGATCTGAACCATGATACTTGGTGAATCAATGTAACTTTGGATAAGCTTTAAAATGATATATGACACATACTATGACGACACTGGTATATGTCTGCCTGGGGGGGGGCATACTTTCGGGACACCTTGTAGATATATAGAGATGAATAAATAGATGGCAGCATGTGTGTTGGTAGGGCCAGATTGATCTATCAAGTATTTTCATTTGGATTTATGTAAACTTCATTGACATGTTACTATATGATCTTGTTAGTTAAAATGTGGGCTTTGATTTAACATAATGAGCTAAAAATTGTAAACCTTAAAAGAGTAAATGAACTTTTAAAGATTTTTATCATTTAGCGGGATAAATAGTGTAAAGTAATCGCCGTTTGCGGAACAAATCGTGAAAATTTCCTCAAATGATCACTGATTGCTACTCTTTAAATAAAGCAACTGTGCCAAAAAATCGCTCCATAGGAACTACCCTAATTTTAGAATTCTTACCCCCCCATGGTCACGGAGGGGGGGGGGGGGGGGGGCTAAAAAAAATTTGACACAATTTTTTTTACTAAATTATGCTCATACTTCAAATTTAATATTACCTTATCATGTTAAGAAGTTAATGTTGAAGTAAAAATATGAAATACCATTGATTTTCAATTGCTATGTTAAAGGATGGTGATGGGCGACGCCCACTTTTCTTGTATTGAATATTTTGCACCATATCACAGTAGCAGGAGTAAATCGAATAAGTGATATATGATTTTAAAATTACATCTATATCTAATGCTTCACATGACTATTATTTTTCCCCTTTTTCACTGTTAAAGGCTTGTTTTGAGTCACACCCATCTTTTAGATATACAGAGTTAGACTCCATATATCAACTATCTATACCTGTTTCATAGTTCCTTTAGTTTCACTTTGCACACGTTTTTAAATCATAGTTTTATTTATCTTATCAATAGAAGGATTTATACTAGTGTCTATCAGTATCATAGTTACTTTTTGGTATGTTGCAGTGTCCTTATGAAGAACAATTGCCATCACACACACATAATGCTGTACAAACAAGATTTCCTTTCAGGCTCTTGCATCGTGTTGATATGCATTGGTATTTGCAGCTACACTTTATGAGAGCCTGGCAAGCGTCTGATGCTTGGGGTAAAGTCGTACCTTGGTATCCATTGGGTGTCTTCAAATATCCAGCCCCACTCAGCTGGGGAAGGAACTTGAGGATTCGCTGTAAGTGATTGCCCTTAAATACAGCTTGGTTTATGACTCTCTTCCTATGCTGTAAAAGGGCATCTGATGTTGGACGAATGTGTGATATTATTGAAGTCCTCTTTGTGAACATCTCCTTCCTCGCAGCATTGATTGATGTTTCATTGCTTGTTTAAAGTTGTAGACCAGAATAATGAACTGCTCTAAAATAGGCATGGCATCAAGCAGGGTATTGGGTCGTATTGAGATTTCTGTTAATACTGTAGTCAATTCAGGGTAGGTACTCCATTGGTTCCAGGCTGATGTCTTAGACTTTCCATTAAAGCCTGATGTGGTGTCACATCCAGTCATAGCATCGAATATTGGGAAACACATGGCTTTCTGAGGAGTCATTACATGGGCAATTTCGTGGGCTGGAAGGTATCTATAGGACTTTCCCTTGCCAAAGGCGAGCCAGATTTGAATGTTAAGTTGTACTAACTGCCAGAACAACAGTGTCTCAATCAACTGTTCTAATCGTCATTTTAGTGAAGCCTTATTTCATTGCATAATATATGTGCAGAAAGATTCAGGAATCTGCCTCTTCAAGGGATGATGTTGAAATCTCAGAAACATGCTGCTTAGGATATGCCTCTACAGAATTCCAAATTGTTGTAATCAGGATTTTATTCTCTGGTACTGGAATGACTGCGACATTTGATGCAAGGAAGGTAAAGAGATCACTTTTCTCGTCATCCGAGCGTAGAAATTCTGGCCAATTCCCTGGCAATTTGTTTTCTGGATAAACTATTTGACGCTTTCCAGATCCACGCTTTTTTTTGTTGAAGATTTGACACTATTTGGTATATATTGATCCCATACAATATCAAGTCTTTGTACTCTATTAAGTTGATCTGCAGCATACTTATCAAATATGTCATTTGAGTATTGTAGGAAGGTTCTTGCTTCTTGAGTTTTCAGCAGGTCGACTATCACGGCACCATCAAGAAACAGGGCTTCAACATCTGGTGTATTGATCTCTCTATTTGGAACAAGGTCTTCCACTGGTTTTAAGATATTTGCTTTGAGGCCAGTCTTGATTGTGCCATCTTGTGAAAGGGATGGAGGGAATGCCTGGTTCTCATGTCAGAAAAGCTCATCTAAGTTGCTGTCTCTATTCTGGCACGCTATGTATAGTTGTGAAAATATGTATAGTTGTGAAAATAGGGCAGTGTCATTTTTCAAGCTTGCTAGCTTTGAAATTGAGTTAGATTTGTTTGAAGATCTTGAAATTGTTTCTCTTAATAGGGTCTGGTGATGGCTTTTGATCTTTCAATAGTTCTCTCCTTTATATATACTTCACATTAACTTTTTCCCTTGTTATTCTCAATTGTGTTCAACGTGTCAACTGCACTGCTTGACATTACATCTTTAGTATCAAGTGTCCAAAGTTCCTTTGATGTTGCAATAAAGGGGTTTCCTAAATCATTGATAACCTCAGTAAGGGAATTGACATATTTGTTGAAACTGGTTTGATAACTAACACTGTGCTCATGGTTTGCAAGGACTTCATCATCATTATCCTTCATCTCATCCTCAAACTCAGTTAACATTCTTGCGATCTCTGGACCACCGACCATCCACTTCTGTAATTAATGCTCTAGTTATTATCTGTTAGACACAGAACTTGTAATACTCCTATTCGCGATAAGAGTTCAGGTGGTAATTTACATAAATATCTCCCATGATGCATCGCTTTGGAAGGGACAAATTTGCATTGGCCCGCCGAACAAGTCGATTACTCTGAACGTTTCTCAGCTTCTGATCTTCCATCAGCCCTCAAGCATAGTTATATGTCCAATCTATTCAATAATCTGAAGGATAATCGGTGATTCAAAGTAACATTATTCATATTTTTTCGATCTTCGATGGCGTCTGAGCAATTTCTGGGATATCAGTGACGTCACTGGGATTGGACGGCATTTTCAACTACAGATTTCTTCGGATTTGGGGATTATAGTTCAAAAAGCTTTGTCATATATCTTAATTACATGCATACCTATCGTTTGTGCAAATGAAACTCTGCATAAATGTTAAATAGAGTCGCAGTGCGGCATTGAAAATAGCACCCCTGTGTAATCCAATGGGAAAGAACCCGGATGTAGACGAAGTTGTACCATACATGAGAGCTCTTCAAACGGGAGGTAGCTAAACTGAACTAAATTAAACGTTATCGCGTTTTGGTATATTAGAGTACCATGTACCAGAATTTGAATAAAAGTGACCCTGTTTCTTCACTCTGCTATCTGGAATCTATCCAAGATTCAAAATCAAGAGGCAAAATTGTATTGATTGGTAATCTACCTGAAATCTACCCAGGTAACAAGACCCCCTCCCAATACACATAACACTCCTTCTTAATTCAAAACTTCCCTTATTAGACCAACAATATCATATTTGAAAACATAACAGTTCATCAAAATAAGCAGAACTACTTCTTGATTATTTTTATTAATCATGTAGGTCAAAATCATACTTACAAAAACTGATCTAGATCCTATCATAAACGTTGATGCTCATTGTCACTCAAGCATGACCTTGTCAAAAACAAGAAGTGATTTTGGTAGTTGTTTAAGAAAGATACACTTTTTGCTAGATTATTCTGTATTTGCATTCAAGTCACTCATCAGATGTCACATAGTTTGTCAAACTTTATTTTCAATTAAAATTACATTATTTATTATGTCGAAGTATATGCCACTCTGGAGATAAAAGGAATTAATTAAAGATAAGTGAATATTCATTTTGCTAAAAAATGACTGCAATCTCACTCATTATCATGTATATCATGGTAAAAGGTCCCAACATTGAAATTATGATACTATTTAATGATAATCCTAAAAAGTTATGGATTGTCATTAAGCCTACCCCTATAAATTTTAGGGGTAGGGGTAAAAATTGCGAAAAGTAGAAAAAAAATGGAGGAAATTTTCGGCACAGTTGCTTTTTACACCCAGGAAGGTTGTCTGGTCATATATGGAAAGTTCCACGATTTGTTCCGTTTTCGGCGCTTTAGCCCTTTTTATGTCACTATTTATCTCGCTAATTATGTAAATAGGGATTTAGCTCAAACTTTTTCAGAAAACTGAAAATCCTTGAAATAACTGCAAATCAAAAGTTTTTTCAATAGAAAATTACGCATAGAATTCAAATATGCAATCAAATAGAAGAATGGTGGTATTTATTGTTTAAAAATACATATCTCATAAGATCTCATTAAAAAGAGATTTCAAAGCTATTTAGCAAACTCTATTCTTCATAGAAAGAAATACTAAAAGAAATAGTACGTTCTGAAACATGAATATCATGCACTACAAATGTGAGTTATATATAAGCAGGATAAGTTGGTAGATAAAGTAATACAGTAGCTAAGTTAGATGTACGTGGAAGGAAACTGCACCTATGGCTACAAGTGCAAATATGTGGTTTATTTCATTTAAAGTTTCCATTTTTTGCAAGAAATGCAAACTTGTAAACAAGAAAAAAAAATATAAAAATATAATATGTAGTCTACAATAATATATCTGAAGCTGCAGTGGTTTAAAATGACCACTGTTTTTGTTCTTGATTCATTTAACGTTGATGGGCGGGTATACAGACAGATGATGGATGATTCCACTGACTCACTTATTACATGTTTAAGTGAATTACTTATTAATTCCTAACTCTTTAAGAATTCAGTTTACAGTAATTACTAGAACATTTACCCATGCTACCCCAAACTTTCAAAATATTACATATCCCTGTCATAATGACTTGCTTCTAGTTTAACATAAACCAGGTAACAAACTTTAACAATAAACAATCAAGTTGCTCTTAATATTTTGTTTGTGTTAAAAAGGGGCAATGAATTTGAATAAATTCATTGGGACGTCATAATGCAAAAATTCATCTAACCAGACCCACCTACAATTACAATACCAACAAATACATACAATGACTAAAATATATACTGATACACATGCCTAGTTTTACAACATTCATAATAACTAGTCTAGTTGACCTTCACCTCTGATCAGCTATTAAAGTTCAAGGTCACTTACTTGTTCTCAACCCTGCATGCAGAAAGGCAAAATAAAACAAAATACAAATAATCCTTGTTGATGAGAAAGTATGTATGCCAGCATAGAGTATACAAAAATATGGGAAGAGATGGTGTGGAGATGTTGACACTTGTGGAAATGGAAGGACAACATTAAGTTAGTGGTCTTAAATGACAATTTTATTGGAGTTTGAATTTTCACGAACACGTGATAAGCAAATCAGGAATGGTAGAGGTCAACAATAAAGAAATAAACTTTGTTTTCAAACAACACTTTCAACATTTCGTTACCATCTCAAGAATGATTAATAATATTAGGAATGTATGAACAGGGTATTTAAGCATTGTTATAATTGGTCTACATACATATTGTAAACTGAATATTTTGTTGAGATACTTTGACTTTGACAATTTTAATCACAATTAAAATTTTCATAGATGAGGAGAATGGGCCGAGTAAACCATTTATATTGCCCCACCCTGTGCATGTACATATTGTTCCAAAGCTTAATAGGCCACACAAAAACAGACATCAGGAAATATGTAAGCATTAGGTCAAAGATCGTATACTGATACAATAACCTAGATGCTAGTAGGTAGCTACCAATTTTACTGCCAGGTGGCTAATTAGGGTTAGACAGATATGGTATATTGTTCCCCTAAACTTGAATATTCATCAGTTTAATCAGATCAATTTTCCTATAACCCTTATGTGTCAGATAATCATACAAATGAAAATCAACACAAGAAAAGAAATTTCACTTTTTTGTGATTTTATAACATGGGGTATATCTTCCCTACCAATAAGTATCATTTTCAAAGAAAACAAAATTTCCAAAGTTGATAAATATTTATGTGAACCACATTTTAGATGTATTTTTACATGTAGATTTTAAATATCATTTTGAACATTCAATGATGCAAATCAAGGTTATTTCTACTTGCATCTAGTCTTTTATTGAGCATTGGAAAGTGACAAGGTTTAGGTTTGTATTCATACCATTTATTGTACAAGAATGAATGGAAGGTAAAGGTTAAATAGGGTGGCACCTCCCTCTTAAACCAAATTTTAATTCACTATTAAGATTAATGACAAAATATGATAATTTTTATTTTATTGTTTATTTAATTTTATATATCAATTTATGTAACCAAGCTGAAATTATGATATGTGTACAATGAAGTACATTTGAAAGTCTTTGAGATTTTAGAGTCCATTGAACATCCTGCAGAAATGTCTTTATTGACTAAATGTCATCTTTTTAGCGTCATTATTTTTGAAAAAATATTTGTCTTCGGAATGGTTGCTTGTGCCTTAATAACATCATCTTGAATATCTCTGAAAATGTTATAAAAAGTACTTCAGATTTATGAAAGACCAGTGACCCTACAAATCTATATTTATAAATTCCTTCATTAATCAATTGGAAAAATTGGGTAAATCAACTTCAATAAAAGCTACATTATTTTATTCTTTAGTTGTGATTAATTTGAATTAACTTGAATGATTTGTGAATGTTCATCATTTCGGCTTTCAATCTAAACCATTTATTATTGAAAAGAGTGTGTATGTACATGTATATAAATTGGTGATGTTACACCCTCTTTGTATGTTCCAATAAGGAGATGTATTATGCACGTTTTACAAATTCTGAAAAATAGTTTGACAAGAAAAAAACACAGTTTGAGTTAATGGAGATTTGAAGAGGGAGTTAAAAAACAAGAGGCACACACCAGTTGTTAATTGAAAGGCCAAAGCATGAGGAATTCTGTCAGTATGTGATAAGATTTAACTACAATATTAATCTTATGTAAGAATACACAATAATCATAAAAAAATTAATTACTGATATCAAAAGCTGAGGGATATTTAAAAAGCTCATAAACTGTACTAACTTGTTTGTTTCTTTCGTTTTTTCAACTTGCTCTGTATGATGTTTGTACCAATCCTCTAGTTCTTTCTTAGCAACTTGACGAAGCTCGTCAATTTCTTTTTCTTCTGCTACGTCTGAAATATGAAAACAGTAACAGTTAGTGTGTTCTATGATAAACATTTAAAGAAGACACCTAGCTTGCACTTTCCTTTTAAATAAACACTTCTGCAATCTGAACACTTGTATAGCTTGCATTTTAATCCTTCCATTTACTCTCATGTTAAATTCACCTTGAAACTTGCACTTTTTAAGCATTTTAAAACTTGGGTAAGGAGGCTTTTAGCATTAAACAATCTAGTTGAAAATACAGTTTTCAATTCATTACAAACTATTAATGAATTCAAACTCAATCTCACAGATTGGGGTAACTTAATGTAATTTTTGTGCTAGCATTGCATATAAAAAACTGAAAAAATTCAAGGGAAATCCTGGTTTTCAGTGTACAGACAGATACCTTTTTGTTGTAACCTTTCTTTTTGTTCTTCACGCCAGAGGATTATTTTTTCAGGCTCCTTTCTTTCAACATCTATTTGAGAAATAGCTGAGTATGCATCAGATGGACCATTTTCTTGTGGTGCCTGAAAATCGAGTAAAACATTGTGAATTTCATTCAACAGCAAGTAAAGTACTGAATGATAAATGAGTAAAATCCTAAAATGGTAAACTTATCATATATACAAACCAAATTCAGACATAAAATGCATCTTACATCATTTTTTTTACTTGGGCTGAACTACATTAACATGAAAATACATATGATGAATACCAGAAATTTGCATTAATGTTAATTCTGCTGGGAGAAACAGTTTGCATTCTTTGAACAACACTTTCAAATGAGTGTATTAATAGTTAAAATACATTTGCCGATCAGAATTCTGAATTGTGAATCTCGGGTAAAATGTAAAATGAATATCATTGTTTTTGGTATTCTTTCAAAATTATTTCTTTTTTAAGAATGCCTATGATTAAACAATTGGGATTGTTTGGAACTTCTGGTACTGCATACATGTACATCCATGCATTTCTTAGACAATAGACACAATGTACATGTAGTTGGAAGATTAACTAAAATAATGCTTATGTATTATATTCTAAAGAATCATTGAATAAAAATTTAACAACATATCTATTATTTATAAAATATCTAAACATTGCTTACAACACTACATTTATTGCTTTATTGTTAAAAATCTTACTCTATCAAAAAATAAATAATCTAAAATAATAGGATCATAACTGTGCATTTTCCCAAAACAGGGAAAGCTGTGTAAAAATAGAAAGCCATATAGTGCCTCAAGATGTCAAACTTGATTTCTTGTAATGTGAAAGTGTTAATCAGATAGAATAAGTTCATATGAAGTGACAAAACACTCATGTGACCAAGGGGTCTTACGTCAGATGAGAAGGCATCATAACCCCCAACATCATTGCCAAGATCTTCAGTTACAACACCAGACTGAGCATCACCCTCCTTGAAGAGAAACAAATTTAGTTACACAGCTCTACAAGGATCAGTGTGGGATAAGGGCCAGAGCCAAGATTTGCATGTTATGAGGGCGAGGCACAGTAGCAGTTATTGCTGGTACTTTATGAGAGCATTTGGCCAAATATGATTTTTCCATTAATATTTATGAAAATCTAGATTTCGAAGGACAAGGGCTCTGGTTGCTAAAGCATATGTTATAATGTGCCACGATCAGTCCCTACACCATGGAATGATCCAGGCCCCTAGTAAATTTAGAAATCAAATCTCTCCAATGAAAACACGAACAATAAAAAGAAACAAAGAAAAGAGGAGTTATCTTTTGTTCACTTGAATTATAAGCTGTACAAAGCTTTTTTATGAATTTTCCTCAATGATTCCATTGTTATTAAGACTATATCATATATCATCTTAGTATCTGTAGTATCATATAGAATCAACATTTTCTGTATGTTACAGCTGAAGAATGCTGTTTCACTTTTGAAATAGAATATTGTATTATGTTGCGCTGTAATAGATTAAGTAATATGGTATGATATTCATTGCCATTTTAGATCAGATAATTTTTTTGCTTTATACCAAATATGACACTGTTCTGTGCCATTTACATGCATGCAGCTCCTGGTCTCAAAAGTTGGAATATGCTTCATTAAAGTATGGGAGTCCAACAACAGAGAGTTGGTGTAACCTCTACTTTACTCCACAAAAATTAAGTAAATTAGAAACCTTGTATCCTAGACTATTGATGGACTATAATACAAACCTCATTTTCTAAAAAGATCACAAAAAGATTCCTTGACGAGTAAACATGAAAATATGAGGTGTAACTGTCTTATAAAGCTTATTAAAAAGTTTGGTAATGATAAGCGTCAAACTTTGGAATGGTATTTAAAAAACAAGGTTTGTATGAAAGTCTGTGTTAGTTAAAGATTGTGACAAGTAAATTCAAATAAAGCAGGACCTGCACCAAAAGCAAGCTAAGAAGGAGCCAAGGTAAACAAGCAAGCAATGTAAGGTGGAACGAATAGAATGAATGAGAATATAAGAGAAGAAATTATACTGGCAATAGTACAATTTCACCCCAGACTCATCATATTATATTCTATTGCTAACCTTCTATTAAACATATAAGGCTGATGTGAAATAGAATGAGAACAGTTACTGTGTTTCTAAATTTGAAAATTTACAACTTGCAAGACTTGTTTTGGAAATTGGAATATTTTTCCTTCCATGTCAGCCATTATATATACACTGTTGCTCATAAATATGGAATATTAGATTTGTCAGATCAGAATTCACGTTTTGGATCGAGACAACATTTATTTGAAGTTGTTTAAGCAATTTATTTTCTAGGCAAATCATAAACACGTATTTAATCTACAAATCAACATTTTTTAGGGAAAAAAATATTTACATTTAAGTTTAGAAATTTGCTGTCGTTAAAAATGGGGTAGTTAAAAAAAATCTGCATATTCAAAACACCCCAATCCAAATTTTAATGTAAACCGGATCAAAGAAACTAAACATCAGGTCATGAAGATGAATGAGTCCGCTATCTCATAACAGCACTAATATACGGTTTGTATTCCAAGTGCTGCAATCAGAGCATCCATCCCGCGGGGCCTGCTGTCATGAGATGTCTGACCTGCTTACACGAAATAGGGTCCCACTACTCAATCAGAGGAGTATATAACTCTGCTAAATTTTGAGATAGAGGATCTGTGTCACGAATTGCGCTATCAGTCTCATCCCACATGTGCTCTGTAGAAGCCTGATAAGGTGACTTTGGTGCTTATGGTAGCTGCTCCACATTGCCTGCCCTGGGGAAATCCTGCATAATGCAGCTATCATGCGCATGAGCTTCATCATGATGCAGTTGAAAGTTATACCCAATGACTCTGTTTGCATGTGGTACTAGATGTAGGTCCAAAATGTCACTGTATCTCTCACCGCTGACATTACAGTTCAGACTCACCTAGGGGGCGCGACTCTCCTCGGTGAACACCACCTCAAATATGAACAGAACCACCTCCACAAGCTACTTTTAATAACATTCACTGTATATTTGTATGTTCATGAAGGTAACAGAAGGAAGTAACAGAGAAATGTTGTACATTTTTTGCACCATAATAAAATGAAATGCACAAACATTCAAAGTCATGGATGGAAGCACACTTCATAAAAATAAGTACTGTATCAGTAAAATTAAGAATATTGGAGAGAAACATTTGTAGTATTATAAAATGTCATCTAATTGTTGCTACAGAAAGTTTTAAATTCAGATTCAGTAAAACTTTTGTTGAAAGAGAATTAAAGAAAGACATTGGAGAATGGTTTATGCAGCATTCAAAGAGTCTTCATGGGGTACTCCCCAATAGGACATCCTCCGATCACAGGGCTTCAAAATCCAGAATACATTCTTTCTTTTTACCTCCTGCGATAAGCAGTTAGCATTTCCCGATTAAGAACTCGCAATCTGATTGGCTGTCGCAACACTGCGACAGAAATCATGTATAAGTCATTGCGCATAATTAGATCACGTGATTCAGTTTAATCGGGCGCTTCAAAATCGGTTATAGCCGGGGGAAGAAGGAGGTACGGATTCTGGATACGTGCCGAGAAGGATGCCAATAGGAATGAGTGGGAAACTTGTAGAGATTTGTTTTGACATCATTTTGACAACTGAACTATATCTCAGTCCTTAGTTTGACATGTTTTAACATACATTAATAGACATCCCATTTTCATCCCATTTTTATACAAAATTCATTATTTCAATACAGAGTGTTTCAGAAATACATACGTATACTTTCAAAGATTTTAAAAATATTTCTGTCAAATCTCATCCCTATTCCCATATTATGTGTGTATAAGTAACCCAAAGTCTTTGAATGATGCATAATTTAGACATGTAAAAGAACTCTTGACTTAATTCCTTACAGCATTGGCTGCCATTGGATCAAAACCTCCGCCAATATCATCATTTAATAGTCCACCACCAGATGTCGCTTGTTGTTGATCATCAGCTGGTGGAGTGAAGCCAAACATATCCTAGAAAACAATTCTACTTAAACAACATGCAACATGCTAACTGTATCCTACTACATTGTCACAACACTAATAAAACACAACTACAACATTTAACTAGATAAGGTATGCAAGTTTAATCTGATAACTATACAAGCTGGGGATGTATAAGTTACTACTTTGTAAAAGCTACTACTGGAGCATTTTTAAGATACACTTAGTTTGTAAAATCAATGTTTAATTCTAACATATATTAAGTGAAATAGCTATTTAATAAATGTAGAATTGAGCACAGAATTTCTGAATACTATACTTCTAGTAATCTATTAATACTGTCTTATGATAAATATGGATTTTCTGAGTTTGTCACAATTAGATTTATATTTCATATATAGTTCATATTTTATAGTAAGAGTTATACTGATGTAAGTGATTATAACAACATTGGTATTATTATCTCACCTGTACATTTGCATCTTCAGAAGCTGCTGGGGCTGCGAATGCATCAAAGTCTCCAGATCCTGTAATTGAAAGTAAATGATTAGCCAACAATTTAACTTCTTGTATCCTCCCATCATGGAGCAGTTTATAACTCATAGCGGGTTGGTTGGGTACAATCAAGGTAAACTCATGATTAATTCGGATATTATCAATATAATAATTTTATGTTAACTAAAGGTCTTCAAATGTCAATGGAATCTGTTTGGCAGCCATTTTAAGCACAAAATTTTTAGACCCTGAACTACTCCTCTGACTTCTCACGACTACTCCTCTCTTAAGTGAGATCAGAGATATCCTATTAGTATACTTTTCAAAATACTATTTAAGATTATCTTCCTATTTTTATCACAATATACATTTCTAAAAGGTTTCTGGTTTCCTATTCCTTATTTATATCCAGTTTTATGTATTTTCTTAAGAGTTTTCCCACAAATAATGTGACAAAAATGTGAAATTAGATTCTGGAAAAAACATGACTCTGGAAAAGCTAACAGACTCTGGAGCAAGACGGCCTAAAGACATTAGACTCAGGAGAATCTCCAGAGTCTAAAAGCCTAGTGAGAACCCTGGTTTTACCAAAGTGAAACCTTGTAGAAGAAGTGCCCAAGGAACTTACATATTTCAACAGTGAGTATATATTAAGAAACAGTATCACTGAAATGTACATACATTTTGCTTAATCGACATTTGTAATTTGTGTGCATGTATTTGTCACGCATTTGCTTGAAAATTTGAAGTCACACCAGTTTTTTTTGTGTGACAGAATATGTCACACAAATACGCACTTTACCTGAGTATTGTCGAGCAAAAATATTCCTGTAGAAAAATTTAAAAAAGTGATCACTGATACAGCACAAGAAAGAACGCCGAAAAAACAAGGACGCACTTTCCTTGTAATAATTCGTACCTCCCCCTCTGTGATCAGTGTAAGGCTTATTCCGTGCCAGGACTATAGTCCTGCATCGAGCGCAATCTTTTGCCTGTACGATTACAACTTGGGAGAATTATCTACGCCCCTTACACTTAAGATACATACTTCAATAGATTCCTGGGTATATTAGCATTCTTTTCGTGTAGTTGAATCCCCAATTGTCTGGGTATATCGGCAGAACAGGAACATTTTTCTTTTTCATCAAGAGATATACCATCACTTTCCAAGATGGCGGTTGGATTTAAAAGGGGATTCCCCGTTTGACTGACCCGGAAGTGGCAGGGAGTACCATAAATGGAGGAATTTGACGGTTGAAATAAGTTAAATATTACACGCAATATTGAGATCAAAAATGAAAATTTCTTTGTTCTGCCGATTAACCCAGACAATTGTGGATTCATCTACACGAAAAGAATGCTAAAATACCAAGGAATCTATTGAAATAGGTATCATAAGTGTAAGAAGCGTAGACAATTCTCTCGTGTTGAAATCGTACAGGCAAAAGAATAAGACGTTCGCAGGACTATAGTCCTGGCACGGGATAATGTAAGGCCACATTCATGTCCGAAGAAGGTAATCTACCCGTTCATCCATTTTGAAAGTTGATGGATGATTTCGAAGGCAGGTAAAAGTAGTCCAGAACTAAGGGATACGGTTTCCATCTTATCCGAACAGTCTTATTTCTTATTTCATAAGGTAGGAAGTTAGAACAGACGAATGGAACACGTATTGATTTCCGATACAAATACAGGCAAAATATTTTGGCGAAATTTGTTACCGGAAGTGACTCTTTCTTTTAAATTTCTGAGAAGATCTGTTCCTTACCGGCTTGTTGCTGCACCGGGGCGGCATCTGAGCTGTCATCTTCAAGACCAGCTAATTGCTCATTCTGTTCGGCCAGAAAAGCAGCCGCTGGGTCCTCTTCTTGTGGAGGTTGATCATTTAGTAAATCTGCCATTTTCGGTTCCTGCCCACTTGTAATCGGTTAATTCCGGTAATTTCCGTAATTGAAAAATCATGACACACCACATATAAATTTCTCGCCAAGATTATACCAATGAAATTTAAACCTTTATTCAGTCCTTCGATGTAAACAAAGGAAGTTATAAAATTCTTAAAATAGAGATGACCGTTGATAAAGTTGGTCAAAGTCTGCAAATCGACTCTGAATCACCACTCTAACCTCCAAAATGGCAAGTTCTAAGTCTCAAGCTTCAGAAATCAAACCTTGGAAGCGAAAACAAAAGAAACCTTTTCCAAAAATCAAGAAAGATTTGAAACCAAAAACGTTTGCTGATGCACTCAAAGAAAAATATTGTGACTTTGATGATTTTGACTCGAATAGCAGTGATGGTTTTATAATTGATATTGTTGTTCGTGGAAAGCCAAAGGTGAAAAATGACGGAACTGGACCAGAGCTTGGATTTCTAACAAATGCAGTGAGTAATTACTTTCTCAATATCGTTGTCTTGAAGCATAATAAAGTAAGGACCCAAGGGGACCTCTTTCATGGTTATGTGGCATATCTGAGACTAACATAATTTTATGATGATCTCAGAATATACTGACTGACTGTACTCTCTGTAATTTTTGCATGTTATTCCATTTCTATTTGTGCTTTATATGTGTTTTGGAAAATTCATTCACTCCGTGTTCACGGTATTTTTGTCCATGGTACTACGGGATTTTCTCGCATATACGACCCCCTAAATTTAGGCCCATTGGCCAAAAATCGAATGTAGTACGCTTATACGCCCATGGGCCTATAAAAAACGACTATTTATTGATTTTTTCAATAAATTCAAGAGTATTTTGTCACTGGCAGATTGTTCTGTCATTACTTTGTTTCAACATTAAGTTCAACGCTGTGCCATAAGTGGTAGTGGTGGATCGTTCTGTTGTTACTTTGTTTCAACATTAAGTCCAAGGTTGTAGGTGACATTTCCTTTATAATTCTTACAAAACATGCGGTAGGACTACAACAGTAGGTATAGTAGTTCATCAGCTCTTCTCACCTTTACGCCCACTAGGCCAAAAATCGAAAGTAGTACACTTATACGCCCATGGGCAAAAAATAAGAGGTAAAATAACAGACGAAATTACCCCTTCTTTCAGTTATACACCCAGGGCTTATATGCGAGAAAATCCGGTACTAGTAAGCGATAAAATGCAAAATATAATAGGGTCAAATATTAGTGGGAGTAAAGTTTCATTTTTCATTTCTTACCACAGGTAGTTAAAATCTTGATAACTTATAGAAACAGGACACACAATAATATTATACATGATACATACATGTACTATGTAGAATAATATTCAATCTTAAATTCTCAAATGGAGACATTTTAGAAATTGTTTACAATATCCGACATTACCTCTTGATATTTCAGGTTCTTAACAACAGTCTTATTGGATCAATAGGAAGTATAGATGGTGGATTAGCAGCATTATGCCCAAATATAGTTGACTTAGATGTTGCTTCCAACAACCTCACTGACTGGTCTGAACTTCTCACAATGATGTCACAATTGCCCAAACTGGCATTTTTAAATCTTAGCCAAAATAATTTAAAATCAAACAGCAATAAGGTATGCACATTTGTGTATATATAATCTTTAGTGCTGTTTGTAGGTTTTTATTTCTTTTTTTATGTATAGTCAGAGTTATGTAGTGATCCCTGGCCTTTAGGTTGAAATGTATAGGTTAAGAACATTTATGATCTTAAACATGATTCAGCATGACACCGATAGATCTCAGGGAGAAAACAGCATTGTATAAAATTTATATAATATATCCCTCTCAGTCTCTGTTATATATGTCTCTGCTAAGTGGGGTGTTTTTAAATTTCTCAACTCGTCATTGTAAAGAAAAAAAGCTTTACTTAAAAATGACATAAATTTTTGTCCCTAAATCTTGACACTGATGGTCTCTGTAGTCTTTTGGGAAATGTGTATATTTCTCAGAGGATAAGCCTTACATCCAACGTTTCCTAGCACTCTAAGTCTCAACTCTCATATATTTTCCAGGAAGCATTAATGACATGTAGAGAGAGGTTCCCCAGTATGAGGAATATGGTACTCAATGGGACATTCTTGCCATGGGAAGATATCTCTGTCTTAACTACTCTTGTGCCTAATTTAAAGGAATTGCATCTGTGTAGAAATGGTAAGATAATTGCTAATAAGTTCATGTATTCAATAAGGTACAATATAAATTCCTTGGGTATTAAAGGCAGAATCTGATCTAAAGGGGGTGACAAAATTACAAGCAACGTGTATAATTGACCTACCAATATCAAATACAATATCTCCCAAAAGATTCACAATATGTTGTAAATTGGTGAAGTTATTAATGATTCAAAGTGCAATAAATGGGTGAAAAATGTTTAAATTCTCCCAAATAATAAGAATGGCAACCATTCGTATAGAAAAATAATACATTATTGTAGAAATCTTTAGTTTTCCTGGTATAAAGTATGCACTTTTGTGATTTTTAGAAAATAGACATGACAATTGGAATGACGTAAGCCAAAAATATTCTAAAATTGAAATTTTTTTTGTTTAGCCTGCTCGCTATATCTGATTCTCTCTTTAAATATTGAAGCTTTTAGAATAGAATAGAATAGAATAACATCCCATCATTTTTAAATGAATCAGCAGGTCTGCTTGCTTCAGTACCATTTGTGTATGATGTACACGTACATGTATTTAAATTAAGGTGAAATAAATCAAACATTATTTGTGTTTAGACTTTAATTTATAGAGCTACTTGTAATTCATTATTTTATTCATTGCAGACTACACTCATGTTGAGGGCAATGGTCTCTCAGGATTCCATTCTATTGAATGTTTGAGACTAAATGACAATAAAATTGAAGGGTAAGTAAGAAGCTTCTTACCAAATGGTCTAGTAATTTTTTGTTGAAAATTTCTCTGAAATATAAGTTATATTACTTATGCATTTTTGATCAAATGTTATCTGGAAATAGAGACCTTTTTCCTAGAGTCTGAAGGTTTTTATCGAAAACATGTATTCAAACAGAAGACTTCTCATATACATGAAAAAAAACAATATCCTTTCTGATTTACATATGCCTCCCTTTGGTTCTAATAGAAATCTTCTCAATTTATATAGATTGGACACTGAGAATACTTTTATCTGATTATAATTCATAATCAAATCCACAACAGCCCTTTGATATATTTCCCAGATATATCATCAGGCATTTCCCATCAAAAGTCTTGTATACGGCCCATATTCCCATGCTGCTATTGATCACCTGTTAAAGAGTGCATGTGCAATAAATATACTTATAAACATAAGTGCACATACTTTATTTTTAGATGGGAGGAAGTCTGGAAACTGCATACATTACCTCAGCTTAAGTCTTTAATACTCTCTGGCAATGCTTTACGAGACATTTACTATGTTCACCCAACCATTCCAAAGTACTCGTGTGATAATGTAGAAGATGAAACATCTGCTGAAGAAGGCTCTGTTCCTGGAGAACAAAAGGAAGGCATTTTGGTAGATGCCTCAGCTACTACTGCGATGAACACTGACAATACTCCCAAACCTTCAGACAATGATAAACAGAACAATGATGGTCTGTGTAATCTAAGTCAAGAAACCCTGGAAACAGATGCTAAAGATGTGAACATCATGTCAATTGTTAAAGAGGGAGATGCTTCATCTGATGTTAAACCTCAAGACAGTGCACTAGAAACTTTAAATGATGTAAAATCTGAAGATATTACACCAGATTCTCTAAATGATGAGAAACCTAAAGATAATGCACAAGATTCACTTAAAGATGCAAATCCTGAAGACAATGCACTGAATTCTTCTAATGATGTGGAATCTGAAGCCAATGTACCAGAAGATGCTGTCATTCCCAAGATTGAAGCTAGTCCTTTGAATTCTGATGTTAATCCACCATTCTCAAAGCTGGAGTCCCTGTGCCTCAGTGACACATGGGTTAATAAGTGGGAACATTTGCACTCCCTTAACAAATTCCCACAGCTTAAAGCAGTTAGATTAAAGGTATGTCACTTAGAATTATTGTAGCTTTTTAACAGATTTTATTTCATTTTGAGCCAAGCCAAGATTACTATGATCTTACTTTTAGCCTATGGATAAACATGATAAGAGCAAGTTAAACTTTTGTCTGTGTATTAACATGAAGGCATTATAAATTGTGAATGGTTATCATTTGGGAGAAGAGAGATTTGCCCATGAAGTAGGAAGAAATTGTAAAGCCAGATTTAAAAACAGAAATTCATGAGAAATTTAGAGTGGGGGGGGGCTACTAACTACTTCAGTGTGTATACCAGCATGTTATGTTTTGCAGAGTATCCCACTTGCTCAGGAAATTAAAGACGAGGACAGAAGAAAACTCTATGTTGCTAGGTAGGTGTATTACCATGGGCGTTCAACTAGAAAGCCCATGGTATTACCAACAATGACTTTGGAATGAGTTGGTTAAATTTTTCACAAAAATCAAACCTTCAGTTGTTTGCTAGCCTCCTATTTGAAATTCATCCACACCTATGGAAATTAATCCATTATCTGATACTCTCCAGGATTGCTTAATGTGGTGTCCTTTTTTCTCTAAATGGATGGTAAATATGTTTCGCTGGACATAAAAGAAATCTACTTGTTTTGGCCTTACTAGAAATGTGGCATTATTTGGGAATTTGTAAATATACTACTTTAGAGAAGAGTAACTAAATCCAATGTAATGAGCGTCATATTATTGTATTGGATATTGAACTTCCTTTCCAGTGGTATATAAAACTGTAGGTGAGATATTATTATTCAAGCACTCATAATGCATAATTATTTCTTAAAGGGGGTCATTTCTATTGGCCCACCCTGTATTTTGCTTAATCTGTATTTATGTTAATTTTGTTTCTTTAGTTTACCAAAGATTAGTACATTAAATGGAAGTGAGGTGACATCTACTGAGCGAGAGAAGGCTGAGCGTCACTTTTTACGTCACTTCTCTGAGGATGATAAACCTGAGCGCTTTCATGAGCTAGAAGCCAAACATGGTGAGTTGTTTTCATGATCGTGAGCCTATACATGATAAGTCGTTTTCATGAACATGGTTAGATGCTTTCATGACCTAAAGACTAAAAAGTGTTTTTGTGTGCTAGAGTCGAGCCATACTATATTCAGAGAAAGTTAGCCTTCAACTGTAATTAACTTGTACAATATGTATTATATTAAAGGCCTTCATTTCTTATCTATTTATAGGTAAACTGGAACCCCTTGTTGATATAATTCTAGCTCCCAGGTGCAAACCATGTGTGAAAGTAAAGATCATCCATGAGGGGAAAGTTGCTTGTGAACCTGTCTTAAAAACCCGAGACACTGTGCTTAAAATTAAAAGCCAAATCATCAGAATGCTGAAATTAACTAAATGGTTAGTAGTTTTCTAGTTTTTGGCTTACACAGTGAGCCTATGGAATCAACTAGTCCATCTTCCAAGTCATCTGTTTTTTTCGAGAAATCCGTGATTTTGATGTAAAAAGTAATGCTTGCATTTGTAAATATACTCAAAAAATCTTTCTGTTACAATAGGTCAAAAATTGATGTCAAAAAAAAAAATAGTAGAACCCATGTAAACCAATGGAAAATGGTGGGTTAGGGGCAAATCCCATTTTGGATCTATTTAGTGAAACATTTATTAAAAATAAATTCCAAGTTGAAAATGAATTGTTTTACTTTGTGTGTGCTATTAGCATTTAGCTTACTTTGTGAAAATTAACGATACAGAGCTTCCAAGTATTTTTCAAAGAGAGGTTTATTGAAAAATATTTTTAACTTTGGAAACCCAACCAGGAGAAATTTTAATCAATTTTTTGTTGTAGACAAGTTAGCAAATTCAATTGTCTATTTAAATTCTATTTTTGAGAGCAATTGGATGGATGAATATTTTCTCCTTATATTGACCTTTGGCAACCCACCATTTCCCATTGGTTTATGTGCATGGGGTCTACCATATTTTTTATTCATCAAATTTGACATCAATTTTTGACACATTGTAATGGAGGGAGTAAATTGAAAATCTTCTGAAATATAGAGTAGGTACATCTCAATTTAAATGTATATTGTCAGTTTTTCTTTCATTTGGGCTTAGAAAATAGAGTTCAAACATACATGGCCAAAACTCCCGGCCCAAAACTGTTCATGATACAATACATGGTCCTTTGAACCCCCTGCTGGAATATTTTAAAACTCCCCCTCTTGGCTTGCTACAGCCCTGATATATCTTATACTGTAACTGTTGAGAGTAATTTGCAACTGTAGGTCAAAGTATTGCAAACTTAATAAAGAATTCCTTCTTAATTGTAACCATTGAATAATATTGACACAAACCCCAAGTGGACTTTAGATTGTTTATCTTGTATTTCCAGCTACCAGGCTAGATACCTCGACCTGTACCTGGTTTCTGTGAATGGTAATAAAGAACCTGAATTGATCACCCTGATGAATTCTCCATTGAGCTTACTTGATATTGTGGATGGAGATGAGTTCCATGTATCAGACTCCTATGAGAAGCATCCATTTAATATCAACTTCTGTGAGGTGCCCAAGAAATAGAATCAGGAGATCTTCCAATAACACCAGGCCCATGCATGTCTTTTGCACTTAAACTTGGTCCCGAGCAGACTTAATTTGCCCATTGTGCAAAAGGAATGATTATTCAGCCAACCATTATCACATGTTACTGAATGACATAATTGGCTATTGGATAAGAGGAGAAATGTGGTTTCAGGGTACATTGAATGAAAACCGACAGTCATCACTAGTTTTGTGGTTTTATGATTTATTTGTTTGTTGTAGTATTGAGTACATGTGATTTGTATTATTTTGTCAGTGCAGTATTGATTAACATGTGAATAGTGCCTCTGTTAGATTTAATCTATGGTAACTGTACGGCGGTCGCATCTTCCCAAAATCAAAAGAAATATGTAGCATCAAATATAGGAATACTGGAATAAGCAGTACAATGTAGATTTTCTATATGGAATTTGTGAAGCTACAGCTGCCGTACTCCCGCCATTGAGCAAATATTACTGAGCCAGCACCCTATATAAAGTGAGCAAAAAAGGAAAAGGACGAGAAAATGTGACAAAAATCAAATAAAAATAGCACCAAAACTTATGTAAGCCGTATTTGTATTGTATTGTATATAGACCAATATCATTAACTTAGAAGATTGGTGCAACAGTACTTGATACAGTGCATGAAATCTTCCCCAAAATTTGTTTTTTTATTACCTCAAAAATGTATCTTTTAGACACTGAATAGATCACATCATATCGAAAAAATAGAAGCAATAATCAAAATCTGGATCATAAGAAACTTGTCTCTTCTAGGAAAGGTGTGTGCTAGGAAAGGTGCTAATGCTAAATCACTAATTGCATCACAGGTAATACAAGATGAGCCAAAGGAGGTAACCCAAACAAATGTTAAGTCATTCAGCATGTGTTTAAGGTCACATTTGGAAAAAATGAACCTTGTCCAATGTTCTTTAACCATGTTTCATTGGTTATGATTTTACCATATTTTAAAAACATGCTCTAAATGCCATTCTTGTCTCTGAAGGCAATTTTGAACACATCGAGTGAAGTTATTCTGACTACAGCACACAGATATCTTGTGTGATGGCTCTCATCTTCCTTCTAATCTCTTGTTTCAACTCTCTGATGTTCCTATGTATATGGTTGTTAGTGTAGACATTATCTTTGAAATCGCCCCAAAGATAAAAGTCTGAGGGTTAATTTTGGGTGGGTTTGGCATATTTTGGCATTTGGAGCAAACTTTGTAAAATGGCTGTAAAATTGTGCCCATTGGAGAGACCAATAGTGAAACTTAGTAGAATGAAAGATCACTGAACAAGGTTCAATTGTGCTAAATATGATTTTAAACCCACGCTGGATGATGGAGTTATTTCATTTACTTAGTTTGCCTTTTTTCGGGTCAACCTGTACATTCAATACCAGTGCCAGAATAATTTTTGAAAAAATAAGCACAATTTTACTAAAATTTATATGACATAAATCTGGCAAAGATTATCAGGATGGAGGCTTTATAATGACAGATATTAATGATGGTGAGGAAGCTCTTTTGTAACATGGGAGTGTATCACACAAGCTTTGAAAATCAAGTGAAATCTGTTTAAGAACCCCTTTTCAAACTGATTTTAGATATGTTCAGTAACATATTTCTACTCGTTGAGGCTTGAGGGAGATGTGTACTTTTGGATTTTTATGCAGTCCTCACATGTTATTCTCAGGAATACAAAACTCATTGCACATTTGCGCAAAGAATGCACTAAGGTACCTCGAAGAGTGTAGTGAATAATTTTTATAAGGTGTATAAAAATGAGAATATAAAGTGACCTTCTTATTTTGTACGTTTAAAATGTAGGCCACTGAATTTTGTCATTTTCCATACGTTTTGTAACAAAAATATTCTCCACACTCTTCTAGGTACATCAATGCAATGAGCACTCATTGTGAAAAACTGAAAGGTGTAGACAATGTGGGGGAGGAATCTATATTTGAGAAGTAACACATGTTACTTTATAAGTACACATTGACCTAATCAACCAATGTTCTGAGAAAATGAAGTTTTCAGCAAGGGTGCATTTTTAATGATTTGAAAACTACTATTACTTTCTCCCATAGACCAAAAAATATTGCATATTAAAGTAAAAACCTCTTCTGTTGTAGGCTATTTGTATCTAATCTGTATCGGATATTTTTCAATTCATTTTTTTTATTGGCGCCATTGACTTAACAACTCTACACCCTTGTTGAAATCCTCATTATCTCAGAAGAACATTGGTTGATGGTAGACTTAGTATTATCAATTCTAATTAGTTAGACTAGGGGTTCTCAAACAGGAGATTCTATGGCTTGTATGAGGCCTTTCTGAAAACTGATTGCCTCTATTTAGTAAAGATGATGCAGTGTCTTAAAATGGGTCATTGTATGAACTTTTTTTCTGTATGATTGTAATTTCAAAGATATAACACAAAAGCCTTGGTTGAGAATATTACCAATATTCAACACATTTTATTAGAATGTTGGTAAAAGAAATAAATAAAGCTAAATAAATAGATGTCACCACTTGTTTTTATTTGTTTTGGTTGGACCAGACTGCCATAGGCTTCAATGTCAAAAACTTGCAATAGTCACTTAATTTCATGATTTATCAAAAGGTGTTGGTTGAATCTGTCTAAAACACAAATGGCATAATATGGGATGACCCTGTTAATGTACATTCAGTGTGATTAATCATAAAAGTTTGATTATCAAACAAACAACAATGGAGATTTGGCCCACACTTCTTTTAGAAAATTCATGGAAAATGATTGATAAATGATTAGAACTGTATAAATCAAAGTTATTGTGAAAGTTTTCCCTGAATTCGAATATAAGAAGGAAAAGTAAGTTATCAGAGTTCATGATGTCACATTTTTTTCAAAAAACAAAGTATGGGTCTAGATCTTCAAAATGATATATAACTTATTGTGTCTTGCTACATTTTCTTGCTTCTAGATTCATTTACATTTTATTGTTCCATTTTCATCCATATGCCTTTATTTATGGATCTGTCATCTGTCTAGTCATAAAATAAAGCCGGAATTGCAGAAATGTTAATAATTTAAGCTATTTTGTTTTATGTCTGCTTTTGATTTCTTGAAATGATTTTTGTTGATCGGCCAGTCTGGCTTTGTATAACAAGCCTCGTACCCACATTATCACCATTTACTCTATAATTATGCATAAACTGAGAATGAATAATAATCTTTAAATATATGAATTGTTTATATAGTTGTGAACTTTCATTCTTAAAGTCTTTGAAAGACTGAATTTGCATTCTCTTTCAACAGTTTTAATTCATGAATGCATTCCCATTGTGTATCTGATGTAACGTCAACAAAATGGTGGTGTGGAAGACCCACGCATTGTTTTCTATGCCAACAACTTCCATTGGAACCTATATTGTTGCCAAAACATGTACCTGCTGGCACAGTTCGTAGTGTCAGTCATGCTAGCAATTGTTTTCATCTGGCTCAAAGATAAATGTTGAATAATGTACTTAGTACCATGTGTGTTTTGGTCTACTACTGTACTATTGTCCATTTCATAGCACATCATCAGATCATTCAACCTGGCTGTTTGCTGCAGGTGGGGACACTTGATGCCACAATTAGGTAATAACATACAGCCTGAGTGCTGCCCCTTTGTTTTCCAAAGGAGAGTCCACAGCTGAAGTCACATTCAATATAAGTATTCTGGAACCCATCACCTCTCCTTCAATCTCTTCATGAAAGTTACTTCATCCCTATTACGTATACCATAGCTGAAATTGAATAAATGAACAAATTAAAAATAGCAATTGCAGTACAGCATACTCAAAATAATTCTAAATAAAGCAAACTTCTAATTCTTGAAAAGTACACTAAAACTCTCTATAAGACTGATGCAATCAGAGTCTGTCCTTGCTCTACAATGTAAGCATTAATAGGTGAAGACTAATTGGTTAGGCTAGGGCCCAACAAATGACAGCTGGGAAGGGGCTGTAAGCCTGTCAAAGTGAAAATGATTGGTTCTTGTCAACTTTCAACAGGTAGGATTTTAGCCAAAGAACCCCGGGGGCTCACTTTAAAAAATTTGGGTAGGTATGTGCAGCACGGGCAATTTTGGCTGAGGGCAAAAACCATGGAACCTGGCCAATCTGAGAGGAAAAATACATGGAAAATTTGTCGAAGAAAGCACCTTTTTAAGTCAAAAATCAGTTTATTTTACTACAAATGCTTATAAATCGGTAAAATCAGTTGGCAAGGTCTTGGACAAATTACCTAAAAAGTGGATTTTGTAGTTAATATACCAATACTCCCTTTTATAAGTCTGAGAGGAAGTATACATGGAAACTTTCAATCTTGAGAGGAAATTGACATGAAAAAAATGCTCAAAAAGGGGGTCTTTGGCGCGGCACATAGGTATTTAGAGGTATATTGGAGTGAAACCCCCGGGCAAAGAACCTGGTGTAGACAAAAGGTCTTGTGTTTGGTAGTTTTTTTTAAAATAATGTTAATGATGATCTTGGCACCTTTAATTATCATTACAGTATATCTATTTCTTACGCTCTCAATTCTTTTGTATCATCCTGTAGCTTTTCTCCTTGGTAAATCAACCAGTAAGTCTTCCAAATATATCGCCTGGAAGTAAACAATTAAATTGTTCATACATTTAAAGAACATTGAGCTCAAACTACAGGATAAGTAACAATGATAACAATGGAATTATTTGAAATGAGTGTGACATTAACAACATCACTGACCCTCAGACCCTGGTCATAAAAAGTGCCAACAAGCATTAGCATGTGAAGCTGTGTCCCTCCACAAAACAGAATTAAAGGCATTAAATAGAAAATATGGCTACTGTTACTTGATTTATCTAGGGTTAAATACTTGATTTCCCCCTAACTGAAGGACCATTGAATCAAATCATTTTGATTTTTCATACTCACCAACTTATATGTGATGTACCACCCTCTCGTTTTTGCTTTAACGTTAAGTGACGTTTCATGGCATTCTTTAGATCCAACACTGTGGCTGCTTGAACCACCACCACAGCTGAAACATAAAAGGCAAAAATAAAAATCGGAAATTAAGTGAAAGTATAGAACCAGTGTGTTATGTCAGATTTGGTAGTAATTTCCTGGTAAGCTATCTAATAGACTAGATGCGGGTAGATATAATCTTGATTTACATCATTAAACATTCAAAATGATGTCATATTTGAAGTCTACAAGTAAAACTACATGTATGTCTAGAAACGTGGTTTCGAAATTGTTTATAAACTTTGAAAATTAATTTTTTTTGAGACCCTATGTTACAAAATCACAAGAAGTTAAATATCTTTTTATGTGACCAAATCATAGCTAAACAGACATATTTTAATTTGCGTAACAATAAGTAGATACATAAGGGTGTTATGAAAATTGAATCAGAAAAAAGTGAAAACAGATGAATATTAAGTTAAAGGGAGCATTCTACTATACCCGCCATGCTACCTGACCCGAACGAGCCACTTGGTGGTGAAACTGGTAACTACCTACTCATATCTGAGTTACTGATATTTAAACCACTATATTTCCTATCACATGACGATGGCATTAACTTCTTTAATCCCAGGTTCTAAAATCGGTTGAAACCAGAGAATTTTTCATTTTTACCATCTTTTGACAGTTTACTACTTACCTATACAACTTGAGATGCTCATTTTAGTAAAATTGGACGGCAGAGATCATTTCTACACATTTAAAACAATTTTCGTGTAAATCGGATGAAAATTGTTCAAATAAGAGCAATTTTAGTGAAAATTTTTATGACAGATTTTCTTGTCACTCTGGGTTTAAAGGTCATTTCTGAGGTGACGAGAAATCTTGTCACTCCAGGTAGTCAAGAGGTTAAATGAAAATGAGGGAAGGACGATGCCATATAAATGAATAGGGAAATATCACTGCCCATCACCTCACATAACTTATGCCCAAAGGCACAAAATCCATGTGATATGCCTTTTTAAGTATATTATGACATTTGTGATATTGTGACGTAATTTTGTGAAGTGGAATTTGAGAGATCAAAAGTAACCCGAAAATTTGGAAACGTTTGTTTACTCTATCTGCCAAAACCCTTCTTGTTGGCTGATTTTAAAGAATTCAAAAATCTACTTACGGAGAACAGAGTTGTCACCGCGTCTAACATTAACCATCATTGACTGGCCATGTTCAAGGGCTATAAGAGAGTTGATTTCTTCAAGGGTCACTTCAGTTGGCAGATCAAAGGTCAGAGGATCAGACTGAAAACAATGAAAATCAAAATATGTCTATTATCCAAATAATAACTTAATAAGTTGAGTAGGGGGTTTAACTTCAGACAACTTTGGCCCAAATATGGCCAAGAGTGCTCAGAATGGTGAAAAACTGCTTGATTTTTGGCCAGGGGAGGAGGGGGCATTCGCTAGATATTATATAAAATTAATTTTGGTGCCATGAAGAATTCATTCAGCATAGCACAGTTGACCAGTATAGTCACGTTGACTTGATTTGAAAAAAATCGGGAAAAAAGAGATCAATTGCACAGGTGCCCCCTGGGTAATAAGAGTGTTGGGCGTTTCTGTGTTGCAGGGAGGTCCCTATCTCTTATTACCCAGGGGGCACCTGTGGTCAATTCAACAATATAAGTGTGTAAAACACTTCAAAGAAGATTCTTGAAATATTTAGATGATTCAATTAAATACCTAAAGAGAAATTGTGTCAAGCAGTCAAGGTTTTTCTATCGCTTATCCTAGGCCTATGTAGTTCTACAAGTAGAACTCAATGCATGGCCTTCTTTATTCATAGACAAGATGCGCGCAGAAATTTATGTCATTAAATATTCAAAATTCAGTCAAAGTGATGTCATATTTGAAATCTACATGTAAAAGTACAGCTAGAAATATGGTTTAGAAAATAGTTCAACTTAAAAAAATCAACTTTGAATTTAACTTTTTTTGAAAATGTGACTTCTTGTTCAGGGAGACTCCCCACAAAATCACAAAAAGTGAAATATCTTTTCTTGTATTGGACAGATAACATTTTCTTTTACTGGACATATTTTAATTTGCATTTATATTAGATACATAAGGGTGATATGAAAATTGAACTACTAAAACAGATGTAATTTAAGTTAAAGGGAACTTTCTTCCATACCAGCAATGCTATCTGACCCAAACTACCCCCATAAATGTGGGGTCGAATTGGCGTTTTTCCTTATTTGTTATTATTTAAGGCCAATTGCCTTATTAATTGTCAGAAGTAAAAAAAAAAAACGCAAACTGAGCACACGTTTAGGGTATAACCCGAATGAGCCACCTGGTGGTGAAACTGTTGTTACCTACTCCCATCTGTGTTATTCTGATCTTTCTTTGCTGAACGAGTCTGGGCCGTAAGACTCAGATAAGAAATGAGGCCCCAGACTAGGTCTAACGCTGTTGGACTAAGCCAGGCCTACGTAGTTTAAGACCCTATCTGTTGCAAGACTTATGCTTGGGACAACCATCACCATGTTATTAAGTGTTTTTAAGTTTCGCAAGGATCCTGCCATGACCGTTGTAGTGTTATCGTGATAGCCTGGTATAACCGTGACAATGCTATATTATATTGCAAGACCTGTCATGACCGTGGTAAGGTAAAAGCCTGATATGACCGTGACAATGCTATACTATATTGCAAGGCCTGTCATGACCATGGTTATGTTAAAGCATGATATGACCGTGACAATGGTTGCAAGGCTTGTCATGACTGTGGTAATGTTAAAGCACAATATGACTGTGACAATGGTTATATTAAGTGACATTTAGTAGCATAAGAATACATATTTAAATCTAGACTACTAGTACTACTACTACACCCTATGCAGACAGAGCCTGTGGGAAATATTGGGTGCGGAGCAAATGAGCGGAGGGTGCGGAGCTAACGGTCATTTTTGAATTTAAAATTGGGATATTTCTGAAACTAAGCCGTTTTAGGACTTCAAATATACCAAGATATGTGTATTTGACACCAAATATCAATAAAATTGTGAAAAAAGTAGTGCAATTCATTTTATAGCGACGCAGTATGCCTTAAACATTTCCCAGACCTATATATTTTGAGACTATCCTTTTAATACGGCGTCCCCAGCATTCATAAAAAATGGTGTTCAAGATACACTACCCATGCAAATTATTTTTGCATCTTGGAAGCCAGGCAGTATCTGTGTGATTTTATAAAAATTCGGAAATGTTCTTCAGATATGAGCCCCTCTAAATATTGGGTGCGGAGCTACGTTTATGGAGCTGCTCCGCACCCAATATTTAGAGGGGCTCATATCTGAAGAACATTTCCGAATTTTTATAAAATCACACAGATACTGCCTGGCTTCCAAGATGCAAAAATAATTTGTATAGATAGTGCACCTTGAACACCATTTTTTATGAATGCTGGGGACTCAGTATTAAACGGATAATCTCAAAAGGAAAGGTTTAAGGCACACTGCGTCGCTATAGAATGAATTGCGCTACTATTTTCACAATTGTATTGATATTTGGTGTCAAATACACATATCTTGGCATATTTGAAGTCCCAAAACGGCTTAGTTTCAGAAATATCCCAAATTTAAATTCAAAAATAACCGTTAGCTCCGCACCCTCCGCTCATTTGCTCCGCACCCAATATTTCCCACAGGCTCTGTCTGCATAGGGTATACTACTTTAACTAATAATTCATTTCCACAAACTAATTCTAATCTCATTCACATGCCTGTCAACTTGGGAACACCTAATATAATCTTTGTTCAAATTATGGACACCTTGGTCCAAATCTGAACACCTTGGCCACATTTTCAGCACCTTGGTTAAAATTTCATTGCATCTCAAATTTTTCGCACTCGCTACGCTCGCTATCTGTCAATGGAGGGGGGGGAGGTATGAATTGCGTTCGTTTTTTTTCGTTGTTCGGTTTTGTGTTGTATTGCCGATCATTTTTTAAAATTTTTCTACAGGAATATTTTTGCTGGACAATAATCAGGTAAAATACGTATTTGCGAAAATAACTGGCGTGACTTCAGATTTTCCAGCAAATGCGTGACAAATACCCAAATTGCGGGACAGTTGGACGTTAACATTGTCTTGGTCATATCAGGCTTTAACATTACCACGATCATGACAGGGCCTTACAACCATTGCCACAGTCATATAAGGCTTTAACATTACCACGGTCATGACAGGCCTTGCAATATAATATAGCATTGTCACGGTCATATCAGGCTTTAACATTACCACGGTCATGATCGACACACCTTGTAATATAGTATAGCACTGTCACGGTTATACCAGGCTTTCACGATAACAATACCACGGTCATGGCAGGATCCTTGCAAAACTTAAAAAACCTAGTAACATGGTGACGGTTGCCAGGCATAAGTCTTGCAATAGATATGTGTGTAGTTTTTGGCCAATATAATGAGTCAATGACTGAAACTAACTCACAGTTATCAAATCAGCAAGGCCATCTTTAAACAGGGACATGGCTTTAACATGAGTCAAGCACTGCTGTGAATTTGTATCTTCTTCTGACTCTTTATCATCCATCTTTTCTTTTTCTTCAGTTTTTGATTCCACATATTCTCCTTCTTCGCATTTGTTGTGGTTTGAAGATCCTTGTTCATTTGACTGTGACATTTTATTTATAGAAACCATTAAAGGTTAGACTATGGACTAAATTTAATAATTACTGCCTCGGTACTTTCCTGTTATTAGGGTTTTAGTTGAAATTTTGCATTTGCAAATATGGGCGCTGCCATCTTGGATCAAGTCTCGAATGACAAAACTAATATTCTGTTTAAAAATCATACCGTCTTATTATACACCAAAAATACTTCTGCATATAAAGTTTTAATGATTTATCTATGAATTGTATCGATATTGAAAGGGAAATATTAGAATTTAAAGTATATATTGCATTTAAAGTCATGCAAATCCATTGCGAGACTATTCGAGCCTCAACCCGGAAGTGAAGTTGCATGATTTTTCCAAACTTTTCGAAATGTTGATGTTTTGCCCAACTTGTGGGAATGTCCTGGTGGTAGAAGAAGGTCCAAGCTGCTATAGATTTGGTTGTAATACATGTCCATATATTCACAACATTAACAAAAAGGTAGTGCTTTCTTGAAGTTGGTTTTTGTTTTCAACTTTCAACCAGAAAAGATTTTTCATTGAAAAATGTTTACAATTTCTTAAGAATCCAGAGACAATCTACATGTATGGAGAAAACTGATCCGTTTTTTATGAAAATCTTTTTGTTATATGACTGCGCCATTTTGTCAGAAAATGGTAATGTGATCGTTTTGGTCTTCATTTCTCCAGTAATGTCCGTTGAAAAGAATTAGCATGTTCATTCTTTTTATCTTACAGAATTAGACAACACAGCAAAAAATGCGTATGAATACAATGAATCCTGACATCAGGATTCATACAGGATATGCACGCAGTGTGCCAATCCTGTATAAATCCTGACACCATGGCGTAGAATAATGGAAATAATGTCACAACGCATGTCCGTAAATCGACATTTCATGGTCCAAAGATTTCAATGGAGAGCAGTCTTCATCAAAATTTAAAATCTTAATAACTTTTGAGCTGATCATTTATTTTCTTAGGATTCAACGGATCGTTGTTAGACCCAATGAAGTGTTCATTACAACAAAATCCATCCACAGATCTTTCGGCCTTTTTATTATTTAATTTTCTGGATATTTTGCTAAAATCCCCCATTGGCCGCCATTATAAACTTCATTCATTCAGGATACGCTCGCAGTGTGCCAATCCTGTATGAATCCTGATGCCTAGATTCATACAGGATATGCACACAGTGTGCCAATCGGCCTGTACGTTTGATGTATCCTGAGTCAAGATTCATACAGGATAGGCACGACTAGTTCAATATCAATATCTGATTTTGAAGAAGAATATACATTCATGGAATAGTATACTGTCGTCTCTTACCCCCCTATCACACCAAACTAGTTCTTAGACACATACAGTATAGACCTTTAGAATAAATGACGAAATATAAATGACTAACAACATTACATGCAGATTTTACGATATGAAATAGCGGGATTTAGAAACGCATTGTACTATAATAATATTTTACAAACTTTAACAGATAAATAGACAAGTGTGCAAGCACCTTGGCGATAATAATTTATAATCCAAATTGCGATTTGTCAACAAAACCCCCATACACTCACATATCAGGTTAGGCATAATTCCACATGTTTGAAACCAGATCTGGAAGCATCAAATACGGTGTGTCATTCAGTTTCTAAAGGCAGAATTCCACATGTTTGCAACCAGATCTGGAAGCATCAAATATGGTGTGTCATTCAGTTTCTAAAGGCAGAATTCCACATGTTTGCAACCAGATCTGGAAGCATCAAATATGGTGTGTCATTTAGTTTCTAAAGGCAGAATTCCACATGTTTGCAACCAGATCTGGAAGCATCAAATATGGTGTGTCATTCAGTTTCTAAAGGCAGAATTCCACATGTTTGCAACCAGATCTGGAAGCATCAAATACGGTGTGTCATTTAGTTTCTAAAGGCAGAATTCCACATGTTTGCAACCAGATCTGGAAGCATCAAATATGGTGTGTCATTTAGTTTCTAAAGGCAGAATTCCACATGTTTGCAACCAGATCTGGAAGCATCAAATATGGTGTGTCATTTAGTTTCTAAAGGCAGAATTCCACATGTTTGCAACCAGATCTGGAAGCATCAAATATGGTGTGTCATTTAGTTTCTAAAGGCAGAATTCCACATGTTTGCAACCAGATCTGGAAGCATCAAATATGGTGTGTCATTTAGTTTCTAAAGGCAGAATTCCACATGTGCACAGTTTGCAGCTTCACATTATCTTGTCCATATACCTCCTGTAGGCCCATATCGTTTCAATACTGATGTTCCCCTGATCGCATTGTATTTTATTATGTTGACATCAAGTTCTTTAGAATTCATGCTTATTTCAGCAAATTATTCTCCAACCTATTAGGTACTGCAAAATTGCAATATCTTTAGATCAGACAAGGTGGACATCAATGGAAAAAATAGGACAATTTCCAGTTGTCCACCCAGCACTTGGGCTTGTCCATCATTAACATATTATCTAAAGCTAGCAGTAAGAATCAACAATGATGTGTGATGTTATGATTATTTATTTGTTTGATTGCATATAGTTCAATGGTTGAGCTAAGGTTGCCAAACTTATGGAGGGGAGTGTACATGTAACACTTGACAATATATATATACACAAAATTTGTTCATATGACATTGGATACAGGATTTTGGCTGATTCGAGATCCAATACGGAATCTGATACAAGATTTTGGCTGATACAGGTTCTGATACAGGATACTTTGAATATCAATTCAGTTCCCTGTCTATTTCCCAAGAAATCATGTTATAACCAACTAAGACCAATTAATCCTTGTATTAAAACTGTGTAACTGTGTTTTTCAGATGAGTAGTAGGAAGTATCCTAAACTAAAGGACGTTGATGATGTGCTCGGTGGAGCTGCTGCTTGGGAGAATGTAGACTCTACAGAAGGTATCAAACCATAGAGCATATCATTGAATAGTATTCAGCACAAATTTTTGTTGCATACTTTGATGTACCGTAGAAAGAAATCCAGCAGGAGCATCTCATGAAATTTTGCAAACATCTTTACACAATTTATGACACTCAAATTTTTATTTAGAGATTGAAGTAAAATTGACAGAATATGACTATGAGTCACTTCAAAATATTTGTATTTAACTCACTGAATTTCCACTAAAGGAATTGAACATTTTGAAATATGAATGGCAAGTATTTACTTATTACATTATTACAATATTACATTACATACAAACAGTGTACAATTTAATATTATATTGTATTATAATGTACAATAACCATAGTATAGCATGCACCAAACACTGTGTCTAAAAACGTTTGTCAGGCAACTCCGTGGAAGAGATGCATATTGGGATTCCTAGCTCCTCTTTGTGATAACTGAGAAGATCTGCTTCAAAGGTTCACATCATCCCTCCCATAAAATCATGTGAACATGCATGGGTGTTATTTGTTTTTACTTGTGCAAGACCAAATCCTCTTGGAAACTTTTCTATAGTACATCAAAGTATGCAACAAAAACTTGTGTGGAGGACTTGTTATTTCACATACTATCTCCTTCTTTTTCCTTTACTTGCTGCCATAAATTTAAGGGATTTCTTATACTTGCAAACTAAAATTAGTCATCAAGATATCAGTTATATTGACCTATAGCTAACATAATATGAATTGACGTAATATGTATGGAACAATAAGCTTAACTTAACACACACAATATTTGAATGTTTTCAGAAACATGCCCCAAGTGTGAACACAATAGAGCATACTTTATGCAGATTCAAACCCGCTCTGCTGATGAACCAATGACAATATTTTACAAATGTTGCAACGCACAATGTGGCCACAGGTGGAGAGAGTAGCACATAGACAAACAACAGGATGAATGTTTAAGCTGCAAGCCACAGTACCAGATTAAGGAAATACAAAGAAGCAGTAAAGTTGAAGGTGAAAACTGCTGCATGTAGGACTGCATTGTCAAAAGATAATGCCTGCCGTGATAAATGTATTGCGAATCAACAAGAGTTAATGTTAATTGTCATGAATGCTGCCCAACTATATACTCTAGTCAAAAATGCAAAAACACAACCTGATGGATTTTAAGGATACCATGATTCATTATGCATCTCTTTTAGAGCTTAGAGACTTGTACTCGGTATAGAGGACAAAAGTGAACAACATTGACAAGTCATAATTGAGTTAGAGATTGCCAATTAGTTTTTGCTCTATTTTCCGATTTTTATGGATCCCTTGGTATGAGAAAACTGTATAATAATAATAATAATGTGGTATGAACGTGAAAAATCAGAAAATAGAGCAAAAACTAATTGGCATTGAGAAACTGTGCTTGAATGACAGGGATATTTGTAAAAAATAATGAAATAAAACAGTCATAAAATAGTTGGTACTATAAACCAACTGAAATGTATTGTGTGTAGAGACTGTCAACAATAAATATTTTCATAAAAAAATGAGGATTGATTTAGATTATTTTTAATTGGTATAAGGCTCGATCTCTTATATAACTCCATATGTGGCATCAACTTTTGGATTCCATATTTGGGCTTTGTCTTTCTTTGTTTAAAAGGGGTCTGTTTTTTTTAAATTTTTTAGTTTAGTTTATTTCAAACAAAAGTCCTCAGGCCCATAGTTTTACAAATATAACAATACATGTTTACATCAATTCTAATATGCTTTTAAAATCACTGTATGATTCCAATTCTGTTATTATTAAGCAAGCCCACATGCCAACAGTGAGGTTTATATAAGACATGCTTGCTTTACCTACCTTAAATCGATCATCTACAGCTGGTGTTTCTCGCTAATAGACCCATGGGCATTTATTTGAAAATTTTCACCAGTGCATCTGAATAAACATCCAGTGGCTTATTGAGAAAAGGATTGGTATGCTTAGATATTTCCTAAAAACAATTAATACCAGTATGTACCAGTCCAACAGTATGGCTCATTTGCAAAGCCACAGGTTATTACTATCACTTTACTCTGGGTTTCGATTCCATTCCAGGTCGAGCCAAATTTTTGGGGTTTGAAGTCCAGATGTCAACTTAACTACATAAATGATAATTTCCCTTGGAATAAAGGCTCACTGGCTTAGATTTTCCCTCTTATGAAATGAATACCCAATTTTCCCTCTTAATATCAAACAACCATCTTCCTTAGAAAATCAACATTTCCCTCTTTGTAAAGGCCCATGGGTGTTACTGAGGGCTTTCAAATATGCCCAGGTGAAATAAACAAATTGGCATATTAGCGAGAAACTCCAGAAGTAGAAAATATATCGTATAGTCCCCTTATATTGTATTGGTTGAGTATGTCAGTTCAATTATGTGATTGTTATTATTAATTTAGTTGAAGCAGTTGATCTTGTTTACTGTTTTTGGCTCATTAGCTTGATTGATTACGTTGATGTTGCCATTTACATTTTCTAAGGGTAAACAGAATGTAATTGAATTCCTTTAGGATTAATAGATGGCATATTGGTATAAAGTCTTCACTTCTATTCGATTGTTGAATCTGGGTGTTCCAACCATTTGTCAGCAGTTACATGTATTTCACGATAAAATGGAATGATGGTTGTGATTGAAAAACTAATTCGGTGCGTGAATATAGCCCAGTTTCAGATGGGGTGGTGTTCACATGTGGAAACCGGAAATTTGCCAGATGTCAAAATGGGCCGTGTACCTGCAGTTGAAATCTGTTTTGTTTTATGAAACTGTTTTGCCAAGTGTGAAAAGGATTTAAGGATGTTCCCTGGACGAAGTTGAAAACGATGAACACCAACCCCTAATTTTTCTTTTCAAAATGTGAAGTACATAGCATAACTAAGTGTTTCTGTGAGTTTAAGAAAAAGTTAAATATTCAAAAGTGTGTTTTGGGGTGAAAACCTGATTTTTAACATGGGTTTCAATGAGAAAGTGCCACGCCCACTTTTGTCAAATATTGACACTTTAGAGGCCTCTTGCTCAGAAAAAAGCACACTAACATATGGTTTTTAAAGTTTTAATATTCTTTGTTGCCCGTGAGAATCCCAGAAAACCATTTTTGAGAAAAAGTTAAATACTATTGAATATTTTCCTATCTGACCAGGGAACATCCTTAAGCACTGAATTCATTGTGGTCTTGGTTTAATAAAGGAACAACTCACTAGTTATATTTTTTTACTAACAAAGCATGGAGTTCAGTGCTAAATATTATATTCACATGAGATAAACAAATGGTTCCACATGCTTTATACGCAATGAGAAACGATGATCTCTACCTAATTTGCAAAATTGAGCATCACCTGTTGTAGAAGTATGCAGTGAAATGTCAAGCTGGCAAAAATTCTGTTTTCAACTAATTTTAAAGCCTTCGATTCATGAGGTTAATAACATTTTTGACAATACTAACACACCCCCAATATCCATCCAGCACGTTTCTCAATCTATAACACCACACAATTACAAGAACTGTGAATATAAATCAACAAAAGATCTTTTTGATTTTTTCTACCTTTATTTACTTTTTTTGGGGTTATGATATTTAAGTGAACATTGTATTGAAACACTAGAAATTAAATCTTTGGTGAAAATAGATTTGTGTAATGATGTATAACAGCATTCTTGTCTTTTTTTCAGTGGAATAATCCACCAAAATCCCTGATGTCCTTGACTGTAAAAACAGTGCAAAATTCTTAAGTACAGAAATGTAAAATCTTGAAGTTAACAAGATTTGGATACTTTAAGTAGCAAATATTTGTTTTTTAAACTTCAGAAATCTACGAAGATTTCTCCCATAATTTTTGGTGTTTTTTGATATGTCCTTCAATCTGTACTGGTGTAGGCACAGGGGTAATGGAGATCATTCACTATTGACATGATACACTTGTTTAGAACGTTCACACAATCTACACACTCAACACTGAAATAAACATTATTTCTTCATAATTCAATCTCAAAGTGAGAAATAGTGATACAATGAGAGAAATACAACTAGATGATGATAATATTGATGAGATTATCTGACCCAGTAGAATGATTGATGTCTAGTTTTGGTGAACTTCACAAATTTTTAGTTCAGTGATTTAGAAACTGAAATACAGATATCAATTCAACTTTTTGCATGTCGACATTAAATAAATGTGGCAATTTGATATACAGATATATGTGCCCCTAATCAAACTAAATATAAAGAAAAACTGATAGTCTACTGGATCAAGATGATAATAATGAGATGATAATTTTAAGTTATCCTAAATAACTTCGGTTCTCTATATTGGCTAGGACATGATGTAAAATGGTCCTCTAGGTGAAGATGTTGTTATACCTTTGCCATAAATAGATGGTTGGTCTGTACGTATTTTATCATTAGGCCAAGCCATATATCCAAATTCATGCAGTTGTCAACATTTCAGTCATATTTTGAGAAATATTTGTTCAATAAGATAGCCATCCTTGCAAACTGCAATTCCACATGATTTACTTCAGCAGAAACCAAGCCAAGTTTGATTGGACTAGATAAATGTGGGATGCTGTAGTTGTAAAATACATTCATCATTCTACAATTATCACTGGTAGTAAAAACACCACCAGAAGACATTGTTGGAGAATGGCGGAGACAGTGATCATTAAATATAGAACTCCTTAATTTGGTTTTGCTTAGCCACTGAGTGTTAAGTAGCACTAAGCAACACTGCTGGCAGATATTTTAACTTCAGGTCTATCTTGTTGAACAAATTATCTCACCCCTAATTGTCAGTATTTAAATCGACATTATTCCATAGTCCAAAATTCTTTTCAGTTGTCAATTTTGTCATCAAAAACCACTTTACACACACTTTTTTGAAACCCTAATTTTGAATTTTAAAAACCTTAATGGTTTTGAATGTTTATCCAGGAACATCAAAAATAAGAAACCATATCAAAAGTTTCTAAAATTCTTACACAAAAGTTTTTATATAATAACTATTTTGGTTGCAAAAAGGCAACCCAACATTGGCACATGCTTTGATTGCATCTAGTTCTTATGTTGAACAGGTTGCTGTGCTCATTATGGTGTTTCAATGCATTTTTGTCCAAACAAAGTGCTGGTTTGCAGTTTTATTTGTTCAACTGCAGTGCATTGCAAGAGCAAGAAACTTAGCGTACATGTTCAATATATGAACCAACACCTCACACATTTCTTAATAATATTTTAAAAAGTTAATAAATCCTCACGTAACTGCAAAAACTCCAATTTACTGACTTAAAAATTGTGGTTCCCATATTTAGCAAGATAGTCTTTTAAGTACATGGGAACAAGTCCTTTGTCCAAATGTAGGAATCAGGTGGTTTTATGATTCACTAACTTGACATATCTCATTAAGTGCCTAGATCTTTCTGGCAAATTGTCTATATTCAATTTTAACTTGAACAAAATCATTTTATTTGATATGGGAAACACAACTATCCATCTATAATTTTCTTTAACCCCAAATCCCAAACTTTACCATATGTACCACATGTACATTAATCGACTGAAAGTAAGCATTTTTAATAAGTACCTTTACGGTATCGACTTACACAACATTTATATGAACAGTGATGATGAGTCAAAGATGAATGAATTCAGACCAGGAATATAGCACACCTCAACACTCACTGGTCTGAACTGTGACAAAGTCCAGCGATATTTCACACGCTGCCAGTGTCAAACGGTTCTTATATACTACCGTTTTGCAAATATGAAATGGAAATCCCTTGCAAAAAATGTTATTCTTTATTGCTAAACCCCATTCTGCATATTTTAATTTGAAAGGGAAGAAAAAACTTTTTAAGCAAGGGGATGATATGACCGATATGATAAATATTGTTCTATCTATAACTAAATCCCTTGTAACTAGCGCAATACATAAAGTTCCCAGCCATCCAATCACAGAATTATGAGGAAGCGCACAACAAAATTGTTATACAATGAATTTAAAGGTTATCAAAATATCTAGACATTACTAATTGCATTGATTGTCTCATTTTTGAGGATTCAAAAATGACATCTATTGTACAGGTGATTGTATGGCTAGTCAGTATATGTAAATTGTACCCACTGATTTAAACTAACATTGTACAAAAATATAAATAGAACTCTGATACATTGGTGAAACATTACATAATAATGCACTAAATACAACAAGATCAGGCCAGGTAATGTAATGGCCATAAGCCAGGTAATGCAATGGCTTTAACTGTTCAACATACTGTAGCTTCTTCTCTTCTCAGGATAAGTTTCAGTTTGTTCATAATTAAATAATAATAAAAAAAACATCTCAGTTTTAAACTTGAGGTAACTTTGCCTCTTACTGTCACTTGATTTACATATATACAACTGCTTCTTCAAAACAGACACCATCACACACATGCCTATAGATCACAACCTAATCGATCTATCTCCTCAATGATGAAGTCCATATCTTTAGTGAAACAGCGATCACTTATCACAACCATTCGGAAGAAGTTGACATATTGTTCATGTTGCTGATAGCAGACTAACAGAGATCCTTTCTCCATCATTCTCTGCTTGATTGTTGGAGCAACTTTGTTCAATTTGGCCCACCATTCTGGGGTTTCTTCCTGGCCTCTCATGCTGGGTGGAATATACCAGAAACACACATTGGTGCACTCAGGCTGGAAGAGAAAAAATGATATTGATTATATTGGAAAATTACATACTCCTCGTATATATTTACATTTGCTTACTTAATTGACAATTTCACATATTTTACTTGTGTAAAATAGCCTTCAGTGTCCAAATTAGCTTCACCTTACAAAGCTTTCATCAAGCATTAACAGGTTCAAGACTAATCAAGTTCTAATAGGCCAAACTTAAAATACAATGTACTTGTGGAATAACACCTCAAAATGACCTGGGCACACAAATACAATGTTAAACGTTTATATACTCAAAATATTCTACTTACATCTAACATAAGTCTAAAGCCTGGAGTTGTGCGACATCTGTCAGCTAGATGTCTGAAAGTAAAAATAGGAACATTAACTACATTTAACAACTAGTCATAACTGTCATTTAATTTTGAAATATATCTTTTTATTTCATTTTGTCCTCTCTTCATTATAACAGTTTTACTAGACTTCACCAAGCAAAATACTGAATCAGATTACATTAACATGTAATTTATTTCATGGCTGTAGATGTGTATCATATAGTTATTTTACCTTGAGTTGTCAAAGGCTTGATCGATTTTCTTTTCAAAACCAGCATCTCCACGTGCCTTCCAGCTCAACCAAAGCTTAAAGCAATCTACGCGGCGGCCGCACTGGATTGTCTTGTCTCCGGTATCATAGGACACATCATAGAACTTGTCCTTTTGAAACAGGTACTTGGCATTGTAGGAGTGGGCAGATTGTAAAAGACCCTACAAGACAAAAGATACAAAGTTAGTCACACAATCATGTTGTTTTTACCATTATTTACTCAACATTTAAATAAAACAAAAAACAATTTACAAAATCTAATCGAGGTTCTTTCTATTTGTAGATGTAGGATTTTTGAAAGACACTAGTTTCTATGAAAATAAATCAGCAGTGTGCAGGGCAGCCAAGTTGAAAAAGTTGCTTTGATAGAACTCCTTTCCAGTGTATTATTGAAAATTTCAGAAAAAACAGGTGGCTACCGAAGTTTAGATTTGCCTGTAGCCACCTCATAAGTTGACTGCCCTGAGTGTGTGCAATCAAGCATTAAGCAACCAGTCCAAGTGATTGTAGCTTCATAATCTTGTGGTTCTGTCAACCAAAATGTCATTCGTTAGAATTACATTGTATAAAATCATAATCAACATAATGAACATAATTCTTGGCTTGCTGTTGCTCTAAATAAATCACACATGTAGTTAAATCACACATGTAGTTTATAATCATGCTGAAATGCAAAGTTCTTTATTGCTCACAGCGACCCGAGGGCCTTAATACTGCTTATCTGGGAAAACAAAGGGTTGTTATTATACATAGATAAATGAGTCCCACTAGGGAATGAAACCCTAGAGAGACTCGGTTAACAAACTGTTAATAGCACCTTTTACTCACGCTGGTGCTATAAACTAACCTCGTGTTTGGTAAGAAAAGCAGAGCACTGCTGGGTTGCTCCCATGAGCTTGTGTGGGTTCCAGGTGACTGAGTCAGCTCTACAACAAACATACATATAAACAGCATGGTCTTCTTTTAACACTACCAGATTGTCTCAAAATAAGCCCCTTAGATATATGGTCCATTAGCCACCACTGTTTGATGAAATTTTTGGCCAACAAATGTGCTAGTTCAAGGCTTTCTAACATTTCACCTTATTTTTGTAATACTATGTCTATGAAGTTTTTGCATTTGAATTTGATCAAAAACAAGCCTTGTCACTTTGATGAGGCTGGGACCATATAACAAAAAGACCTCTTTTCATTTGATGTGATTATAAATTAACACTGAGCTCTAGCATTTTGATTCTTCTCTTATAGAGCTCCATGTTGAATTGATCTGTTGTGCAAGCAGCCATGAATGAGATTCAGAAGTACAATCAACAGAACTAATATTGCAAAAATAAAATGTGAGCCTAAGCTTAAAATAGTTCTATAAGTAAGATAAAATAAATTTTAAGTGAAGATTACAATACATATAGCAGATGATGATGAATGAGATAATAGGCCAAAATAACTGCACTGCATGACAGATCATGTTGGAACCAAACTTAGGTTAATTCAGAATATGTAATGGTACATTATATGAATTTCTATACACACCTTTCAATGCCCTTGAGAAGGTATCGCCATTTCTTGGACAACAAGGCACCACCACCCCAGGCTGAGTCAACGTGAAACCACAGGTTGTTGTGTTCAGCGATCTCAGCCATTTCTTCAATGGGGTCAAATGCTCCGATGACAGTTGTTCCAGCAGTAGCCAACACGGCAATTGGGGCAAGGCCCTAAAAAAATAATCTCAGAATTATCTAATGGACATTTCAGTTGTACATATTTTAGGTCTCCTAAATTCTTACACTTATGATGTGATCAGAGTCCATTTTGTTCATTTATTATTATAAAGGTTATTTACAATATCAACACAATTTGATGGAACATGACAAAATATATTCTTACCTCAGATTTTGCTTTCTCAATGGCTTTCTCAAGTTCAGATGGGATAAGTTTGCCTTGCTCATCGCATTTCACTCCGATACAGTTGTCAGAGCCCATTCCCAGGAATGAACAGGATTTCATCATGGAGTAGTGACATTGTGATGACACAAAGACACAGCATGGCTTACATGCATGCATGCCCTTCTTCTTGATCTCAGGGAACATCTTGTGACGGGCAAGGTTGATGGCATACATATTGGCGAGTGAGCCACCTGGAGCGAAGATACCATCTCCATTTCCATTTTCCCACCCAATACAAGACCTCATCTTTTTCAAGATGGATGCCTCAACAAGGGTAAAAACGGGTGCCATCTCGTAGGTGTAGGCACTTGTGTTCATGGTGTCTGTAAGCCAAGACCCAGCAACTCCATACTGGTCAAATCCTCCTGCTCCCAGTTGATTGTACATGTTAGGATGACCTGGAATATACAACACCCCGAATGATAACCAAAGGATAAATATAGATGGCATGATGGTCAAACTGACTTCATATCCTTCAAAGGCAGTTATATTTTGCCAATCTGTTCATAGATGTCACTAGTATTGATCAACTATGGGGTTTCTCCACTTCTAATTATCTAGAGAAAAATTATCATAAATTATACGAGTGGTGATGAACAAACCTATAACCACTCCATTATAATTAACAGAATTCTAATTTTAAGCAATGGAATTTAGTTTTTATAACTAAAGGTTTGTAAATGATAGCCAAGGAGGATATGACGCAAGTTCTCAATATGTGGATCTATTTATGTATGCTAGTATCAATAGAACTGCTAACCTGGTGAGTTAGATAAGCAGTGAACTACTTGGGCTTCACCTTTTCAACTATCATATGGCCATGACTTACTCTTGAAAGGTTAACTTAGGCTACCTTGATCATAAACTCCATCCAAACATAGCAATCTGCTTACCAATATGTTATAACACTAACGGGTCTTAATCAAGAGTGGAAGTTTCCTCAAGCCAGAGTACCTATTATCCCGTCCCAGCTTAAGTTTATTGGCTTATAGATTACTGAGAAGTTAATGTTGACTCGGACCAACTCATGTTTACTGATAAACCCTTCTAATTACAACAATATATCCACCATTCTATATCATTCTTATGAAATATGCCGTCTGCATTTTAATAATTTTCAGATAATTTTTTCATGATGGTTCTTTCAAGATTTAGAGCTGCTATTTTTAAGTAGCTCATTCCATCCAGGGTATGCAGATTTATTAATGCATGGTCCACATTGGCTGATGCAATATTTGGAGTACCCATTTAACATGTGGGCTGATGCAATATTTCAACATGGACCTTTAAACTGGTAAACATGTTATGTATACTCCGATATGGTTTTACTGATTTACATATAACATGGTTATAACCACCAATAGCAATATACTTCAATACCTATTTCTTGTTTTCACATAAAACAATAACAATTGACAATTGGTGAATTCCATGTTTACATACTTTGTGAAATATAGCATCAAACACCCAAAAATCCCTTACTTTTCCATGCATATTTGATACCCCATAAATAAAATAACCTTTCTACATACCTGTTTTAATGCTGTACTTGATGGTTGTTTTGCATAGATTAAGCAGTTCATCGTCAGATTCTCCATTCTCTGTGACTTCGAAATTAAGTTTTGTTTTCAGTTCCTCTGGATGTTGGAATTCTAGTACTTTGCTGAAAGCAATGACAAAATGTTAATCACATGTAAAATCAATCCCTGAAAATTGAAATGACAGATCTACTTCGGTCAACTTGAAAGTTGAGGGAAAAAACAATTATATAGGGTTGTAAAGTGAATTGTCATAATAAATTTAAAAACAGTATTGACTAATTGACTTGACAGAATGAATATTCAATTTAATAATCAATCCAGCAATAACATTGGAATTGTTATTGAGATTAGTGTAAAGATTTTGCATTTATATATTGTGACATTTAAAAACAAAAGAAATTACTTTTTGATATTGGTGTGCTCTCGAACTCCATCTTCCATCAGTAAATCATGGATTCGATCAAGGAATTGAAATTCATCAGGCTTAGCATTTGCTGCATGAGGAGTCTTCTGAAGGTGTTTAGTTTTGTGTACATGTACAGGTCTTGGGCATGGTTTGGATTTAAGAGTAAAAGGTTTCTGAACAGGTTTGAGATTGCTTTCCACACTTGAGCTGAGCCCACTGTCACTTTCACTGTCACTTGAGTTGCCACTCGAAGCTCCAGATGTATCTGCAAAAACATACAATAAAGAAAGATGTATTTACATATCGAACTGCCAAAAATCCATTACATTATGAAGGACTGAGGGAATCATTGCCCCCCCCCCCTGCAACTGAAAATTTAAATTGATAATTGCGATCCAAAATATTTTCAAAAATATTTCCAAGTATTTAAGGTAATTATGGAGTAACATAATCTGGATTTATACAATTATTTGAAACTTACTTGAAAAAATTTCACTTTCACTCATCTGTTGTTGGGATGTTTCAAACTCAGTTTCATCCCCTGAAAATAATCAGACAATATAAGTAAATACATTTAATTGTACATTTATATTCACAAAATGGGTGCAAAATTTTTCTTAACTGAAATAAGTTCACTGTAACACAGTTCCCACTGGGGTATTTTCATGACTTTCCATTTGCTTTAAAAGTACCCAATGAATTACATGTACAACTTTCAAGACAGTGATTTAGGTAAAGTGTGTGAAACTGAAGATTTATGATGTCTAGTCGGAAAAAGCTACTTTTTCAACCAAGCTTCAAGAACACACTTTCCTTGTATGAACTAAAAATAAACACACATGCCAATATATATTATTAGTAGAACTACTGAATAAACATTATAATATCATCCTTCAGATGATTTGCAATAAAATCAATGACCCTATGACATGGCAACACGTGTCGTCATATGCTGTGCAAAAATATTGTAATTTATAGCATGTAGCAAAGCAACAAGTATTGATTGGAGTTATTATTTGCAACTTGCTAATTAACGAGAATTGTTATTGCAGTACCAGAGATTTGTTATTGCAGTACCACGTATTGCTTGAAATATCACCATTCGTAGGACATTAATTAGAGACTCAGTTGATATTGTATTTACTGTGCAACGTGACTTTCAGCTTCAGCAGCAAGATATAATGTCATGGAAACTTCCTTAATATGACAATTAAATAAGGAATTCTAAGTAAATTGAACAATGAACATCCTCATTCAAATAAAAGCCAAAGGCCCAGGCTTAAAAAAAGCCTTTTTTAACTACTGTACTAAAATCCTGAGTTTCTGTGTCTTTATAATATTGGGAAATTTTCTTTTTGAAAGTATGACTTAAAAAGGAAAGTGCACTCAGCCATTCCCCATTTCAATGATGAGTAATTGTGAGTAATCAATAAGCCCCATCTATTCAATCCAAACCTCAATATCTGAGCTTGTTCATGGCATTGGCAGGATGTAGCCAGGATCTTAAAAGATTTAGAAGAAGCGAATTCATAGTTTCGATACAAAATGTGTGTGTTTGATCCTTTTAGTGAGGCAACATGACTCATGCCTCATGCCGGCTAGCTAGTCACAAGTTCAAGTCACAAACAGTTGCAGGATAAGAAACCTCAATTTGAATAATTATTTTGTATAACAATATATTTGTCATACATAAAGCGCCTATTCGAATACTGACATTGGAAAACTAGCTTTACCAATGCCAATATGAATGCAAAGGGGCGTTCATAATTGTGACTCCCAGACAAAAGAGTGATTAAATATGGTATAATTCTCTAAAATAAGACATTAGAATTCAGTGGCAATCAATGCAATCTGTTTATCTATGGTCCTTTACTCCCATAGCTGTCCTACCACCCCCCCCCCCCACAAAGGGATGATGAATCACAATATTGACATCATCAACTTCCCTCCTTCAAGCCCTAAATTCAACCTTTTGGAAGTGGGTGATGTTATTATTATTACACATTCAAAACTGTAAGATAATGAAATAAATATGCTGAAAATTCAAGAAGAATACACAAACAAGTTAGTACACAAATTATTGAGTTATGAAACGAAAATTTTCAAAATTTTAGCTGTAGACCTGCTAAAATAGGTCAACATGCCGGTATCAGCTGTTCAAATGAACCGGCTAAAAAGTAAAGTGTACTCACCACGGATATTATAGTCTCCTGCTAAAATAGGCATCTTTGTTGTTGTTGTGTTATAACCGATTTGGTGTCAACTTTTTAGTTATTTTGTTCATTTGATTTAGAGATGTTCACCGAACAAATTCTAAGAAGAGAAGGCAGTATAATATAAGGATTCATGTAATTATAATAAAAGCTTAGGGAATATTCCATTTGCCGACGTCAAAGGGCTTACACTTGAGGGGTGGCAGGTTTTTTTAAATGAACTGTTCCAATGTAATAAGATAATTTTATGTAGGAAAATATTCGATTATCTACTTTTTGGACTTTACAAAGTACAACGGACATTCAAAATCATCAAATACTATTGCCTACCTTGAAGTATTTTTGGAAATACATGAAAATTAAAAACATAATTTAGTGCATACACCCCCGCGTATTGGAAGAGTCAATAAATAGAAAGGAAAATTCCTCCTGTAGACTTCGGCTAAGAGATGTGTTGTCCGAACATTATTGATTATCTAATTTTCCAGAGAATAAATGATGTTGACACACTCGGAACAAAAGTCCCCGGTAAAATTAAGTTATTTCAGATGAGATGTTTAGTCTAGTATTTTTACCATTTCTGTTATCCAATCCTCAACTTGTCAGCTAATTGTGGGTGTGATTGGTGTGTGTACAGGGGCAGGGGTGTGTGAAATCACCGGACCAATCATACAATTTATAGAAAGTACAGCGTTTCATGCATTCACTGGCGGATCCAGAAGCTAACAAGGGGGGGGGGGTAAATTTGGCCCATGGGCTGTTGAAAACCCATGTTTGGCCTAAAAAGGCCAAATTATTCCCAAAAAAGGTCCATTTTGAGGCCCTACAAAATGTTAAGTTAGTCTAATTCCAAAACTTTTTGAGGCCCTAAAATTTTTTTCTGGGCCCACAGACGGGGGTGGTTCAAGCCCATACGCCCCCCCCCCCGGATCTGCCAGTGGAATGTGAGTAGGTAGTTACCAGTTTTTAAAATTTAATTTTTAAAGTTAATAAACTATTTTCGAAACCATATTTCTAGATGTGTAATACGTAGATTTCAAATATGACATATCACTTTGACTGAATATTTAATATTCAATGACGTAAATAAAGATTATTTCTACTCGTATCTAGTTTATTCCAGACTACTAATACTGGTTCATGTCTAAGATGAATTTATTTCTTCATCCTAGGTTCATGTATTTAAAACAAAGTATATTGAAAAATCAGTTTATTTAATTTATTAAGATGGTTTGTATCATTTATTCATCATTCTGTCTACATTAAAGACATATGTTAACAACAGTAATTACAGGTTAATTTTTTCTGGGCCCATGTTATATGCATTACAGTTTATATCTAAATCTAGTAATTAGTAATAGTGATTTTAAATTGTAAATTTTGAAAGTAAAATAAATCAATTAATTCAAAGAGCTAGTAGATAATAATAGTTCATTAAACTAAATTAAACTGCAGAGTAACTCAAATGATCATGCCTTTTCATTAAATTAATGCCAAAGGATATTTTGGCGGAATAGGATTGGATTTCTCTAAATCTCAAGAGTTACTGATGTGGATAAATGCACCATTGTTTTTTGCGTATAAGTGTACTACTTTCGGCCCAGTGGGCGTAAATGGTAAAGGTGAGAAGAGCTGATGAATACAATGGAATGTTAAGTTGTTAATGAATGTTAATACAATGAAACAAAGTAACGACAGAAAGATCTGCCAGTGACAAAATACTCTTGAATTTATTGAAAAAATCAATAAATAGTCATTTTTATAGGCCCATGGGCGTATAAGCATACTACATTCGATTTTTGGCCCATGGGCCTAAATTTAGGGGGGCATATATGCGAGAAAATCCGGTACTAAAACTTCTGAACAAAATTCACACTGCATTTATGTAGACTATGTGTATACATATGGTGTACATAATTGTACAGTTACTAAAACTTGTGAACAAAATTCCCACTGCATTTATGTAGACTATGTGTATACATATGGTGTACATAATTGTAGTTACTAAAACTTGTGAACAGAATTCCCACTGCATTTATGTAGACTATGTGTATACATATGGTGTACATAATTGTAGTTACTAAAACTTGTGAACAAATTTCACACTGCATTTATGTAGACTATGTGTATACATATGGTGTACATAATTGTAGTTACTAATACTTGTGAACAAAATTCACACTGCATTTATGTAGACTATGTGTATACATATGGTGTACATAATTGTAGTTACTAAAACTTGTGAACAAAATTCCCACTGCATTTATGTAGACTATGTGTATACATATGGTGTACATAATTGTAGTTACTAATACTTGTGAACAAAATTCACACTGCATTTATGTAGACTATGTGTATACATATGGTGTACATAATTGTAGTTACTAATACTTGTGAACAAAATTCCCACTGCATTTATGTAGACTATGTGTATACATATGGTGCACATAATTGTAGTTACTAAAACTTGTGAACAAAATTCCCACTGCATTTACTATGTGTATACATATGGTGTACATAATTGTAGTTACTAAAACTTGTGAACAAAATTCCCACTGCATTTATGTAGACTATGTGTATACATATGGTGTACATAATTGTACAGTTACTAAAACTTGTGAACAAAATTCCCACTGCATTTATGTAGACTATGTGTATACATATGGTGTACATAATTGTAGTTACTAAAACTTGTGAACAGAATTCCCACTGCATTTATGTAGACTATGTGTATACATATGGTGCACATAATTAGACTCCAGATGTAAATCTGGAGTCTATTGTTTTCGTCAGTATTCTTTATTATTCTTTTTCTTATTATTCTTTCCCAGTTTTCTCGTTAACTAGAAGATATTGAGTCAAGTCTTATATATGGTCCATTTAGGTCCTAGATCTAGTTTCTCGGAAATTGGGTCAACTTTTTATCTAGGTCAAAGGTCAAGAACTAGGTCAAATCTTACATTTTCAACATTCTGTCATTTATCTTCGTCGTTGTTTATCGTAACTCCTAAATCTTTTTTTCATCATGTAGCTTAGAAAAAGCCAAAGGAAAGATATGACATTAGATTTTTGATTACGCTTACCGATTTTGAAATATGGCGTCCAGAAAGTAGGTCAAAATAACGAGTTCTCCAAATTTAACATCTGAGTTATGAATTAAGGGTAAAATTTACTCAGGAATCCGAATCTGCAAACCAAATTTCGATCCGACTTCCGGTTCGAAAGTTATGGCGTTTTGAAATTCCGAGAAAAATCGATCTGATGATATCCTTATAGAAAGTCAAGAGTAGAAAATAAAATATAGAAAAAATCATCCATCCTTCCTTCCTATCCTGTCTGATCATATCCTTCCTATCTATCCTTCCTTCCTATCCTTTCCTTCCTATCCTATCCTTCCTTCCTATTCTATATCCTAGCCTATATCCTATCCTATATCTATCCTATATCCTATCCTATCGTATATCCTATCCATTCCTATCCTTCTTTCCTATCCTTCCTATCCTATCCTTCCTTCCTATCCTATACTATCCTATCGTTTCTTCCAATTCTATCCTATCCTTCCTTCCTATTCTGGAAGGAAGGATAGGATAGGAAGGAAGGATAGGATAAGAAGGATAGGAAAGAGGGATAGGACTGGACGACTTGGCTTATTCTGGATGACTCGGCTATATCCATCCCACCTATCCTATTCAATCCTATCCTTCTTTCCTATCCTTCCTATCTATCCTTCCTTCCTATCCCATCCTTCCTATTCTGTCCTATCTTATTCTTTTTTCGGATTCTATCATATCCTATTCTATCCTTCCTATCCTATCCTCTACTATCCTATCCTTTCTTCCTATTCTGTCCTATCCTATGAATTCATCCATTCATCCATCAATCCATCCATCCATCGGCTTATTCTGGATGACTCGGCTTATTCTGGATGACTCAGCCTATTCTGGATGACTTTGCTATTGTGGATGACTCGACTATAATATCCATCCAACCTATCCTATCCAATCCTATCCTTCTTTCCTATCCTTCCTATCCTATCCTATCCTTCCTTCCTATCCTATCCTACCCTTCCTATTCTGTCCTATCTTATTCTTTCTTCGGATTCTATCGTATACTATTCTATCCTTCATACCCTATACTATCCTATCCTTTCTTCCTATTCTATCCTATCCTTCCTTCCTATTCTGTCATATCCTTCCTCCTATCAATCCATCCATTCATTCATCAGTCCAGCCATCCACCTGCTTATTCTGGATGACTCGGCTTATGCTGGATGACTCAGCTTATTCTGGATGACTTGGCTTATTGTGGATGACTCGGCTTATTGTGGATGACTCAGCTTAAAAAGTCTAAATCTGGAGTCTGAAATTGAACTTGTTCAATTTCCAAATTCTAGTTGTAGTTACTAATACTTGTGAACAAAATTCCCACTGCATTTACTATGTGTATACATATGGTGTACAGAATTGTAGTTACTAAAACTTGTGAACAGAATTCCCACTGCATTTATGTAGACTATGTGTATACATATGGTGCACATAATTGTAGTTACTAATACTTGTGAACAAAATTCCCACTGCATTTATGTAGACTATGTGTATACATATGGTGTACATAATTGTAGTTACTAAAACTTGTGAACAGAATTCCCACTGCATTTATGTAGACTATGTGTATACATATGGTGTACATAATTGTAGTTACTAAAACTTGTGAACAAAATTCACACTGCATTTATGTAGACTATGTGTATACATATGGTGTACATAATTGTAGTTACTAAAACTTGTGAACAGAATTCCCACTGCATTTATGTAGACTATGTGTATACATATGGTGTACATAATTGTAGTTAATTAAACTTGTGAACAAAATTCCCACTGCATTTATGTAGACTATGTGTATACATATGGTGTACATAATTGTAGTTACTAATACTTGTGAACAAAATTCCCACTGCATTTACTATGTGTATACATATGGTGTACAGAATTGTAGTTACTAATACTTTTGAACAAAATTCACACTGCATTTATGTAGACTATGTGTATACATATGGTGTACATAATTGTAGTTACTAAAACTTGTGAACAAAATTCCCACTGCATTTACTATGTGTATACATATGGTGTACATAATTGTAGTTACTAATACTTGTGAACAAAATTCCCACTGCATTTATGTAGACTATGTGTATACATATGGTGTACATAATTGTAGTTACTAATACTTGTGAACAAAATTCACACTGCATTTATGTAGACTATGTGTATACATATGGTGTACATAATTGTAGTTACTAATACTTGTGAACAAAATTCACACTGCATTTATGTAGACTATGTGTATACATATGGTGTACATAATTGTAGTTACTAATACTTGTGAACAAAATTCACACTGCATTTATGTAGACTATGTGTATACATATGGTGCACATAATTGTAGTTACTAAAACTTGTGAACAAAATTCCCACTGCATAGGAAGAGTAATTAACTTTCTGTTAAACTCAAGATATTTATTCATTTAATCAGTAAAGAAACATTAGCATATGGAAAGATACACTTTATATTATGGTGTAATGGAATATGATTTACCGTAAAGGTTTAAAAATGAAAAATGTGTGTGTACAAAATGGTACACAATACAATAAATACAATAATGTATGTATGAAATCAATATAGCCTAACATATCAACATATTGGTAAACCAATCATACAAACGACGGCTTAACAATCTAGAGATTCATACTTTATAAATTGTTGACAAAGCTTGTATAAAAAGCATCTATACAATGTAGATTAATGTAACAGTGTAATGGTTGTACAATCTTTTATAAAACTAATTCTGAAAATATATACTTCAAGGACTTATATTTGTGTCCACATCCATACAAAGCTAAGCAACAAAAATGCATGTTATATATATTCAGTGATAGCCTAAAAAAGTATCATGGTCATTCAATTTGAGTATAGAGGCCATTTTGGAAATGCCATCTTGATCAGGTTTATAATCTAAAAATTATAAATCATGTCCAAAGTTGGTTAGGAATTGCATCCAAAATGCCACATGAATGGAAAATGGCAGCCAATCAAGGCATCAAGCCTATAAAACTTGAACACAGACATTTGAGTTAATTATTATGCACATGTATAAAATATTGCAATGTGAGTGGCCGATGGCCAAACCATATTTATCACTACTTTGGATACAGCCAATCATATATCTGAAAGACAATGCATCTGCCATACAATATGTTTCCTGGTGCTACTAAATACTATTTGAGCCCATGTTAAAGTCCTTTTCTCTTTGATAAGATGATTAGAAGTGCTTAATAATAATAATACAAGGCAGGCGAAGAATCAGATGCCGCCTGCAAAAGGCTACTAAAGTGTAACAGTATGTTATAGTAAATAAAGTTACAAGTCCTTTCCAAGGAGTTCAATTTCAGACACAACAAAATCCATGGATTCCTGAGTTGTTTTGAGATTCGAGATAACCATGCGAAAGAAGTTGGGTTTTTCCTCCAAGGGTTGGTACCCTATCAGTAATGATCCCTTCTCCATCATTCTCTGTTTTATCACTGGGGCTACCTGGAAAACATAAAATCATATTTATAATGAGGAGTGTCATTGTTTTTGACACCCTATAATATGTATAGAACAACAGTTTATTCTCCATCAACAAGAGTGAGCAGTGCAAATGAGTGCTGTTATTTGATATCTACAAAGTTATCACTGAAAATGATCTGATATTGGGTTCATCAAAAAATCCAAATGCATTTATCGTTCATATAATTTATACAATAGGATGAAACGTAAGTATAAACAATTTTTTCTGAATCTTGAAAGTTGAACCGAACTGTGATAGCCTTATAGGGTGCTATTCTCTTCATTCACCACCCAATTTAACTTTGAATAAAGAGTGCAACAAAATTACCTGGTATCTAAGCTACAAAACTTTTTGACCAAAATAGATTTCAAATCTCACAACATATTTTATGCGTGGCAGTTTAATTTATCAAATATTATTCTAGCATCACAACATTTACTCTTATCTTTTTATATTGCTGTCAATCATCGTACTTGAGTCTCGCAAGTGAAGTATATTGAGATAAATTTATACTCAAGTGAAGTATACATGATTTTATCATGGACCTTTTTGAGATCATACACTTGTAATATTGGTTGTCAATTTATCAAATGTTATTGAAGGTGGTGTGTGCAACTGCCTAATCAAGTATGCACAGTGTGACATACCTTCATTTCATTTATTCGTTTTCTTTTAATAATGAGAGTAAGAAATACAGACAGATTAAGGTGGGCACATCCTATTGCAAGATATGCAGTACCATTACTATTACTTTTACAGTTTAGTTTAATTTTACAATTGAAGGAGTCTTGCGATTTTTGCAAGATAGTGTTAAGCATCACATTTAAGTGACAAAACAGTCATGACAGTGCAATGGCATTCCAAATTAAGTGTTTTTTTGAATACCCAGAATCCAGAATCATAAATTTTGCAGACATTAGAAATTGATAAATTAATTTTTCTGCTCTTCATCCTTAGAAATGATTGAAAATGAAATGACCAAATATTTGAAAAACTGACTTACTTAAGCTTTTTCATTTTTGCAAGAGATAATCATTGATTGGCACAGAAGTAAATCAAGTACTTTTAGTAGATTTCATAATATGCACTTGTCAAGATGAGAGACTTGTTTGATAACATAATAGAGCCTTGAAAGAGGAAGGTCACATAGATTGATCCATTTCTATAAAGGATAGCCAATAAAAATCATATATATGAAGTTATAGATTATTTTTAACTAGTAAAAGGTCTAGATGACACAAAGGAAAATTACCAAATAGTGTACATGACATAATAAAATAAGGCATTAACATGACAAATGTCAACATATAGTAAGCTATTGCAAATGGTTAAAAAATATTATTAACCAAATCCACTTATTTGTTGCCATGGTAATATTCAATTCAATGTGACCACGCAATTCTTAAGTTCCAGCATGTAAGAAATGCAAGAAATGTTTAAAGACAAATAATCTGTTTCCGTGGTAACATATATTCATTGCCAATGCCAATGTAATTGGAACAGCAAAAATATATGTGTTGACAATAAAAATTTCAAGTCCATGGGAATGCTATTCTTTGAATTATTGCAAACGGTTACAAAATGTTACAAATCCACTTATTTGTTGCCATGGTAACAGATAGCCGAAGAAATGTTCTTGGAACTCATAAAATGTTTGCATATGTTCATAGTAAAATTTTGCAGTCAGTCTAAACAGTCCTTGTTACACTACCTCTTAAATTATTGTTAATGGTTACAAAATGTTAGAAGTCCACTTATTTGTTGCCATGGTAACAGATATTGGCAGAAATATAAATTAGAACTCATTTATTATTTGTTCACAGTAAAAGTTTGTAAGTCAGTCTAAACAGTACTTGTTGAGTTATTGGAAGTTGTAAGAATGACTGTCAAACACCATCCACAAACATATAACAAAACAAATATGCAATATTTGTACATTGATGAACATGTGTATCCATGTCATGTACAGGGTTGTAGTTATTTCAAAAATGCACACTCAGCACAGTCATCTCAGCCACTGTGTGCACTCAGATCAAAGGGGTCGGCATATACATATTTTTTCATTTTTTGAAATGCATGGTATCAGGCCTGTATGACCATATTTGTAATTTGATAATGCAATTAAAAAGTCCTGCCAAATATGGATTTCATGTTGCCGTAGGTGACCTAGAAAAGGGTTGGGGGCACGGTGAACACAAGATTTTTGAGAAGACACTGACAGGTGAAATCTGAGCATTTCTGAGGATTACAAATAATTTACTTTAAAAAACCTATATTCATGACTAACATCACTAACTGGCAATTATAATATTATCATACATGTCATGCTTAATAACTATATTTTGATAAATAGTCAAACTGATAAAACCATCATTCATTCATAACATTAAATAAATTCATAGTCTGGTAATTTTGATTCTGTTTATTAGTATTCATTGTCACAAACTGTATTTTGTAATTAAACATTTAAAAAAAAATATTGATGACAATGAATACGAGCCAACGGTATCATTCATTTAGTTATACTGTTCTTAATTAACTGTGAGAGGCTTTAATTTCCCCAACAAATTATTGATTACAGTCCTTTAAGTATGAATGTGTGAAAAGAGAGAATAAGAAAAAACTTTCTCTTCTCTTCATTTTTTCGCATGATCATGAATAAATCAATTCCTAAAATGAGTTACTTTGTTTTTTATGCTTAAATTAATATTTAGTCAAAGCTTTGATTGGCTCATGGAATAATTCGCCCATGCTGAGTACACTATGGCTTCAAATTCTAGATGTTAAACTTCTGATGAAGAGAATTATAGTTGATACTTTATTGGATGCAAATAAAAAGGTAAAACATTGTCCACAATAGGTTCAGCTTTAAAGCAGATCAAAGGCACTTAAAATTAAATGGTTAAAATAAATCATTCAATTGAGTTTAATCAAGAAGTTTAATGTGATACGAATTAATCTCATATTCTAACTTGGAAGGTCAATGACAGATATTATAAAACAAAGCTGACAGTTGATCACACTTATTAAATCAAATGACAATATATGTTGAAAATCCCCCACAAAAATTCAGAATCTTTGCCCCCATATTTAACGTTATATAGGCTTTACTTTTCCTTGTTTTGTTGTTTTGCACTTAAAGATCCCAAATTACCAGTTGCTAATTTCTTAAAATCACAAATTCTCAAACAGATGAGCTGGATTTGTAAAAGAGCCATTTCTGATGTTAGAATTTTTAAGGAGAGCTAACTAAGGTGTAGCAAGTTTAAACACCTAAAGATTCTACTTAACTCTGCCCTTCCTCATACCAAAATATTGACAAATCAAGTTCAAGGCAAAACATCATATGATCTTCTTGATAACCTTATCTAAATAAACTAGAAAACAGCAACTCCACAGAGTAGCAAATCCCACTGAACATATTTTATTAAATACTTGGTCACTTTGGACATTACATTTTTAACAAAACATGATACATTTCTCTTGAAGTTACCATGGCGGCCAGTTTGAAGTACTAGTAAGTGGTCATATTGGAAATTCATTCTTGAATGCAGACGCCCTCTGCCCCATAGTATTCACATACCAAATATGAACAAAATCACTCCACCACTTTTCAAGTTACAGCAAAAATCATAAAATGACATGCAAAGGCAGCCATTTTTCAAGATGTATTACATATATTTTTACATTTCTAGCTTAATTAATGTCCTCTATAACTTTTTTACATATAAACATATTGCTATTCCAGTTTTATATACAGTACCTAAAGTACTGTAAAATCGGCACTAAAATGGCTGCCATTTTTTAACAAGTGGCCATTTTGAAAATTGGTTTTCGAGCATAACTTTTACTCCCATACTGTGTACAAAATATGAACAAAATCGGGTCAATTTGATGAGATAATAATTCCACTTTTATTTCTTGGTAGGGAAATAAAGAAGAAATGAATGAGACAATAAAAAGATATTGAATTTAAAATAATATTAATTTTGTCAAACTTGCATTCATGAATTCTAACATATTTGTTGAGTCAGTAAAAAGAACCAATGAATGTCAATGTATACAATTAAACCCACTAAATTCCTCGAATTGACAGTCCTCAACACCATTATTTCTAGCCTGGTAAAAAATACACCTATTAAAGCTACAAGGTAAATAATTAACATTTTTACAGTGGAAAGTTTTTCAATGACAACTGCTGGTGGCAGCGGTGATGGCATCAGTGATGACCCTTTCTATGGACATGTGCTGTATCAATAATAGCTGATATGATTGATTCAGACATGCAGGGTGGCATATTGTCATTACTCTTTTAAAGGAATATTCCTTGCCAAACCATCTCTCTCCTCATATGGTAGATATATAGGGGTTATGCACTGGGAGGTTTTGGATACAGGGAATATCCCGAGGGATATTAATATACAATATATTTTCCCGAGGGACCGAAGGGACCGAGGGAAGAAGTATTGTATATCCCAAGGGATATTCCCTGTATCCAAACCGACCGTGCATAACTGGTGTATCTCATACTTGAGTGGGTTTAGGGTAGATATAACCTTTTCCACCTTTTTCAAATGACAAGATATTTATATTTAACATTTTCGTAATATTCTTTTTGTTCAATACAATGAAACTGTAACATTTAAACTTTTTAAAAATTCCCGGGAGCGGGATGGATATATTATATCTGCCCGCATTTGGCCTGGAGCGGGACATATACAATATATCCTGCCCGCTCCTCAGATACGATATATATTCCCGGGTGATATCTACCCCAAACCCACTCAAGTATGAGATACAACCATATATGTGCTTGCCATGTTTAGCAAAACACGCAAAAATGTTTTGATATGGTCAAATTTGATCACTTAGAAATGTGATGCTCAATTCCAGTAAGCTGCCATCTTTTAAAATTTCACACAGGAAGTGATGTCATCGACTCTCAACTTTGCATATAGCATAAGGTGAGGAGCTATTGGGAATTACAAAACCAGCTAAATATTCTTTTTCAACTTTGTATCTTATTTAATCCTTCTGAAAATCTCTTCTTTTATTCTAAGTTGACAAGCCCTGAAAATATTTTTGCACAGAAAGTAATGATCACTTGTCTAGAAGTGATTTTGTGCTACTTTCCTATACTGTTATGGGCAAGGTTATAGAAGTTGAGAGTTGATGACATCACTTCCTGCAAGAAATCTTAAAAGATGGCAGCTCACTGGAAATAAGCACTAGATTTTTAAATGATCAATATTGACCATATTAAAATATTTTCCCATGTTTTGCTAAATATGGAAACTATATATGATTATAGCTACCATATCAAGAGAGAAAGGGTCTGGCAAGGAATATTCCTTTAAGGTGAACTTAAACCAAATGTTGTGCATGCTTGTTTACTTTTACTATAATAGCTGATGTATTTATTATCATATCAGCCCATATATGTCCTTCACCAAAGTTAGGTAATAGTAATTCAAAATTAATCACATGATGCATTTGTTATACAACTTGTTTTGCCAAGTGACATTCCCATATGTGAACACAGCGTGTTTGTGACTTTAACCCCCATATAACGGTTTAACCATTTATATAACAGCTTTTACTATGTTAATCAAAATATGGTAATGTGAAATGTTTCAATTTAATTTCAAAAAGTTGATTTTGAAGGACATTTTGTGAATTTATTTCAAATAAAATTTAAGTTGTCACGCCCATGAAAATAATGTGTTTTACTGCATTGAGTGCTCTATTTTCTAAATGACAGGAATGGGTTATAAGATGAAGATTTTTTGGAAACAGTTTTTCAAGTCATGAAAAATAATATTTAAATGATTAAACTATATTTTCAAACTTTGCACAGGGGCTTTAAATATTATTTATAGAATTTTCTTGGCTCAAATGCAATCAGAGTGAAGTGGGGAGGGGTTCACATTTATAAGGGCTTGTCACTAGACTATCAATATATATACATATTTCTTTTATTGACAAAAGTGTCAAAGCATGACACATTAGTCTATGTACAAACTAAGAAACTAATCTTAGCTAAAAACTAACAATAAACTATGAGAATGCATGGATAAAATTGAAAACTCAAACATTGATGAAATCCCAAGAATATCTGAGGATAAAAATCTTAGAGGGGTTAATAAAACTCATGGGAAAGAATTTCTTGAACGATGCAAATCATCAGACATGAGAATACTTAAAGGGGCAACAAGGCCTGTAGAGAGAAAATAGGAAAATTTTAACTTTTTCTGAGCTAACAAGGCAACATTGGCTTAACATCTTCTTTGACATACCTATTTTCTTAAAATATATGGATAAACTATCAATTTCAGCATTAAGAAGTGTAAATTCAGTTCAAAGCTTGAAAAAGGGGAAATCCACTTTTTCAATTTTAAGATCCACCATGTTTCAATAGGAATATCAGCTAAAATAATGTTTATCTAGAGGGTTTCTTTGTAGATAATAAAAATAGATGTTAGTTGTGATATAATATCCAAACTTAAATACATTTTGACACTGGTCCATGATCGTTGAATGGCCCTTCTGCACGAATTGTTGCACCTTTAATATGCGATAAATTTCTTGAATCAATATAAAATGAGCAGAGTATCACAGACATATTAATGATTATCAAGCTTGGTCTACGTCAGGCTGGACATTTTCCACATGTCCATCCATGCTTTTATTGACTGTCATATTTCAAATACCAGGATCATAAATTCAAGATAATTAAAATCAATTCATATTACTTTAGTTCTCTTTACTTCCAACTGTTATTGTTATATACACTGACTGAAAATATCATTAATTAATGCAGCAAATCATGGTATGTATATTTGTACCCCTTGGACTCCCAATTCCATCTTTTGTTTAAAAATGAAATTGAATTGATAATATGATTTAGCATTCAGAGTTTGTTATTTCTGAATGAATGCAGTTTTAGTCTCTTAGCAAATAATATCAAATTGATTATTCAGCACAAACTTTAAAATTATTCCAATTGGTTCAATTCTATTCAAGATGCAAGACTATATGAAAATGATATGAGCCCTCACCTTTCCAAGATCTGCCCACCATTCGGGAGTTTCTTCTTGACCACGTAGTCTTGGAGGAATGTACCAGAAACACACATTTGTGCACTCAGGCTGCAAATAAAGTGAAAGATTGTATACTGCATCAGTTTTTATCAAATATTTGGTTAACAAGTGTTGAATTGATTTGTGTAATCAAATGTTGCCTTTTGTGCTTTCGAATTGTTTAACTATGCTCTGTTCTTGTTTGTCTGTAATTATTATAAAATAAAATAAACTGGAACCTGGTTAATGCGGAGGTGAGGTAATCTAAACAAAGGGTCATTTAGTACTATGGTGAAGAGGGTAACCCTGGGATATGTGGAATGGACCTAGACCATACATACAATTGACACAACTCTAAAAGTTGGTTGGTTTTGTTAAGGTATACTCGTGCAAAGGGAGGGAAATTCCCTTTGAAAGATTTAGTCAGCTGGGCAATTGTTTTTTATATTGAACCATTTACATGCAACAGTAACACATATTATAATCATTTTAAATATGAATGGATATACATGCACAATTAAATGAGAGAGAATGTGTATGATGATGACAATACTAAAATTACCTGGCCATTTACAGGCGATACTTCTAAGTAAACATTATTTTTCACCTTGAAGGTTCAAGATGTGTGCAGGCGTCGATCATAACTATTAAATAACATCAGCAATCTGATATGGGTTCATTATATCAAATCTGTCAAGATTTTGCATTACATTTCAAAATTGAACATGTTGTACTATTGTATTCAGGTATCCCTAATCTATCAAGCAGCAGACATAACAATAACAATTGAAACCTGCAGACATAACAATGCTTATCAACAACAAAGTTCACGACTTGATTTTTATGAACTCCAAAAAGTTCAACTAAGGTCATTTCTGTAAAACAGCAAGTAGCGGGATTTTCCACTCAGAATCAAAACAGGATATTGAACTTCATAATAATAATGTATAAATGTATACTATTTATAACATAATGTTACATTGCTGCACCCTGATTTGGCTGTGAATCAAATCAGTGTGCGTTGTACCATCTGATGATAATTATAACAGATATGGGAAGGGAAAGATTTAGGGGAAAATTTTAGATTTTTGGTAATTTTTAATCCCCAGTTATGTGATGTTTGTAAACAAAATATTATTGGAAGTGTCATCAAGCTGCAAGGAAAATGTTAAGATCTCAAAGGGTCTTGCAATTCTAGAATACTTTTTGAAACTGATTTGCATGAATTGTCGATGGCGAGTTAACTTTAAAACTAATTGACTTAATTTAATCGTCAAAGATATTTATTCAAAAATGCTGTCAGGTAAATCAAAATTAATTCTACTTTGTGCAATTTATACAATTCTAATATAAACTTCTTTCTTCACACTCTAAACGCCCAAATGTAAACACTTGTTAATTTCATTAAATATTATAGTTCGCTTTAGTGATATGGTAATATTCTTTAGTAGAAAATCATTAATTCTGAAATTTTTCGAACATGAGGACAAAGTTCCGCAGGTTAAATCAGATGGTCTTAACAATAATTCCATTCCAAGTCAGCTCTAAACAGGGTACCCCTTTGCTAATGCACTATTTTTGTACAGGGGCATGTAAAACATGTTTAATACTGTCAGATAATAAATAAACAACTAGAAAAACGGCAACTCCATAGAGTGGTAAATCCCAATAAACTAAACAAACTTTGATAAATAAGGATAGTGATCGACCCATGGCCCTGTGCTCACACAGTGAATATAGATGCGAGTAGAAATAATCTTGTCATATTTGAAATCTACAGTACATGTAAAAGTAAGTCTAGAAATATGGTTTCAAAATTGTTGATCAACATTTTTTTGAAAATGTGACTTCTATAGTCCTGGGAGATTTCCCATAGACCTCATGTTATAAAATCACAAAAAGTTAAATATTTTTTCTTGTATTGGACAGATGATATTGTCTTTTACTGGACATATTTAAATTTGTATAACTATCAGATACATAAGGGTGATATGAAAACTGAACCACTAAAACTGATGAATATTCAAGTTAAAAGGAAGTTTCTACTATAACTGCTATGCTATCTGACCTGAATGAGCCACCTGATGGTGAAACTGGTAACCACCTACTCGCTTAGACTAAGCTTGTATTCGCAAATGCAACAAAAATAGTAGGTTAATCTGGTAGCCGACAGGTGTTAGTTGCATGGACCAATGGACAGATGGACGGAAGGACACCTAGTCGATCCCATACTATATCTATTCAATCCTATAACTTTTTACTCTATCTATGATATTCTTAGGAATTTTCCCCATATGTTATGCTCAAAAATATCAATACATGTACATTCGCATTCTAAGTGATTTTACATTCAATAGAATAACTCTTTTTTAATATATGTACTCAAGAATACTTTTTTATAATTCATTCCTATTCAATGAACTTGAAATATACTGTCAGGTCATTACCATCAAGATTTCTTTCAAATAAGATCAATTGAGTAAATATTGGACTTGATTTTTTGAACACAAGTTTATTCCATAAGTCAACTAAAAATATATAAAAAATATATACAAAAACAATTTAGCAGCAATTTTAATCAATAAGAAAAGGAATACACCAAAGTTAAATAGTCTTTTCTAGGTTCTGAACAAATTCCCAGTATATTATTTTACTAATCTTTGACTGAGTAAGGAACTTTTGTACATGTGCTTTATTTCTTTCATAATCAGTGATATTTAGACAGGTTCCAATTTCAGAATATCTCAAGGGAAAGACTTTTTGAGGCATTTTTTAGAAAAAGCAACTGACCTATTTTTTCTGGATCAGTTTTTCATGCTGATAAAGATATTAAAAGATGACAGCTCAACGGGGTGGTCACGACACTGCATTTTAGCGTTTTTACCCCCCTAGGAAATTATCTTAGGGGATACTATAATATTAGTTCATAACTCGAAGGATATATAAACTATTGTTCTGAGTTCTACAGCATACATTGTTAGTACAGAGATGAATACTATCCTAAAGTTATAGGTTGATATCTTTGTTGGTTTCGGAAAAATACAATTAATTAGAAAAAATATGCAATTATTGTCATTTTTTCTTGTTTATTTTATATTTGTAGCTTCAAGCAAAATGTGATAACTTTAACAGCTCAAAGTAGTATTCTAACAACATTCCCAAGCTATGTTTGATATTGTAATACATCTATTATAGTGATGAAGTACTATTTTGTAATTTTAATATGACTTTATAATGCCCTACCCCTGGTAAATAGAAGAAAGTTGGTGTGGTTTTCTTCTGGTTTTAACATTTTATTGACTTCTTAGTTGAAGATACAATCAATTCTGTCAGTTAACCATGAGTACCTTTACAATGGTTAACTATTCCCATGAATAGAGGGTTGGGACCTCAAAAATACCAGAACTGTTAAGTGGCATCCTTGGGCATCCCTCTTCAGAGCATTTTCCTTATACTCCGATGAAATCTGCAGGGGATACTATAAGAAACCTATATATCTTAGATACTAATGAAGATACTGAATTCAAATTTTCAGGATTTGGTCCTGGTATGATAGGTAATCTGTATGACAAAAATGACAAAAAGAAAAAACTCTGTTGCCATAGTAACAAGAATGCCACACTATTTGTTTCCTAAGAAATGTGTTTTAAGAGGTTTTGTCATTCTCTTCATATTTTTAATTCTAAATATGTCTACAATGTGGGATGATTAGAATAATGGTAAAGTAATCTTTTCTATTGTTTTATTGTTCTCTAAAACAGAAGTTGCTAAGGCACATAGATATATAGAAAAAATGATGGGATGATCACTCTATTTGTCAGGAAATTAAAATGGAAACTGAAAAATGAGTTTCTTCCCACTGAATAGCAATTAATTTGGTAGACCGATGGCTGACACGCACAAGAGAAAACGTTTATCAGTTCTATGTCATTGTGTTGTTATTTTTATTTATCGTGGTCTGGGACTTATAACACCTAATGCCGAGTCTTCTCCAACTGCAAAGGAAGGCAAGATTTTAATAATGAACATTCATATATCTCAACAAATATGGCCTAAGACAATGATGAGGAAACTCTGAGGGAAAATTAGACGAAACATTAATGTGAGTGTTCCAAAAATAACACTAACATGTTTTGGAAAAGTTATGCTCTCGGGTGAATCAGTGCTCATTTAAGGATAGTCTGAATCAGGTGAATTTTTTAACCTAATTGTACCCCTCCCCAAAACCCCCAAATTTTGACGAAATTGTCGAAAAGTGGCAAACAACATTCATTAAAGTTCAATATGGCTATTTCGCTTCTATTTCATAAAGATATGATACGATCTCAGGTCAATCAATAAATTTCACAAGTGACACTCTATCTTATGAAGAAAATACTATCGTATATTTGAAGACATGTCAAAAATTTGGTGGAAATAAATTGTGTCACTCCTGATTTGACCTGCAAATGTTCAGGTAAGTTATCACAAACAATTTCAGACAGTCATATCTTTGATTATGACTATTTCCTGACCATGAAGACAGGTATACAGGGATAATAAAGTCAATCGGACTCGGAGATATTTCACTAGCAATCAACCCATCAATATATTTTTTCAAAGTTGTTGACCTCATTTTCACCAAAAATGCAATCATTTTAACAATGTTTCATGCATTACTATTCTTTATTTTAATATATCAAATAGCTCTTGAAACGAAAACTGAATTCACCTAAGATTAGTGTTCCCCATGTTATTTCCCCTTTGAAAAAATTCATGCTATCCATTGGTTTCAGTTCATTTTGGTCATCCAAATTCAGTGTCTTTAAAGTCCCTGGAGCAATCCACTTTTCCTCTTAGGAAATAGAACATGTCTCAAAGCATATTCTAATTATGCATTCAACAATATAATTAAAGGTTGTATCTTTGGTTAAAAACTAGGTCATCATTTTTAGTAAAAAGTATGTTGATTGGGCCATTCCCTTTAATATCACTTAGGTCTGATTATTCATTATATTTACTTTTCTTGAAGATAATGAATAGATCTAAAAGACATACCTATGTTCATGGTCAGAAAATATTCATAATTCAAGTTAGAATTGACCTTTTTCCATATAGATGAAAAATAGATGGCATCATGGGTATTGGTAGAGCTTGGGTAGGGCTAGAATACATGTAAATGTATTGCCAGAGTCACTTAATTTCTTGATTTAAGAAGGAATTCCATTTGGATCAACTTAAAACATCATTGGAATGTAACTTTATGATCTTATTGACATGTGGATTGTGATTTCGCATTAAAATTGTGATCCTTGGAAGAGTAAATGAACTTTTTAAGGTTTTCAGCATTGTGTCAATGGGGATTTAGCCCGACCTTTTTTAGACAACCAGTAAATCATTAGAATTTGAATAATGGTAAATTACAGTGCAAATCAAAGTTGTTTTGATAGAGAATTACTCACATAATTCAAATATGCCATCAGACGGAAGAAAACATTAGTTTTTAATGGTTAAAAATGCAGATCTCCTAAAATCTCATTAAAAACAAGACCTTAACGAGATTTCAAAGCTATATGGAAAAAGGACCATTGTCTGAAGTTGTTTGCGATAACCTACATGCTCCTTTATAACATTATTATGTAAATACTATCAAATGCTTTAGTCGTGACAGTTGAAGTAAACTGAAGTCTTGGTATTTAAAGGCAGAATCAGATCTATGTAGAGTAAACGAAATTGAAAGCAACATGTACAGTTGACAGTACAGTGTGATGCAACATCGGTGGGAAAGTCATCTTTGGTTAATAAAAAAGATTCTTAGCTACTTTTCTAACATCTGGCTGTGATACATCATGGCTTAATGAGGACTCTGCTATATGGTCAGATGATGAGAACTAACAGTTTTACGGAACTTTTGCCATGTTTTGCACATTGTAAATGAGCCTTCTGAATGGGTTGTAAAGGTATATACCAGGAGGTATATATGGCTCAAATGACTCGTGCCCTAGTACATAGGGCACTGTAGTACATTACTTGTGCATGGTGACCACCATAGTCTAGTTGCTCAAATGAGATCAATTGATGATTATAATGTTTAGACTTTATGTCAATGTCCTCTCTAGTATGTGATTACACTAGATTTCATTATGATACATGTACTAAATTGAAAACTTACATATAAAATATCTTAAGTCCTATATTCTAATAATAAATGAATTAGAATGTCACCTAACAATTGGTGATGGTATAGATTTATTGATTTGGTGTCTATCAATACATGTTTTTAACTTAATGCTGCAAAATGATTAAATTCACCACATCCACTTTCTTCAATTTTCCAGGGATAGGGGACTATAAAGTCATATTAAAATTACAAAATAGTACTTCATAACTAAAATAGATGTATTACAATACCCCATATAGCTTGGAAATGATTTTAGAATACTACTATGAGCTGTTAAAGCTGTCATATTTTGCTTAAAGCTACAAATATAAAATTGGCAAGACAAAAATTGCGTATCTTTTTCCTGTTTATTGTATTTTTTCTGAGACCAATAAGGGTATCAACCTATAACTTTAGGATAGTATTCATATTTGTACTAGCAATGTATGGTGTACAACTCAGAACAATAGCTCATATATCCTTTGAGTTATGAACTAGTTTCATAGTACCCCCTAGAATATTTTCCTAGGGGGGTAAACATGCCAAAATTCAGTGTCGTGACCACCCCGTTGAGCTGTCATCTTTTAATATCTTTATCAGCATGAAAAATTGATCGAGTAAAAATAGGTCTGTTGCTTTTTCTAAAAAATGCCTCAAAAACTTGAATTATTAGAATTGGAACTCCATGATGTCTCTTAGCCAAGATTTTGGAATAGTGTTTGTATTTTGTATATTAGTATTTTGTAGTATATATTGAACATTTTGATTTTTGGTATGTTTCCCCCATGTATTACACATAGCTTGTTCAGCTCTCAGTTTAGTATTATGTTCAGCTTCTTTTTCTTTCTGTTGTGTGTAAATTCTCAGAACATGAACAAAATCTCTCCAGAAACTATTCGAAATTTTTTCCTCATTTTTTGAAGTGATTTTGAATCATACCTAAAAAGCTCATTTCTTGATCTTACATTGATGATTTTTAAGGCAGTTTCTTGCCAAGAGCCATCTCTAAGAAGTTTTTGCATCCATGTAAGTTTGAGGGATTGTTCAAACAGCGTTGGTTCAATCATTTTCAAGCCTCCATCTTCAACATTTTGAACTAATTGTGAGGAGCTTACTTTTGCTACTATGACATTGAACAATGGCTCCCTTTAGAGCTCACATTGCTATGTACTAAACAAAATGTATTGATAGGACCTGAGAGTATAAATGAGATGACAATCATCCTAAATAATATGCTATGTATTTTTAAAAGGGATGTTTATTTGTGCAAATATTCTATTCTAAAACCAACACTTAAAACTTTTATAAGTAATGTGAAGGAATATTTTATCATGGACAAATGGGTTGGCAGGGGCGATAAGTGGAAAATCATGGAATCAAAATTAAACAAATGAAACTGATGATTTTTTCCTTTAAATAAAAAAATGCCAATGGTATAACGTCTCTTAAAGACTAACTTTTAACCAATACTGTATTGTAAAATTGTAAAATGTATGTTTACCATGTAACTGTACTGTAATTGTTTTTTGCAATTGCTTTAATATGCTTATTTTTTGAAATAAAAAAAATTATTAAAAAAAAAATTAAATAGTCTTAAGCTTAGTGTTAGGCCAATGCGTTTTCTCTTGTAAAAGAACTCATTGAGATGATTAAGATAATTTTGACTTTAAGACCCCAACATGTTTTTTTCTGGGGTTTTTTCTACACCAGTTTTTTAATATTTATTGCATTTTGCGTTTTTAGACACAGTTATCCTCTTTAAAAGAAAAATGCCCCTGAAATGGGAAAATAACATGGGAAATATTTTTGCCACTTTATCCCAAATTAATGCATTAATGACACAGGTTAGCTGTGTCTCAAAACGCAACATTTTGATTCATCAAACATTGAAAAACAGGTGTAGGAAGGGCTGAAAATCAGGACAACATTTCAGAAAAAAAAGGTTGGCGGGTTGTTTGCACCGTCCCTGTCCCAAAGTCCAAATAATTTTAATTTTGAGTTTGAAATTTTTGAATTTGAACTTCTGAGAGCTTGTAGATAATTTTGAAAAAAAGGTCAATTTGAAACAAGTTGAAAAAAGACCTTTTTGACCTTGAGAAGGTCAAATCTTTCTTGACCTTGAGAATGTCATTGAAGGTCAAATCTATAGTCAAGTAAATGATTTTGAAAATAAAAATTGGTCAATTTGAAGTAAGTTGAAAAAATATCTATTTAACCTTTCTATGACCTTGAGATTGTCATTAAAGATCAAATCTATAGTCAGATTTGAACTCCTGGTACTTTGGTCAATTTGAAGCACATTGATAAAAGACCTTTTTGACGTTTTTGACCTTGAAAAGGTCATTGAAGGTCAAATCTTAAATGTAAAGTCAGATTTGAACTTCTGAAAACTTGTAAATGATTTGGAAAAAAATTGAAGTCAGTCTAAACAGTATTTGTTAAGTTATTGGGAAGTTTTAAGAATTCATTACAGACGCCAACTACCGCCCGCCACCCGCCGATCGCAAACCACCAACCCCGCCACAAAAAATGGAGACCATAACAATATGTCACCACTTCTTGGTGGTGACATAATTCTTGGTGGTGACATAAAAAACAATACCATTTTTGTAATCTTCCCTAAATTGCCTTAAATTTGAGTGTAATAAAGCCATACTTTGGAGATCAGAATATTATTGCAAAATCCCAAATAAGGCTGCCATTTTGAATTTAAGAAGGCCCAAATCAGAAAAACCTTTGCTTTTCCAAGAAAGGTCATGGTTTAATACATATTTCCTACCTGATCATAAACAAGTCTAAATCCTGGAGTCTCCCTCAGCTTGTTGGCTAAGTAACTGAAAATACAAACAAGACACACAGTGATAAATATCACACTTTTTTATCAAAAAATTCAATTCCTTTTTTTGAAAATGTAAAAATGTTCAAAATCGTACAAACCAGACAAAAAAGTGTCTGACAAGTGCATGTTTAAGAATCTTAGACTGATATCTTTGAAGATGCATATTGCTTGTGCACAGTGGTGTTAAATGTATAATCCTTTAATACCAACCTTGATTTTTCAAATGCATTGTTGATCTCCTTTTCAAAGCCAATGTTTCCCTTAGCTTTCCACATAAGCCACAGCTTAAATACATCCACCTTACGCCCACACTGCACTGATTTGTCACCAGTGTCATATGACACATCATAGTTCTTGTCTTGTTGAAAAAGATATCTGGCGCTGGCAGAGTGACATGCGTTCAGGAGATTCTAAAATGAATCAAACTCCCATAAAACATGATGAATTCACCTATGCTGTGTGGTCTTCTTCAATAATTTGCACCATGGTAAATTCACAATTTCAGAATATTTTGTCCAATGTTACCTTGTCTAATCACTGTAACAATCAAAACTTTTTTCAGAACTTTTTTCAGGCATTTTTCTGTACGTTGAATAATATGAAAATAATATATAATAATATATAATAAAAAGCACCTTGTGTTTGGTAAGGAACACAGCACACTGGAGCGGAGTTCCCATCATCTTATGAGGATTCCAAGCCATGGAGTCACATCTGAAATATCACTAGTTTTTAACAAGCATATTCAGCCTTTTTGGAAGTATTGATATCACTGTACTGGGGAAGAACCAGATTTTTGTGTTATACATGCTTAAATAATCAACTGACTTAGACTAAAAATAACTGACTTCTTGGCATGCTTTTATGATGCGATGCACCCCTGCTCAACACTGATCTCCTCCTCTAACAACCACCAACTTACCTCTCCACACCAGCCATGAGTGACCTATGTTTCCTGGACATGAGGACTCCCCCTCCCCAGGCTGCATCTACATGCATCCAAAGTGAGTACTTCTCACAGATGTCGGCAATAGCATTAAATGGGTCGTATGCGCCAACAACTGTTGTTGCAGCAGTGGCATTCACCATTAGTGGGTATAGACCCTAAATGAAAGTAAAGATATACAGCATATGAAAGTATGAATGCAATATACAGACTTTTGGACTTAAAGAATTTATATTCTCAAAGCGAAATTAAAACTAGAAAAACTATTCATGCATTAATACATCATGAAGCAGACTTTTATATTCATGCAAATAAGCCCTTTGCAACTCAATGCTCTGACATAAGTATGACAAATATGACACTGTATAATCCGTACCTGATCTTTAGCTGCAATGATAGCCTTCTCCAGTGCTACAGGGTCCATCTTGCCCCTAGCATCACATGCAACCTTGATGAGGTACTTTGTACCAATCCCCATGAATGAAACGCCTTTAAGTAGCGAGTAGTGGCTCTAGAGGAAAGAAATTATCAATGGATTTACAATGGACAATCATGGTTGTACAGCATATCAATTTTTGTTTCCCATACGCATTTCCAAATAACATGCAGCATGGATTTTACATTATCAGTGTAGAGTTTGAATTGAGATTTTAGATCAAACTCTTTATGATTTTATATTCCTGATTTTTTAGGTTTATAAGTACGTTAACCTCCACATGGCTCCTCCAGGCTGGGTATTGAGCTCGGCCAAAAAGAGAAAAGAACTGTGTTCCAAAATTGGGGTTTTCAAAAGTTTAGATCCAATTCTTAATTTGTAGTTCTTTTGACCTCACTCTGGCAATTTATTACAGTTGTGGTCTTATTCCCTCTCAATTTCCAGATCCCCCATCCAGTTTAGAACAAGTCTCATGAGAGAGTCTAACATTCATTTTGATATACAATATATACTAAAGTATATACCTGTTGTGAAGTGAAGATGCAGAGTTTGGGTAAACCATGCATGCCTTCTTCCTTTACATTGGGAAACCTCTGGAATCTAGCCAGGCTAATTCCATACATGTTAGATACTGATCCACCTGCAACAATACATAACATCACATAGAAAACATAGAAAGCAATTACATCTAGAAGAAAGAACATTATTTTCAACAATACATGAATATTAAATACTTAAAAATATCATATTGAATTCCTCAATTTTGACATAACTAATTCGGGTCAACAAAATCTGCTAAATGGCATAATCTGAAGAGGTCTAACTTACAAAAAGAAAGATGAAAAAATCAAACATTAAAAAATATTATCTGGTAATACAGAATATAACGTACAGGTTCAGTATATCTGTACATGTACAAGTACTACATATACATGAAAATGTGAACAGAGTTAACAATTTAACTATAAAAGAGGTCACAATTCTACATATACGAGGGCGCATATAAATTATAATTCACAAATATTCACCTTGGCAGTCTATGTCACGTTCTGACAAATCATGTTAAATGTATTCTTGAATAATGTTTCTGACTGATTTGAATTTTTTCTATAATATTGTTAAAACCTTTTGCTATGTGTGTACATAATTCAGCCCCAAACTCGATAAACTATTAGTAATATAATGAACTGGTTTCTTTTACTTGTGTATTATCCTTATACCTCAGTGAGAAGTTTCAGAATCCACCAACAATATATTAAGGTAAGTATCTGAGAACTTGTGGATGATTTTGAAAAACAAATTGGTCAAGAAATACAGACAAGCAATTGCAAGGTTTCATGTAAGTTCACATGGTTTAAAAATTGAAACTGGGCGTCATGCTAAACCTCAACCAATTTCAGCTATGGAAAGACTATGTATTGTGTGTGATAGTATTGAGGATGAAAAACATTTTGTTTATTAACTGTACAAAGTATGATCCACAAAGGGAAATTTTTATTCAGAAGATGAAAGAAACAATTGGTCAACATTTTATTTTAAATGAGGCAAGTTTTAATATAATCATGAATAAACAAAATATCACAATCCAAAGGCATATAGGAAAATACATTTACCATTCCTTTAAAATTCTCGTGCAAACCAACAATTAGAGTGCTTTACTGCCAATCCCATGTGCATCTAGACTTTAACCAAGGACTTACAATTGAAAACTGAAGTCCTTCATATATGTAGTTTTATTTTAGAGTTAATTTTTCCCATGTATTCTCATAGTTAATATTTAGTTTTTAGTGAGATTAGTTTCTTAGTTTGTACATAGACTAATGTGTCACGCTTTGACATTTTTGTTTTTTGACCCTGAGAATGTCACTGAAGGTCCTAATCTCAAATCTAAAGTCAGATTTGAACTTCTGAAAACTTGTAGATTTTGAAAAAGATTGTTCAATTGGAACGAGTTGAAAAAATACCTTTTTTGACCTTGTGAACGTCACTGAAGGTCAAATCTCAAACCTAGAGTTCAGATTTGAGCTTTAAAGAATTTGAAGATGATTTTGAATTTGAAGTTAGTCTTAACAGTATTTGGGAAGTTCTAAGAATTTGTTACAGACGCCAACTGCTGTCACAAAATAATTCAAAAACCATAACAATATTGAAGTTCATAAGTTAGTTCATTAAGTTGGATGTTATTTATGGTGTATGATTAACAGATGTATGTAACAACTAACATTCTACTATCAAAAGATTCACGTTTTTGAACAGTCCTTCAAAAACAACTTTCTGGAATGAAAAAATAAAGTTTCATGCATCACATTTTAATAACAGTGGATAAGCCAGTAATATAAGCCAAAGTGCATTGAATTTTTCAAGGGATCTTTAATACAGCATGTTAATTACACATGCCCAGCTCATAGTAAGCAGCCATGTTTTTGATATGCAACAAAATCAAACAAGCATAACGTGCAAAATGTCACCACCTGCCATTGTTACAGATACCAAGTGCTGCCCACCAACCACCAAACACCATCCCAAAAATTTGGGAAATAAATATAAGTATATGTCATCACTTGTGGTGACATAAAAATGATTTCCCCTATCACCTCTCAATGAGTGCAGAGCATACAAAAAGCTGGAACAAAAAAAGCAAACCTTATTTGATAGATAAATAGTGCAAGGGTTTTTATGATTTTAATTAAAACAAAAGTAATCTCATTTTAAGCGCTATCTTAATATAAGCAATTACTCTGTGTACACATTCTGATACTGAAATCAAAACATCCTTTTTCACAAGAAATATGCTTTGAATGAGACACATTATTGATATCAGCTCATCTGATGGGAAGAGCTCTATTAAAGAGACCAACTTTGAGAGGCTATATATTTGGGAAAGCACTGGGGACATTTTATGTCACAGTTAAGCCTCAGTCACATTTGCTATGCGGCGGCAGTACGGCGGCCGTAGCATCACAAAATCGATATAGAAAATCTACATCGTATTGCTTATTCTATATTTTATGCTGCATATTTCTCTCGATTTTAGGAAGCTATGACGATTGTATGGTTGCTGACTACTAGATCAAATGTGACTGAGGCATTGGAAATTTGGTAGAATCGAATGTCATTATTATCATTTTCATGGTAATAATTGAAGGTGGGCTAGAGCATTACTAGGCAATACAAGCTAAGTTGAAAGACCTCAAAATATCTCAAAACGGGATCTTAATTGATCACTTAATCTAACCCATAATACGATGGCACCTCACTGGTGATATGAAAATGAGATGCCATGAAAATGTGGGCTAGAACATTGCTAGGCAATACAAGCTAAGTTGAAAGACCTCAAAATATCTCAAAACGGGGATCTTAATTGATCACTTAATCTAACCCATAATACGATGGCACCTCACCGGTGATATGAAAATGAGATGCCATGAAAATGAGATGCCATGGTTTACCATAATGCCGAGTAGCTGATTCAGTGAAACATTGACCCTAAAATGAAACAGGGACAACATACATGTACATTCTTTGTTATAAGTTAATAGTGACATAATAGCAAAAGTGACATGTAAAGTTGGAAACAATATGCATAACATAACAGAATTGAATATGAAGCTAAAAAAGTCGACATGATGGAGCATTATTGAATCATAACATCTAGGATATAATACCTGGACAGAATATCCCATCGCCTTCACCATTCTCATAGCCTATTGCTTCACGCATACGTTTAAACACTGTGGCCTCCATCAATGTAAACACTGGGGCAACCTCAAACGTGTACCTAACAAAAATAACATATACAGTGGGTGAAATATGCGAGGAAATATGTATGTATTTGCTCATCTTTATATTATAGTGTCCTAAAAAACATACAAGGCATTAACATCCAAAATATCACAACCTGCCATTTGTTACAGACACTATTTGTTACAGATGCTGAACACTGACCGCCATTTACAAAAATGTTGTAGACTATAGCAATATGTCACCCGGTGGTGGTGATATAAAAACGATAAAATATTTGCAATTTTGTATTGCCAAAAATCTGCCAGTTTTTGATTGTGATGTCGAAATTTACAAAAAACAGATTTTACAATCTAAAAACGAAGAAATTGATGAAAAGGGTTATCAAATATGTCTGCCTCTATCTGTGATAATGGCTCTCAATCTCATAAGTCATAATGTACATTATGTATGCCTTCCTGATACGTTTCTACCATTTATGAGTCATTCTAACCTCATTTGTTTTGATATGCATTGCTTTATCAAGCTATCATCATAACATAGTTCCATTTTTACATAGAAACCCTCATTTTCAGGTTTATTTTGGAATAATTCATACAAGACACCACTTAAATGCTACTTTCTAAAATAAAAAATCACAACATTGTCACAATTTTGCTCTTAAAATGAAGAAAATTGTTTAGGTTACAAATTACAATGATATTTGGGGAGATATGAGTGAAATACTGTATCTAGACAGACGAGCAGACATGTTCTCTACACCCCAACTCAATCTTCATTCCATGGGATAATCTTAATCTTATTAAAATTTTTCAACCTACTGGCTAGTATTGAGTGCATCTGTTAACCAGGCACCTGCCAGCCCATATGGGTCATAGCCGGAGTACAGTTGATTGAAGAAGTGGGGATGACCTGAAACATTAAAGAAAATAATGTTAAAATTTTCCCTCATTATTTAGTGAATAAGGTATGTGTAATAGTGAAAAGAGATTTAAATGTACTGAATTTAAAAAGTCATTGTAACAAATTTGATAGCATAAAGTCATGTCTTCATTTAAAAGTAGTAAACATTATGGGCAATAAAATGCTTCATTCCTGCAAGGGCTTTCACGAGTATGAGTGATGATACATTCAGTTCAAATAATAAGGACCCAGCAAAGTTTGAGATATGTTACTGCATTTATGTAAAGACGTGAATTCATAATTATTTTTATCTCTTAGAATTAAAGTGCAGAGAATACATATTGTGCAAATACTTAATTTTAATGCAACACTGGAATTCAAGACCCGAAGATGTCAGACCCACAAAGTGATTTACATGTAACAAGTATGTGGACCCCATCCGCTTTAGTTTTTGCAAACCCAATTCGTTATAATCTGGCATCCAAAGCACCAAACATCAGGATCTTAATGGGAAGAATTTTCCTTTAGACTGCTAAGATGAAAAATTCATGATGAACAATTTAAAATTCCTTCTTCTTGAACTGATATTATATGTCTTAAAAAAAATTTCTCAGGTAGAGGTTCTATTTCTATAAGACATCAGCAGGCCTGTAGCAGCCAGGGTGTAGTAAGTTCAGGGAGTTGGTCCCCTGGCTAAAAATTCTTTCAAAGTTAGCAGTTTTTCACTGTCTTGTGCTTTTTTCTAGTGATTTTAAGCCAAAATTGTCAAGTTTGAATCCCCTGGATTTTTTTAAATTGAACCTCCCTTGACAAAAGCATGCTATGGGCCTGATCAGTTTTCAGCAAAATTCATTTTCATTATTCAATTTTTGCTACTACTACTAAAAAATGATCACAGTCTTATGTTACCTGTTTTAACACAATACTTTATAGTATTTCTGCATAGTTCAATGAGGATATCATCATCTTCCCCTTTATCTCGTAATTCAAAGTCTAACTGAGTAAACAATTTTTCTGGTTGTTCAAATTCTTCTAATTTGCTGAAAAAAATTAGAAATGTTTAGATTAACATTGACAGTTTGAAAGCTCATTCCTCTGAAAGCTTCTAAACTGAATATCTATATATGAAAATACATCAAGAGAATACTGTAGATAATAGCAAATATGAAACATTTATTTACCTTTTATAATGGTATACCAGTAGCAACTATAAGTGCTGGTATGATAATTATTGAGGTAAAAAGGTAAAAACTATTTAATGTTCTATATTGGTATATTACCATATTACTAACACTCATGTTTCATTTGTAGCATAAAAGCAGAGATAAAGTGAGCTTTGCCCCTTTGTGTTTCATCAGAGACACCACAGTGCTCTCCCGAAACTAACAAGGAAAAGAGTGAAGTATTGAGAAATTTTCAAAATTATGCATACAAGAAATTTTTTACTGGGTTTACTAACTGACCTGTGTATATCAGTGCCTTTGATAACTGCATCTTGGAGGAGAAGTTTGAAGATTCTGTTGAGGAATTCGCCATTAACTCTTTCAAACTCACCATCTAAAATACATTACTTACTATTACTATTAATATATTATTCTTTTTAGGGCCAGGTTTAAAACCTTTTTTGTGTAAGTAATTAAAGATACCCAACCTTTGTTTAAGCTTAAATGGATATTGACATGTTTTATTATGTCTCTGATTGTCCATGTAATTTGAACAATTTTAAAGACTTTGTAACTTTGTATGAAGATGATTTCTTACGAAAAAAGTATTCATGTTATATATTCTCACAAGCAACACATGTGGACAATAAACTGTTATTGAGTAAATGTACTGAATAAACTCAACGAATAATATATGCAAAAGCAGTTTGTAATTAGATTGTCACCTTGAAGCTCCACTCCATTCATTTCAGTTTTTTGTCTTTTCACTGCTTGCTCAGACATCTGTAAACAAAATTATTTATTTATTAGAATATAGTCTATGTTAAGACCCCCCCCACCTTCATTCTTTTTTAACACCTAACTGTAAAGAAACAAAATATTGAAAGGAGAGACAGACTTGATGCAATAGCAGTATAAAAATAAAAAATAAATGAAATAAAATGATTGTGTCATATAATGTGATTGTTCCATACATAATGTAAGGGGTTTAGTCAATATTTCAATGTGTCCGTCAAAAAAACATAATTAATAATTTATTCATGTTCATTGTCACAGACTTTATTACATTTTTTTTTGTTTTAGACGTTTCAAATGCAATCTGCATCCATGATAACTTCATCCCACAAGTAATTTGACTGCCAAAACTTTAAAACATAAAAACTTCAATAGAGACATGGGCAACTTTAATCTAGATCGCTTGTGGGATGAAGTTATATTGCCATAGCAATTAATTATTTTTTGACTTTGTTAAGATTTAATGACGTGTATTCATTTCAACTGTTTTCAATTTAAATTTAGTGATCATGGATGCAGTTTGCATTCGAAACGTCTAAAACAAAAAATTGTAATAAAGTCTGTGACAATGAACATTAACAAATGGATTTAATATGACCAGACTATGAACTTATTTAATACCAGAACAACGGCAACGCCAAAGCGTAGCGAATCCCATCGAACAGAAATGGCTGGCATTTTTACAAACGAAATATATAGCAAACATCATAAAACAACACACCAGAAAGGCCACCATTTGCAAAATGGTTGCTAACTAGCCAAGTTGTCATCAGAAGAAATAATATGCTTTTAAGTGGCCACCTATAAAATTTTTGAAAAATCGCATACATGTACTTGTAAAATAACACACATAAAAATGGTGGCCATTTTTCAAAATGGCTGACTACTCCCAAAAGTTTTATTAGACAATGTGCCATGCTTAAAGTATTCACATATCAAATATGAACAAAATCGCTCCACTACTTTTTATAAAATGGCCGCCTACTATCTGAAGTGTCATGAGACAGTGTGCAAGGCTCATGAGTATTCACATATCAAATATGAACAAAATCGCTTCACTACTTTTCAAGTTAAAGTAAAAAACGTGAAAATGATGGCCATTTTTCAAAATGGCCACCTACTAACCAAAGTGTCATTAGACAGGGTACCATGCTTATAGTATTCACATATAAAATATGGAACACACCAAATATGAACAAAATCGCTGAACTACTTTTCAAGTTATAGTAAAATACATTAAAATGGGGCCATTTTTCAAAATGGCCACCTTCTACCAAAAGTGTCATTAGACAGTGTGCCATGCTTTTAGTATTCACATACCAAATATGAACAAAATCGCTTCACTGCTTTTCGAGTGATAGTAAAATACGTTAAAATGGCAGCCATTTTTCAAAATGGCCGCCTTCTACCAAAAGTGTCATAGGACGGTGTGCCATGCTTATAGTATTCACATACCAAATATGAACAAAATCGCTCCACTACTTTTCGAGTTATAGTAAAATATGTTAAAATGGCGGCCATTTTTCAAAATGGCCACCTTCTACCAAAAGTGTCATTAGACAGTGTGCCATGCTTTTAGTATTCACATACCAAATAAAAACAAAATCGCTCCACTACTTTTCAAGTTATAGTAAAATACTTTAAAATGGCGGCCATTTTTCAAAATGGCCACTTTCTATCAAAAGTGTCATTAGACATTGTGCCATGCTTATAGTATTCACATACCAAATATGAACAAAATCGCTCCACTACTTTTCGAGTAATAGTAAAATACTTTAAAATGGCGGCCATTTTTCAAAATGGCCACTTTCTATCAAAAGTGTCATTAGACATTGTGCCATGCTTATAGTATTCACATACCAAATATGAACAAAATCGCTTCACTGCTTTTCGAGTTATAGTAAAATGCGTTAAAATGGCGGCCATTTTTCAAAATGGCCGCCTTCTACCAAAAGTGTCATAGGACGGTGTGCCATGCTTATAGTATTCACATACCAAATATGAACAAAATCGCTCCACTACTTTTCGAGTTATAGTAAAATACGTTAAAATGGCGGCAATTTTTCAAAATGGCCGCCTTCTACCAAAAGTGTCTTTAGACAGTGTGCAATGCTTATAGTATTCACATACCAAATATGAACAAAATCGCTCCATTACTTTTCGAGTTACAGCAAAAATCGTAAAATAATGAGCAAAGGCCGCCATTTTTCAAGATGGCTGCCATGTGCTTCTTTAATATCTACATTTGTAGCTTTATTAATGTCCTTCATAATTTTTTTACATTTAAAACATATTGCTATTACAGTTTTACATATTGCACCTAAATTACTGTAAAATCGGCACTAAAATGGCCGCCATTTTGAAATGAGCGGCCATTTTGAAAATTGGCTTTCGAGCAGAATTTCTACCCCCATAGGGTATATGTGTACAAAATATGAACAAAATCGGGCCAAGGGTATTTGAGTTATTGCCCGGACGGACGGACGGACGGACGGACGTACGGACGGACGGACGGACGGACGGACGTACGTACGGACGGATGGACGTACGGATGGACGGAGGCGTTCCCTATATCCCTCCGAACTTCGTTCGATGGGATAATAATTAAAAATATTAGGGGGACATACATTAATTTTAGTTTCCCAGTGTTTTGTCTTCTACAATTTCTGGTTTGACAGAAATGATGATCATTAATATACTCTACAGATTGTATAAAGAGTATTTATGTGTTGTTTTTAGTAGTCTCAGATATTGTATGCCGTGGGGTTGTACTTGTACCCGGCACGCAAATCAACATTTTGACGAGGCTCATAATTGCTCGTTTATTTTGATGAATTCTTTTTGATCGATGAAATAAAATACAGCATACTTGAGAAATGACATTTCAATTATATCTAATTATGTATTAATATGTCTTCAATAATTTCAAAATATTTGCATGTCTGTATCAACATGATAAACAGTATAATTGCTAGGAAAAAAATAAACAGGAGGGTTACCAATAGGAGACACCATATTTCTCTACAAGTGAAGTAAATCCATATAAAAACATTTGCTATATTGGGTTAATTTGAATGTTATCAAATGTGTGAATAAAAACAATAATCTGAAATGATTAAACATACACAGCATGTTCTGGATAAACACGCGAATCGTGCATGTGCATTTGTTTGGAGTTCGATAACGGGCTTCGTACGAGCTCGTACGGGCCTCAAAATTACGAGCCTCGTACATGCTTGTACGAGCCTCAAAAACAACAATTACAAGCATCCACAAGCTCGCATGGGCCTCGAAAACAAGCTTCGTACGAGCCCCCATGAATTTGGGGGTGTTTTGACTTTTTCTTACGTTTGACATTTAGTGATAGCAAACAAAAATTAATAAATAGAAAACCGAACACACATTTATGGGGGTAGATCTTTTTGATTGTCTTGGAAAATTTGATTGATATCGAAAAAGCCATTTGTTAGATAATATTTCATTATTTGCTCACTAAAAAATGCTACAAATTCACAATTTTAGCAACTATAAGAAAAATATGTATGTTTCAAATATAAATGCACACTTTAGCATTAAAAACAATGTTTTACTACAAATAAGTGACCATACATACATGAGCAAAATTCCAGGTGGTTTAAGGTAACGCTAAAGTTAATCAAATGTACAAAAACATGGCAGCCATATTCTTTTGATAAAGTCACAAGATTTTGTATCTGTTTTCCTTATATCTGAAATTGTGAATGCATTTCCTGACTAAAGAGACATGCATGGGTGCGTGGGTCCCCAAACCTAGCATGAAGACAGTGAAGTGAGGATAACTTTTTAAAATTTCAAAGAGTAGGATTGCAATGGAGATACAGACTCCAAAATTTCCACAAATCATCTTACCTTACCAAGGAACATCAAAGGAGCATGAAAATGTGAACTTCTTGCATTGTTAGAGTATAATAAAGCTCAAACCATTTTGAATTCTCCATTTCGCTGTTCGCTCTTTGAATCAGAACGTTCGCATATATGGTGCATATATGTACTCAAAAAGGACAAAATTTGATTGGTCAATATTTTTCAACGATGCATTTCGTGTAGCTATTTGTGAGACCCGAAAGTTCTAAATCAAATTAATTACGCAATTTTGTTTTTACACCCGCAAGCTAAATAAAAAAATGACACCATCGGAATTCTTCTTCTTTGTCATTGAATTAATAGTCAGTATACCAGATTTAATCAATAAAAGATTATACAATTAACAACAAAATTCGGAAACGAGTATGTAAGATTTGCTTTCGAACCACTAAACTTGACCTAGATAATAGCGACGTGTCTTCTTTGGTCAAATGCTCAGTTGTTTGTGGGTTTTCAACGTAACTCTATAATGTAATATGAAGATGAGTACTTTTATTCAGTTGTTGCATCGATGTTACAGTTTGTAGTGCGGTAATATTGGCATGAACGTGTTGAAAGTCGAATGGAATTGCTTTTTCCAATATGGCGACTAGTCACGTGACTTCTTCTCTTCCGGAATATACTCCCATTTTCAATCATTGTTTTCACCCCGTTAGGAGCCAATAAAATGAAAAAAAATATATGTTATATAAAGATTATTAAAAGACTAATTGTTTCTGATAGTTTGTTTTCTCCGATCGCATGGAGATTCGATCGAAAATATCGCTTGAAAAATGGGTATGAAAATCCCCATGTTAAACCAACGGGGAAAAACAAGGTAGAAAAATTTTGTTCCCCCGCGAACTGCATCATGGGAAATATTTTGACCTTATAAGGAAAAACTTTCGCGCCATCTTTATTAGAGATTCAATACTACCGAATCCGCGATTTTAAGAATTCTAAATATTTCATGTCCACCATTTTGTTTGCTTGGACTATTTTCTAGTCCAAAGTAATCCTCACTCATCAGTGAAGTAGCCAAGATTTGGTGACCAGGGGTTCTATTTTTATGTTATCCACAAATCTCCCCCTTCATCGGTGTACCTCACATAAAAGCATTTTTGTATTTGTCATACATACAATTTGCACCCCTCCCTCTGGCAACCGTAACACCCCCATTGAGCGTTTTTGGTGAATCTTTTACTGAAAAGATATTGAAATCTGGGGGCAAAATCATACATTTAAATAACATTTGTTTAATGAAATCAAAAACAAGGTTAGCATACATTGAGCTAACTTTTGTTAAGGGCAAATCCTAACATATCTTTAAGGAACATATTTTTAACGAGCTATTTTATTTTGAAATCCTCATTCCTAATTCATTCTTTAGGGTTCATTCAAAGATATGTCAAATTCTGAAACATGCAATTCCCACACTTCAGTACTGAGATAAGATGATTTTTTGAAAAGATTCCAAATCAAAAGATTTTTATTTCATTTTGTGCTTGACCTCATTTCTTTTCAATGCCTTGCAACAAAAAAACACCTAGCGCTGAAAACATCTATTTGTTCTTTCTTTGAATTGAAAATAAAAAATAATCTGTACTTTTTTACCTACTGGTCATATAAATTGAATATGTTTTTCTGGTTATTGCAATGAATTTTTCCAAAATTTTATTTGGTGGAAATCAAGACTGTGAGTTCATGATTATTATACTGTTATAGATAAAATATACTAGTGATAATCCTTGCCACTTGGTGAAGTCACAAAACTTGTATGAGGATTAATCAGGAAGTCTAGAAGTAATTCCGTAAACAAAATGGTGGGCATGAAATATTTAGAAGAAACTATGGTTTGAGCTTTATTATACTCTAACAATGCAAGACTAAGTGCACATTTTCATGCTCCTTCGATGTTCCTTGGTAAGGTAAGATGATTTGTGGAAATTTGGGATTCTTGCAAATGCAGTGTAGTACTCCTTGAAACTTTCAATAATTAGCCTCATTTCACGGTCTTTATGTAAGCTTTGGGGACCCATGCACCTCAAATTCATAGTTATGAAAAATGTGTTTAGATGTGAAGTTTTCTTTGACATATCTCTTTAGTCAGGAAATGCATTTACATATAAGGAAAACCGATACAAGATTTTGTGACTTTACCAAAAAATATGGCTACCATTTTTTGTACTTTTGATTAACTTTACTGTTACCTTAAAATGGAATTATAAAGCCAGGTGCCACAGGGGACACCTAGGTGGTATGTATTGTAACACCCCCTATTTGGACATAATTTTAGCCAATTTTTTCCCAGACCATCCACGGACGTCAAGTAAGTTTCTGGCGAAATTAAGCTGGAGCATAGATTATAAAGAGGACTGGAAACAAGATGGCAGTCTATTTCAAATCTGCCAACTCGTGTTGGCCTATTTATCACTATTGACTCAGTTGTTCATCTAGTTTTACTTACCTTAGATGCTTAGTAATCTATTTAAAATTGAGGCAGATGCGATACAAAGAGACTCTATTAAAACAGATATACAGGTTACAGTCACCAAGATGAGCTAATTTCAGGTGAGATTCAAGAAATAAAAAGGGTCATTCCAGTGGCGGATCCAGGAACCAGGGGGCCCAAATTTGAGGTCAGACAAAAAACCGCCGGGCCCCTAAAACCGAAAAGTGGGCCCAAATTTTGAAAATTTGAGGCCCATTTTCTTCAAAATTTGGCCTGAAATTAAAAAGATAAGGCCTTAGAAGGCCCAATAATGACCAAAAGGCCCACTTTTTGGTGGTCCAAAAGGCCCACTAATTTCAGGTGAGATTCAAGAAATAAAAAGGGTCATTCCAGTGGCGGATCCAGGAACCAGGGGGCCCAAATTTGAGGTCAGACAAAAAACCGCCGGGCCCCTAAAACCGAAAAGTGGGCCCAAATTTTGAAAATTTGAGGCCCATTTTCTTCAAAATTTGGCCTGAAATTAAAAAGATAAGGCCTTAGAAGGCCCAATAATGACCAAAAGGCCCACTTTTTGGGGCCTGAAGGCCTTTTTTGGCCTAAATTTTTTTGGGCCCAACTTTTTTTTTCTGGGCCAACCTTAAGGGGGGGGGGGCCGGCACAATGCCCCCCCCCCCCCCCCCTAGTATGTATCCAACAGACCGAATATAATTTATTCAGACGAAGGATACAGTCTACCCCCCCCCCCCCCCCGGATCCGCCATAGCATTCTTGTTTCCAGTCCTCTAAAATAATCTATGCTCCGGCTTTCGCCAGAAACTTACTTGACGTCAAACTTTTGGCCCCCCATTTGAATTTCTGGATCCGCCACTGTCGTGATTGTGTTTGAAATGCCCGGGGTAGAAATGATTGTGCAATATTAGTGTCTGATTTCTCAAATGTGTACTAAAATGCAAGTTAATGCTGCCTTACAATCGCACAATGAATTTAAAATTCCCAGACAAAAACTTAGGTCAAGCTACACTGACTGCGTGGCTCGACAGGAGTTGATTTAGGTCAATTTGACTTGCACAGTTGCAGTTGTCCTCGGAAAATTACATTGTTTCTCTTGGGAATAATTACACTATTCCTTCCATGGTTGAAGCAATTTAGTTAACGAAACGATCGATAGTGGTCCTATCTATCAACTTTATTCGTCATTTGAATGAATTAAAAGCTATTTAGTGCTAAAATTGAGTAAATCATCGTAAAACTTTACCTTTCAGTTTCTGGTCTGTGTTTCTGTGAACCGGATGTAGAAAACAGGTCACGATGGCGGAAGTTGGATCCATGCAAGATGAGGCCCGTAAAAGAAAGGAACGTCTACTGTCCATGAAAAGAAAGGGAACATCAACTGGTATACAGGATGACAATGAACCCTCAGAGAAAGTACAAGCCGAAGATGGTAGTGAAAAGCTACCTAAGTAAGTACAACCCAGGCTATTCAAACATTTATTTTTTGTTGTGGGCGATAATAGGGGGAGTTTTCTTATTTAGATTTTTCATCGGTTGCACATTTTGAAAACCAAAATTCTGTCGTTTTTCTGCGATACGGAATCACACTATACTCTGGAGTTTGATCATTTGTTCATATGTGTAGACACCACAGTTCAATGCTATCTTTCACCGCTAAAGGGAAGGTAACCAGGATTTTAGTTTTACAGATGATCACGGTGTGGATAGTCATCACGTGACCTAGACGGTGAACACCGCCTCTAATGCGTTGGATTGTCGTAAGGACTTGCATTAGAGGCTGTGTTTCGAACTCCCATGCAGTGTCTCGGTATAGACACTGCGGCGGGCAGGTGAAGAAAATCCCCAAAATTTGGGGAAAATAGTTCCATTTTTCATCATATATGTCACAGATGTTGGCCAGATTGTTTGTAGTAGGATCATAGGCTCAAAGAATAATTCACAAGATACGACACTAAATTGGAAAATTTCAAAAAAAAATTGACCACCTTTCAAAATGTTCCTAATACAAAACGGTACCTGCTTCCATGGGCTTTCAACTAGAAGGGTAGGCAACTTCCCATATTTCATACATAAACATTGCCATGGGTTTTCAAAATTGGAGAATGTACACATTCCAAGAAAATCTTATTTTGTACTTTTTATTGATGATTAAAAGAAATAACTCAAAAATAAAAACATGATCTTGTACATACATCTTGATAATTTAATAAAAATTGGAATTCATCATAATTATGACAATACAGAAAGTGAACATTCTCCCACAAATTATGTTTTTATTGGAATGTGTTCTTGAATAATTACCCACAATGCAATACTCAAAGAGAACAACTTGATAACTTATTCTTATTGGTCTCTTTTGTTTACTTTTATATGATATTGAATATATTTTATGCTTAAATCATATTAAAAATTGATTTTTATTCAAAATAATACTAAAACATAATCATTTACTCTTATACTTTTTGAAATATTGCCATAAAAGGGAAGCATGTCATTGCTCATTTTGAAGATCTCATGTTATTACATAGAGTTGCATACCCTTCTAGTTGAAAGCCCATGCTGCTTCCCTGTGACAGATTTTGCACTTATTTTATAGCTGAGATCTTCATCTTTCTATTTCTACTTGTTTGGTTCGAGTAAATAACCTATGGATGCAGTTATTTGACTTTTAATACGGCGAATATTTTTCACGAGATCCGGACTCTTGTGTGTCCAAATATCATTGTACTGATGACGTCACATTTCTGGAACCACGGGAGCAACATTCAGATTTGGACAGACAAGAGTCCGGCGATAAAATATCACTGTTTTGGCCTCTTATCAACGCAGTATTGCTTGAATAATGGTCATTGGTGATAAAAAAGTTAAAGAATAACAAGACGCTTCGAATGAGGTATGATTTGTCACATATTTTTCAGAAATGGCTCCACAATCGTCATTTTAAAATTTGAAATTTTCCGAGGTGTCTCATCTTGAGGAATATTTATTGAGCTACTGATTCTACTACAAAATAATCTTGCCGGGATCTATGATATATGTGGTCAATTTTCACACAACCTATAAAATATGTATTCATGAATGTTCCCCAAACATTATTTTGTCAAAATATTTCAAAATTATTGAAATATGAGAAGAAATCACCGCTGAAGGAATTCTGAGTAAAAGTTGTGTTGATAATAGTTTACCGCACGTGTTGTTTATTAGTTAATACGCACATTTCAACCAATGAAATTGTCTAAATTTTACAATCACACGACCTGAGCATGGGACTAGAACCAATCACGTCAGTTGTTTATTATGAAGTTACCATGCTTACGGTGAGATACCTGCCCGCCGCAGTGATAATATCACTGCACGGGAGTTCGGCGGTGTTTATCCTTGTAAATTCATGCCAATCTAAGTTTAAACTTTATTTTAATCTTCTGCTTAGAATCTCTGCGTCATTTACAGAGAAATATAAACAAAATGGATACATTGATGATTTATACAAAAAATTACCATAGCTTTGTGGTTGTAGAAGGTTGAATTGTGCTAATTTTGTAGCAAAATCGCCGTTTGTCGCTACTTTTCACAAAATCTTTATGGCGGCTTCTATTCTCACGAGATTTGACGAGAGTAGCCATTGAATATTGCTGCCATCTATTTAACTATACAGAGTTTATATCATTCATTCGACCATCATGTATTCGATGGAAGAAATCAATGATCTCTATTCGCATAACATAAAACCAAAGTTTGGATTTGATTTGAAGCCAGAACAGTTACAAGACGTGATAACAAACATATTGAATCAAGAATCCACTATATCAGTTTTACCGACTGGTTATTGGAAAACATTACAACATGTGATCATCAAATTACGTCACGTCACGTGATCATCACACTGATTTATGCAACGCATGCGCACTTGAAATTAGGTCAGCGAAAATGTCAAGAAGACCGGTCAGAAATGCAATTTCGTTTTATCTGCAACGATTACACATAATTACTGTAATAAAGCGAGGCATTTATGGGTTCATTTTGAAGATTTTTGGTCCCGCTATCCAGTGGTGAAAGAATTTTCAAGATTGAGGTAAGATCTTGGGAGAAAAGTCAAAAACATCAGATCCGGACTTTTCAGCATTTCTTAAATTTGATAAATTTACATTGCACTTTATGCACCCCTGGGGCCAACACGATCCTCAGAGACCCAGAGAGTGCATGAATGCACCTACACGTGACCTTGATAATTAATGGTGTCTGTACGATTTTCTCGATTAGACAAAAAAAACAAATAGTTTTCATATTTATACTTTGTTAACAGCGTCAAAATTCTCCCCACTAATGAATACTATCTCAGTCTTTTCAATGAGCCTAAATTGACAAGCAGAGGACACATATTTTTTGAGATATCACTGTTTTTCGTTTCGAAAAATGATGGTGTCTGAACAGCTCTAAAATTCTGTATGATGGTGTCTGTACAGATTTTTTAAATACACAACATGGATAGGAGTCTCCAAGTTTTCATGTGTAATTGTTCGTTTATTATAATTATGCTATGCATTCATGTACTCTCATATATTTAAGGATTTGTATAAAAACCTTGTACCTAGTACCCACATATATGGGGCATGATACCTCTTTGAAGGGTTCAATTTTTGAAATATAAGATCATTCAATCTCTCACTATGCTGAATTGTAAATGTATTAATGCACTTGTAGGCATATGTGTATGTCTTACAGATGTTTGTTTTGTATGGCCAGAATTGCAAAATTGTTTATCTTTGCTATTTTTCTTTTTAGAAATGAAAAAGAAAAATACTATGAGTACATAAGTACATCTAAGTTAGCATAAAATAAGATCAGATAATCTTTTAAAGCTTTTAATTAAAAGTTGAACCCTTCAAAAACTGTATCACTGGTATGAGGTACGAGTTATACAAAGCCTATATTTAATAAGTTATCATACAGTGCAGAAGCTAGACCCTATTAATGTGCAATAACTTTGCATAGCAATTGACTTTAATCAGGACAATGCCATCCGAAATCCTCTATTTTGATTGGTCAGATTTCTACCTACAACCAATGACATCACCAATATTTCATAGTTTCTCTGGCCTCTCAAAAGGTGGCAGGTTTTACTGAATAAAACCATCCCTGGGCAGTCTAAATTGACCCTATTAATGTGCAATAATTTTGCATACCAATTGACTTTAATCAGGACAATGCCATCACGAAATCCTCTATTTTGATTGGTCAGATTTCTACCTACAACCAATGACATCACCAATATTTCATAGTTTCTCTGGCCTCTCAAAAGGTGGCAGGCTTTACTGCATAAAACCATCCCTGGGCAGTCTAAATTGATTGATGGAACTCCTTTTATTTTGTTTTATTCAAGTACATCAAGTAATCTTTAATTTGTAATATGGAATAAATAACGTTTGATCAAATAACTCAATTGTCCAGTTTCTGGTGACAGTACACAATGTATCCAAATTCCTCTGATGGATGATTGTCCCACACATGATTTGCAAATCGTTCACTGTTGGTAATTCAACCAATGTATTGCAGTGATAACAGGCAAACATCACGATTCTAGGCTGATTTTGGTTTAATCCAAAATTAAACAATAGCATTTGGAATAAAAACTTAGCATGCCCCTCTCTTTGAGTTTGGAAACCAGAGTTTCTAAATTACTATGTTCAAGTTCTACAACATACAGTAAAGAAGCAGATATATTTAAATAACACACAAAAACACAAGGACTACTATTGAAGTAGTGTATTTTAAAATCTGTACAGACACCATCATGCAGAATTTTAGATCTGTTCAGACACCATCATTTTTCGAAATAAAAAACAGTGATATCTCAAAAAAATGCTTCATCTGCTTGTAAACTTAGGTTCATCTTGAAAGACTGAGATAATATGCACAAGTGGGGCGAGATTTGAAGCATTTAACAAAGTATAAATATGAAAAATATTCATTTTTCTTGCTTAATCGAGAAAATCTTACACCCTGTTCAGATACCATCAATTGCGAAGGTCACGTGATGTGGTAATCTTATGAACGTTTATAAAGTTCAATTTTTTATGTTGGCCACAAGTCACCCCTTATTTATTTTACCCCTGCCAGGCCTGTAGCCAGCTTTTACCAAGGGAATTCACTTTTTAAAGAATTCTATTTGACAACTTTGGCCCAAAATCGCTTGAAAAGTGCTCTGATTGGTGAAAATCTGATGATAGCAGCAATCATAAGTCATAACTCAAGAATGATATAACATTGATCACCAAAATCACTATTTAAAGATCAATACATGTTGCAAAAATTCAGATGAGCATAAAGATTGGAGAGACTTTTTTGAGAATTTATAGATATACCTATAAAGTACCTATTAAGTAAAAGCATTTTATTTCACTTTATTATTATAGGCCAGTATTTAGGAGCTATAAACCGATGGATGAGCAGTTGAAAGAAAATACACTCCCAACAGCAGATCCAGTTGAAGGTAAATCAAAGATTTTCCGTAATAGTATTAAAGGGGTTCTTTTTCAATTCACAGGCTCTTGTATAATTTATTGATAATCGACTTCTTGACATTTCTAAAGTTTAATTGTGTATTTTATTAACCTCGAACAAGAACTCATTCTAGTAACACGTGGTGTCATTTAAAAGATGAAAAATATATTCTGTAATCTCAAATTGAGCATTATTAAAACTAGCCTTTAAACTAGCCTATATCCATGCAGTTAGAACCATGTATTCATTTTAGATTGTTAAGATCAATATCAAAACTGTAAAGGAATAGATACATGTAGTGTGTCTAAGATATTGGGACTCAAAGTACATTTTAGTTCATAATTTGCAGTCGTTGGTCAAGTGTCTGAACAGTTAAAAGCTGGAGTTCCTCAGCCAACAGTGGAAGAAGTGGTATGTAATTCTTTGCTAGTAATACTCATAAGATCAAGATTTTACATGATTTTCACATAATGACCATGTATATAGAAGAGAAGTGCTTTGGATGCTATGCCTTGTGTTATCTTGTAATCTCACATAGAACTTACCAATGTCAATCGCTACATGATTATTTAAACTCATTTCAAATGAATTAAATCTAAAGTAATTCTCAGATTATTGCAAATGCTTATTTACACATCAAACCAATATGACATGCCCATATATGGGACAGAATATCTTTTTATAGTTCATGCAGCAATCTGCAGGCTCCTTGCCTATTCAAATTCAAGGCATGTGATGCACTATATGCAATCTCTACATGAGAAACGAGTCAAAAGTATTTGCACTCAAAGATCCCCCAGTGCAATTATGAGTTTTTTGAACGTCAAACATGTACATTAAAACTTTACAGAGTTATTTAACTTTGTGTAGCATGATTTTTAAACATGACTTGGTGGTTATACCAACATGTGTCACTTTATTGGGAGCATATTATCTCAGGTCCAAAATAATATTTCAATATTTCTTTTTAGGATTTGGCTACTTTAGCGCCAAGAAAACCTGACTGGGATCTGAAGAGAGACATTGCTAAAAAATTAGAAAAATTGGAGAAGAGAACTCAAAGAGCTATAGCTGAATTGATAAGTTAGTTGAATTTGATATTGTTTTTTTTAAATCTGATGTCAATTTGATCAACTCTATTATGTGCACTGGATGCTGCTCTTTCACATTATTCCAAAATTGGCGAAACTCATATTTTCCAACAATGAAAACGTCGAAATGACGTTATTACGTTATTGAAATTACAACCGACTAAAAGTTCAAAATAAGCAGTTCAAAAGATTCAAACCAATATCTCGATCATTTCTTGTGAGTTTTGAAATTTTTCGTGAGGAAATAAGACCAAGATTCATTATTCAAATGTTAAAGTGAACAAAATGGCGGCTGTTTGAATTCAAATTTTGTATCATGACATGCCCATATATGGGACAGAATATCGATGTTGCACTCTGGGAGCCAATCCTCCTTGAATGTGAATGCAATGCACAAGAACAACATGTATTTTATGTGAAAGTAGAAAGTTTTTTTATTTCCAATGTGAAATTCTTGAAACACATGAAACTTTTTTTTATAATAGTGTCACCATATAATAGATGCTGTACAATCTAGAAATGTTTTATTTAAAATTAGAAATGAAATCATTTCTTGTAAAGGTATGATTTTGGGGCTAATTTTAAGTGAAACTGATGAAGCCATTTAATAATATAGACGAGGTTGATTATTTAAATATTCCTTGGGGAATTCAGTGAATATTTAGCAATTCAAGTTATGGAGAGAGTTTGTCCAAAAATTTTAATTCTTTCAAGCAGAAAACTGGGAGATTCTCCCTTTCAACTAAAATGCTGTACTTTTTTCCAGGGGAAAGGTTGCAGACTGGGGAGAGTGACCTAGCAACAGCTGTAAATGCCAATGCAGATGCTGGACCACAGGATGACGAGGATGATGATTGATGTGTCCACCGCATAGAGATGTTCAGTAAACCTTTAGCTCACACGGAATGCTAAAGGCAAGACACAAGCATGTTTGCTCAAGACTCATTGAAGTTGAATTATTCATTTATTGATACAAGTAAAGAGTGAACGGAATGGTACATTCATGGTTCCCTGAGGGAAACCCAGAATCATTTTCCCTGACCTTAAAAAGTCTAGGAATTTCAAAATTCCTCACAAAATGCCTTAAATCTCTGGAAATATTTGAATGCAAGAAATCCAGGGAAATGTCATTGAATATAGAGCTAGAATACATGTATATCATGTAAAATTGCCATAACACATGTACATGGTTACATGCATTATAGGAAGCTTAGGTTGAAACTCGGAGGATTTCATCGTGAAACATTTGTATAAACTGATATTTCATTTCCTTATTTAAAGTTCGAAGGTAATGACACAGAACTTTAATTTCCATTTATTCCTTTATTAAACACTTATCATTACATACATAGTGCTATGTAATATAAATTGTATGTCTATTTTTACATTGTAAATATTGTTAATATATTTATACATATCTGTCAAAAACGTAACACCTTTTGTTGTTCATTTAAACATATTGATATCCTAATGAAACAATTTAACTTCTTACTTGAAGTGGAGTGTGATAAACTCTTAGAATGTCCCAGGTTGGCAGCATGCATAACTATTTCTACCCAAATACAATCACATGTACATGATGTATGTATATTTTAGACTGTTGTAGCATTGTAATGCTAAGTTTCTAATGCTTGAGCAATGCTCTTTATACAGCTGTTTAATACAGATTCAGAAAGTTTCTTTTTATGATCATCTAGATGTACGTGATAACCGAAGGTGTGAACTTGTTTGTATATAGCATAAATCCTCATTCATTTTACTAATAGAAACACCAAAGTCACTCTCCCTGCCAGCGAATTTAGTATGAGGCACTTGATAGGATCACATCGCTGGTATTATCGATTGAGGAAGAATCAAGATAATTGAATCACATACATTGAGAAATGGATGGATCTGCCCCCCCCCACCTAACCGTTGGTGTTATTCTTTATAGCCTACTACCGTTTAAGGGTTAAATCTCAATTATTCAAATATTGTATTGTCTTTATGATCTATGCCTTTGAAGCTCCTATATGGTAAAAAATGATAAAATTGGTGAACATTTTGATAAAGCTCCAATATCTGTCTTATATAAATTTCAAATCAAGGGCACAGTAGAGTAAATATTACACTGTGACATATTTTACAGATGTGACATAGTTTACAGATTCGTGAATATTTTGTTCCTTGGGATTTGATATTCTATGGACTCGCTGATTTATTAGTTTATCCTGAGTTGATTGAGCTATTTGAATGAAGAATTTTCATTCAAAATAAGCTACATTTTCTTGAGATGCTTATAATCTGTACCATCAGAAATTATCAGTGCATAGTTATCCTGAATGATAAAAAAGATGTCATAGAAAATCATTTTAAGAATGATTTTCCTAATTTCAACACACTTCACAACAATGCACATTAAAGTTGAAGTGACATTTTATTGCAATACCAGTCGTTTCATTTTCTCTTGGTAGGATGGTGTTTGTATCATTTTCACCAACTGTACAGTACATTTACTCGTTCTTGCAAACAAGTTTGACCTTTCCACTTTATAGTCCACATTATTCCTTGAAACTGGCATTGGCCTTTCTTTACGATTTTTCGATCTTGCGGCAGTTTGTGTGTTTGGGCCTGATCCAGGTTTGGTCACCTGACCTTGATTCCCTTTGGGAGATGGCGTGATTGATCTTGAAGCTGACTCTGACATACGGCCTATTGAAACTCTTTCTGCAGTTGAAGACACTGGTCTTTGTATACGATCATGCTGTTGAGATCTTAACGATCCTTCAGTATTTGAAGTACCTGTTCTAAAATTTTGTTTTGCCATTTGAATGTTGACCTGTCCTGATCTTTGAACATTTGAAGTTCCTGTCCTTGACCCTGGTCTCGATAAGCAACTTTTGACCTTCTCTGGTCTTTCAATGTTTGCAACTGTTGTTCCTTCAACGGGCGTTGGCTTCTCATGAACATTGCGTTTAGTCTTCTTAATAATGGAGATTTGTGGGGGATTAGTATTGCCCATGTTTTCTTTAGAAGAAGTTATATGCACTCTTGGTTTTGATTTCACTTGACTAGATACTTGTGTGAGAGATTCTGCTGAGTCTTTCCTCAATTGCAGTGGCTCGGAGCTTTCAATTACTTCATGTTCGTCATCATATTCTGTCTCTATTGCCTGCAATTGTTTGTTTGAACGGGTGCTTGGTTTTGCTGATTTGATCAATCTTGGTTTTCCTAAAAGTATACAGTTGGACAGCATATGAGTGGTAATTCACAAATTCATTCGGATAATTACTAGAATGACGAAAATGTAATTTTAATCAATTAATGAGTACCATGTAAATTAAACTTGTACTGAACATGATTATTCACCTGAACGCATATGCATCGTATCAGAAGCTCCTTTTGCCATCATTCTGGGCATACACGACTGGGGCCTTAGTATTGCTTTACGTCTATCAAATACTCTTGTAGGGGTAAATTCGATCCTTTTGTGACGACGGAGAGAATCCTCGAAAGGTCTGTTTGCCATCTTTTGATCTGCTATCGTCTCTTCCAAGACGATATTCTTAAAGCCAGCCCATTGGTTCTGTTTGAGGTACATCTGGCAAAGCTCATTATCATTTTGGTATTCTTTCTCGAGAAGTAAAGTTTTTATAATCTTCTCATTAGCAAACTGGATGAAAAGAGACTTTGGAATTTGGATGACTTTGCAGCCTCCGCTTACGAGGGCGTACTTTGGATTGGGTCCCCTAACATAAAGGTTTTCCAGTCCCTAAAAGGAAACAGAATCAATTTATTTTATGTGCCATTTCACGGTCAGTTTTTGTATGGACAACCTTTACTATCAAATACATGATTATCCCATGAACGAAGACATCGGGGCACCGTCCGTCCGAGAAAATGAAATGACAATGTTAATCGGAATGATCGTTTTCCAATTATAACTTTATTTAACGTATTTTGACGAAGGATTCTGACTAATATCTAAATCTAAATGCATATTAGAATATTTTTATGACCTGTTAGGTACTTCTGTTAATGTTCTCATAGGCTACTTACAAATACATCACCTGGCCTGATAGCATCTATTCTCATGAAGATTCCCACAGGGACTTCATCGTCTGTCAACATTTCTGATTCGGAAATCCTGAAATGACCATGCATTAACATACATTTTCACCACAACAGTATGAATATATCTAGGAATCTTGCATAACTGACAATTAGTTTTGAAATCAATATTCTATTAGAAATGGTCGGTAAAGTACCTTTGCCATCCTTGCTGCAAGGGTATTTTACAAGTATATATATTTAGGCATAAATGAAGTCCTTTGAAGAAGGATGTACCTTTGCTTGGTTAAATATGTGAACGTCATATGTCACTAGCACTTCCCGTCGGTGCCCCACAGTTTGAAAATAACGATTATAGCAAATAATATGTAAAAATCAAGCTTGATTATTTGGATAAGAAATAAATAACAGCCCCGCTTTGATTAAATCATACCATTTTGTATCTAGTGATGACTTTCTTTGAAAATCAGCTCTTCCAGAAGACGTCTTTGCTATTTGGCGTTTCATCATGGACTCCTCCAACGCCAGTGATGTTACAACCTCTCCTGACAGTTGTCTCTTCAATCGATCTATCTCTGTCTTGGAGAGTTTTTTTGTCAGCAGAGGATCTCCAGTTTGACTGAAATGATATAAAAAAATCCTAATATTGGCATCCCCTAAACATGGCCAATGACATTTTAAGCTAATGTTTAAGTCCAATGTCATCTGCTCGAAGAACATTTTATGAACACCAGACTTGAGATCGTTCATCCAGATTGAGGATAAATCACAATCAATACCTGAATAAGATGTCCTGAGCATTATCCTTGGCGAGGAACAACTGCTGGTATTTGGTGCAGTTTGACAAGTTCACCACTCTCAATACATTGCATACTCCCTGTAAATTAAAATATCACATTCATCGTGTATATTACTATATTGCACCCAACATTGACATTGTACAACTCATTTATCCTTTTGCATCTGTTAATGTTTACTGGATAGTTGAGACCCGTGATACTTAAATTGATTAAATAAAATTATCGTATTGACCTACTTTCAATTCAAAATGGCCGTTCAAACTGCTTACTTTGCCAGCATTTTGCGATAGAATATTGATGAAACTTAACGATCTATCGTTATTTTTGAACAGATTCAAGTAGGGTTGAATCAGTTATACAGAAATAATGGCATATTTTTGTCTTTAGAGGGGATTGATATTTGGTAAACTAGAATGTGAAACGTGCATAGTAAGCATGTGATCTGAGACGGAATTGAGTTATTACAAGCGAGTCATAGGCTAGTTACCTGAGTAACCATCCACAAGAATGCATTCTTCCTGGAGTCTTCTACCACCACCCGGCCATGTACAAACTCCTCGTTTCGACTGACTCGACTCAATTTGTACAAGTTCTCTTCTGACCACTTTTTGAGAAGTGCATGTTCTCTGAAGAGTATAATTCAAAGCATGTGTATCTTGTCTTGCATCGGTAACTGTGTATTTGGGAATGGAGAATGGATTGCAGGGAGCAGAGGTGATTTTAAAACATTGCAGTTGTTTATTTGTATGTAGCTTGAGCCTCAATTTCTTATTTTTACCATGTCAAAGTGGAGAAAGAAGAGTCTGCAGGGTGGCAGACCGTTGTAAGTTACTTCAGTGAATGAAAAACCAATGTTGACGACTGATTACCTGAAAACATCAAGGCGGAAATTTTGCTCACTAACGCTATGCTCTTTCAGTCCATTAGTATCGAAGTCATATTTGTCGACAACGAGGAACTCCGCTTCACTGGAACACACTACTGTGGCTTGTCTCGTGGCGTTGCGGCCCTCAATCAAGGCGATTTCCTAAAAACATAAATTATACAAATCTGTGGAAACGAAAATGGGTCGTGTTAAGAATTTTTGACATGCATTTTTGAATTAGTCAATTCTCACATAATATGTAATCAATCTTTTTTATATTTTTACAACTGATTATTATTGATATCATTAGGCTACTTTATGGAAATTTTCAATAAGCTTTAGTCATAAATTGCTGAGAAAATACTCGATACGAAAAAGTGTGACGTTTTTTGGGACACTCTGAAGGAAAAAGCTATGACGTTTTTATCATAGGGGATCTGTGATTTCACGGTCTATGCACAAAACTAAATACAGCCTTTGGATAACCACGTTTTTAATTTACATTAATCAGTTAGTGTATAATGCAGTCATTAGGACAACACTAATGACTTTTGGTGATTATTTGCATCTGTTGTCATGATACAATTCCATTAATGTTCATAAAATGTAATCAAAGAACAATATTGCCAGATCATAATTTTGATTGTCATTCTACTCATCACATTCACACCTAGTCTTATCATATATCGCAAGCATACTAGTATTCAATGATAATGCCATTGATCAGGAACGAACGTACCCCAAAACACGATCCTTTTGTAAGTGTTATAACTTCTTGTTTGACAAAGACACTCTCCTCGTCCTTGTCGAGAACTACAGAGACGCTGCCTGAGAATATGAAGTAAAGACTCTCTCCTCTATGACCCTTCCGAACAACAACCCTTCGTCTGCCAAATCTAAATCATAAAAATGGATAATTACCAACTGCAATCTGCACGTGAGCTAGCAAGAGCAAGCGTCCTTGGCAGAGCGATCATCGTCACATATTACCAGTGGGTTGGGTTATTATTACGATAAAGTCATGAACGATGAAGTGTCATATTCCTCATGTTCTTGTTGTAATGATCGTAACTTTACTACAATGAGTTATTTTATGACCTAAGCACGGCAGAACACAGCGTAGACGACAGGCATCTTAATGCAACACAAAAGGCCATGGCTAATAATGTTATGTTTATTGATCAAGGTGATGGTATCACTACTGTTAACTTACTTGGTATATCTGATAATCTTACTGAGCAGCTTTTGCATCGGCGGTGTGTACTTCCTAAAGCTGACCAACCCACGCATCAGTCTACAAATTACCTCAATGTCTTTCTCAGTCCTATCACAAGGTTTTTTCTCTATTGCACGCTTGGCGAATCTTGGCCAAGTAAACTAAAAATAGGTTTCTAATATCAGATGCTGTAGAAATTATAATCGTTACGGGCAAACGAGGAAAATTGAGAATGTATCGAAAGCAAAATGCTTCGGGTCTTGGATATTCACAAATTATATTTTACTTATGATGTGACTAATCCAATCTATTGAGCATTGCTTGACAAATTACGCGAGAGACAATTTCTTGTGACGGTGATCAGATTTGATTAGCTCCATTGTCTATGTACTTCTTATTGCCTATAGAGATGGAATGCAGTCTTAGAATAATACACACCTCATAATTCGTCTTAAAATCCAATGTATTGAATGATATTTCACTGAATGCGTTTCCATCTGCTTCGCCCCTTTGAATGGCCAAACGCTCTCCCACCCTTATGGATTCTATGTCAAATCCCTCCATGGTGTATCGTCGAAGCGCCAAACACACAGATGCAAACATACGTACGATGCTCGCAGCCCTCCTGAACTTTTCCAAAGGCTGAAGACAAAATGCGTCGATCAAATTCAGTTTTAAAAGAGATACTTTAATACACAAAATTCATTCAAAAACAGGGTGGTCAAAATGTACATATTTCTGTCAACCAATCACTTTTTCATATTTATTTTATTTGTAACAAATGCTATATAACGAATGCGAATGATATACAAGTAGTCAAGCAGAAAATTGGAAGCTAATAGTTTCCTTCGGATTTTTTTATCAGGGGGCTATGAAAAACGCTCTGTAGAGAGTTCCCCAAGGGTGACGCTCCAGGTGGTTTTGAGGTCTCAAGTCATGCTGAAAAGTTAAAAAGATTGTAATCCGAAGGAAACGATTAATTCTCAAAATACCCCATATTTCTGCCCGACAAATATTTAATTTATGGCATTTTGAGCTGAACAGAATTAAAGAAGATTTTTCAGCAAATTGATAAAACAATGTTACCACATAAAGCTGCAACCTTTCATATGTAACCCCCCTATCACACCAAAATAGTTATTACCCGTTCTTGCCAGTCCTACGAAAACGTCGTAAAACGGGCTCAATCTGGCTGTGGTCGGGAAATATGTCTAAAATAATTAGCTACTTCGTTCATAAACAGTCTTCAATACGTCCATCTCATTTGCAGTTCGTTCAGATCGCACCACGTCGGTGTGCAACGTCGTGTAACGCCCCTTAGTCTAGAAGGTCATCATGACCTGATTACAGAACGGTATGGTCGCCATCGAATTTCGAATCGATTAAGAATTCTAAAATCACCTTCCCGTCTGAGAACGTTCATGAAGTTCGTAAATATACCTTAGAAAGTTGCAGCTACGTTCATTCCGTTCGCACACAGTTTAAAACCAGTTTTGAAGAACGCAGTGATAACTTGTTTGATGTGATAGCTATGTTTTTACTAACTCGTTCATAAGCAGTCTTTAATATACGTTCTTAGTCAGTTTAAACCCGTTTGCAATTAGTTCTACCTCGTTCTCAATACGTCCTCAGACAGTTCAACTCGTTGTAAAAACGTCTCTACTAGGATTGAAGTACGACGGTTCCGTTCGTAGTACGTCCAGCTCGTCGTTAGCACGTTGCCACTCGTTCTTAATAGACAGCTTAAGCAAGACGATTTTTTATGACGTGAACTGCAAACGTAAACCTTTACGTTCCCGTTTACGTACTATGAACAAAAGTGCTTTAAGCTGAGCACTTAAGACGTAACGTAAACGCAAACCTCAAAAGTTTTTTTTCTTTTTCTTAGCGGCCTTTCGTTTTATTTTCTACTTTAAAAGTATAAAATATTATTTTATTGACAAATTGATGAAAGGGTTAACCAAAGGAGATGTTTCATAGCCTGGCAGTGTTCTATGACATCTTGAATCTTACAAAATACAACAGGACGCAAAAATATCTTTAATGTCTTTAAAGCATTCATAATTTTATTACTATGGTGTCACAATAATATGTATAGTAGCATTAAGATGAGTCGACTTGTGAGAAATTGCCATGCATGTTAAATTTCATCAGATTTTACATTTGAAATGTGTAACTCAATATTCAAGTTATACTTGATTGGATTGGACACAAATGATCTCGATATATACACAGATTTGTGTCAAACATATTCATGCATTCGACCAATATCATATTTATCTCGATCGAACTTGATAAAGTACTAAAAATCCTTTACGGAACGACATACCTAGACTTTAATTGTTCACGTTTGGATGTACGTAAACCGGGAAATAAGTAGAACAATATGACGTGACATCCTGAGAAAAACCCGCGTGCGCATTCCCGTTCGCGGTTTACGTTGTAAAAAATAGTGTTGCTTAACCTCTCTATTGTAGAACGTGACGACCACGAGAACATTTTGAGCACGTTCTAAGTTCTAGAGGACCAACCCGTTCGAGTACGTTCGATGAAGTTTGTAAATAGACCCCAAACGGTTCTAAGTACGTCCAGTCCGTTCGTACACAGTTGAAGCCCGTTTTCGAGAACGTAGTGAGAACTAGTTTGGTGTGATAGTAGGGTTAGCTAGAATTAAACCTACGATGCCTATCTTTAAAAGGAATTAGTTGACAAAGATGTGAACTTTTTGGACCTGCATGTACGTTATAAGTAATAAAATGTCTTGTAACTGTTTCCATGTTTTTTTCTACTAAATACATATGATATTTTGTAAATTTTTTAAAAGCTACGTTTGCATCCCGGGGTTTGTCTCTTGAAAGCCCATGACTGTAATAAAATACTTTAATCATAATTACTAACTTAAATAATTTAAATCAGTGCCTAGATATACGTAGCATCACGGACTTGAAAGCCCATGGTTACATAAAATCAAATGATACAATAATTGTTTTTTAATCTTTTTCAATTTTTGTCATTATTAAAGCCATATCGATACTATACTTACAGAACGATCATGTTTCTTATAAGTCGTCGGTACATGTATCTACAATCAAAAGATAAATTCAATAACCGCCATGCCAGTTGCAACTTACCGACATAAAACCATTGTTTGGAGGATATAGATGAACAGTTGACATGGTGAAAATATTCTAAGATTGGTCTTCGTTTCTTTATTTCCATTTTTTGGCTAAAATATCCATGGATGCAAAGTTCTCTAACTCAAATAGCCTAAGTCAATGTCAGAACTTGCCGAAGTCAACTATTTTACGTCTCTTTACTAGTTTATCAAACTTTTATGATGTCATTTACGGAGAGACTTTTTCATATTAAACAGTAAAACTGTTAAAGAGAAAAGGCAGTCCAAGGTAAGGCAAAATAAAGGCAATTGTTATTTAATTGGGTTTGCGATGAAGGGGGTTTTCAGGGGCATAGCTAAAAGGATCAACTTTGTAATCCGTTTTTAACGAAAACAAACCATTAATAAGATTATCAGTTGCAATCAAATAACCATTCAGAGCGGTTATATTTTAATCCTTACGAACCAAAGTACTTCATAATGTGACACTGTCAATCCTTATTTTCACAATAATAATTATATTTGTAAAATTACAAAATTAAAAAGATCTTTTCATTACATCAATTTTTTCTTCATTGACTTCAGGTTTAAAACCTTTTTTTCTTCTTATCCAAGAGGAGCGAGCATTTTCACGCAATTCTTTGCATCGTACTTCCAAATGACGAAAGCAAGCTTGTTTTTTGTGGGCACGTTTCCATCGAATCTGTCCTCTTCGCAGTTTTTGAACATTTTTGTATGTGAGATTTTCTACTTTTATAGTCTCCCCCGTGTATGTGTAATCTAACTCTTTTTCAATATTTCGTATACTTGGAATTGGCACTTTTACTCTTTGTGTCATCGCTGCAATTCTGTTATTTTCATGAACGGCCATTTTTAATTCCTGCACTGGTTTTGAATATTTCTACACAATTATGACGTTTATCAATTGTTGGACAATTAATTTTAAAAATGAGTTGGTAAAATTGAAGATTTGGTTAGTAAGAAGTGACAAGGAAACCAATAGTAGATGAGCTAGCAAAATAAATGTAGAAAAGGGCAGTTCACGGTTCGTGAGCCAATTAATGCCAAAAATTGAGATCATTCCACCAAATGGTATAAGTCGTAAGCTTATACTTATAGGTTAAGCCTATTTGTATATTTCATATATGTTGATTTTTTAGTTATGCTGAATATACTAGGAAAGATTCTTCATCATAAGCTAAATGCTGGCAAAACAAAAATATTGACACTTCGTTTCATTTTATTTGACAGTACAATTACGAATTGTATAATTTACAAGACACCGTGTATACTTCACAACTGATGCGCAAAAGCAATGAGAGTGCATGTTTTATCATTTTTACCACTACAATTAGAAATATCTTGATTTATTTGTGACATACGTGATTTGTTTTACTTTCACGTTTATGATATAAGCCGTAATAGATAGGATTGTACAACGTTATTACAATGTCAAAAGTCCCCGTAGGATGGCATAAATTGTAAGCTTTCTCAGTTTTATTATGAAAGCACGTTACATTCTATAACTTGGACAATTGCCGCGAGCAAATTACCTTCGTTGGAATTCTTTAAATTAATGTTAGAGGCGTATTTATGCTAATGGGATCATGCCCTTTTCAGCGCCTTCGCAATGCTCGACGGAGAGGCTCACGGCCACCGTATCACCGGGCGTATCACAAACATTGCGTCATTGTCACGAGACGGGAATAGATCATATGTGGAAGTTTCCTCTAAGATTATGAATAACAATGTTTGAACTCAATTGTTCATCTTGATTACCAATCAACCAAACGCAATATATTAGAGGTCTGCAAGTTGAGTGTCATTAAGTTCCGATACTTCAAAGGATGAGGATTTCTGTTTTAGTTTCAGTTACTATTTTACTTGCATTTTTAGTCAAAACTGTTACAATAGAAGCATTTCATTTAGGAAAAGGAAACACTAATTATGACATACACATCCGTATTGATACAAATTGTAATCCAGAAGAATTTCAAGACTGTTTCCCGGCAAATCCCGCAGATTGTAAGAAGGACAATGATTGTAAAAAGCGCTGGTTAGGAACATATGGGTATGAGAAAAAACAATGCACACCTCCTGTCTTTCGTTTACTTGGAACTAACTGCCATTGGTGGTGCAGGTAAGATCGAAAAATTATTTTCATTTATCTTTCAGTTGTGACGAAAGATTTAAGTTCTACGATGGTGAAAAGGAAAACTGAATAGACTAGATGCGAGTAGAAATGATCTTGATTTACGTCATTAAATATTCAAAATTCAGTCAAAGTGATGTCATATTTGAAATTTAGTTTATCAACTTTGAAAATTTAATATTTTTTGAAAAAAAGTGAAATATCTTTTCTTGTATTGGATATATAACATTTTCTTTTACTGGACATACTTTAATTTGCATACTATTCGATACATAAGGGCTATATGAAAATTGAACCACTAAAACCTATGTAATTTAAGTTAATTCTACTTTACCCGCCATGCTATCTGACCCGAGCGAGCCTCCTGGTGGTGTATTTTGGGTCACCAAACATAGAAAATGGGAAATGGTGCGAAAACAAGTTTTTCCTATAGCCGTTACCTGGTGAAACTTTCGAAAATTAAATGATACTTAGAGCATAATGGTCGTTTGGATTTGCCACTCACAGATGTCGTTTTCTAGTTGTTATCAATTCTCTCCTGAATGTAATGGTTATTTGATTTGTTTTTAAAAGAATAGAGTCGAATAATGAACTGAATCAAATAAAACAACATTAAACAAATTAAACATACATTTATTCATCATATATAGTAATTCAGTTGAGTGGTTTTCCTGGTCACGATGACGACTTATCTAAAAACTTGCCAGAAAGCAAGATGGCTACCAAAAGTTCATGAGCTCTAGAAGTGGTTAGTGGTTTTCCTGGAATCGCGATGACAAGAAAAGTGAAACGCCGCCCGCTCGCCCACCCATCCACCCGTCCGCTAAGCTGACGTAGGTACGATAAACACAGCTTACGTTCCCAGATATATGAGGTTTACATCTAACTACAGAGTGTCTCGAAAATATTACATAGTACAAATTGGTCAATAATATCTTTTGTAATTTTTATTTGGCATTTACCCTAAAACAAAATTGAATACTAAAGAGAAAGCTCTCTCGATTAATTTGACACCAGCAGATTCAATGGTTACATGGTTGACTGCACAGAACAGATTTTGTTAACTCGCGAAATCTCACTTGCGTCTTGCGCGTACTTCTCGGATCAGTGTTAAGAAATGCCACATTAAGAAAGATTCATTTGCAAAATGAATCCGTAAAATGTCATTCTTTAACCGTGGTGAATAAAATTAAATGTTAAAGAAATGCTTCCTCCTTTTGACCACTGAGAAGTTCGCGCAAATCAGATTTCACACGATTCAATGAAATCTGCTCTGCGTAGTCAACCGTGGAATGATTTTAAATCTGCTTGGTGTCAAATTGATCGAGAAAGATTGCTCTTTAAGTATTCAATTATGTTTTCGGGTAAATCCCCAAATTATAAAAATATTGACAATTTTGTACTTGTAACATTTTTCTGAGGCACTCCGTAGATACGTGATTATTACCACCTTGCCGGGCATGTTCTGGTGCTAGTTTAGAAATAATTTTTTTACCATATCGACAAAAGCACTATGTGACGTCATAGTGGCGGGCCATGTTGCCGGTCAATAATGCATTAACGACCGGCAATATTCCCCGGGAAATTAGATTTCGTTTGTTGCCCTTCGAAATGACGTTATTGTACCGTTATTGGCCATTATGATAATCCTCAAATTCCAAATCCATTAGCTAGAGGTGCAAAAAACACCTGTCAACCTCGTTTCTGAGTAATTAATTCATGGAGTGAACAGCTAATGTTGTTGACCTCTTAATTACAGCATATTGAATCCCTTTACAATGGTTTATGTGATGAATGATCATGGACCTAGTGTCAAAATATATCGAGTTTGGATACTTTCATCAAATTACATCAACTTAAGCTAACATCTATTTTCATTATCTACAAAGAAAACCCCCGAACGTACCTTAATAATAGATAGAAAAGAAGGAAAAAAGAAACTCGTATAAATTCAAACTATGTATTCTGACGCCTTTTATCCCTTCTGTATCAGATTATACCGTTTAATAAGGGGTATAAGAAGAAAGAGTTTTCACGCTAAATAATAAACGCTAAATGCAAAAATAGGGAGGCGTCTTAATTTTTTATGAGGGGTATAAAAGGAAAATGTGATTTTCACTCTAAACACTAGTTTATTAACAGTGGTGACAAGTGATGAGCCCCATCATTAATTTATCATTACTAAATTATACAACAATCTTAATAACGGGCTCTGAGTACATGTATATCCTATTGATGATTCTTCTAACGAAAATTTAGTTGCAATATTAAGACACTGGCTCGAAATGAAAATGCCCGATATAACATTTCAATAAATACTCTGACTGATTGGCCTAAAAATTTGAATCTGGTGTCCAGAGCCTGAAAAACAGTTCTTTTCTCAGTCTTGTCAAACTCATTAACTCACGGCATTAAAACGGAGGCTAGAGGGAGCTGCAGCATGATGATTGTCGTAAAATGATGGTCATGATATGGACACTAATAGAAAAAAACAATATCGACACTAATGACGTACCTCATTAGAAAAATGTGGATTATCTTACAATGCTGAAAGCTAGTCATTTATATTCTGAATGGACTGTCAAAACAAATAAGGATATTTGTTTCGTTTTACCTTCATAAGTGTTATTGTATACTAAAGTATTATAGTATAGTATTCCAACCATCATAAACTCATTATATTTCCCGAGGGAAATTCAATTCACATTCGTTTTAAGACCTTAGATGATCTGGAAGGGGTTCATTTATGTATATTTAATAATGGTTGGCAATCATTACACCGGGTGGAAATGGAAACGTTGTAAATGAGTCTTGTCCGTCCTCAGGCTCCGAATGTAACCAATTCTTGTTTTACTCTTAATACTAGTTTTGGACATTTCCCATTCCCTTTTCTTGGACTACGGGTGACATTTTGCTTATAGAAAACGTCAAGTGTATCTTTTGGGCCTTAAGCAAGTCAGAGCTGAGCAAGTGAATACTGAATGCTTATTTTTATAAGGTTGAAGTAGTAAATCTGTTATCGTACGATTAAAACTGGCTAAAAGGATCGAACGAAACAGTGAAGTGAGCTAATAATTGTTTTCAAATTGGAAAACACTTAATATTGTTACGTATACCAAAAAATAAAAGATCAAAAGATTAATATATTCCATCTTTGTTAAGTAGGGCTTTTAGGTATAAATATCGTCCTTGAGATGATTAAAAGGGAATTAGATATGACTGATATTTTATCATCCAATTGTTAGGTTACGTTAGATACTGTAAGTACAGTCAAAAAATAGCGGAGTACAGTTTTCTGTACGGTGAGGCAAATTGACTGGTTTGAAGCAAAAACTATGACTAGGGTTTTAAAAAAATTAATTTGATGAAAACAAATACGATTTAATGTGAAATAAAAACAGCATTCTCTTAGAAATAGTTTTAACTTTCTAATTATGATAAAAGTTTTACGAGCACTCTTCGGATTTTTTCTGTGTGAATCGGCCCACATAATCGACAAAAGTGAAAAAGGTTGTTTTTTCACATTTCGTTTGGTTATTATATTATTTTCCCTGCCGTCTGAGAGTATGGATTATTTTAATGAGAATATTATTTGTTAACTACACATTTTAGAACGGGCGATAATTCATTCAATGACCATTCATCGTGTATATCATTAGAAAAGATCAGATTTGTACGGTGATGCATCAACTGTACGGTGACGATTCATTATAATTTGTGAGAAGTAATATAAAGATTAAAGAACTCGTTATTATTTACTTAAAATCGCATACATTTTGGTTTGGAAGTTCAAATATTGATCCAATCAAGTATCCCTCTTTGTTAGTCATATGAGAAAAGCATGGTTTAGTTCAAATGATATCAAAATATTACGTCAACTTTAGAATAGTATACTTACCGTCCGCCATCATAAATGCGAAGGTGACGGCCGTAACCTTCGCTTGATACTTACATGTAACACTTAATGTACATGTAGATCTGACACTTCTTTACCTCTTGTTCGAACAGTAAGCTTAGAGTTGAATGTGTTTCATTATTTAATCCTCGTTATCAGAAATGAATGGTAACATAAGAATTGATCTTTTTAAATGTTGAATGGGATACAACATTTGAATTTCCACACAAAAACTTATGGAATCTTAAGATAATACTGAGCTCATATATCACGTGACTTCCGTTGAATATCAAAATGATATTCACCAGTCCGACTTAGGCCAGTATAATTTTAATTTCATATGTACCCAGGCAAGGAGGATTGGCTCCCAGAATCGAAGTCGATATTTTCCAACAATGAAAACGCCGAGATGTCGTTATTTTCTGAAATTATAACCGATTATAAATTCAAAATAAACAGTTCAAAAGATTCGAACCAATATCTCGATCATTTCCTGTGAGTTTTGGAATTTTTCGTTAGGAAATAAGACCAAAATTCACGATTCAAATGTTGAAGTGAACAAAATGGCGGCTGTTGGAATTCAAATTTTGTAGCACGACATGCCTATATATGGGACAGAATATCGATGTTGCACTCTGGGAGCCAATCCTCCTTGGTACCCAGGAGTACATTGTTATGATTAATAGCAATTATGATACATATTTGGTTATTCCATTAATGTGAGGAATATAACAGTGAATAATAAAACCAATATTTAATTCTTATTTCGGTGAATACCTGTGATACAGGAAGTTTATGTAGTACTCGAATAAGAGGGGCCTTGATCTCTTTAAATCGTGTATCCAAAATATTGTGTAACAGACATAATAGTAAATTATTTGCCTTCATCTTGTCTTCAATTATGTTTCCAGTCCCCTTGCTTATCAAGTTTGTTCGTTTGTTTCTTTCAGTATCAGCTACATGTATTTGCCACAGCTCCCCAGCGTGTGCAAGAACAGCAATGGAGGTGTTTTGGCTGGATAGTAGCGACCTCATCTTTATGCCTCACTTATATGCAGCTCTCAGCCACAAGTCGACCCGGTGTGTGAGAAATGATGGTCGGGGATGATGGACCTCTGCAATTAAAGTCTTCACATTTTTACGATTCTTTAGTACTGACTGAATATAAACTCATTAGGAAAAGGTGTTTACTACAAACACAGTGGCTTCTGCACTTCAACACCAAGGGATGAAGCGTTATACTGGGAAAAATAAACATTTTGGGTAAATCAAATGGAAAACAACGTTTGTCATAAATGTATTTGAGAAAAACAAAGATACTTGACTTTTAAAATAGGTGACTTAATTATGACGGCCATTCACTTGTATTTTCAGGAAATCGGGAAATTAAATGACTCGGGAAATTAACCACTTATACTGTATAACATATTTTTTTCTTTGTCTTCTAAGATGTGACATGGATATACTAAGAAACCATACAAATCTATACTAAATATTGCAAGTAACTTCTGTGCAAGGTCGGACTCTTTATCTTCCCATCTAATTGACGTTTCACAACTTTTTCCTCATTATTTATAATTATAAAAGAAGGATAGCGGATGAGGTTATGATGGTCTGTGACGTGGGATGACACGTCTAAATTAATACATCTAAATTATGTAAAAGTAGGGAAATGAAATAATTGACAATGTGAGATATTCATATTTTGAAATTAGCCTCTGCAGAAAACCAGCGATATACCTCAAATTAACGTCGGACTATATTTTTTCTATTTTTATTCCTATTAATTATCACCCTTGGTATACGCAGCTAACGAAAATTGACCGGCACGGGTCAAAAGCTGGACCGGCACGGGTTAACGGTTTTATTTGAATTTAAAATAGCCATAACTTGCTCAATAATGACTTCCTCGTGTCTAATTTGAAATATATGGTGCCTCCCGATGCTTTTAAGTACCCCAATTTTTTACAGATTTTTAAACGGACCAAAACTCTCTAAATGCGCATTTATGCTCTTTTCTCTCGAGAACGGCTGTCTCATTTTCACGATAACTTTTATTTGGTACTTCTAACATATAAGATCTATTTTTCCCCATCAAGGTATGATGTAAATGACATGCTATTTACATCTTGTGAGTTTCAATGACGCGCGTTTGATTTTATAAAAAATGCCAAACTTTGTGACAAAGAATTTCATCCTGCTTGCAGTGAGAAGACGGACCGGTTCGGGGCAATCTGCTTGCAGAGAGAAGACGGACCGGTTCGGGGCAATAGCTGATGAAATTCTTTGTCACAAAGTTTGGCATTTTTTATAAAATCAAACGCGCGTCATTGAAACTCACAATATGTAAATAGCATGTCATTTACATCATACCTTGATGGGGAAAAATAGATCTTATATGTTAGAAGTACTAAATAAAAGTTATCGTGAAAATAAGACAGTCGTTCTCGAGAGAAAAGAGCATAAATGCGCATTTAGAGAGTTTTGGTCCATTTAAAAATCTGTAAAAAATTGGGGTACTTAAAAGCATCGGGAGGCATCATATATTTCAAATTAGACACGAGGAAGTCAATATTGAGCAAGTTATGGCTGTTTTAAATTCAAATAAAACCGTTAACCCGTGCCGGTCCAGCTTTTGACCCGTGCCGGTCAATTTTCGTTAGCTGCGTATACCAAGGGTGATTATTACGCACCACTTTCCGGTACATGCAGTATGGTTAAAAGATATGCACAGACTGCCTTTCTTTCAACAGTATGTCCAAGCATTTTATTGGCCCATATATACCAAATACAGGTTTGAAGCTCAGTACTCAGTGATTGTGGGTGATAACAGAATAGTCATGTTTGCAGCTTAAAACGAAAGTGGCAGCACGAGTTCAAAGGGTTATATGCAAGAAACGAATCGGCTAAATTACTAATATATTCTAGTAACCGAGTCCTGTGTTTAAACTCTCTCCACACATAGAAAATATTTTTATCAATATTATTAAACTAAAAATTAAATTAAGATCCAGTAACAATTCCTATGTCTGTATCTTGTGTAGTATCAATACAACTTGTGACAACGTGTAAATAATTTTTATTTTGAATTGGGGCCCACCTCAATATCTCAATAACAAACAATTAGGTACGCGCACAATCTTGTCGATCGTAGTTTTACAGTTATAAGTATCTTTTGTTCACTCAAGGTCAAGTGTCCTTTTACAGTTTCTCTTCTTCCCAATGCTTAGTCGTCTTCACAACCTTCCCGTGTTCTAATTGAAATCAGGCAAGAGAATTATGAAAATGCATGCCTCGGATGTATGCCTAGCTACAGCATGTGTAAAATCAATGTCATCCATTTCAAGCATCACACACTTTTAGTCATATTTTGTCCTAATTATGATATCAAAACATGTTATAGCTTAAAGATGCATTATGCCATAGGTTTCTCCCCCAGACAATCAATGATATCCTATTGTTATTGCTCATATAATATCTCACATACCATTGATATATCTTGAGAATAACTTTTGGGTTTATTATTGCCGAAATATCGGAAATAATCAACAGAACAACCAAATCCCCATTGAGTCACACAGTACAAGCGCCCACAGGCGCCTTGAACCAGGCAGCCAATCAGGTTTATTATAAACAAATTCAACGACCAACCAGATAACAGGAGGACTTTCCCGGTATATTCAAACTTCAGATTGAATTAATTTCTTCGAAAATAATTAGATCGGCCAGCACAATCGCAAAATTAACACTGAAAGAGGGGGATTTGATTTGGGACTTCTTCTTTGGTAAGTAGATGGGTATGGGGTATGGGGATGGTGAAACTCAATATGCAAAAAAAGTCCAGAGGGGTCTTGATTGTGATATATGTATTTTATCGCGTAAATGGCCTTGTCAATAGGGAGTTTAAGCTTGCAATGTTTTTCACAACCTAAACGTGAACGGAAAATATTTAGGCGATGCATTTGTATGGGCGATTGGTCATACGTACAGGTTGGCGTTTCGATTTTGTATTCAAGCTTAAACTCCCTAATGAATGAAGTGTATAACCCTACTTATCCTATGCCAAGTAGAGTTTTAGGGAGATAAGTTGGTAATATATATCCCGTATCCTGTATTTTGAGGTTTCCATACCCAGAACCTCCATATCTCCCGCCATATCTCCCGCTTCGGTGCATATCTTCCCGCTTCCGGTGCATATCTTCCTGCTTCTGATAATGCAATAAAATGACTTTGCATATGAATGATTTGTTTATTTTTACACCTTGTACTATTGAAATGGCCATATGCCCCTGAAAACTCTACTTGGTATATGATAAAACAGTTATGTACGGTCTGTTTGGATATAGGGTTCATCCCTCGTGAGATATGCACATCTACCTTCGGTCCCTACGGTCCCTCAGGTAGATATGCATATCTCCCTCTGGATAAACCCCATATCCAAAACCTCCCAGTAAATAACCCTTATATATCACACTGGAACAATGATGAAGCCATTGTACGGTTATAATCATCATATCTATGAATGGCATCATGTTTCAAATATATCCATCGATGATATCGGTGGCTACAAATCAAATGGCTATCAACGACAAGATCAAATATTCTATATTTAAATACATCATTGCATTGTTTTATCTGTAAGAAACTTTCTCTTATTGTGATATTAACACACATAAATACTGGCAAATGAACCAATAAGGGCAGTTATTATCTAGCTGTGATTTCACTTTCTTGTATATATTACAGTATTAGTGTGTTCCGGTTTGTCAATTCTCCATACTTCTTGGCTAAACTTGAACGAAAGCTGAAAATGAACGGTAGGTAGATGTGTTTGATTAATGTTTTAATAATTCTGTACATGGAAATCCTGTCGATCAATGAAATGTAACAAATGATTTGACTGGTACAAACTCTTGTCGTATCACACCGGAACACCCTGACAACGGTAAAGTCAGATACCGTTGTCACAAATGGCGGCCACAGGTTCGTTTTCGATTCGATTTTCATTAACTGCATGTTTAATAGAGTGCTTAGATTAAATTACTTTAGTACAACAATAAAGATCGATCAATCAAAGTGTCTTTCTGTTCATCGTATAGTTAAATATGTTCTATCATCGAAGTAAAGGCTTTAATTTTACCGATCAAAATATGACACAGGACAACGGATGCTGTATAAATGAACGGTAAATGTGGGTCAAATGTGATGTAAAATCCTAATGAAAACGGTAATATTTGACAGCGGTATAAAGACAACGGTAAAGTCTAGTTCGATCACGTTGTCATTTTCCTAAGTTCTAATGCAATACACCCCCAATACAAAGTCCGTTGTCACATCCTTACCGTTGTCAGCTGGGTGTTCCGGTGTGCATTAAATGGAACTAAAAGAATTACCATTTTCTTATCACAGTTTTTGCTCAATTTGATAGAGATAGATGCCACCCCAGTATATATTTGAATAAGAAGGCAGCTAGTAACAAATATAAGTAACAGGTTCATAAATCAGCTGCTGTCTTTTTACATATGCCTCTCTAATATATTTTACAATGTTACACGTCTTATATTTAATTCTTAAGCCATCAGGCTGAACACGATGATTCGAATTACCAAAATATTTCTCCCGAAGGTCCTTATATACCTCACAATAAAATAGGAAATGGGCCTCTGATTCAACCTCATTATTGCTGATATTGCCCAAGTACCTTGGGCAATATCATATTGACACTCAGTCGCTGAGCTCCCTCGATCAATATCATATTACCCTTCGGTCAATATCATATTTCCCTCAGCATAAAACCCATATTCAATTCCACCCAGTAAATAACCTATATTTATTCCGTTAGGAATCAAACTTTGCATATTGGTTGCCATAATATCATGTGTGAGAGCAGACTTTGACATAAATGATCTAGATGACTGTGTTTACGACAATGTCAACGATTGCCTTCGGATGAAAAAGGAATGTCGCAAATTCTGGAAACGAGGAGAGTGTAGTCCCTCGGATGTGAAGGAGGTTGCCAGAGATCTGAAGATACAATGGGGTTTCAGCTCCGATGCACAAGCTTGGTGTTAGTGAGTATCTTCTCGATGAGTACTGTAACTTTGATAACAAATATTATAACACCAAGGAATTTATCTTTTCTTTCCTTGAAGACTGAGCTTTACCCTGCGCGCAGAGTCTAGCTATAGACTAAGACAAAGCTCAAAGTCAAACTCATGCAAAGGGTAATTGAGATTTAACTTTTAGGAAATAAAACGACAAAGCTCGTTTACTATGCAATAACACATTTTCCTTTATTATTCACAACTATTTTTAATTACATACTACTATACTTTTTTCAGCCTGAGTGAAAACGTGTATCTCCGCTATATCCCAGATATTTGTAAAACGGTGCCTGGCGGTATAATGAGACGGTAGTAGACGGTATGAGAATAGTGCAGCTTGATAGTTTTAGTGCACTAATGGCAGCTGAACGGAGAATATACATTCTAGTCACAGAGTACCTACTATGTTACACAAAGGGACACTCGAATAACAACATTGGTCAACTTCTGTCTTTTGGAATATTTTGATTTGGTTATTCTTCGATTTTCCTTGATTCTGCCGAGAATATATAAGAATTGTTCAAAAATAAAGTTTCGGGGAAATGTTTGTCTTTCTGTGCTTTCGTTTCATTGCCCCTCTTACTTCTGTTACACGACATGAAGTCCATCTCTCGTTACACAATCACTGTTTTAATTAGTATTGACACAGTTTTAGTCGCAAACATCAATTTGCGGTGAAAATTCTCTATCGAAAGTGTAAGTGTATGCAATAAGGTACACTCAGAGTCACGTGTTCAGAACAACACCAATCGATGAACGTTGATTTTTTATAAGCCTTGTGATAGGTAAGGATTAAATGGTGGACTGGATCGAATGGATTGGATTCGTGTAAAAGATGGACCGGATCGGAAATCTTCAAAACATGGAGTTTCCATAGTTTGAAGCGCGAATTGAATATTTTGCTGATCAGATGGTGCATACTATACAAATACTGGATGATCAGAAGCTGGATATGGCAGAATACCTATTCGAGAAAAAATATTGGGCGAGGCGTAAGCCATATCCAGCTCCTGATCATCCAGTATTTGTTTTATTATGCACCTTCTCAATCAATCTTTTGAGTGTGCTACGATGTACTAGTACTTATATTTTTAGAACTTTAGATTTTTCTAAAAACTCGAACGACTTCCGTCTAGTTATACACCGAACGAAAGAGCGTTTTCTTGTCCCAGGATTTAATTTTCATTTATTTGAGGCGGTCTTTTAGAATGAATGATAATTAGGGTAATTGTGATTGATTAAGTATGCCTTAAGTATGCCTGTCATCAGTTTATGATGTTAGGTTTTAGTAGAACTCGAGTAATTCATAAAGAAAACTCTTAAGTGGGTAATGTTGCAAATATTAGGCAGTTTCAAAAAAAAATATTGATCAGTTTTAAAAAAAGCCAGATATGGCCAAATTGTAGCAGCTTAGAACCAATCACATTTCAGTATCTAGACAAGGTGCATAATGAAAGTTAATTCATTTGTATGTTTCTTGTGTGAAAGAGTGAAATGCATGAAGCAGTGATTAATACAAATATATAGCATCAATAACTTTGAGATTTAAAAAAGTGTTTTTTTTGTCAAGACATCACTCTAATAAGTGTTTAGATCACTCTAAACGATACATGATTTCCTCAAAGCAAACTATAAATACACCATTGCATAGTTAGTAGTCTTTCACAAAGTGCACACTTTATCTACGTAGAGAATCATAATATTGTATAAAAATTGAAATCACTGTACCAAAACCAGATGGTAACATTTTTGAGTCACCCTGCACAATACAACACTAACGTACTAGAGTGTTAGATAGCAGACACTTATCAACTTTATTCTGAGCTATGCATTCAGAATTAAAAGTAAACTGATGTGATAGAACATTTCTCAGTATTCCGGTCATCAACATTTAGGAGGGGACCAATAGAAAAAATCTTTATAAACTCGATATTTTGATCCGATCCACCTTTTACATGAATCCGATCCACTCGATCAAATCCACCTTTTAATCCGTACCTTGTGAAAAGGAACATAAGACTTTTTATACTTTCAACAATGTAAAAATTGAAGAACTGGTGGTCACTTCGATCAGCAGAATTTATGTTTTATATTTATATTCTTTTTATTTTTAGGTTTATATACTTCTTATATCATTAAGCTGAAGTCTCATTTGTGTTTGCTTTTTCATGGTTGTTAAATCAATTTTTCTTTTCTTTAGTTCTACTGTTCTATCAAATGGTCCAAACAATGAGAAAAATACCTAAACCACTGTAAATACAAGATATGATGGTGTTAAAATATTAATGAGGTTATATTGCCAATTGTATACGATGAAAAAATATCATTCAAATAAAAAAAACGAATCTTGATAATTGAGAATCTTGATTGATGATTATCTATATATATTAACTTTTTTTCCTTCTGTATTGTTTATAATTTTCCGTCATATATGCCACATAACCTCAACAAACATCACTGGGATCACAAAAAACGAACATAACTCAGTTATGTTCAGTTGCTATGGTCACAGATTGATATATTTATTACCATGGTAACCTTCAGGATCAGAGGTGAGATGAGCTGGTAAGTAAATATGGTAAGTCAGTTATACATGTGGCGATAACGACTGTGATATACATGGAGTATCCATTATATGTTTCCAATGCACTAGAAAGGAATTATGATAAAACATAAATTGGTGCAATGAGAAAGTACAAATAATATGTGTTGATGTTTATGGATTGACCTACAATGATAAATGCATCGATCAACACCATTTCAGTTTGTTTCAATTCTGGTGATCTATCTGGCATGGCATGTGAAACTTGGATGGGGGCAGAGTATCGAAAGTGAGTTTGATAATTGATTAATATAACTACGTACAATTCATTTTGCCAATATTCAGGAGATTGTCATAAAACATGGTCTGGCAGCCTTCAGAGGTAAGATGATAACTGATATAAAACATACATCCCGATCTCAAATGATTTAAGCCACGAAGCCTTCTTCTCCTCAATATGGAAGGAGTCATCCCCAAAATGTTTGAAAAGTAATCACTTTAAGGAAAATCATCTGAATTCGGACTTTGATTTCTATGGTCAAACTTAAGTTCATGGCCAGAACAAGATGTTTTGGCCTTCGCTCCGACTATCAGAGATGGGGCCAAGGCAATGGTATATGTCTAATATGTAATCTCAATGTTAAGGGTACTATAATATCCCTACTTTGGTAGTTATAGGAATGTATTTTTTAATAATGGTATGGCAAACCTCAACCACCAAATCTCCTCTGTATATAAGATCCAAATAACATAGATACCGAAAGAACTTAAAGGTTCATTGGTAAATATATAAATCATAATATTGTAATATTCTGTTTTCAGCGTACAATGAATTCCTAGCAATGACCATGTCCGATATGTACCCTTGTTCGGAATGCCATTTTGTGACCGGCTCCGAATGCTGTAGATTTACTCTTCGGGATTTCCCCACTGTCCTGTTGTTTGAGCAACAATGCCCTCCCTCATTGAAGGTAAATATATAAATCATAATATTGTAATATTCTGTTTTCAGCGTACAATGAATTCCTAGCAATGACCATGTCCGATATGTACCCTTGTTCGGAATGCCATTTTGTGACCGGCTCCGAATGCTGTAGATTTACTCTTCGGGATTTCCCCACTGTCCTGTTGTTTGAGCAACAATGCCCTCCCTCATTGGCATGGAATGACCGACTCTGCAACTGTGACTGGCCTGAGAACGTACAGAAATGTGATCCACTTAAGGATTGCACTAGTGAGTGAAATACATGTATAGTAGCCGTGACATAAATGAATAAACACAGGGAGCACACGCGTCTCGAACTCGAAACCTCGTGGTTACGGCGCCCAATCGCCTAGCCTGAACGTGCCGGCGCTCAAGCCCTCTCGGCCAACTCGACAACCCCAAAAAGGTTGTTTTGTTAGTCGATCTGACTAGAGGCAGCTGAAGTTAACGTTCAGACACACCAGAGGCTGCTTTCAAGTTAGTTCATTGTAATTGGTTATAGGGATGAAAATTATGCAAATATTTCATACTATTGAGGTGAATACCTGTTCATATAATCATAAATTACACAATATTATTGAAAAAAATATTCCAGGCAATTTGATTTATTACCAATATCAAACAAAAAGTGGCCCTGACTTGATGAGTGATGACAACATGCATAGCCGATGTCCATGTAGGTTTGGGATATTCTCTGAAACTCTGATCCAGATCAAAATGCTGTGCACTTGTTCATCCGGGATTAATCATCAATCCTAACATTGTCTTATACTGCTGTTTCAGCACAAATAGCCCAGACGCCTCCCCCGTGCCCTGCTTTGAACTTGGCAAGTAAGAACCAATGTTTTATCTGATTTATTTTCTACATTAAATCATGCTTCGAAAATAGTTGTTGTAAACTTTTGCTTATATGCGGCACATATATTTACAGAACAATGCTGCCTGGAAAATATCGGCCAGTGGTACACCAAGGTTAATGACACTTCGTTTCGTTTTCAAAATGACACCATAGCTCAAATTTGTCCCCTGGACCAAATATTTGACATCGAAGACTGTTGCTGTGTTGATAGAGCCCCAAAAGGTAAGTGAAAAGAATATCAAAGCGGTAGTGAATAGTAATTAAAGACATTTTGACAATCAAGATTTTGACAATGTCTTGCATTTTCCATACGATAGATATATGAAGTAAATGACAAACCACAAATGTAATTTGTAAAAAGTATACATAAAGACACTCTTTAATTCTGTTACCTTTGATAACACTTAAGTTGCAACTGGCACATCATGCAAGCATTGGCCATTTGATATCACAACCAACATCACTGACCAACTCCAGAACACCCTTGCAACAGACTTTCCTGACGAGGTCCATATGGTAGAAGGGAAATTCGGCGAAGGCCTCATGCTTCAACCTAATGAGAGAATATCAATCGCTGAATTTACGGGCAAAACACTTGGACATAAAGGTACTTTCACAATAAAGGTGACTTTCTGACTTTGAAAGCATTTCATATTCGTTTGAACAAAATAAGATATAGAAACCCTCATGGTTGACCGATGAAACAAGGAAATGCCAGATACCAGTATCATTCACATATTTCATTTCTGTCGTGGGGAATACCCTTTGCACCTTTCACGAATATTCTCCGATCTCAAGATAGTGCTTATTTGGTTATCTCTCCTTCCATATACACGTTGTGTTTCCCTTTTCTCGTTATGCTTTGAATTGCAGTCGTTGTATCCCTAATCCACACTCTGAAATCACGATACGATACTATCTATTATCTTGTCATACGACATTTATCTGACATATTGATGTTGTCTGTTTAGGCCGTCAATTTTCCATTGGGTTCTGGGTGTACACCCAAGACGCTGATACATCACCTACTATCATAATCAGCAATGGTGACGCCGATGTGAACCCGACACTCGCGTTCCTCAGCTTTGGTAACACCATATCTGGCGGGGTTGGAACGGCTGGCGAGACAAGGGATACCCCTACAGCTGACTACATATTCAGGGTAGGCTTTTAAAGAGGCTGAAACAGTTTTGCGAACCGTATAACATGTGGACCAAAACATTGACCAGATCTAAATACGATGACATGAAATGAACTATTAATTTAATTATTAATTTTACGAGCAAGTTCTTCTTGAAATATATCAATCAATATGTTTTAGCCGTATTAAATTTGTGATTTAGGTTTTGAGGAATGATGGGTGGCATTATGTGGCATTAGCCTATAGTGATCCATTCACTCGACTCTACGTGGACGATGTTCGTCCGAAGTTTTCAGAAAGTGGAGGTTAGAACTGCATATCTTCCTTCAATTTTAAACAGGGTTTTAAATCAATTTTTGTAGTTTTGTCATGCCAAAAACAATTGTTTCACCTTGAATTGTAAATATGATTTGATTTTAGGAAATATCATGGCCAATCGATGTCAATTGAACATTGGTGGAAATAACAGACATCCCTTGGTCATCGATGAGGTACGTTCAGAAAAACTCTTATTTGATAAATAGTAGAGACTTTGTAATTAAATACTGTATTAATATACTGTCCCCATAACCATAAGTTTTTGGTTGGAAATATGACGTAGATCATGAAGGATCTACGGGTATCACTAGTTCAGTTCAAACCCATCCGGGCTACTACGCTATGACTTCGCATTTAATATATTTCCCCTTGCGACCAGTCTTTCATTTGATATTGTTATTCTACTTTAAGTTGGTGATGTGTGACTTTGCCTGGACATCACGTCAGATTGTTGAGTTGAGAGAGGCTAATACCATTCCGTTTAGAGAAGACTGGCAATAATCGCCCATGCTTTAATCTGTAACAAAACTATAACTGCTAAAATAAACAAACGTTATAAGAAACAAAGCCGTGTATTTGTCACATAATGTCATTAGAATGACAGGCAATGATAAATCGTTCTTGTTTGGAAGCCTTAATAACAAGGTATTTTCAAGTTGGATATAGGGTTTTACTAAAGGAAGAGTTCGCGTAAGTTGATTATGTTATTATTATGCAACATTTTACAATTAGGTTTACAATAGTTTAATAAAACCTTATAATTGATTAGTCTGCAAAATCAAATGTAATTTCGCTTCAGAAGTAGCGTCACAATGTTAACGCCCGTGGTGTGGTTGGCGATATGTGTTGCTGCTCTGGAAGCTCAGACTCCGGCCCAAAGTAAGCAAATGTAAGCAAATTCAATCTTTAGTGAAACATTGAAGAAAAGATCGTGACTATTCATTATTTTTCAAATGTAAAATACCCAAATAGATCTAGTCTAACTGTAGATGTGTTAAATCCACTGATCGCTAACGTTACACTACAACACCTACGATGGCGTGGAACAATTTAAGTTTTGAGTTGATTTTAGTGGACTGATCACTGGCACATCAACAGATCAACCACTATCATAAATAGAGTTTTCATTAAATTCTCAGCGCCTCACCTTCGTTATATTTCTAGGATACGAAGATATATTGGACGATCTACTGGTGGATTCTCCCGAGTGCCCTGGTAAGTAGAAGCATTAATAACAGTGCTTTGCAGATGGTTTCAACATTACAGTTCAAAAACCCTTTTACATAAGTTTCTTACAATAGTAATGATTCCTGAATCGTGATGGAAGTGGTATAGCTTGATGTTTCGGTTCGAACCCCTTATGATATGTTGTGTTAGAACAATTTCTTGCGTTTTGTAATGCTCTATGGATTTTCCCATTTTTCATTTGTGTTTACGTACTATTCATCTATATCACACTTTAGGTTGTCCTTATGAGACTGGTTCTGACTGTTGTCATTTCCAAGTGAAACGAGCAAGACCCGGACGCGCTATAGCAAGGCGTCAAGAGCAGAGGTGTCAAACTGGGCTTGCGTGGAACAATGACCTGTGCGAATGTTCTAATTCTGTGACTGGATGCGATCCTTTGCAATGTTCAGGTGAGTCATACGAATGATCACATTATCAACGATACTGAGCAGATACAGCTATAATATTAACCATTTGGACACGTTAAAATTTTTGCTAAACTTATATAACTTGGCTTACAACGAGTGTACATGGTTTTAAAAAATCCCAACTGAAATAATTATATGATACAATGTATTTTTGTTCGGAACCAAACCTGTATGAAGAAAGGAATAATAACTCACAAAGAAGTTTCCGACTCATCTTTTGAGTCACTTGGTGTGCTATTCTTTTAGTACCCAAGTGCAATATTTAATTGTAAAATATTTTCAGCAAGTGAAAATGCATTTGTTCAGCCAACTGGATGTCCTGGTAGAGTAGGCGACGAACCACTGCAAGGAAGTGAGTACACTTTTACATTTACTTTTACTAATTTAAATTTTATCTAATGGATACATATTATGTTGTATCAGATGCTGGCACAGTTTTGCCGGAAGTTTGCAAGAAGTAACTTTTGGCAATGCAGTATGTTAGAGTAACCTAGTAGGTGTAAGAAAATATAAGGTGATGGCCTTTAAAGTGGTAAAAACAATTTTCAGGGCCGAATTGGACTTCAATTCCTGCGATTTCAGGGGGTACTATAAGACTATTTCATAACATAAAGGATATAGTTGCTATTGTTCTGTTTTCTACAGCACACATTACTAGTCTAAAGATGAATAATATCCTAAAGTTATAGGCCGATATCTGTATAAGTCTCAGAAATATTGCAATTAATAGGAAAAAATATGCAATTTTAGTCATTTTTAAGTCTCACGTATCTTATATTTGTAGCTTCCAGCAAAAGATGGCAGCTTAAATAGCTCAAAATTGCTTTCTAAAAACTAATTCAAGCTTTGTTTGATATTGTAATACAATTATAATAATGATAATGTACAATTTATGATTTTTAATATGACTTTATAGTACCATACCCATGGAAAGTGGGCGTGGTCAATGTTATCATTTTTGAGCATATAATTAAAAACTTATATTTATAGAAAGCAAATGAATGCATTTTTAACATTTTCACTTGTTACTTGACATTGTGATTCATTCATTACTAAAATATAGGACTCTACATATTTTATATATACGTTTTCAATTTTGTACAATGTATCATGATGAAATCTAATAGGCTGGTTCATTTTCAGTGTTCACTAACGCATGAAATGTAAGTCACAGTGTTTCCAAATTACCTTGGCAATGAGAAAGTACCACAAAGAATACATAATATGAGCAGTTTCAAGGTCCTAATACTAATACTTACCGATCTATCGGCGTTCAAAAATAGAGAAAGCTGTCGTGAGTGCAGTTTTAACTAACTTTGAACTGAAACTGCTGCTTAATGAATATTTTTCTCAACATCTGTGACTTTTTTAGACCCCAAACATAAGATACCAAGACATAATGCTACCAAGTTCTGATATTGGAAGTTTCAGAGCTCTAGATCAAATATTCACTTCTGCATGTAAAAAGGACAAAAAACCTGTCAGATATCGTGAAAAATATGAAAGATGCACTATTCAGAACAATTTATCTCTTAAATGTTACTTTTATTTGACATAATTTCTGATTCTGCCTCCAGTTAGTACCACCAATAATACATATGAGAAGACTTAACGTCATAGTAAGTGGAAGTACAGATCTATTGGCTTCTGAAAATGGGAAAAGCTGTAGCAAGTATGATTTTCACCAGTTTTTCATCTAAGACTGCAACTTTCTGAATTTTCTTTTTACAAACTGCACAGTAAGACCAAAGACATTAAAGGAAACCTGGTCATTGTACCACCAATAATAGGTAAAAATAATATTGGTAATATATACCAAGTGTTTACTTTAATTCCAAGGCATCTGAATTGTTAAATAAATGAAATCAGTACTTTATTGTATCTTGGGACAAAATACACTGTTTGAATGCTTAAGCTTGACATCACAGTATCAAGTGAAAGATACGTTGTTATATACAGCTATATCCCTTTAACTGACCTTACTCTTCAATTTGAAATATGCCTGGCCATTCTAAGAAAAATGTGACGGAGGGCAAAGAGGGTGCATGGTATAATTGGTAATTAAGCTCTTCTAGAGTTTAAAGCTCCCACAATTTTTAAAAACGAAATGGAGAATAACATGTGAAAGTATAGGATGGACTAATTGTTCTAAGAAATTTTTTGAAAGTAACATTGCATGAAATATTTAAGCAAGAGATATGTTCCAAAATACTTTCAGGTAGAAATAAAGCTCCGTAATGTAAAAACAATGTATTCTCAGTATTCAATAATAACATTCTTTATAGGTTTTTTGGTCTTAAGCATATCAGTGATTATCCCATGGTTGCAAGGATATAGATCGAATATCACATGAAGATATATTTGATATGTGGATCAAGTTATAATATTTTAGCAAAAAATTCACAAACCATCGAATATCACTTTTAAACTATCGAATATCACGTCTTAAAAAGTGATATTCGTTGGTTTGAAAAGTGATATTCCATTTCTTTTTACATTTTTTAATTATTTTCAAAAATATTTTAAAAAGATTTCAACATTTTTTCACAATTTTTTTTCAATTATTTTTTCAAATTTTTTCTCGAATTATATTTTTCACATTTGTTTTACTGATGATGATTTCCCATGGGATAAATACATTTTTTTTCAAAAATATCAATTATATCCACTCATGGATACAAATATCTTCACTCACTCGCTGCGCTCACCCATGAAAATATCAATATCCACTCATGGATAAAAATGATATTTTTTCAAAACCATAGGATATTCCTATATTATATCAATCCGGATGCTGAAGTCACTTAATAAATAATAACTAGATGTAACTCCTAGTAAGCACTTCAAGTTTCAGTTCTAAATAAAATACAGTTTGGTTAAAAAATTGTTAAGAATACATACATTTTTTCACAATCACAATTTCACCATTTCTGACTGTATTTTGCATATTTTTAGGTGTCAATGGTTCAATGATTATTTGATATAACCTCCTGAAACTACTCTCATATATATTTGGTGGTACAGTGATATGGAATCCTGTCTTTTGGGGTCTCACGGAATTCTTGTTTTAGAGAAGAAAATCCTGAAAGCTGCAGTTTAATATTATGAATTATAGGTGAAAATTGCACTTGCTACACTGCTTCTCCCATTTTTAGATGCTAATAAATCTGTAACTACACTTACTATGACCTTAAGTCTACTCATATGTATTATTGGTATTACTAACTAGAGGCAGAATCAGAAATTATGGTAAATAAAAGTAAAATTTAAGAGATAAATTGTTCTGAATAGTGCATTTTTTCGCGATATCTGACTGCATTTTGTGTCTTTTGGGTCTTTTTAAGAGTCCATGCAGATATGAATACTTGATCTAGAGCTCTGAAATTTTCAATACCAGAATTTGGTAGCACTATGTCTTGATATCCCGTGTTTGGACTCTAACCAAATCACAGTTGTTGAGAAAAAAATTCATAAGTAGCAGTTTTAATTCAAAATTAGTTGAAACGGCACTCAAGACAGCTTTCCTCATTTTTGAAAGCCGATAGATCGGCAAGCATTTACACCATGATCTTGAATCTGGGCATACATATTCTTAATGGCACTATCTCATTGCCCAGATATTGTGGAAACATTGTGACTTATATTCCATGTGATAGTAAGCACTGAAAATGGACTTGTTGCATTGTGGCGGACCCCATACAAAACAAACATAGGGGTAGGGGGGGGGGGTTAAACGTTGATCAGTTCTGCTATTTTTTGTGGCTATTGGTCATATAGTAGATCATTTTGTCAAAAGGTAAGGGTGATCCGAGAAAAAGTTTGTAAATTGAAACAGCCTATTAGATTTCATTATGATACATTGTACAAAATTGAAATTGTATATATAAAATATGTAGAGTCCTATATTTTAATAATAAATGAATTACATTGTCAAGTAACAAGTGAAGATGTTTTATATGCATTGATTTGCTTTCTATCAATACAAGTTTTTAATTGTATGCTGCAAAATGATAACATTGACCACGCCCACTTTCCAGGGGTAGGGTACTATAAAGTCATATTAAAAATCATAAATAGTACATTATCATTATTATAATTGTATTACAATATCAAACAAAGCTTGAATTAGTTTTTAGAAAACAATTTTGAGCTATTTAAGCTGCCATCTTTTGCTGGAAGCTACGAATATAAGATACTTGAGACTTAAAAATGACTAAAATTGCGTATTTTTTCCTATTAATTGCAATATTTCTGAGACTAATACAGATATCGGCCTATAACTTTAGGATATTATTCATCTTTGGACAAGTAATGTGTGCTGTAGAAAGCAGAACAATAGCAACTATATCCTTTATGTTATGAAATAGTCTTATAGTACCCCCTGAAATCGCAGGAATTGAAGTCCAATTCGGCCGTGAAAATTGTTTTTACCACTTTAAAGGCCATCACCTTATATTTTCTTACACCTACTAGGTTACTCTAACATACTGCATTGCCAAAAGTTACTTCTCGCAAACTTCCGGCAAAACTGTGCCAGCATCTGATACATGTATTCTATGTCTTTAAATCATAATGTTGAAAGGCCACCTTTGGAGAGGTAAATACATCATGTAATTGTTATATGTAATCAAAATTGTTCATTCATTATTTAGATGAATGCTGCATCGAAGCCCTCTACCAGAAGTACACGCTAATCAACTTGACCCACTATTATCTTAATGATGATACGAAAAGGCTAAACTGGTGTCCAGAAGGCCAGATGATGAATCTCAAAGAATGTGCTTGTGAATGGCCTTCGGGAGTTGGTAGGTCCCAATGTTTATGAAGCCAACTAAAACTAAACTAACTAATTATAAATTATTCCTTCGTGTATATGTATTCTAACATTTTTTCGTCTGTTATACAGCACCGAAGCAGGCATCTTGTAGATACTGGCCTTTTGAGAAAGAGACAGGCACACGCGACATCTACCAACGCACATATCGAGTAAACCGTGGAGTTGTGATCAGTGAAGGACACAACACCAAAAATGGTCTGTTAGTCCGTAAGAAGAGAGCATTAAACCTCCATTTCTCTATTAGAGGAGGTTCATTCAGCATTGCATTTTGGGTAAAAACATTTGCAAATATGACTGATGGGGGCACTTTCATTCTAAACAATGGAGGAAAGACCACACAACCTACTGTGGCATTCGTCTTAAATGGTAATACAATTTCTGGGGGAATTCGAACAGAAACAGAAAATAACACACCAAACCCAACTGCTGACCACTTGTTCCAGGTATGGGCATTTCATTATCGCAACGTCGATTAAACGAGAATGAATATCATTAGAGATTTTGATCCTACGTCTATGTTCATACTGACCCTGATTTAAAATAATTATATAACCAAAATATAAAGAAAATGAGTTTAATTAGGTTATTAAATTATACCAACGTCAAAAGTAGAGGACCACACTTTGCTTATTTACATTTTTAAATGGTCAGTGTTTGACATTAAATGTACACTTGTATTCATTCAATTTTGTATTTATTTCATATGTAGCCGCTCAATGGAGATGGGTGGCACTTTGTGGCATTCATTTACGAAGACCCACAATCGACACTCTACACAGACACCTCTAAGAATTCTGTGACTCAAGGTGGCGGTGAGTCGTCACTCTATGCTGCTACAAAAAAAACTTCAATTGTTAAACCCTTTCAAATATGTTTTCCAATATGTAATTCTGAAAAACGTCTGTCGTACGTGTAATAATTGAGCGTTGATTATCTATCAAATTACCTTTTGACAAATTGCCCAATGGCGCTCCTATACTTTGAAACATGGCGGCCATTCCATACGTGTTGTTCTTGAAAAATAATGGTTCAAAAAACACATGTTTTTCATTTTATAAGACGTTCGATGGGTTTTGTTAGGCACTTGGTGTTGCTGTGATCAGTTTATAATTAATGTGTTGGCATGCTTAAATCCTTCGACAATATTGCTCTGAGATTCATTCTTTTTCTTATAAAACACTCGACGAAAATGCAAATATGGCGCCCTATAAATTTACTCAAGTATTAACGGTGTTTATTCTTTGATTTTACATTTTAGAAAAATCTGTATTTTGAGTCATCCTATACGTTATTTTTGTAATGTTATAGGTGAGATTGCACGAAACAGTTGCATAATGCAGATTGGTGGAACCAAGAAACAGCGACTTTTTATAGATGAGGTATGTACACTTCAACCTCGTTAAAAGTGCCAAATCACAAGATGACATATGTGAATATGTATACAAATACGATTGCTCATGTTTAAAAAAAAACAAATAAACAAATTGTAATGGCTGTAATTTGAATTTGTGATTTTTACAGTTGGTCATCTGTGACTTTGCGTTCACAGAGCTTCAAGTGACTGATTTAAGAGGGACGGGAGAAGTTCCAGATAGAATGCCAGGACAGTAGAAAGAATCGGAATCACTATACAATGTTGAAGTACATTACAATATTAAAACATTAAACTCACCATTAAATTCATATTCGCTGTGTTTTGTGCCAGATAACTTAAATAAGGAAGATACTGCTTTTTTGTTTTGTGCTAATAACCAAGTCTTATTAGCTTCCTAGGAAAATCGATAAAATCTAAGGTGTCCATTTTGGATTTATCGTTCCAAAATCTTCCAATATTCTGTTTATGAAGATCTCAAAAATTGGGACATACATGTAGTGTAAACTTGTTTTCTTTTTTTTGAATTCCAAACAATTTAGAAATTTCACTGTTGCAACGAGGCAACATTGTAGGTTAGAATATCCCCAAACAAATAAATCCAATACAGAGAGCAACTTCTGATCTGATTTAAAAAAGTTTTAATGCAGTTTTGGCGTATCCCAGTGGAAGGGGAATGTGGATTTTGTGTGGATTTCAAACGTCTGGAGGGAATGTACATACGTTAAGAGAAAAAATCATTGTTGTATGTTGAACATCGTAAGCAGCAATTGCGTTTTATATCAGGTTTATAGTTTGTGACATTAATGATGACAAGAAACAAGGAGAAATAGAAAGTAATAATCGACTTGAATATACATGGGTTTGGAAATATGGAATAAAGTGGTAGAATAAACAAACACCACAATGACATTGAGTAACATTTATTTCATTATATCTTCATCTCTGATGCTTAAAGTAGCAGCTCAAACACCATTAGAAAGTAAGTAAAACTGTATTTGTATCAATAATATCTGTTGTATGACTGCATTACAAATTATTCATGTTTTAAAACAACATTTGCCTTGTTATTTTGTTCAGTTGATTTTATATCTGCGATTTACTATCGTATTTAAAGATATTTTGATTGAATGCTGTCAAATTCTTTTAAACGCCCATGCATTGCATAGACAATGGTCAAACCTATTATAGCAGCTCTTTGACCAAATTATACCTCTTCCGAAGTAGCAATGACTCGAATTTACATTTTCCAGGATATACTGATATATTGACTATCCTATTGAACGATTCACCGGGCTGTGACGGTAAGTGTTTCCATATTTTGTGCAGAGATGTAAAACTTAAATGTAGTTCTACATTCTCTTTATTTAAAATGGTGTTTCTTAGAGTATTCTTGTGACAATCTATTTCTATAAATATTCAAATCTGATTAATTTGAAAATATGAATAAAAAGATCAGATCGCAGTATCAGTTTTACTTGATATCGTATTAGATTGATATAAATGTTCCGTTTATAAATATAGGCGTTTAATAGTCGCCTTATTTCATTTAATCAGATCAGTGAAGATGCTATAATACTACATATTTGATATGTTCAGAAGAAAAAAGTGCTTATTCTGATATCTCATTTGTGTTATGTCTAGGATGCCATTTCCAAGAGGGAAGCAATTGTTGCAGATTTGAGGTTAAACATGACCGTGCCGGGAGACCACGGGATGATAGCGTACTGGGACGTCAAGAGCAGCTATGTCCAACGGGCCAGGCATGGGATGATGATATATGTGAATGTGCTCTGCATGTCCCTGGTTGTGACCCTGCAATTGATTGTTCAAGTATACGTTTGATTGTTAGAAATAATAGAGAGTCATATAGAGACTAACTTATCAATCCCTTTATATGTTCTGTATAACTTATAATTTGTGTACTACGTACGTACTTATAAACACAAGTTAGAATTTCACTAAGAGCGAAATCTCTCTATTGTTATAAGGTCTGTAACTAAAACCTGTAACTGTATTGTTATCTAACATTTTCGTTATAAGAAATAGTAAATATTTTTTCTATTTCAGTTGATCAACCAAATATTTCGAATTCAAACACAACACCTCTGATACCAAGTAAGTCTGATAATAGCATTTTATTGAACATAACATTCTTATATACATGTACATTTTAATTAGATAGCTATTTTGGTGCGTCATTATAATTATTAATTATATATTGATCCCATTGTCATGACTAAAAGCGGCTGCTATTTTGTATATATAGTTGACGTCCCACGATGTCCTGATGACTTGGGTATCGGTAAATATATTGATATTTCTATTTGAAAATAACTGCTAACGTTATAACTATATAGCAACAAATATATAAAAAGTAACAGGAATCACAAAAATGAAAGAGCATGTTATAGTACGAATCAAGCCAATACTTTTTGCTAGACCCGTTTCGATCAAACAATAACCATTTCATTTTATATACTTACATAATGAGTAAAATTCCATAACCACTCTTTTCTAACATTGCTATGGTTCGTGTTGGTAGATGAATGTTGTTTAGAAGAGCTTGTCCAGGTCTATGGTGTGGTGAATAATACCAACAGTACCAGTTACTGGATCAACAGAGACTACTCCAAGTTCAACACATGCCCCTCTGGTCAGATATTTAACCTCTCATCGTGTTGTTGTGAGGGAGATTTACATGGTTGGTTTTAATAAATATAAGTTTCTGAAATGAGCTTGAGTAATAGTACATGTAATGTATATGATACCGTTGAATGGTTTGATTTTGATATATAATTATGTTGTCTATGTAAATGCCTTGCAACTGGTTGCTCACAGTCCCAGGTCAATCTATTGCAGAACCTAGGATCAGATATTGCAAGTACTGGCCATTTGATGAAGAATATGGAACACGCGACATATATCAAGACACTGCTACACTGAATAGGGGCGCAAGACTGGGCGAAGGGCATAATAACAAAAATGGGTTATTCATTCCAAAGAAAAGAGCTATGAAAATTTACCATTATGTGGGTACCCCATTCAGGATAGATGGTACATTCAGTGTCTCATTCTGGGTCAAAACCTCTGCAAGTGACAGCGCAAATGGAACTGTGATATTAAGTAACGGTGACAGTAGGATTCAACCATCTATGATATTCTTCACCTACGGAAATACAGTGTCTGGTGGCATCTATACTCAATCTGAAAAAGCCTCGAGCAATCCTGTGCCAACAGCTGACTTTCTGTTTCAGGTGAAAATCATTTTATTGCATAGCACACTCTTATCTTGGATACTGTCCAAAAAGGAAATGGTAGCTCATCTCGGTGCAATAAATCATGTTGGATAAATTGATTTGTAGGATTTGGATGGAGACGGCTGGCATTTTATAGCGTTTGTGTATGAAGACCCTAACACACATCTATACACTGATGACACAGTGACATCTTTTACACAACAGAGTGGTAAAAATTACTATCTAGTGTTTTAATCTTGTGTTTTTCACTTATCACACTTCCGAAATTGAATTGAAAATGTCTGAAGAAATGTAACAAATTTATAGACACTTTTTCAGATAGTACTCATGGCCAACTTTCTGTATGTACCACGAATTCAGATTTATATGTAACTCCTGGATCACTTTCTGTTCCACGCTCAATGATGGTAAAACAAGATCCATTCTTTAAGTCCTCCTAACTCCCATTTTAGGAAAAATTGTGCGCAATCGCTGTTTAATTTTGGCAGGCGGAAGCAACACGTATCAATTAAATTTGGACGAGGTAAATATAAAAATAATATATTAACATTTTCTTCCTTGCTTGTATTTTGCCATATTTTTAACTTTACCCGTATCGTATCATACACACGAAGTGTTATTTTACTGTCGGAAAACGATATACTTTTAATATCAACACAGGCTGGTATCGAAAGATTTGTCCGCTGTGACGAAGCATGCTATTTTTCATAAAAACACCATCAATACTTCACAATTTATGTTTCGTTATATCAAAGAAAATTACTTACTCTATACGATGGATATATCATTTGCGGATAACTTTCACCTCTGTTTGAAGTTCAATAAGTAAAATCTATTGAAAACGGCGCCAGAGTATCAAACTCTAAAATGTACCATTTCTTGTTTAACTGTTTTTATGGCATGATATAGTGACATGATAATATTAACATCTGTTTTCAGCTACCCTGCTACCGTGCAGGGACAAGAATAGTTTAAGTCAGTAAATATGGTGTAAGATATTGTTAGTATCTTACCCTAGCGTCAAGTTTTGTTTTTGTGAGGGCGGCCGAAGACGAAGCTCTCTTTTAAGAAGTGAAGTCAAACGAATGCAAAGGGTAGTTTTCAGCATAACTCTGAATGTATTAATGAGATATTGATGTATTGAGTCTTTTTATCTTTTTTTTTATAAAAAATAAATTTTACATTTTTGTCCTTTGTGACGGAGCAGTTTCATTAATATCTTCATAGTTATGCTGAAAACATATGTAAATATTATAGTGTCACTATATCGTGCCATTAAAAAGTTAAACAAGAAATGGTACATTTTGGAGTATGATACTCCGGCGCCATTTTAAATAGCTTTTCCCCCCAGCGTTATTTGACTTCAAACAGAAGTGAAAGTTACCCACAAACGAGTTATCCTTTGCATGGAGTTAGTAACTTTATTTGATATCACGAAAGATATGAATTAAAAAATAAATTGTAAGTAGTATTCGTTGGTATAACGAAACATATGAAAAATAACATGCTCCGTCACAGCGGACAAATCTTTCGATACCAGCCTGTGATCATCCACATTTGACTTTCAGCTTGTATTCTGTGACTTTGCGTTTAATGGTACTGATGTGGATCAACTAAGAGATCATGGCAAAATTCCCACAAAAAACAGTATAGAAGTTTAGAAGGAACTATTAAGATCTGAATTAAACATACTTCGAACCCTATCATAGGGGTGGACTATGTTTGAATGGTTGCACAATTAGTAAACAGGGGAGTTCCCCCTGGGTGTTGCCAGGATCTAATATAAAGCGAGAAAATGAATAATATGGGCGGGGGGTTTGGGCTTTATGTCCACAGTTTAAGTTTTAAACTTCTAAAAGATATTTTTATAAATTTTTAATTAAATAGTTGCATCGCATACCTCAAGCCTGGCTACGCCCATGAAGATCTAGTCGTTCATGATTCTCACTTAAAGATTCGACTACAGATTTTAGATATTACATATATTCCAAGAAGTGATATAACTATTGTAATAGTGACATACGTATTTGAAATAAAATTCAGATTGTTCAATAGAAAACACGTGGTTTGGTTTAGCCCTGGAAATTGTTTTAACAGAGACATCCGGAATATTCAAGAATATAACTTTATGGGCATAGCACAGTCAAGACGCCAAAACATGCACAATTCGCAATGAGGTAAATTGAAAAAACGATAAAATCTAATTTACCCACGAAATGATTTTAGTATGCTCCCTTGATATTTTTCGTTATCTAACAATATCTGATGAACCAATGCTATTGCCATGAGGAATGCATTAGCGAAAGTGAAGACACCATTGGTTTAATACTTACTTCTATGTGAAAAACTAAATAATGTTTTGAATAATGAAACAGGCTTCAGTTCAACACGTGTGATCGTGTTTAAAGGTGAATTTGATGGTAGTTCTAAGGAAAAGATTAAGTACTCATATTTGACAAGAAGTTAACAAAAAATAAGTTGCTTCTTGTTTTTTTGTGTTACGTATTTCTCTTACAAAAGTAAAATATGAAACAGAATAGATTATTTTTAGGTTTACAATAACTTATTCAATGTCGTATTATACTTTGGAGAATATTTGAGAATTTGAACCCAAATGGTAAGATGGGGGGGGGGGCAGTACATGTAAGTGCAGTGACCCTTGGCCATTATGCAAAAATTGCGTCAGAATCTTTGATTTCAGTAAAAATGAGATTTGATAGAATAAAAATAATGTATGCATTTGGGTATTTAGGGATGTCGAATACAAATTACTAATTTTCTACTGGGAATACATAGATTGCAGCAAGTCACACTACCTTACCACGTGACCACGTTTAAAAGGGAAACAGGGTGCAGTTAAGTTGCAAATGGAGGACGTGGGTTTATTTCCATATTTCTTAACGTAAAATACATTTTACATTTATTTTTAGTGTTTTACCAGACATAAAAAAGATTCATCAAGCAGTTTGTAGAATATTGTTGGCAATAAACCCCAAAAGGCGCAGTAAAGTAAAACTTGAAAGCAATACAAGATACATTTCAGTAAATCTAGAAACTGATTGAAAGCCAAAGATCTTGCGCATGCGCGATCGAGGTAGGGTAGTGTGATAGACTAACATGAGAATGTCGTGAATTCGATCCTCACTCGGGGCAGGAATTGTTTTGCCAGTCTGATGTTTTATGTAGGGTTTCTTTTGAATGGTTTGAGTTGGGTGTTGGTTAAATTGCCATGGCACAAGCAAGCCTCGGTAGCGCAGTAGGCAGCGCGTCAGTCTCATAATCACACAATGCAAGGGCGATCTGAAGGTCGTGAGTTCGATCCTCACTCGGGGCAGGCACAGTTTTGCCAGTCTTTTATGTGAGTTTGCTTTTGAATGTTTTTAGCTGTGTGATACTCCAAAATCGAAATCATCTTTGGTAAATTGCTATGACACATGCAAGCCTCGGTAGCGCAGTAGGCAGCGCGTCAGTCTCATAATCACACAATGCAAGGGCGATCTGAAGGTCGTGAGTTCGATCCTCACTCGGGGCAGGCATAGTTTTGCCAGTCTCATGTTTTATGTGAGTTTGCTTTTGCATGATTTGAGCTGTGTGATACTACAAAATCCAAATAATCTTTGGTACGAGACAAGCAAGCCTCGGTAGCGCAGTAGGCAGCGCGTCAGTCTCATAATCACACCAGGCGGGAGCGATCTGAAGGTCGTGAGTTCGATCCTCACTCGGGGCAGGCACCGTTTTGCCAGTTTGATGTAAGGAAATGTTGCTTTTGAATGTTTTTGACCTCTGTGATACTGTAAAATCGTAATTTTCTTTGGTAAATTACCTTCACACAAGCAAGCCTCGGTAGCGCAGTAGGCAGCGCGTCAGTCTCATAATCACACAATGCAAGGGCGATCTGAAGGTCGTGAGTTCGATCCTCACTCGGGGCAGGCACAGTTTTGCCAGTCTTTTATGTGAGTTTGCTTTTGAATGTTTTTAGCTGTGTGATACTCCAAAATCGAAATTATCTTTGGTAAATTGCTATGACACATGCAAGCCTCGGTAGCGCAGTAGGCAGCGCGTCAGTCTCATAATCACACAATGCAAGGGCGATCTGAAGGTCGTGAGTTCGATCCTCACTCGGGGCAGGCATAGTTTTGCCAGTCTCATGTTTTATGTGAGTTTGCTTTTGCATGATTTGAGCTGTGTGATACTGCAAAATCCAAATAATCTTTGGTACGAGACAAGCAAGCCTCGGTAGCGCAGTAGGCAGCGCGTCAGTCTCATAATCACACCAGGCAAGAGCGATCTGTTTTTGACCTCTGTGATACTGTAAAATCGAAATCATCTTTGGTAAATTGCCTTGACACAAGCAAGCCTCGGTAGCGCAGTAGGCAGCGCGTCAGTCTCATAATCACACAATGCAAGGGCGATCTGAAGGTCGTGAGTTCGATCCTCACTCGGGGCAGGCACAGTTTTGCCAGTCTGGTATTTTATGTAAGGCTGCTTTTGAATGTTTGGAGCTTGGTGATACTGCAAAATCCAAATTTTCTTTGGTAAATTGCCATGACACAAGCAAGCCTCGGTAGCGCAGTAGGCAGCGCGTCAGTCTCATAATCACACAATGCAAGGGCGATCTGAAGGTCGTGAGTTCGATCCTCACTCGGGGCAGGCACAGTTTTGCCAGTCTGGTATTTTATGTAAGGCTGCTTTTGAATGTTTTGAGCTGGGTGATACTGCAAAATCCAAATTTTCTTTATTAATTTGCCATGACACAAGCAAGCCTCGGTAGCGCAGTAGGCAGCGCGTCAGTCTCATAATCACACAATGCAAGGGCGATCTGAAGGTCGTGAGTTCGATCCTCACTCGGGGCAGGCACATTTTTGCCAGTCTGGTATTTTATGTAAGGCTGCTTTTGAATGTTTTGAGCTGGGTGATACTGCAAAATCCAAATTTTCTTTGGTGAATTGCCATGACACAAGCAAGCCTCGGTAGCGCAGTAGGCAGCGCGTCAGTCTCATAATCACACACAATGCAAGGGCGATCTGAAGGTCGTGAGTCGATGATTTGGTAAGCTGCCATTTCACAAGCAAGCCTCGGTAGCGCAGTTGGCAGCGTGAGTTCAAGAAAACTTGAAGACAGGGTCGTATATGAATATTAGTTTTGAATTGTGAGTTATTTTTGACTTCCCTGAAGATAGCAAGAAAAAAATCAATTTTTTCAATGTGCCGTCCTACTTGTAGGCAGCGCGTCAGTCACATAATCACACAGTGCAAGAGCAACCTGAGGATCGTGAGTTCGATCCCCAAGAGGTCCAAAGGTTGGTATGTAATAATTACTGTGGAGAGAAGTTTCTTTTAAGGAAACAAAAAGTAATACTGAAAAGATTTGTCACACAGGTTTTGTACACAACACAACTATTAACTCATTGGATTGTTAACTGCACATGACAAATACTATTGGTGATCTTATTCGGGTGGGAGTCTAACTTGGAAAATCAATTTGTTTTTTACACCAATAGTTAATAGAACAGAGTAATCCAGGATTATTCTATCGCTATAAAACAGGAATAAGTTATGTGTCTTGGAATTGATAATTTGGCGAGTGCGCAAGTGTTACGAATGACATGTGATATGAATAAGTGATGCAGAGAGGCATTAATCGCCCATTTCCACACCGCAGCTGACGCTAAATCTCTGTTTAATAACCAAAAATCACATCGATTTTCGGCAAAGATTTAATAATGCATTTAATTCGATCGAAACTTTCACTTGTCAAGTATGGTAAGTCTTTGAAATCGGCCTCGACAGTTTATTGCAGTGCACGGATCTTGTGTCAGAGGTATAGCAAATGAGAGGCGCAGGATCGACAACAGTTGGCTTTGACTGGAAAATTCTCATGGGTGAAGTTTATTGTATAGGAGCTAGATGGACTACCGCTAACGGAGAGTTAATCAAAGAGCAGGGATGTTTAGATAACAGAACTGGAATAAAAAGTGAATTTCAAAATTCGTATTCTATGATAGAATAAATAAAAAAGGTAAATATTTGTTTGTTATACAGTTGAATATGATAAATATATTTAACATTTCTAATTTTTAAATAGTGTGAGCTACAGTTAATCCAAGTATCATCTTAGGTCTATTTTAGAAATGCGGCATATTTGTGTACTTTATATATGTTAAAAACTGATCGATCATTTTTAGAATTGTTATAAACTATTTATATTCTAGATACCAGTTATGTCTCTAAAGTCCCTACACCTGTCAAAAGAATTTATTTTTTCACTAAAACAATAGCGCTAAATCGGTTATCCTTCTGGCTGATTGAGTTAAAGTAGTCGGGTTCATCTCTCCCAAGGGTGCATTTCCCCTGAAATTACAATAAAAAGAAGTCATAGTTCTTGTATCTCCACTGGCTGACTTCTTGTGATATGATCAATTCATGGACTCGGGACTGGTCAACCGTTTCGTGCACTTAAACGCGTATTAGCCGATTCTAAATTTATTGAAGGGGGAACTGTAACGACCATGAGAAAGTCTTATTATTGTCGCCAAAATATCTGGACCTTGAAATACTAAACTGAGACAAGGAGGTACATTCCATTTGTATTTTGGACCAGTTTACTACCGGAGAGATGTAGTAAGTTGCGTTTTTCTGAAAAGAAGATCTGTAATCTATTCAATTGAGTTTTTGCAAATAAGTAATTCGCCCGGATATTATGCCATCTTTGTTATGTGCACCATAAGCATGTAATATACAATTTTACATTTAGGTCAACGAATACACGCGTGTATATGGTGAATCATGTAAGGTCGTCTCGCAAAGGTATTGGTAATTCAATTTAAAATGACGTGACGTGAAACTGAATCACAAAGGATCCCCTCCCTAAACATATTACAAATCAATTACCAACCAACACAACGTCTTTACAAATTGCCAATTCATGTAATGTTTGGGGCTTTGAATAATTTAACTAGTACGCACATAAACTCATTAAAATGACGATATTTTGTTTAAAGATAGTCGATAAATAAATAAATTCCTGGGGGGTTGTTTTGATATTAGGTTCCATTGATACAATGGTAATTAAATTTCGAAGTGTTTCTGGTTGAGTATAATCAATGAACATTCATTAGGTTATCAAAATTGTTATTACTAAATGTGACACCCAAATTCATACAATATACTTGAAGAAGGCATGTCAAACATCAATTGATACGAACTACTAGTGTATTATCACTTTCATGCAGTAAACACATGGGAACAAAGTATAACGAACAGAAAACAAAGATATTATTGACAAATGAACATATTACGGCAATTGATTTCCTTGGGTTTCCAACCATGAACTTTAGTTACTGACAAAGCCTATGAAATATGTTAAAGACAAGGCGCATAACGTGGCCCATTGCCTGTTACTGTTTTTAGAATCTATTCATCAATACCTTCAACGTCTTAAACTTGGCCTAAACCTGTATTCATATAACGTATATGTACATGTAAATAAATATAAAAAATTTAAATAAAAATAAAAAAAATAAATAAAAATATGAATAGAAATGCAAAATGTTGATTAAACGTAACTGCATCGAAACTCTTTCGAAGCTCATTTTAACTTGTTGGAAAACTTCCAATTTTCGCAGGAGTTCATATAATCGGAATAAAATTGTGATTATCACCAGCAAGAAAAACGGTGGTTGATTTTAGAATACTGCCAAATCATTTTAATTTCGCATCGAACCATTTAGAGACAATTAAGGTACTAGCGTTTTGTTCCCACACTTCCAGGACATAATCATTTTAAAGCATTGTTTACGTTTTTAGATATGATTACTACGAGTATTTTGTTAGAAGAACATCAAACATCAAATTTGTTACCCGACCCTTTTTATAAATAATGGCCTAATTTCGATCGTGTCAGAAGAAACGCGATGTACAAAATAATATCGTTCTAGATCTGAAACAAATGATGTGCATATCTCAGGTATGGCGAAATTGCCCCTTTAACCACAAAATTTAGAGATACTAAATTTCTAATTGAGGAAATAGAATATTATATTGTGATGTTAGAAAGAAGATGGTCCATTATATCGTTTCACTTCCAGGAAAAATAGACACTGGAACATATAGAAGAGCTATTATTAACCTGGTTTTATATTGAAATGGAATATTCTCTAAGAATCTAATAATTTGTTAAGAATCAGTTCTGAACTGAACAACGATTGATTATTTACACTGAGCCCCAGGCGGAAAGAGTAAATAATCCTACTTAGTACTGAACATAGAAACTATTGCTTCTAAGGATGTTTAATTCCTGGAAAGGGCTTAATCACCAGCATTTTATTGTTTCGTCAAGCTAGTGGCCAGTTGTCCTTTTGACAGTTATGCCCATTCTGAGTCAAGTCGTGACTACTCATCATCATTAGAAGTTCTTGCGGCTCCCAAGGGAATGACATTTTGCTACTTATTGCTCGTAATTATCGCTGTCCACTTTTCGTTCAGATTTAGTAGGGCTTAAACATTCAATTTAACGTTTGAGCTGTTAGGATCAAACTCAGAGCCCTTTTTTAAAATGGTGGTGTATGACGGTGCGTGGCACAGAAGAGAAAAGTAATTCCCTTTGAAACAATAAAAAGGAAAAGCAGACTTTTTTAACATGTACAAATATGCACCATGAGAAAACACTTAATATTGTTTCAAATGCTTTTAGATGACTGCAAAGATCTTCATGAGCTAAAAGCTAGATTGACATTCCTGAAAGATGACTTCGAATCCATTTGCCATGTTCAGCCCAGTTGCAAGGATGAGGACATTATATGAGTCTTGTAAGGGCTCAAAAGATGAGACTTTCCAATTTGCTAGATTCAAAGGTGAATCCGAAACAGAACTTTCGACGATACAACAGAATGGTACTCTTAGTAAACGCTCTAGTGTCGCTGCTGATGACACGGCCATTTCAAATGAAGCGTTCCCTAGTGATGTTAAAGAAGACCCCGGGGAGGATGTTCGTTTACATAAAGACCGCATTACAGAATGGCAGGCTGGTTATAATGTAACAAATGCCATCCAGGTTAGTGCGACCACTATGCTGCAGAATCTCTCATTCATGTTTTTTCTCGTGATTTGTACCTACGCCTCACATTTGCTCTACGGCGGCAGTACGGCGGCCGTAGCTTCACAAAATCGATATAGAAAATCAACATCGTATTGCTTATCACTATATTTTATGCTGCACATTCTCTTGATTTTGGGAACCTACGGCCGCCGTGTACGGCTACCGTAGATCAGGTAGACTTCGCCATTAAGTATGTGTGTAATTCTTTTTGCATCCTATATATTCAGATAGTTACACTACATACAGTAATAGTATAGTAATTAAAACAAATAACGCTTTTTCAATAATCCCTTAATATCACATGATGATTTTAAATCCAGCAATAACACCCTTGGTATACGCAGCTAACGAAAATTGACCGGTACGGGTCAAAAGCTGGACCGGTACGGGTTAACGGTTTTATTTGAATTTAAAATAGCCATAACTTGCTCAATATTGACTTCCTCGTGTCTAACTTGAAATATATGATGCCTCCCGATGCTTTTAAGTACCCCAATATTTTACAGATTTTTAAACGGACCAAAACTCTCTAAATGCGCATTTATGCTCTTTTCTCTCGAGAACGACTGTCTCATTTTCACGATAACTTTTATTTAGTACTTCTAACATATAAGATCTATTTTTCCCCATCATACATGCTATTTACATCTTGTGAGTTTCAATGACGCGCGTTTGATTTTATAAAAAATGCCAAACTTTGTGACAAAGAATTTCATCCTGCTTGCAGCGAGAAGACGGATCGGTTCGGGGCAATCTGCTTGCAGCGACAAGACGGACCGGTTCGGGGCAATAGCTGATGAAATTCTTTGTCACAAAGTTTGGCATTTTTTATAAAATTAAATGCGCGTCATTGAAACTCACAAGATGTAAATAGCATGTCATTTACATCATACCTTGATGGGGAAAAATAGATCTTATATGTTAGAAGTACTAAATAAAAGTTATCGTGAAAATGAGAAAAGAGCATAAATGCGCATTTAGAGAGTTTTGGTCCGTTTAAAAATCTGTAAAAAATTGGGGTACTTAAAAGCATCGAGAGGCATCATATATTTCAAATTAGACACGAGGAAGTCAATATTGAGCAAGTTATGGCTGTTTTAAATTCAAATAAAACCGTTAACCCGTACCGTCCAGCTTTTGACCCGTACCGGTCAATTTTCGTTAGCTGCGTATACCAAGGGTGAATAACGAAATATTCATTTGAGTGACTTCGATAACTTGTCCCTATCAATTGTCAATTAGCCACAAATAAATTACTTTCTTCACTTTTTAAATTAGGCGGTTTCATACTTTCTAAGTATCTGCAAAGTGGGGACAATTTCTTCCTGACATTTAGCTACTTCGTTCATAAACAGTCTTCAATACGTCTCATTCGCAGTTCGTTCAGATCGCACCATGTCAGTGTGCACACGTATTGCAATCGATATCCGATTGCACAACTTTGTATAACGCGTCCCTAGTAGGGTCGAAGTACGTTGCTCCTGGTCTGAGAACGTTCATGAAGTTCGTGAATAGACCTTTGAAAGTTGCAGCTACGTTCATTCCGTTCGCATACAGTTTAAAACCAGTTTTGAAGAACGCAGTGGCAACTTGTTTGGTGTGATAGCTATATTTTTGCTGACTCATTCATAAGCAGTCTTTAATACGTTCTTAATCAGTTTAAACCCGTTTGCAATAAGTTCTACGTCGTTCTCAATACGTCCTCAGACAGTTCAACTCGTAAAACGTCCCTAGTAGGATTGAAGTACGACACTTCCGTTCGTAGTACGCCCAGGTCGCCGTTAGTACGTTGGCACTCGTTCTAATTGTAGAACGTGACGACCACGAGAACATTTTGAGCATGTTCTAAGTTCTAGAGAATCATCCCGTTCGAGTACGTTCGATGAAGTTTGTATATAGACCCCAAACGGTTTTAAGTACGCCCAGTCCGTTCGTACACAGCTGAAGCCCGTTTTCGAGAACGTAGTGAGAACTAGTTTGGTGTGATAGTAGGGTAAACAGCGAGCAACACCAGCAATGAGCGTTCGATTTGCTAACCCCTCTTTCAAACCAAGCTAGTTCTTTAACCGTTTGTAGAAGCCCAATTGCTCTGGGCTACCCAAGTGTTCTGACTCTTGCCCAACTATTCTGACAACCCAAATGTTCCGCGTTCACTTATTTAAATCAGGCCAGGAGCCATGAATTCGTACGATCCAAGAATTTATAAATTTTATCTTTTGGGATTATTGGTGAATTCGTACGCTTCTAGGATTTTGGGGAATCCCTAAGATTGGTAATCCAGCGTAGTTTTAAGAATCGATTCATTTGACCAATCAAATCAAGGCTCTCTGTATCGCGTTTTCACATGCGGTATATGGCATATTCCGCAGGAGAGTATGACATATTCCGCAGTGAATTCGGATGATATTTATCGGAAAATCAATCTACCTACGTAGGTGGATTGATGCGGTATATTGCATTTCAGTGAATAACGATACTCACTGCGGAATATGTCATACTCTCCTGCGGAATATGCCATATACCGCATGTGAAAACGCGATACAAAGAGCCTTGATTTGATTGGTCAAATGAATCGATTCTTAAAACTACGCTGGATTACCAATATTGTTGGGGCTTCGAGTACTTATATATGAACTATGTACGTTTATTACGTGTAGTTGCAGAATGGTACTTCTGAAAGTATCAAGAATGTGTATATCGTGATTGTCAATACAACAATATATAAATACTCGTGATTATCTGGTCTTTGTGAACTGTTGATGAGGTTACAAAAGTCACTCATAAGCTTTGCGAATGTAGGTTCGTTTATTCAACATGTAACCCAAACATAAAACAACATCAAACAATACAGGTACCACTGGTGTATGTTATTCAATTATATTATTGATATACAATGCACTGACCCGTTGATCCTGTTATCCTTATAATAATTTATAGACTTTAGCCCGTTTCTTGAATCGATGTAATTGACAATTGAGTACTGCCGTATCGCGTTACATTGGTTAGTGTGTATGCCATATACCGCTGGTGAATCCGTCATATATCGCAAGTGAATATATAGAGGTTATTTAATGGGAGGGATGGAATATGGATTTTATTCCGAGGGAAAATATGATATTGGCCAAGGAAAATATCATATTGACCGAGGGCGATAGCCCGAGTGTCAATATGATATTTTCTGAGGCCAATATCATATTTTCTCAAGGAATAAATCCATATTCCATCACGACCATCAATAACCTATTTATTTCATAATATTTTAATATTTAATATTTGTCACAGTAATAGACCTTTGTCACAGTAATAGACGTAAACTAGATGATAATAATTTCAATAATTTCAATTTTTCAAACGATTTTTTACTTCCTGTAGAGATGTGCTAGACGAAAAGCGTAAAACTCAAGAGAAATTACCGGGAATATTTCTGATACGGGATCTGATACGGGATTTTTGCTGATACGGGATCCAATACGGGATCTGATACGGGATTTTGGCTGATACGGGATCTGATACGGGATTTTTCAAATAACACTTTTATTCCCTGTTATTTTCCCAGGGAAAACATGTTATTATGGAATAAACCATATTCTTTGCGGAATATGACACATATTTGTATCGTGTTCACCACCATGATGAAATTTATACGGATGGGATCACGGATCGTACGAATTCACGGCCCCTGAAATCTTCCAAGAACGGGTGCCAACAATGATTTTGCTGGAAAAACCGTCGACCCCCAAAATTTGGGCCATTTTTAAAAGTTGATACCCATGTTTTCAAACTGCCCATTTTTCCAAAATAGAGCATATTCCTGAAATTGAGACCAACCCTAAATGTATTGATATACCCTATTCGAATATTATATCACTCAGGAGTGTTCAAAGCTGAAAAAATCGAACAAACAATGATGACAGATATCCAGATTCATATCTTCCAAAGGCTTGATTAAATCTCAAATTGGCATTTGAAACATAACCACACCTCACCCACGCCGCAATTACAATTCAGATCTAGATAACTGGATAGTAATAATTCTAAGTCTAAATCTGCAAACATCTTAACTTGGGATACATTTCCACTTCAATTAATTGTGATGACATATGAACTGCGAAGAAGTGTTTGCACATTATTTTACACAATATCGCTCCACATTGATTAAGAACTACTTAAGAGTTATTAATCCTAGTTTTTCATATTTACTTACGTTGATAGATTACACCTGCTATTCTGGTGTTAGCATACTCGTCCTCTATTGATTTTTCTCAGATTAAGAATTCCCCAACATGAATTTTTGACATTGCTAACTATGTTATGGTTGCCATTAGTTCCGCTTCACACTAAAAACATTGAAGAAAATTTTGTCGCAATTAACTTCAGAGTGATTCATGTGAACGTGTATAATACCATTAATTAGACTAACATCACAACAAGGGTAGATCCCAAAAGTCAAATTATAACCCGTAGATCCAAACTAGTAAAAACAAATGAAAATGACGATATTGAGAAGAAAATGAAAAAGGAACAAAACGTGCTGGCCCCAGATGACCCTTCGTTTTGTGATTATGAGACACACGCGCCACCTACTACGCAATCTACTTGCTGATAACCAGTTTTGTGGAATACAAATCCAATCACTCTGTAGAGAAAAAGAATGGGTCAACCAAAATTACCCTTTGCATTCGTTTGACTTCACTTCTTAAAAGAGAGCTTCGTCTTCGTAGTTGAACTAGACTCTGCACGCAGGGTAAACCAAAATAAAATTGATGAAATGATTCTAACGACCTTCAAATTGCCCTGGCATTGTGTGATTTATTATGAGACCGACGCGCTGCCTACTGCCCTACCGAGGCTTCCTTGTGTCATTGCAATTTACCAAAGATGATTTAGATTAGGATTTTGCAGTATCACCCAGCTCAAAACAGTCAAAAGCAGCCTTCCATCAAACATCAGACTGGCAAAACTCGAACTCACGACCTTCAGATTGCCCTTGCATTATGGCCCTTGTGATTATGAGACGCGCTGCCTACTGCGCTACTGAGGCTTGCTTCCGCATTGCAATTTACCAAAGATCATTTCGATTTTGCATAATCACACAGCTCAAAATATCAAAAGCAAACTTCAATAAAACATCAGACTGGCAAAAATGTGCCTGCCCCGAGTGAGGATCGAACTCACGACCTTCAGATCGCTCTTGCATTATGGCCCTTGTGATTATGAGACTGACGCGCTGCCTACTGCGCTACCGAGGCTTGCATGTCTCATGGCAATTTACCAAATATGATTTCGATTTTGCAGAATCACTCAGCTCAAAATATCAAAAGCAAACTTCAATAAAACACCAGACTGGCAAAATTGTGCCTGTCCCGAGTGAGGATCGAGCTCACGACCTTCAGAAAGCAAACTTCAATAAAACACCAGACTGGCAAAATTGTGCTTGCCCCGAGTGAGGATCGAACTCACGACCTTCAGATCGCTCTTGCATTATGGCCCTTGTGATTATGAGACTGACGCGCTGCCTACTGCGTTACCGAGGCTTGCATGTCTCATGGCAATTTACCAAATATGATTTCGATTTTGCAGAATCACTCAGCTCAAAATATCAAAAGCAAACTTCAATAAAACACCAGACTGGCAAAATTGTGCCTGCCCCAGTGAGGATCGAACTCACGACCTTCAGATCGCCCTTGCATTATGGCCCTTGTGATTATAAGACTGACGCGCTGCCTACTGCGCTACCGAGGCTTGCATGTGTCGTAACTTACCAAAGATGATTTCGATTTTGCAGAATTACACAGCTCAAAATATCAAAAGCAAACTTCAATAAAACACCAGACTGGCAAAATTGTGCCTGCCCCGAGTGAGGATCGAACTCACGACCTTCAGATCGCCCTTGCATTATGGCCCTTGTGATTATGAGACTGACGCGCTGCCTACTGCGCTACCGAGGCTTGCATGAGTCATGGCAATTTACCAAAGATGATTTCGTTTTGCAGAATCACACAGCTCAAAATATCAAAAGCAAACTTCAATAAAACACTAGACTGGCAAAATTGTTCCTGCCCCGAGTGAGGATCGAACTAACGACCTTCAGATCGCCCTTGCACTATGGCCCTTGTGATTATGAGACTGACGCGCTGCCTACTGCGCTACCGAGGCTTGCATGTTTCATGGCAATTTACAAAAGATGATTTCGATTTTGCAGAATCACACAGCTCAAAATATCAAAAGCAAACTTCAATAAAACACCAGACTGGCAAAATTGTGCCTGCCCCGAGTGAGGATCGAACTCACGACCTTCAGATCGCCCTTGCATTATGGCCCTTGTGATTATGAGACTGACGCGCTGCCTACTGCGCTACCGAGGCAACTTGAGATTCTCCAGCTTAATTATTCATCCCTGCCACATCCAGCATAAAAACCACAATGGGCAATTTATATACAGGGCGTATCAAAAAAAACGCAACAAGCAGTTATCTCATAAAATCACAAAACTAGTGATGACTATATCAATTTCATTCAATGTACTATAAAGCCACACCCCTCCTCTTTGCAATCATACATGTATGTCATTCATTCACATGTTGTCATGGTTGGGTTGGAAATCCTTCCATTACAAGGTGGGTCAAAATCGGCTCTGGACCAAGTTTCAGAAATTGCAAAAATCAGTGCAAGAGCTAAGTGTCAATGGAAGTTCTCTTGTTTTTGTTGTGACTTTTTCTTTTGGAGCTATCTCAGGAACATCTGTGCTCACCATTCCTTCACTAGATATTGCAAAACGTCGAGAAGGAATTGCCAATGGGCTGCTTTTCTTAGCCTTAATCCACAGGTGACTCGGAGCTGAGCCATGAATGGCATGGAGAGATGAAAGATGTATTCTTGCAAAAGTATGAGTATAAACACTTTACAGTCTATGTCACGCATCCCATACCTTCTTCCAATATCCTCTATGCCCCATGCACTGAGTTTTGCAATGTTTAAAACTTGCGCCTGAGCTGAATTTTGCCCCACTTTACAAAATAATGATTATTTGGACAACCATGATTGTTGACATTCCATTGTAAAGAGGAGTAATTTGGGTTTTTGGTACATTGTCGAATGAAAAGGATGCAGTCATCATTGGTTTTATGTTTTCTTCCAATATTGCATTGGGCTTGTGCACTGACTTTTGCGATGTTTATAACTTGGCCCAAAGGTAATGTTGGCCTACTTTGCTTAAGGAATGATTACTCGCCCACCCATGACCCAATATTAACGAATGATATACCATAAGAAAGATGAGACACATGGCTTTATGGTACATTGAATGAAATCAATGCTGTTATCACTTGTTTTGTGCTTATCAATAGTTTTTTGGACTCCCCAAACTGAGTTATGGGATCAATCACTGGTTAGATACGAAATATATCTACACCAAAGCTTGTGTTTGCGTTTACATCAATAAAAGATCGAACCAATGGCAAAATAAGATTACCACTCACCTTTACCGAGCCTTGCTGATAATTTGTTTTGGATTTCAACTGAATTGAAATATTATTAGTGTTGCCTGATATCAGAAAGTGAAAAGTATACATATGCATGCATAATGACATCATATTTACTTGCATACGTAAAATTTAAAACTGAATGATTTCTGCTTCCGTCCTGTGTTATGTTCCAGTTCTATTTGAAAACTAACGTGAAATAGGTGCATAGCGTACTCAGCGCAGACTAAACAGACAACCTTATATTCAGATATATGTTTTTCGCTTTTTGTGTTATATTTGGGAGTTCGGTAATCTAAACAGGCTTGAGGTGCAGTCCTTGGTCCCCCTTTAAAAACTTTTGTCCAACGCTTTCTTAAACGTGAGGGCCATTTTGTAGATTTAGACCCGGGATTTAGGCCAAGTTTTTCCCAAACTTGTATAGGGATGTGCATTTTTGAAGATCTAGTTGCCAAATATTAGAAGTCAATAAATAACATAAAAAATATTTGTTGTTAAATATTGCTCGTAAGTTGTCTTCATCTGCAGTAATGAAATGAAATTGTTCTTAAATTACTCTTTCTCTGTTTTAGGGCATGTTCATCGTAACCTTTCCATATGCAGTCCTGCAAGGAGGATATTGGGCTTTATTTGCGATGGTATTTGTGGCGTATATATGCTGCCATACGGGAAAGATTCTAGTAGAATGCCTATACGAAGAAGACGCAAATGGAGTAAAGCAGAGAGTTCGTAATAGCTATGTCCAAATCGCGGAGGACGCTTGGGGCAAACGCTTTGGTGCTAGAATAGTTAATATTGCACAGTTTATAGAGTTATTAATGACGTGCATATTGTATGTATTACTATGCGGAGATTTGATAATAGGTAGCTTCCCCAATACAAAACTTAATTTGAGCATCTGGATCTTTCTTAGCAGTCTCCTTTTGTTACCCTGTGCGTTTTTGAAAAATCTGCGCCACGTATCGTGGTTGAGTTTCTGGTGCACAGTTGCGCATATGTTCATCAACGCGATCATCATTATATTCTGTCTGACCAAAGCCGGTGACTGGCATTGGTCTGCCGTACAAATAAAGATAGACATTTGGACATTTCCTATATCTCTTGGAATAGTCGTGTTCAGCTACACATCCCAAATCTTCTTGCCTTCTTTGGAGGGAAATCTAGTGAACAGAAGTAAATTTAATTGTATGATGCACTGGACACACATAGCAGCTGCTGCGTTCAAGGCTTTGTTCTCTTGGATCGGCTTTCTTACATTTGGATTTGACACACAAGAAGTGATTACCAATAACCTTCCTACACAGACATTCAAGGCGATAGTGAATCTTATTTTGGTGATAAAGGCATTGTTATCTTACCCACTACCATATTACGCTGCCGTTGAGTTATTAGAGCAAGCATTCTTTAGAGGGAAACCAGAGACAAGGCTTCCGTCGTGCTTCTCCGGGGACAACTCGTTGAAATTCTGGGCAATTATCTTAAGACTAATGCTAGTTGGATTGACAACGCTATTCGCGATTGTTATCCCTCATTTTTCCATATTGATGGGGCTGATCGGGAGCTTTACTGGTTGCATGTTATCGTTCGTCTGGCCGTGCATGTTCCACTTAAAACTCAGGCGACAAAAGATGAGCCGCCTTGCCATTATCGGAGACGTCATTATTATACTCCTCGGTGTCATATTTGGTCTTGTTGGCATGTACTACTCCGGAGCAGCACTAATAAGGGCGTTCCAAGGAGAATCGGTGAGGCCATTTCAAGGACATTTGGCCCTGAACGTCACAAATCGTGGACCAACTGATTTCGGCCAACAACCAGATGTTCTTGTAAAACCTAAGCTGGAAAGTGCTATTGTAGAACATTAAAAACTAAATTAAAACCCAACATACGCCAATGCCACATGCCTCATGATATGCCATCGAGTCCGAAACGTGCCCCTTCAAGTCCAAATGTGCCACTTCGAGCCCCAGTCACAGTTTAGAGAAGGCTTTTAACCGCCGCCATTTTGATCAAGCAATGCCTGAAACGTCACATAATCAAAAGTTCCATGATGCCCCATCGGTAGGGGCTTGGTGGGAAAAGTCTCATTGAGCCATTGGTCCCTCCGTGCAACATTAGTGTACGATGGCTTTAAAAGAGCATGCAGTGTCTGTTATTCTGAGCTTTTCATAACACTAACCGATATTAAATAGTTAATGGGAGGATTTGTAACTTGCACAATTAAAGACTTGCAAAAGTCTGAAAAATTGCATCTGCATCAGATGTGCTTGAAAAGACAGTCTCTTAATATCCCCTGTATGTACAATATGGGTTAGGGATCAACAACTTAAATTGAAAGCAGTTCAATATTTGATCTTGGTTGTGAAGTTTATTCACGATGACTTGATATCCCCAATTGTTAATCCAAATATTGATAATGTTATAATTTGAGGAAATGTGATATATCACCCTATTAGTTAATATGGCAGTGATACATCTTCATTATTTTGTTAGACTGGTAATATACCCTATTGTGCCAAGGCTGATCGGAGTCATCACGTCTTTCTCTTGTATTGTGCAAACATTGTAACTTATTATACAGTATATTTTGAAATTATAACGAATTCAATTAAATGAAAAAATGAACACCATTATGTAACCTAATTCTTATTGATAACAGCAGCAGTCTGAGAAATGTCTGCCAGAATTTCACTCCTCCTTGCGACTAGTCTATGAGGGTTTTCCTCACTTGTTTGCGTATTCCATAGGTACTGTATATGTATACAATTAAAGTTAGTAATTTCATATGTCTGTGTTGCTAAATGTAAAATCAATCCAAATCTATATTGATGTTTTCAAAATATCTGTGAAATATGTTGTATAGACCATAAGCCAAGTATCCAGTAACCATTGTTTATATATGTATATAATAAATAAATAATACCCTCTTTAGAAAATATCCTCTTACGTGAATTGTTTCATTAATCGTACACACGCTCGGAGTAGATAGGTATCTGTGGGAGTGTGCCAGATACAGTAACACAATTGAGCAAAGTATCTGATTGTTCCGTAAAAATGTAAACAGATTTATATAATTATATATAAAACCAATCAATGATAAATCGAGTGGTATTGTGATAAGCTTCGCTTATATCTAACCGTGTTTATCATTGTTGCAGTCACATTTCTTATTGAAGAACAGTTAAAGACAGCCAGAGTTTGAAAATATTACTTGACCATCTAAATATGATTTATCCTGACTAAAAAAGTTTAATTAGAAATTTTCTGAAAAATTACTTTCGAAAAAACTTATTTGTATTTTGATTTTTGAATATTTAAATTTCCCGCCATTTTAGCAGCAAAAGATTAAATTTATTGATCATTAAATACAACACTTTGACACATATAGATCAAGTAAAAGTTGCGCAACAATTAAACAATTAAAAGGACGATTCTCGGTTTGGAGAACGAATTTCATCAATCTAAATGAGCATTATCCCTGCTTCGGACATAGATTTGATGTCTTCTTTTGAATAGTCATAATTTAATTTGGGTAATATTTCTAGAATTTTCGCAAAAAAATATTAGCGCAGTACACTGATGAACTTTTTTCCCCAAATCGAGGCTTGTATTTTATTGAATCGGTCAAATTGAGCGTTATCCCTGCTTCAGACCAATTTGTTATTTTTACATCTTGTAGATTTAAATGTCCTCTTTTGAATATTCATAGTTTAATTTGGGTAATATTTCTATATTTTTCATGAAAAAAATTATTAGGCCAGGAGACTGTTTTCCAAACCGAGAATCGTCCTTTATAATGTTATCAGGTTAATATTTTCAAAAATTGAAAAAAAGAATTGGCATACCCAAATGTGTACAAAAAAAGCTTGCCCCGAGTGAGGATCGAACTCACGACCTTCAGATTGCTCTAACTGCAGTTAGTGTCATTCAAGATGGTTGTCGAAATTCTTTCGTTTTCGACAAACCTCCGATTTCAGCTAAACTAAGCTGAATCTTGATTCCAAAAGTTTCGCCATCGGCGATGATCGTAAAAACACAAATAAATGCTCAAACACCGGCAATATTATAGAGAATTGAATACGGCTTCACTAAGAATGACTCTAACTGAGGTTGATGATGACAACTAGTTAGAGTATATCCAGCTGTGGTACAGTGATTATGATAAACCATAACATCTCATTTCTTCCCAGCCCTGAGAAGGTGAAACAGAAAGATGTTATGATCGGTATGGGCTTAGACAGTTATCTAGTGGATCTTTTTCTCTCTATGATGAGTCGCCAAATCAATCGCTGGGGAAATAAATGCACCTGCAATAGCTCGTGTTTGTGTATGATCAACTAGTCATAATTCAATGATGAAATACTTTCAGTGCTGGCATAGAGATATATAATGACACATTATTATAATGTCTGACATAATTTGTTATGTCTCTACCTGGCTAAAACGAAAGAAAAATAAAAATTCCAGAAGATGAAATCATTTATTAAATTAGAATAATTGAATACCATCGCATTATTCGTTCATTGGCGTGATACGATTCTCTCAAAGAAATAGGTCCACACGCCGTAGGTCAATAAATTCGACGCCCTATTAACTTGGTTAATAGCCATATGATCTTGTGCAAACTTACTAAGGAAATGACTAATTTAGAGTAATTAACTTAAAAGAAGATGATTCTTTGGGTTTTATTAAATATGTTCGACATTTAGTGTTATTTATAGCGGAGGAATATTGCGCAGAACAAATATATTTGCGTTTAATCTACAATAATTGAAATTGATTCGAAGATCATTTTCTTTCAGTCTTACGTTTGATATAAAAATCAATGCGAATCGTTTTATTGAATTTCACCATCATACATGACCCCGCAGAACTAAATCTCAATAACCTTATTCAAACATAACAAAAACAAACCTGTAAAGTACATTATTTTTAAATCACAATTTATTGGTTTTGTTTGGTACATGTATAATGTAGTCTGCATGTATACGTGGTTTACATTTAATTACTGTTTAAATTCACAATGTGCTACGTATAAATGTTATTAATATAAAAATCATTCTGATTCTCGTCACATATTTTGTTTCACTTAATAGGAACTGAGAAGAAATAAAATGCAATGGTTTATCACTGAGGATGACTTAAAATGCTTAAAACAATTTCAGTGTTATTGTGCAATAAGGTCTTTATCGAAAACTGATCTGCGTTTCATAAATACATTGGCAACATACATGGCCGCATTCCGATTGGATTTTGGCGATCTTCGTGCAATGTCATGAAGCAAGGCAGTTTTTCTCAGTGACAGTGGCTTCATTGGAATTGACACATAAATTTATTTGCAATATGTTGATGAGTAGCTTAAATTCATTGATGGAAATTCGATCGTAAATTAAATTCATAAGATCGTTCTCAAAATTAGCACGCCGAACCCGTGGGGATTATTACTAACTTTGGTCACATAGTTTACAGCACTGCCATCTTTGAATGATAACCTTCACTGTAATAAATTATAGGTTTTGAGCCAGTGATGGCAAATATGGCAGCAGCTTAAAGTCAGTGATCCTATTAATATTTTCTCTAAATATTTGACCCTTCCACTTTGTACAGTATCCACTGAATCAAGCACAAAAAAGAAATGTCCCCTCCCTTTAACTACTACCCCCTCTATCATGGACTTGTATTGATTCAAAGATAGTGTTATAAAATGAGTATCCATTGAAATCATGTTCTAATTGTATTGCGAATTTAAGTCGAATGTGGTAAAAAAGATGGCACTCTTCAAACAAAAAACTATTACATAGATCATAAAGTTACACATGCGTCACAGCTTAAATAAATGGTCAAATAACCATTTATTAATTGATGCAATAAGGATCAGAATTGAAACGTTCACCCTGTTTCCCATGCAGTTTGGGCATTTGGAATAGTGCATTGTCTCTGTCACTGACTGAGAAATGTTATAAGGTCTGCCACGACGGAGTACTTTGTGAATTTCTAAAATATGAAATAACCAAAGCTCATATAAAACAGAGTTTTGATCAGCTTCGGTATTGTCGAGTCAACCCTGCACGTTGCATAAAATGTGTGGTAGAACAATTACATTTTCATAAAATTTCGAAAATGATTGAAGTAATCATATGAAACAACAAGTGACGATGTAAAATATGGACATGGGACGTTGAACAGTTTTTTCTGAACGTAACATTTTAAAGTGGTACTGGACTGGCATACCCCAAAGCCCCCCGCCCCTCTCCCAAAAGGCTTTTCCTCTTAATCAATTAATAATAATTATTTGAAAGATCATCTTAGGTAAACATTGATAAAAACAACAAATCTGTATGGTAATGTTCTCTTTATTTTATCTGAACTACATTTCAGCCTTTTCAGTATTATTTACACAGCATCAACACGTATGGTGCTATCATCTCCATCGATGATCTTATATTTTTAAATATATTATAATTACATATTTATGCTACATTTACTTACATACTATGATACAAAATTTACAAAATGGTCTACGTATGCAAAACGTATATCCGAGTCTCTTAAATACTGTGTGTCCATGTTTAATAATCTCAACAGCCTCCATCAACGAGGCTGTTGTCTTTAAATGGCTGAAGAATTCAATCAGAATCAACGTCTTGGAATATGAGTTCAAATAAACCAATGTATCAGTAATTTCAGTATTTGTAATCTCAATAAAATCATCACTAATCTCAATATAAATCACAATACCCAAACTGATGTATCAGATTTCCATATTATGCTTTCATAGTTGATCAAAAGGAATATAGAAGTAAAATGTAATAAAACATATATTGTTTTTGTTTTAAGAAGGCAAATATTCCAAAATGAAAATATTAGATTCTGTGATGAGAATATATCTCGGGCAAATTCATTGTATAGCCTTGAATAACTGTCCTTTACACTAACCATAACATGATCTTCATATCCATGCCATGGCCATCCATGAAATACGAAGAATATAGTTACATTCCCACAGAACACGATAGACTATGGCAACATCATCTGTTGTCTCACATGAAGCCCCCACTACGGGGTAGGGGCACTGACTACATTTGTTCATTATAAAACTCTGTTAAACTATGTTGTCAATGATCAATGCACTGATTCTATTGGTTTTAATATCAGGAACGCTTATTGCCTTGGGAACGTTTTTATTCCGATGTCTACTTTTACGTCTATCTTGTTTGTCCTTCTTCCTTTCTTCACGACGTTCTTTTCGTCTCTCGTCTCTCCGTTCTTCTTTTTCTTTTTGAGTCAATTCCTCGCGACTCTTGCCTTTGTCTTTCTTTTTGCCCTTGTTCCTCTTTCGTTTATGATTTTTACGTCTATTTTTCTTTCTGTCTTTGGTTTTATGTCTAATTCGGGGAACGTCTGAATTATTAGTGATAAGATCTGAAATATATTTTGAATGAAATAAGTACTTTGATTTTCTTTAGAAGAAACCCAAGGAATGACTTAAGTGGTTATAGTCCCTGATGTAGAGACGAATGGGACTTAAGGATGGATCATCTAGTTCATTATAGCTCACGATGATCGCCGTTTTATACTACACATATTTTACTCTGCCCACCTACTCTTTGCAGTAGGCGACACCATGCCCAACGAAAACGAAGAAGAAATAAAAGTCATAGTTGAATCAGAGACATATAATAACAAATAAATAAATGTCTCTGGTTGAAATAGTGCTTTATAGCACAAAGCACGGTTACATAGAACGAAACTTTGTCAAGATAATACCCCGGGGATAATACTAAACACCCAAGGAAACTGGTTTAATATCCTACAGCAGCACAACTTACCAACACAAGTGCGCATGAGCATTCTGCATCTCATACTCTCAATCCTCGGCTGACAACTCTGTCCGCCAGGGGAAGGAAGCTGTAATATTTCTCTCGCCCTTGTCTGCGTGCCGTATTTGTAGCCACAGATCTGTCCCTTCTTCGTACAGAACCCCCAGTCTGTCCATGGACCAACTGCGCAATCAACTGAAAAATAATATTTGAGTTAATTAATTTTCTTGTTTCAATACGTAGTGACGTACTTAGCCATTTCCAAATTGTAACAGAACAGGTAATAAAAACAATGTGGTTTCTATGGTATTTTACAAACAATAGAGGATAACGCCAAAATTTTATTTATCTTTCCTTTGAATTTCTATCAGTGAAATAGCCTGTGAGCAAAAATGCTCGTTAGCTCGTTTTGTTGATGCGTTGCTATGGCTTATGGTACGTTTCTATGGCAACAAGAAATTGACACTCGGCAGGTGTTGGTAAACATTTGTTTTCTCCCAGGTATATGTACGTTACAACCAGATGGCCCACAGACAAGGTGAACTTGAGCACCCCTGTATACACATTACACACCTTGCCAATGAAATACCTGCACAGAGAAACATGATGAAGTGACGGAACTTGTACTTACAGACACATGATACGAAGCACCAGGTACCCGGAACATATATGGTTACATACAGCCCTAATATATAGTTTCTTTGGTTAAATTGAACTTATGATTATGAATCACCGAAAGTAGAACTTCGTACCTATTGGCTTGCATTCCTTTTCGTACGTTGCATAATGTAGGCCGACTGGACACTCCGCTAAACATCGACCTTTGTATGATATAAAAGGGGGTTTGCATCTGGTACAATAACTCTTACTGAAGCACGTATCACAATTTTCAATTCGACACTCTGAAAGAAAAAGCAACGAGGTCTTGTTATGGTTGTTGATCGAATGATGAAATAAACAACCTGCACCTTTAAGCTCTTTAACAACAAAATCAAAAATTAATGGCTTTAATGAATATAAAACGTTTTATCCTCTTTTGCGATAATAATTTAAAAGACAATCGAGCGTTCTCTGAACAGACGTCGATGTATTACTTTGGTGACTTTACTCACTATAGCATTTACTAAGATCTCTTCTTCGCACTCCGAAGTAGCCAGCAGGACAACTGTGTGTACAGATGCCCGTTTGTCTGATGCCCGAGCGATGCAGGTACATGAAGAATCGGGGCCTGCATGTCACGCATCCATTCATAGCTGAGCAGCTGGCACAACCCCGGGGACATATCGGGTAGACACCTATCACAGCTGAAAAATTGATCAAAATTATTTATTTGAAAAAAGCAATAAATTCAATAAATATTACTATTAAATTATAAAATGCACTTAGTAAACTATAATAATATTAAGCAAAAATCGATTCGTTTTGTTTGTTTTAATGTATGATAATAGTTCTTGATATTTTTGGTTGATCTGTCAAATATCTGTCAATCAGAAGTTGAATGACGAGACGGGTTGTTTAATTGAGTATTCATTGGTCGGTTGATTGATTCTTATTACAGATGAAAATAATTGTCTATTGATTAATTGATTATTCATTGATTTATTCGATTGTTTTGTTTTGTTTTATTTGTTACCATGACTGTTCAATTGATTGTTCTTTGATTGATTAATGCTTAATCATCGATTGAATTACATGACTTATTTGACATGTTAGCACCTTGCTGTTTCTACCTCTGATTAATGCCCCCCTACCCAAATCCGAAATACACTTGTTTGTAAACAACTCAAGCACAATAGGTGTGTTTATGGACAATATTTGGTCTTACATTAAGTTAAGTTTCATACAATACGTTTCAATAACAATGATGGAAATCTTCACACGTTAGTTTTATAAATTTACAGATAAATCCCAACTACCGGATTTTTAAATGTGTCAAGGAAGGAGTATTTCACTCTGTCGAGGTCGTGCCAAAGTTGAATGAAACCATCAGAGATGATGGTACGATTTTAGGGAAATAAAATAGCACTGAACGAAGTGATTTATGTGATGAACATGATAGATGAAACATCGGACGGTGTTCTCAACCAACTCCTGACCCTGAAGATACAATTCACTAATCTATTTTGAAAGATAATAGATCCTGGGCATACATTCTTTGCCATGTTATTGTGTTTCGATTCTGACTTAGTGATATCAAAACGGGACATACCAATGTGATTAATCTATTTCAATGGCGATGTATCAAAATACAGCTAGGAATAATAGCAACATAGGGTGCAAAAGCTTGTAGATGTTTGCACACAAATGCGAAGTGATACGTTTTATATTCTTAAATCATCGATAAAATGTCCGGTTAATGCCCAGAGTAGAAGTGATATAACATAATATAATCAAATTATTTCTTATGCAATCTCAAGCCTCCTTTCGCCTACTTTTGTCAACTTCTTATACTCTTTGGCTCCGTTAAGGTACTTTAGACCCTCAATTCAGGATATTACTTGTGTATACCACCAGTTTCAAGCATCTTCTTACTGCGTGGTTAGTTTCCTCTGATTATAGCTGTTATTGTTTGGAATTTATCAATGAAAAAGCACCGCAAAAATCGTCAGTTTAGACGTCAATGCAATCTTCTTGAGCTAATCTTAGGGATCAGGACGAACACCGATCAGAAAGGAAAATATTTTTATTTGGACATTAGTTTACTGTTGGGGTTATTGAAGTTGTAATTTGCATCAGAAGTGAACTGTGATCGACAAATCTTGTGCTAAATAGACAGATTTATGAGAGGCAGGGGTTTCACCCTATATCTCTGGAACTAATGTGATCAGGCAAAAGGTACTGGAATTAAACATGCTGATCGTTTGATCTTTCCATTGTTATATAGAGTTGGGCAACATATTGTTCCATGTCGAATTTATGTTTTGCACATTCTGAAGTGAATTGTATAACCCCTACACTTAATAACAATTATATTTGATAAGTAGCTGTTCAGAAACGTTGTACGGTATTCTAAGCTGGTACAAACCCGACGGATTTGATGTTCTTTTCTTGCATCGTCACCTTCATTTATGTCGGTTTGCAGAGGGCTGTAATTCAGAGCATTTCGGGGGAAATTTTAACAATAGAAAGTACGCATGTGTGATATATAGTATTCAAAAGTGATAACACGTGCCTGAGAGTATAAATGTTTAGGGAAGTTAAAGAACTGAAAATGTATTCATAAGAAGTTGCAAGAAACTCGATAACTTAAAATTGCAATATCAAGAATGTAATCGAATTTTTATTTTGTTATACGTTTTATTCTGCTTTATTCGACATTTCATCGTTGCTATTTATACTTGAATGTGGGATTTGATGTTTTATTGTAACCATGACCTGTAAGTTGAAATGTGAAAATGAAAACCAGATGAGAACCCTTTTCCAGTTGACATTATCAACATTCATAGATTTTATTATATCCGCAAATTCGAGTCCATTCCTCTAGCATGGGAAGGTGACATCAATTCATCTTGAGTGTTTGGCATATCATAGTACTATGTAGCATATCGATCAAATGCATGTCTCAGTCATTAACGCTCCTTGCAACAACAAGGAGATATTCGAAGATACCCTTATTTTCGTGGAATACGTGACTAACTTGGGACATGGGACTTTAAATCTATAGCAAAAGACAGATTCGTTTTGGATCAAAATGGAGATCTAAGTCTAAGGTAGAATTGATAGAGAGAAACCTTTCTAAAATTGAGTCGAATTCTTTCTGAATATCCTTTTCTCTCATATAATTTCTAAATATTCCCAAAGGACATACCATATTGACGATATTTCAGTTTTAACATGATTTAGAATTTCAGAATTTTCACTAACGTATCTAATCCACATCGAGCTGTGTTTTGCATCGGTAGCAATGTTATTGTGTCCGTCATCAAAGCGTTCTATTAGTGTGTAGTTGTGAGACTACCTCTGACAGCTGCTCACTTCCTACCTGTTCAACAAGCACACTTTGAGAGATGCGAAGATAAACAAGTAGTTAAGAAAACGGTGCTACGGACTCGGATACCATAAACTATACAAAAATCACGATTTCCTTGTATATAACAGGTTATACGAAAGGAATTTCAACAAGTTTAAATATAATGGATTTGGTTTCATCTCTGGTTGAGGCTGTTTTCCTTTAGGAAGCTATTTCAACCTTCTTGTCGTACCAAATGATAGTTTAAATGTACGATGTTAATGTTTTAGAACCTCAAGACTTTTCGAACATCCCAATGGCTACGAATTTCATCATAATTATTAGTCTGAGGCCCTTATTTGATCAATAAAATTAAATACAGTAAAAAATTGCATATGTATCGTGAACTGATTTTGGAGATGGTTTTCGCTCATGGTTACCTCTGTATTCTGGTATCGATCAGGATGACATCAAAGGTTTCCAATTGCTTCAACACCATTTGATATCGGCGATAAACCTAACAGTTCCACAGACGTTTTTACTCAACTTTGACAATCAAAGTGCAAAAGTCTTAGAGATGAACTCCCAGAGAGAGAGACTTAGTAGTACTTTTTCTTTTAAATAGTCGTTATCATGATATACCTGGCTCGCGTGTCTATTTATTCTGTTTTGTTTTTTATACCCAAAATGCCCAACGGCAAGCCACACAGCCCTCTGACTATTATTGATGATTTTATAAACTATAAATAGATCTCAACCGTAGTTTTTATCGGAGATGGAGTGGAGACTATTAGCTGTATAGGCTACTAATAGGTAGAACATTAAGTAAAGTGATTTGATAATTTTTGTATATTCTGATTGGATATATGTAATACAGGTAACATAATTATATTTCAAAAGAGTTTGGTATTTGTTATCTCACGTCTTTTTGTACTGTTGCCCCTGTGGATGGTTGTTCTCTTTCAAGTTCTTTTTAGAGAAATTGAGTGTTGCACCTTATTACAAGATCAAAGAACATTGTTACATTTGAGCCAAGCTAATGCACTCATCATAAAGAGGGACGGGCCAAACATCTTTGCACAACTTAACTTTTCCACCCTAGAACGTCAATGTTTCAAGAAATAACTGGATCCATAATTTTTGTTTTTCACTCCTACTAATCAGATCAAATGCTTTTTTCCAAATAACAGCGACTCAAAATTCACTTCAACAACTTCCAGACAAGAATACGCGAAATATCGTTCCTCTGATATCTATGCGAGGCTCAAAATATTTTTCTGAAAAGTGTAAGAATATCAAGTGAATGGTCCCTAACTCGTCTGTAAGCATATCTCTTTTAAGATACTGAAAGTGAATTGAATGTTTGTAGTGGTGAAAAATTTTGAAAATACCACAGTTCATGATCATGAAGCTATCTATACTCAATAGACAGTCTGAACTAATTCCTCTTGAGGTGGAATAATTAAATTGTTTACCGCTGCCGCCGACGTAACTCTCATAACCCCTTCTTCACTAGTCCTAAAAATCTTCAAAAAGTTATCTTTCTACTCCAAAGTCGAAGAAACTGACCGGCTGTTTGTGTTTCAATCATTCTTAGGCATCACCAAAAAAAAACTAAATGTGAAGATATTCCAGATTAGTTTGATCATAAATTCATGGAATGTTGCACCTTGACACATCCACCACAATCGTTTACCTTTTATTTGGAAATGAAGCTGAAAGACGTGGCCGTTATCATATTCAATTACAGTAATTTAAAGGTGTTACAAGTAAATGTCTGATATAGACAAAATATTACAATGTTAGGTAACGCTAATCTGTGTACACTGTAATACAATATGTTCCCCTTCATGAAAAACATTTTTTTACATTTATATTTCTCCCAGAGGGGGAATAACACCAGAGTCAAAGATGACATACGCGTATAATGTAAACCTGTATTGAGATGAGATACATCTCTGATTGGTCAAATGTCGACAAACAAATGATGAGGTTGAGCACGTCTAGTATTGACAGACATGAGTGTAAGATCAGGCCCAGCACGTAAGATGAGTAAGATGAGAGTAAGATGAGGATCAGCACGACTAAGCCTTGACAAAAACAAGTGTAAGATAGGGATAAACACGACTAAGCCTTGACAAACACTAGTGTAAGATGAGGATCAGCACGACTAAGCCTTGACAAAAACAAGTGTAAGATGAGGATAAACACGACTAAGCCTTGACAAACACTAGTGTAAGATGAGGATAAACACGACTAAGCCTTGACAAACACTAGTGTAAGATGAGGATAAACACGTCTAAGCCTTGACAAACACTAGTGTAAGATGAGGATAAACACGACTAAGCCTTGACA